ACCAGGTCAAAGTCCCCTATTTACAGTAACACCAGTTATCTCACCTTCATAAAACTTACCAAATAGTGTTACAAATACTCACGTATACATCGGACTACATGACTAATACCTACCTTCACTATTCGAGTGTATATTCCAAGAGAGCAGAGGTTCTATTTTTTGTTCAACACTGAATCCAGTACCTAGCACCAAGCCTAGGACATAGCAGAAACTCACAAAATAAACTGTTCAGCAGCCGGCACAGATGGCAACTTGCCCCGTACAAGGCTGGGCTTATAGTAAGTTTTCTCAGCAGGCAGGGCAAGTAAGCAGCTCCCACTGACAGCCTCCCACGGTACTTTCCACACGTTACATGTGTCTTTGTACTCACACTAGGTCTCACTACATCAGTACCTGTCGCTCACTAGATAATGAGCTCTGCTCTCTTCTCTGCACTCAGCACAATGCCTGGCACAGTCAGATGCTCCATAAATGATTAATGCCTGAAAAACATGTGATTTTCTGTCCCGGCAACCAATGGAATGCCTGGCCCTCAGCAAGCCCTCAGCACTTGCTGAACAGGAAACAGATATACTTACTTGTATGTGCACTCAGCATGTGCCAGACACTTCTTATCTCATTTAATCATCACAACAACCCTATTAGGGAGGTACTGTTCTAGAAAGGGAAAGTGCTGGGTTTACTGACAACCTGTGAATGCTAATGTTTCCTGATTTCTTTCACTCGTGTAAATACTACCATCACAATTTTGTCATAGTATATATCCTCCCATTTACTTAATATTTTCACTAAAAGGAATAGAAAATTCCCATTATTTTTAAGTCTTACAAAAAGCTAAGCACTAACATGTATAAAAGTCACCCTTCTCATATGCTTATTTTTTTTTAAGATGCCATTTATTTATTCTTAAAGAGAGGGGAAGAGAGGGAGAGAAACATCACTCTGTGACAGAAACACTGGTTGCTTTTCCTACGCCCCCAACAGGGGACCTGGCCTACAACCAAGGCATGTGCCCTGACTAGGAATCGAACCAGCGACCTTTCAGTTTGTGGGACAATGCCCAACCCACTGAGCCACAGGCACGGTGTGCTTATGTTTTTTTTAATACACATACATAGTAGCTGACTATCAAAATGAAAAATGTTCACTCTTCATAACTCTTCACTCTCTAAGCTTCAAGCTGGATTTGACCCCAAGGGTCACAATCTGTCATTCCCTCTAAAATCAACTCTCATTCCACATTCTGCTGTTCTCAGAGCTGCTTGCTATTCTCATATTCCTATTAAACCCCATTCCTCCCAGTTTTGCTGCTAAAATTTCTTGTGACAGAATAACCAAAATCTCCCCTGCGAACCCATCTGTGAGAGCAACCCACTCAGTGCACCTAGCAGCGCTGGGGGAGTTCTCTCCACGCGGCCGAAAGCAACGAGTGAAGCGGGACACATCCGCGCCGGGGAAGGGGCAGCCGTGGAGGCTTCCTCTCAACGCAGGTATTCAGCGTGCACATCCGATAAGGAAGTTCAACAGCTCTGACACATCCGTACAACTCCCTTCCTTCTACTGCCTGCAAGGCACACACGGCATAATCACCACAGCACGTTTCATAAGTGATTAGAAGAACGAAGCTAAATAAAATCTTTTAAAAATCTACAACAAAACCTCTACTAGTCAAGACTACTCCACTGCTCCCCAATTTGTTCTCTCTGTTCCCCAGGCCATGTGCAGACACTGGAGGCCTTCTGTGCAGCACAGTACTGTGCCAGACATTGTCTGAACACACCAAAATAAATTATGATGGGAAGTAAAAAAATTTTAATATTAGTAATACTATAGCTACCACTTGAAGGAGCTTTTGTGGGCTAATTACTTACTAAACATAATATAATTTCACTTTATAAGGCTCTCATGAGGAAGCTGTAACTCTCATTTTACATACAGGTGGAACCAGAGTTAAAAACTTGGGCGACTCTGAAGCCTGTGTGTTTGCTTCTGAGCCAAACTAATTTTATTAGGAGGTACATTCAGAGTTTACAAGAGTGTGACCATGAGAAAAATATGTTCCCTTAATACAGTCATGCAGAGGCAGGGAACACTGGGCAGGAACAAGAGACAGCTGGCAGGAAGAAATATGAGCGTGCACGGACCCCATTGAGCAGGGACTAGCAAACTTTCTGTAAAGGGCCGAAGAGCAAATATTTTAGGCTTTTGGGGTCAGACAATCTCTTTAGTAACTACTCAACCCTACTGTTGAAGTGCAAAGCAACCAGAGAAATATGGGTGTGGCTGTGTTCCAATAAAACTTCATTAAAAAAAATAGGCTTCAAACTGGATTTGACCTTGGAGGCCACGATGTGTCAACTCCTTTGCCATACACGGTATTCAGATGATAGCTGGCAGACATGGGGCAATTAATTTACTTAACTTCTCTGAGCTTCCATTTCCACCTCTATTACAGGATATTTCTAACCATACAGAATCAAGACAATTAATGCAAGATAATACCCAGTGTACCTGGCACATAACAAGGCACTGAATGAATAACAGCAATGACTGATTCACATAAAAACAGAGAAAACATACATACACACATACAGATATTATGACCCACTAGCAAAAACGGGACATTTTGAGCATCAAAAAGAATTAACAACTGCAATGGGTTGAAACATCAAATGGGACCAACAGTTCTGGCCATGATACTGTTCAAGTCCCTGAATTCACCCTCCTGCCATAAAAAACCATAAAACTAAACAAAATACATGAAGATGAGACTCCTCTGAGGGCAGGGATTATGACCGGTTCATCGCTGTATGCCCAGGGCCTAGCAGAGGTATTTGACACACAAACGCTCCATGAAGGAGGACTTCACATCGAAGTGGGCCAACCTGGCAATCGAGTGGACCAGGGTGCCCAGCACTCTCCTCAGAGCAAGAACCACTGGCTCTTTCTTTCTTGAAGAAAGCAAAGGGCGAACCAGAGCCAGGAGGGGTCACAGGACAGCTGTGAGACAAAGGGGCTCAGGAGTTACCATTCACAAAATACACTCCTCCTCTGAAGTGTGCCTCCCTGATCTGTCAACCCAGGTACGGCATGTCACTTGCTTTAGGTAACGAAGTGAGAAAGATAAAAGAAGCTCCACATCTCTCTCCCGAGCAGAAGTTGTAAGAGCCATGCCTTCATGTGTCCTCTGCACAAGCTCCAGCAGGCTAAACCTTGACCGAGGCCACATGGCACAAAGTGCCAGCTGACCCACGATGGCCGTACAGTAGGAGCAAAAATAAACTTCTGTCATAAGCCACTGAGAATGGGGGTCATTTCTATGCTGATACAAGAAAGGATAGGCAGAATTCGAAAGATGTCATCTTTAGATTTCCACCCCTGGCTTACTCATTTAAACACTAATCTAGTACTGCTATGAAGGGGTTCTGCAGGTGTAATTAAAGTCCCAAGTCAGCTGACCTTAAAATTCAGAGATTATCCAGGCAGTCCTGACCGAAACAGGTATGCCCTTTAACAGGAGAAAGTCTCTCTGGCTGGTGGCAGGAGAGGCGTTAGGGAGATCTGAAGAGTGAGAAGGGCTCAGCACGCCGTTACCAATTTGGATGGGGAGGGACTCGCGTGAGAAGACATGGGGATGACACTGAAAAGCAGAGAGCAGTCCTTAGCTGAAAGCCAGCAAGAGCACGGGGACCTCAGACCTACAACCACAAGGCAGTGGATCCCGCCAACAACCTGAAGGAACCAGAAGCAAAATCTTCCCCAGAGGCTCCAAGTAAGAGACTCGCCTGACCAACACCTGCATTTTGACTCTGAGACTCTAAGCAGAAAGCCCAGCCAAGCCTGCTCTATGAGTACACAAACCTGCGATAAATGAGTGTTGTATTAAATTGCTCAGTGTATGGGAATTTGTTATGCAGCCATAGAAAATTAATACCCAAGGCTTATATATGGGAGGCCTGTCCCTAATTTCTTACCCTAGGTATCCATTGTACTATAACGAATAAAATGTAAATTCACTTAAGACTTGTAGGGGACCAGTTCGTTTAAGTCTGGCAAATGTGACTCAGCTCTGTATGGAAAACCTACAGAAGAAAGTGGTGGGCAGGAGTCAGACCTTCAAACCGAGTTTTCCCGTGAGAATCAGGCCTAGAAAATGCATACAGATTGTTATGGCTTGCTCTTGCTAAAAATCCCTCACCCTAGTCTAAAACAACAAATGTATATTGTCTATCTTCGAGGTAATATCCAAAGCCTATATGAGTTTTCCCAAGGACAGAGCTAAACAGCTCATCGCCATTCCCCTCTGCATGTTATTTTCATTTCCTTGATTGTATCTAAAATGTAGACAATAATATTTTATGTGGTAGGTAATAAATCTTTCTCTGATGTAAGACCCCAGGCAAACAATAAAAGCCTGTTTAGGCAAGGGTCGGGAGTGGCCGAGGCACCCACAGGCACTCTCCCCTTGAGAGAGCAGTCGTGCCTGTTCCCTTTTTCCACACAGGATTGTTGTCGCCTGTGCATTCATTCTCGCCGTCAGCCAAAACAGGCGCACTCTGCTGGACAGGGTCCGCCACAGAGACTATTTCTAATCCAGGAAAGGTTTTAACCATGATATATTTTCTTCATCAAAGGTCCACATCAGAACTGCCTGATGCAGAAACAGTGACTGTTTAATGAATCTGAAAGCTCCCCACCTTGAACTCCTTTGTTACTTATTAGCTCCACATACAGGGCACCGAACAAGTATGTGTGGTATTGTACAGTCCCACTCAGAGCTGCAGTAAAAGTTTCTAGAGAATCTACAACTTGTTCTTCTTTATATTCCGCTAAAACACCTTGACAAGCTCCTAAACATGCATTAGGCACTAAAATAATCTGTCAGATTAATGTATTTATTATATTGAGTTAACCTTGGTTATCCTTAGGTGAGCAAAAGGTAGTTACGAAGAACGCAAAAGGAACACACAAAGGGAAGAGGCTACGAGACAAAAGCTTACCTTTACATCTGGCACCCGGGCACCGAGGCTGTTGAGCCCCACGATGGAGTGGAAAGCAGATTCTAAACTTGTGAAAGGGCGGTCCAGCGAAGCTTTCAGCCTTTCCACATCATGCTTGGTGAGGTAGTGAGTGGGCGTCAGAGCCAGGGCACTGGCTATGATTGTCAGGGACAGCAGGAGGACAGTGCCTGAACCTTGGGAGAAAACAACCATTAAACACACTCGATACTATCCCACAGTTCTATACACAGTTCCAATGACGATGCCCACCAAGGCCTAGGAACCAAATCATGTAAGAATGGGAACTGGGCAGCTGAAACCGGAGAGAAACCAGAGAAACTGGGCGGTGGGCACAGTTTTCAACTATCTGAAGGACAGTCCTCCCAGCAGCCTCTGTGTGCCTAAAGCACAGGACTCATCACGCCGTTCCTGTTTCAAGTACATTAGCAACTCCCATGCCTCTCAGGACAGACCCAACCCTGAAACCTCAGCGTGGCCTTGCCAGCTTCTCAACCAGATCTCTTCCCTCACTCTTCCCCCTGTCTGTGGTTCTCTGGCCTCCCCTCTATTCCTCTAAAGACCCATGTTCTTTCCTACCCAGCACTTTTTCATGCTTTTCCCTACTTAAACTTCGCTTAATTTTTACTTTCAGATTCCAGTTCAAAATCTCTTCCTTAGTAAATCCCCCAATAGACCTCTGTTGGATGAGGTCCCTAGCCAGTACTACGAAGTGGTGAAGAACATGGCCTCTGGAGCCAAGTTTAAATCCAATTAGTAGTAATGTGACTGTGGCAATTACAATGTGTCAGCTAATGCCTCAGTTTCCGTAAGTGTAAAAAGGGGTTAATAACAGTACCTGCCTCTTAGGGTTAACAGCACTAACTGAGTTAATATACAAAGGTCTTAGAATAGTGGCTAACATTTACGAAGGGCTATCAAAATGTTAGCTAAATTGTTATTGCTGCCATATCCACTCATAACAACCTGCACTTCTATCAAATATTTTTCACAACTTTAACAGTGTAATGTCTGATGCCTCTGCTACAATCTAAGCCCCATGAAGACAGACTGTTTCTCTTGTTCATTCCAATATTTCCAAGTCTTACACATTGCCTAGCACTAAGAAACAGAAATAAAATTAATCCTCACCTATTATGCCCAAGGAACAGGAAAAAGATATAGGAGGAATACAGTCTACTTTTCATTAGGACACGTGCAAACACTTTTGAACAGACTATGTCATAAACTGTCTGCCCTCCAATTAACAGCCATCAGTCAAGGCTCTCATTATGGTTCTAAATCCTTTGTCTAGAGTGGCAAGCTTAGTCTGAACTAGAACTCCTTAAGAAAGGAATCATTATATCCATTTTACAAATGTGACTAAGATTTTTTTCACATTCTATCATTTTATATCACATTTTACAAATGTGACTAAGAAAGGAATCATTATATCCATTTTACAAAATGTGACTACAAGAAAACTAAGGACCAGGACCAGAGTAGTTTACACACAGCCAATCTTGGACTCAAGTCCAGGTCTAACTATAGTGTTCACACTCCATTTTTTTGGAGAATGACGTAGAAGGGATGCCTACCTCGGTGCATGGAGGTTAGTTCTATTTAAGTCCTTGTGTGTATTAAATAATCTAAAGAATGGAAAAGCTGTTTTTAAGAAAACCTAGAGACATCTACATGTGGAATATTCATTCATCTAACGTTTATTGAATACCTAATATGCACCAAGCACTGTTCTGGTGTTAAAGATACAACAGGAAACAGAACAAAGAAAAACTTCTAACTTCATGAAGCTTACATTATAGTGCGAAGAGAAAAATATCATGCAAAATAATTAAGATGCACTATTCATCACTTTAAAAGGTGAAACATGCTATGGAGAAAAATAGAGCACAGAAGGGATACCTGAGAAGAGCCTCAATTTAAATATGGTAGGCCAAGTAAGAAATAAGAATATTGTGGGAGATTTGAAGGAAAAGAAGGAGTAAATCATAAAGACACCTGAAGGGAAATAAGCACAAGAAGAAAAGCAAGTTCAACGACCCTGAATTGGGAGTGCATGTTTTATTTATTTATTTATTTATTTTAACATTAACAAGGAGAACAGCATGGCTGAAGAGGAGTAAGCAATGGGTGAGAAGTAAGGACAAGGTGACTGAGGTATCAGAGGCCAAATCCGGAGGGCTTTGTAAGTCACTGAAGGAATAACTCGGGCTTTTGCTGAACAAGAAGGGAGCCACTAGAAAGTTTTGAGTAGAGGACTTACATTTTAACAGGATCATTGTGTTGACAATAGACAGTACTGTTGTTGAGACTCTACAGGATCAGGCACCTAAAGAGGGACATCAGTTAGGAGACTATTGCCATAATCCAAGTAAAAGATGACAGTGGTCCAAGCCAGAGTGACAGCAGTAGAGGTGGTGAGAAGTCTGGCTACAATTTATAGTTAAAGCCAGAACTATAATGCTTAGAGAGATATGAGCAAATGAGGAGTTAAGATACTAACGCTGAATGAATCCCCAGGACCTTGTGTACATGTATGTATTCAATATATTAAGACCTAGTGAATGACTACGATCTATCTAGCATTTTCCCAGCTAGATTGTAAATTACCCTAACATAGCATCTGTGGCAGAATCCTAATCTTCCCCCTTCTCAATAATGGTAACAATAACTTTCTTGGCTAAAATTTGCACACTTAATACAGGTCGGGAATGCCCGTACTAAGCTAAACACTTTGCATGCATTTAATCATTAAATCCTCAACATCCAAGTGAACACAGTTTACAAACCAAGATATTGAGACTCAGAAGTAGTTACCTACCCTAAGAGACACAACTAGCTGAGAATCAAACTGCAAGCAGTTTGAATCCACAGTTTGTTTTTAACCTCTAAAACCCTAAACTTAAATAATGGAGCGCGAAAACACTGAAATGCATTGTTCCCCCAGGCAGGTTACTTCCTTTCTCAGGATTCCCTCATCCCTCCCGTCTGTCAAGTGGAAATAACAACAGAACACATGAGACAGGTGAGATTCTATCCTGCGGTGACCACTCGTTAACTAGCAATGCAAGTAACTTTCCTGAGTGCTAATTTAGGGACACGTGCAGCTCTAATATATTCATGGAGATTATCTCATTGAACGACACAGCAATTTACGAGGCAGACAATGTGACTAATCTGTTTTACAGACGAGAAATTGAGGTGCAGAGGGATTAAGTAATTTGCGGCGGGGTCACATAACGAATACGTGGCGGACTACTCGTTGCACCCGGAGAATCTAACTTCATTACTTATTCCCTAAACTCCCGAAAAGGTGTTTTAGTTTGTCTGTTTGTTTAGCTCATTTCACTAAAAAGGAAGCTAATGGCCCAACGGGTAATTTGGCCGAAAGCGCACCCTTAGGCCTCCCGGCCCGGGAGCCCGCGCGAGTCCAATGAATGAGTGAAGCCAGACCTCGGGTTAACCACGCCGCAGTTCCCAGGCTGGTCCTCTGGGGTACCCGTAGTTCGGCACTGCACCCACCCCCAACCCTTCCTCAGGTGTCTGGCGGTCCCACCCGCTCAGACCCTCCGTTAGACTTTCAGCCCCAGGAGTGCGGGAGCCCATGCCCCTGTCCCGCAGAGGAAGGGGACCCCGCGGAGGCGGCTCCCGAGTGGCGAACACTAGCCTCCCAAGGGCGCCGGCCCACTCGCCGAGGCGCGCCGTCCGCGGGGCTCCGCCGTCCAGCCATGCGCAACACCTTACCCGGCAGCGCCATTCCTCCGAGCAGGTCCCCAAAGGGCCCGAAACGCAGGCTGACTTCCGCTCGGGAAAGTGGCTTCAGGAGCGCGCCGGAGGGGACGCAGGGGACTCGCGGCAGGCTCCTCGTGCTGAGATGGACTCTAAGCACAGGTCAGTCCCCGCCCTTCCGCTGGGCCGGGCCGCTCGCTTCCAGTAGCCACGGCTGGAATTCCAGTCCTGGTGCGCAAAAAGGCCCTGCAGTTGTAGCAAACAGGGCCGCCTCCCCCCGCGCCGGGGCCCACTTGGAACCAGCCGCCTCACAACGGTCCTATTCCGGGAGCTACCGCGACGCTATTGGACGAGGCTTCAGGGCGGGCTCGAGACGGGGCCTCCTCTGGTTGGTCGGTCGCCTGTCACTCTGTCGGGAGTGCTGCGGACCAATTTTAAAGAACTGGGAAGGGTCAGGTGGTGAGGGGGGGAAGGTATTCGTGGGTGGGTTTTTTTCCCTTTGGAAAATTGTGGCAGTGTCCTTCAAAGATTCTTTTGGTTGTTAATAACTGACCTATGAGTGATTTTTTAATCTGATTTGCAAAGTATTTGTGTTGACTCAGTGACTCCTCATAACTCTTTGAACAACGTATTAGGTTGTTGACAAGGTTTTGAAATAATAGGTTCAAATATGGAAGTGACTTATCTAACAGCTAAATGATAATGAACTCCATTTATTGAGCCTTAACAGGATAGCCCAACAGTGTGCTAAGGGCTCTACGTACAGTCTTTCTTTTACACCTTATCACCATTCTGTGAGGTACACAGTTATTCCATTTTATAGAGAAAGAAATTGAAAATTTCAACTCAGTTTGACTCTCTAATCTGTACTTTTAACTATTATGAACGTATGAAGCATGCACAATATGATGACTCATATTATCACTATTAGTATCCTAGATATGATTATACCAAATCGGGAGAGTCAGTTCTTGCTATGTCTGGTAGTCTATTCAGTATGGTAGATATTGGCTATATGTAAATATTTAAATTAACTAAAAATAACAATTCAGTCTATATCAGACACATTTTGAAGTGGTCATGTGTAGCTAGTGGATGTCGTTTCGACAGTGCAGAACTATAGAACATTTTTCACTACACAGAAAGTACCGTTGAACAGTACTGATCTAGAATATGAAAAAAACTCTTTCTGTTCAGTAGTAAGTCAACCAGTAGTGTGCCGGAGTTCATATGTTTGTTTAAGCCAATGGTTAAATTTGTCAGGAATTTGCAAATTGGTTGTTAAACACAGCTATTTATAAAAATTAAATCATACAAACTTACAATGAAATAAAGTATACTGAAAACCAAACTCAGCCCTTGGCTGGGTAGCTCAGGTGGTTAGAATGTCATCCACATGTGCCAAGGTTGTGGGTTGGATCCCCTGTCAGGGCACAAGCAAGAAATAACCAATGAGTGCATAAATGAAACAACAAAACAATGGCTCTCTCCCTCTCTCACCCCTCCCTCCTTTACTCCCTTCCCCTCTCCCTAAAGTCAATAAATAAAAAATTTTGAAAGGAAAACCAAACTCATCATTTCCTTATCAATTTAACAAAAAAAAAAAAAGTAGCCACTTTCAAAGATGCTGGAGCAGCTATACCAGAGGAACCGGTTTGCTGTCTTGTGTCTCAAACCTTTGGAACATGAAAACAGCAAAATAACCTTTGCGCTGGGCCTAAACAACTTGATTCCCCAAAGAACTGTTTGCAAAGATAACAATTAGCAATAATATGCCTTGGATAAACCTCATGGGCTACGATACTGCCACTGCACGAAGCTTTGCAAAGATAACAAAAAAAGCAGTTTTTATACCCGATGACTACTTGACTGAAAATTAAAAACATTGTTTAGAATTAATGTCGCTATATTATCTTCACCAATAGAAATGCTTTCCTTCTATTAGTGTAATTGTTCCCCTCCCCTTTCTCATACTCGTTCCCTTTGTCTCCTAATTGCAACATGATTTGAGCTTCCACCTGAATCGATTCCCTCATAGCTATTCTTACTGATCTCAAATACTTGTTTGCCTCTCACTTTGGAAAGCCATTTTATTTTTAGGTTAACAGTTTCTCGCTTTGTTATTGTCTAAACCTAATGGTGGATAAAATGTTAATAGAGATTAAACTTAAAAGTGTGTCATGTTTATAGACTTTACATTGTGAATAGCACAAAAACTTGAACAAATATTATTACCCAAAAACAATATCATAAATAACTGAATAATATATTAGAGGGTGTCATGTGCTATAGAAAAAAAAGAAAGGATAAGTGGGATTGAGGGAGGTGCAGGGGGTCTTCTATCTCAGTCTCTTTTTAACAGTGGCATAGTGTTTCTTACCTATCCATTCACTCCCTGTGAGGCTGACAATATGCTAAGTGCTGACTATGTAGACAAGATTTCTTCCCTCTTGGAGCTAATATGCAACTGTGACCATGTAGACAAGATTTCTTCCCTCTTGGAGCTAATAGTCTAATGGGAGACAGTCAATAAACAACATGAATTAACTTGATCATCGTAGGTAATGATTAAATGCTATGGAAAAAAAAACAAGAAAGTCACTGTAGGGCTGGGGTGGGGAGAGGCTGCTCAGCCTAGATTGGTGATCAATGAACGCTTCTGAAAAGGTGATATTTAAGCTTTTACTTGAGTGATGAGACAGAAGAATCCTGAAAAACTAATTTTTCTAATCCCCTTTTTATTCCTAGGATCTGTAGTTGGGAAGAAGTAGTGATCCCTTATGCTTCTGACAGTGATTCAGAAAATGTGGATTTGCAGCAGAGCAACTTAGAGGATATTATAAAGAGCCCAAATAGCCATGAATTTACAGGTGAACAGGGGAAAGGATAAGGAAAAGGGGAGGGCATCTCTTTTCAATTCACGTGGCTGAGTGACTTTAAGACCTAGGAATCTGGTTGGCAGAAAGATAAAACACAGTATTCTAGCCACACAGGAAACTAAACTTGGTCCTGAGACAAATAATCCTGCCAATTTGCACCGAGTATAAATGCTAGAAGGGAAAGGCAGGTGTGAATGAAATCTGGATTGAGCTACAGAGTAACTCTTTCCTTTATTCTGCAAACATCTATTAAGTACCAATTGCTGGGTATACAACAGTGAACAAGATCAACACGGTCTCTACCCTCACAAATGTACATAACACTGCTGAGGACTAAAATAAGCTGTAGTAATCAAATTATAAGCTGTAGTAAACCCTGTGAAAGAATTAAACAAGGGGCTGAGACAAAAAAAATAAAGGGATGGGAACCTAATTTAAACCATATTTGTCAGGGAACACCTGTCTGAGAACAACCCATGTGAGAAGGAGAGGGAAGAGCATTCTGAGTAGGTGGAACAGCATTTGCATGAGACAGGAAAGACTAGTGTGTTTGACGAACTACAGTCGTTTGTACATTCATCCAACAAATGTTTATTAAAGCTCTAAATAGCGTGCTCTAAACACTATGCTCTAAACACTGATCTAGCTGCTGGTGATATAGCAGTGAACAGAACAGACACAATATACTCATAGATAAACCAATGATTGGAACTTAGTATAATATGTGTGATTGGGGATGGAGGTAGGGGGAAGGGGGAAAATATAGAGAGCTTCATTAGCAGCTAGAAGGATACTTAGCCAAAATGGGCAAAGAAGGGATTCAGGAAAAGCATCCTGGAGCTGAGTCCTGAAGGACAAGTAAGAGTTCCATGTGCAGCGAGACGTAAGGGTAAGTGAGGAAGAAAGGGCGGAGACATGCAAGCAGGAGGAAATCCTGTGCAAAGAGGTGAACTAGAATATGGCTTTTACTGGGTGCCAAGAATGTGGCAGGCAGTGGGAGGAATTTGCAGAAGAATCTGTGAAAACTGTGGTATGAATCCTCAGATGATAGGTGTGTTAAACGGGAAATAGTAAACTGATTTGCCCAATAGGAGTTGGGATTTGGTATTGGAAAGCAGGGGAAGTAAGGATGTAAAGCTACATGAAGAGGAAAATGACACCACATAATTGTTGTCACTCAGTGAGCAGAGGACTAATATTTGCCAGCACCTCTTTGATGCTAGTTCTGTATCAACCGAATGAGGTAAGTTCTATTATCATCCCCATTTTGGAAATGAAGAAATAGGCCCAGGGAAAGTAAGGCCCCACAGGGTTAGAATGCTAGAAAAAAAGCAGAACAAAGATTCCTGACTCTGAGCCTGTGCTCTTAAAGTATATCCCAAGTTGGGAAGGAAATACCTGAAGCTCTTACTGCAATCTGGGCAAGTGGGAAGAGATCAGCAAGGGGTTGCTACAATATTTGAAGCTCTTGTCATCACAGAGTCATACACTTTTGATTTTGAATAATATATACCACTTAAGTGCTTACTGTGGGCCACATACTGGGTGGGATAAGTCTTGTATTTCCTCACTTAGTCCTCACAATAATCCTGTTTTACAGGTGGGGACACTAAGGTTCCAAACAGGCAAATTAACTCGATGAAGGTCATAGAACTGATAGGTGGGAGAGCCAGGATTCCAGCTTGTCTGAAACTGAGATGGAAAGTTTGTGCTCTTAGCCACTCTGGCACGGTTCACCCTAAAAGGTTTCTGTAGCTTAGGAAGCCCTTAGAGAACATTGAATTTGTGATTGAGAAAACTGAGACTCGTAAAGGGGAAGGGACTGGGCAGAGCAGGTAGTGAAGGTGAGAACAGGACCTGTCTGTCCTGAAACCCAGTGGTTCTCCCCACAAAACCGTATAACTTTACATAGTATGAAGGCATCATTTGATGTCTTTCTTTTGGTATTAGGCTCAGGCATCTCTAGCCTCCCTCTGGAGTCCCTCACAGATAGGTCCAGACACACGTCCCATGAGGACCCCTTCAGCGAGGACACCATTGAGAAGTTGATCAAATCCATCCAGGGGTTTTTTCATGGTGAGCTAAAGGTATGCACAAGCAATCTCTACAAGTTACCCAACTTTATTTAGACCTTTATTTCTTTTTATACAAATAATTCATAAGCTGTAAAATTTATATTTATACTTTTGTTTATACTTATAATATACATTTTTATACATTTGTAAATTATTTTATAAAAAATAGAAATATACTTAACACTTCTAATTATATAAATATATAATTTGTATAAATTATATTAACATAATTATACTAATATTCATAAAAATTATTCAGTTCCTATAAAAACAAAGAAAACTATAATAAAAATTAAAAGTTAATCTTTCTTAATTTCACTTTCCTGAGATGACTACTGTTAATATTTTGGTATATATATTTTCTGACTTTTTTTTGTGCATACCAATGAATGTAATTTTTAAAAAGATTTTATTTATTTATTTTAGAGAGAGGGTAAGGTGAGGAGAAAGGCAGGAAGAGAAACATCAGTGTGTGGCTGCCTCCTCGTACCCCACACTGGGGACCATTCCACAGCCCAGGCATGTCCCCTGAACCGGCAACCCTTGGGTTCACAGGCTGGTGCTCAGCCCACTGAGCCACACCAGCTGGGGCCCAATGAATGTAATTACAGAAAAATAAACATCAGAAATGGTGGGAGAAAAAATTTCTAAGTCAATAACTAAAATCTATATTATCCTACTTAAAACAGTATCCCATTGTTTAGGTGAAGCATTCATCCATTCATTTATTCTATGAGAGTATGTAACAAAAGACTATATCTTAACTTAGAGGTAAAGGAAGGCGTTTCTGAGGAAGTAACCCTTGAGCTCAGATCTGAGGAATGAATAGGAGAAAATAGAAGTTAGAATTGGAGTGAGTGTTCCAGAAATAGGAAATGATGTCTTTAACAACCTTGGGGGAGAAAGGAGCAGAGAGTATTGAATGAACTCAAAGAAGCCCGGTACGCTTAAATTGCAGAGTCAGAGGCGTTGGTCATTTGTCAGCGGACACTTAGGCTTCCATATTTTGGCTATCGTGAATAACGCTGAAATGACCACAGGCGTCCAGATACCTCTTTGAGGTCCAAATTTCATTTCCTTCGGATATATATATGCACACGGATGTTTCTGGTTAGTGAAAATTCAGCAAGCGTTACAGTTTCTCTGTGTATAGTACCAATAACATTTTTTTAAAAAGACTTAAAGCCAGAATGTTGGTCTTCACTTTGACTCAGACTGTTCTTTATGCTTCATGTCATAAAGGATCATTTGTAATTAATTATGGGCTTGGATTGCTGCAGTGAACTGGGGGGCTGGGGTGGGGGAGCAGTCCATTTTCTGCCTTAACTGGGGTCTACAGCCAGTCAGGGGAACAGATGAATTAAGAAGGTGATTTTGTCAGAGTAGGACAAATGCCACGATAACAGTACACAAATGGAGTTTATGGATACACTTAGGAAGAGCACCTGACCCTGCTTTGGGAGAAAATGCGTGGTCCAAGTCTTAAAGGAGATACAGATTTTAGCCAGTAAACAAAAAGCAGAAATGGAGAGAATTCAGAAGGTGCAAAGGCCCAGAAGCAAGAAAGGGCAGCCTAGAAGTTAATTTGGCTAAAACACAAAATGCTGCCAGACAAGGTGAGAGATGAATTTGAGGAGATTAGCTGGGGTCACATTGGGAAGGGCCTTGACCTCCACGGGTGCTATTGGAAGATTTTTGATAGGAGTTGCTTGGTCAAATATGCATTTTTAAAAAGATGAGTTCGGCATTAGCCTGGGGACTATATTGGAGAGAGGCAAAACTAGAGCAGAGAAGTCTAGTGTTGCATTGTTATACGTCCAGGTAAGAGAGACTGAGGCCACCAAGTCAGTCGCTTGCTGTGTATTGCTACTTGTTTTCCAGAGAGCTTATACCAGTTTTACACCATCTGTAGGGGCTGGAGGGGAGGGGGAGGCAGAAATTTTCCCAAGATGGTGGAGTTATTGGTCTTTTATTTTCTTCTTTATATGTACTTTTCCCCAAGTTTCAATGACAATTAGATAATGCTTTTATATTTAGCAAAAGAGAATAATACAAAAGGGATTTAATTCTTCAAATCAGAACTTGCATTTTAATATGGAACTGTAAAGACTCAAAACGATGAATGTTTAATGACATCAAGAGAGCTAAAGGTAACAGCACCAGAGGTCAGCTTTAGGATCTTAATCAGACAGCAGTGTACAGGGTGGGTGGGTGAGGAAACAAAGATAGGTGGGGCAGCCAGGAGGGAGCACTTAGAAATCGAGCTGAGAGAGAAGGTGAGGTCATACACCCAGGCTGGGCCACTGGACAGGGAATTTCAATCCTCTGTAATTTATTCATTCTTCATAATAAAGGATTGATATTGGATTGAATGAGATGTCTGATGTTTCAAACATTCTAAGAAACTACGGAAGCTTTCTATGAATAACCAGGTGGGATTATAATGTGTAATTGTGTTTTTATGATTTTTTTCACAAATTCAGAGTGAACATGAAAAGCTGACATTCCTAAGATCTTTGTCTTCTCTCAGCCAAACTTTACCTGATGATGAAACCTCAGAATCATTCATTCACAGCCACATCACAGACATTGTACATATCATCTATGTAAGTTTTGTGACTTTATCACAGATTATTGGGACCATGCGAATTCGGTGACCCGGCTAACAAGTGGTTTCACCTATGTTATCAATTCCCTTATCCTTTTCTCATATCAGTATTGCTGCATGGAGGAGAAATACCCAGGGGTACTCCTTTTCTAGGACAAGCAACTTGGAGTAATATTAAACACTATATTAGAGATGCTGGTTTAGTAGAAAGTGGAGTGAGGATGCCTAAACTGCAAATAATCACTGGCAATAAAAATAAGAGTAACAGACCCTGTCTAACAGTTATCGAGAGCCTCTGGGTATTATGAGTTAGCTCGTTTAGTGCTTACGAGTACTCTAGGAAGTTAACTAGCACTGTCAATCTCAGTTTACGGATGAGGAAATGGGTAATGGGTGGCAAATAGCATCAGCTCAAAGAGCTAGTAAGAGGCAGAGCCAGGCCTCAGGGTCTGGCTCTGGAGAATAAACTCCTAGCCTAGCCACTGTCCTGTTGCCAGACCTGTGGAGCCAAGGAGCAGAGCCCTCTGAACGACCTGCTCCTGTTCCTGCCGGCCACCCGCACCTCTGATCATTTGGCCTGATGTCTTGGCACATTCTCTACTCTCTCTCCTAAAGTGCTTTCCCTCTCGTCACAGGTTGTGGTGAAAGAGGAACCCCTGCACTCTCTCTTCAGCCCTGTGCGCCAGGAGGTCTTTGTCACCATCGCTAGCCTCAGGTGACACCCACATGCCGTCGACACGTGTGCCCTGGTTCTTCACTCAGGGTCAATAGCAAAGTCAACTCACATGTTCCATATTTTTTTTAACTTCTCAAAACTATTTAGATAGAGAACTGGGAGCCAAATCCATGTTTTTATGTAAGAACTTTGATATCATATATGCTACCATTTGTATCTGCAAGACCTGATTGGAATCTTTCTAGTTCAGTTTTGTCCAAAGTATATTCAGTGGAAAGTTACTACCACGTCTGCTTCATGACAGAGTTCCACAGACCAAGACATTTGAAGGGCTGTCTTCTGTTGACCTTTCTTGGAAATTTGTACAGCACATTATCAGATTAAAGGTCTCGAGAAGTCGTGTAATTAAAAGGGTTTTAACTTGGTTTCACCTGCCATTCCCCAAACAGACACACACTCAGCAGAACGCACTTGGAAAAATCATACTTTATTTATTTTTTTAATTATTTATTTATCTTTAGAGGGGAAGGGAAGGCGAGAGGGAGAGAAACATCAATGTATGGTTGCTTCTGGTGCATCCCCTGCTGGGAACTGGCCCCTGCTGGGAACTGGCCTGCAACCCAGGCATGTGCCCTGACTGGGAATTGAACCGAAATCTTTTGGCATACTTTACTATATTAGACTGCAGCAGGGTTCTCTTCTGTGGTCGAACTGGAGAAACGCCTGGAAGGACGTCACTCCTGTGACCTCCTGGGGAGGTGGGGTGGGTAGGGGAGAAGGATGGAGGCTCCTAGCCTGAAACTCTTTCTCTGACCTTTTGTAAGATGTTATCTAAACGCACACTGACAAGCACACCATTTATCTCTTCCATTAGAATGACACACCAGTCTGTCTGCTCTTCCCTTTGGGGTAACTTTAATCTCTGCTTATCAGTGTCAAGTCAAACTCTTCCCAGCTTGCTATTCCCCAACTGTCTTTTCTTAGTTACCAAGATGTCCACTTACTGTTTGGCTCCGAAGATCGAGATGACTTGTTCAGCTTTATCATCAAAAGTATAATCACTCTGCCCTCTGAAAAGACTCTTACCCAGCTGCAGCAAATCATGCCAAGTGGGTCCTACAACTCAGAGGTAACCCACACTTTGTTTCAATAACTTGCCACCCCCCTGGGTCAGCTGCTAATGGCCGATGGAGAGTACATTTGATTTTTTTGGAACTAGCCAAATACCATTTAAGCCAGATCTGGTGAATGGAATAAATGGTTAAATTAAATAGTCCCTTTTTCCTCTGTATTTTGTCTTCTTTTTCCCTTCACTTCTTATTCCCTGGCTTTTGGCTTTAAAATAAGGCATAGCATTCATACACTTAGCAGAATTTAGAGTTACCATGTGCTAAGCATCATGGCAGGCCACAAATACAGCAGAGCACTCTGATCCAGGGAGCTTGCATCCTAGTGCATATAAACCACTGGTAAGTGGGATACCGGGTGGTAATAAGTGCTATGGAAAAATAAAGCAGGGGAAGAGGAGGACAGAGCGTACTGTGGTTGGGAGGAGCAGGGCTCCTTATCTGAGGTGGTCAGGGAAAGCTTTCCTGATGAAGTAACAGTTGGAAAGACAGAGTGTGGGTATCTCTGGAGGAGAACCTTTCAGGCAGAGAGAAGAGGAGGTGCAAAGCCCTTGATTTCTTTCTGCCACGAGTAAACTGGTTGGTAAAGCAATTGCCAAAGGGGACTTTATTGCCCTTTGTTTCAAGATAGCAGAAAGAGTCATAAGTCAAACGTTAAAAGCACTTTGATTCCCCTAAATAATTCCCCAAATGTAGTTAGAATCAGTTAACTGTATTCCCGGTAGTGTTGAGATGTCCATGTAATATGAATATATATCGTTTCACAAACTGCCTACATTAAGTCAAGTCTCAAGACAGTGAGGAGAACCTTAAAAGGATGCAGTGTCGGGGAACTTCATGTAAGTGAAGGGCGGGCATCACTCATCCCTGTGCCTTTTCAGTGTCTCTACAGGCAGACGTTCCAGATGTTCTCTGAGATGCTCCAGAGTTTGGTGGTAAAAGACCCCTACTTGGAAAATTTTGACATTATTTTTAAGGTAAACAGGATATCAAGGGAGAATGGGAAACGTTACGTTAACTGGTGAAAGGGGAAGAAGAAAATATGGCGGGATTAAGTTTTAAGAGATAGGGTAGTAGTTAAGAGTATCAGCTCTCCGTTTTGATTCTGACTTGGATTCAAATTCTGAGTCTCTGCCATTCATGGATTATATATTCAGCAAGCAATGTTACTTTTCAGAGTCTCATTCTTCACCTTTAAATTGAGATAATAATTATTGCATTTAATACATGGCCTTCAATAAGTGGTTTAAGTGGTTGCTGTAATTAATTCCTTAAATTATTATTCTTTGCTACTATGAAAAGGTTTCCACTAGTGGCAAGAGAGCAGAGTCAGCCTCATGAATGAGTAACTAGGCAGCCATCTGCCAGGTGAGATTTCAAGGTTGTTAATCCCCACCTGTACCAGTCCTAGCATGAGCCATTCCCTCGCTAGGAATTTATTCATTGGAATGCATTCACTGCAGTTCAAGCATCTTGCTCTCTTGGCCCTTTTCAAGATGCAGATACCCTGGAAAGGAGTAACCCTTTAAACTGTTATTAATCATTTGTGCCTAAATGCAGATGGACATTTATCTTTGCCACTATCAACCTTAACATTATTTTTCATTTCTCTTATTTTGTATATCAGCACTCCAGCCAGATTGGGTTTCTCTGCTTTGTCCACTTGTGCCATGTACTTCCCTGCCTTGGCAGTTTAGCTCCAGTCATTTCTTCTTTATGAAGCTCCTATTGATGGATATTATCTTCTTCGTGAATCCTTCCCTGACTATTGCAAGCAGATGCAATTTCCCCCACACTCAGAGTTCTTTAATAGCATGTCATTAGTTTCCTTTCTTTCCAAAGCAGGTCTCAGAAAGCTGAAAACACACAGAAGAATAGAATAAATAATTGAAAGTGGGATGAAGGGAAAATAAGTCTAGAAAATAAGCCCCTATAGAAGCTGGAGCACCTTATCCCCTACCAGGGGTGTCCAACCTTTTGGCGCCTCTGGGCCACTCTGGAAGAAGAGAATTTGTCTTGGGCCACACATTAAATGCATTGTGACATGTAATCACAAAAATAATTTCATAATGTTTTAAGTAAATTTATGATTTTATGTTGGGCAGCATTGATAGCCACCCCAAGGCATGTGCGGCCCATGGGCCACAAGGTTGGATGCCCCGGCAGGCCTGTGCCTCGTTTGTCATCCTGCCACTTTGCTTTCCAACCAAAACTAGTTTATCATTCAGGGAAATATTTTTAGACATAGTAGTGACATGTGGAACTTCTCTCTGCACATTTTCTTCCCATCAGAATAAAGGTGCTGACCCAGATCTTCCTGATAAATCATGCAGACTCGCTTCATTTTCACAGCACCTGGACCCTTGGTTACAGTCAGTTAAAGACCATGAGCGGGAACGAGCTGCAGCCTGCATGGCCCAAGTTCTGAAGTGCTTATATAGACATCTCAACGTGAGGGTAAGCAACCCTACGGGGGCCAAGGGGGGAGGCTCCAACGCCATCCTATTACTGTCCATTTCCCCTCCTATTTACGACTCCCAGACGGGTGACTCCCTGGTGCTCCCATAATGTCATGGCACAGCATTAATCACATATCTACCCCTCTCCTAAAATTCAAGTAGCTTGAGGCCAGGTACTGTGTTTGTTAGTCTTGCACCCTCATTGTTTAGAGTAGGAGCTAGAACATAACAATATAATAAGTGGTTTTGAATGAGTAAATAAATGTAGTCTAAAAATATCTGAGGGCCCACAGAGGTAGCCACTGTCGCCATTTTTATTTATTCTCTCTGAATTGTTTTTGTGCATGGGTGTGTCGGGGCAGGGACTTCTACTTCCATTCCTTCCCGTCTGTTCTCTATATGTAGCCAGAGTAATGTCCTTAAAACCCACGTCACTCTTTTGAGCCAATAATTTCCAGCTGTTTTTAGAATACAAGGTCTTGTATGATTTAGCTACTGTCTGCCCATCTATACACCCCGACTTACGCCAGCCACACTGACCTCCTTTACATCGTTCACCCATATAGAGCTCTTCCTGCCTCATGGGTTTGCACTGGCTACTTCCTCTGCTTGGAATGACCTTCCCCAACTCTTCACATAGCTAACCTTCTCAATCTTGAGTGCTCAGTTTAAATGTTCCCACTTCAAAAAGGCCTTTGCTTACAAGTAGATCTACCCTTGCTCTCTATCTCATGACTCTCTTTCCTTCCTATGGCTTCAAAGAATCAAAGGTTATCTTGCTTGATTATTTTCTTATTGATTTATGGTCTATTTCCCTCTAATAGACTATAAATTTCACCAGTGATCATGTTTGTCTTGTTTACCACAGCATCCCCAATGTCTAGCACAGAACATGCTACATAGTAGGTGCTCAGTTAAATATTTGTTGAATAAATGTAGGTCATCTCATGTCCCTTCTCTGCTCAGAACCATCCAATGGCTTCCCAGCTCGCACAGAATAAAATCCCAAATCCTTACAATTTTCTCTAAGTTGCTGTGTGATCTGGCCCCATCCTCATCTGCCTCCCATTCTTTGGCTCTTGTTTCCTTTGCCCCAGCCAACCTAGCCTGCGTGTTCCTCAGAAACCCCCCACACCTCCCCTTCTCTTTACATTCGCTCTTCTCTCTGCCTGGAATGCTTTTCTCCCAGGTTTGCACGTGGCTTAGTCCCTTGTTTTAACATTAGTGAGGTCCTCTCTGACCATCCTGAAATAGCAATTCTTATCCTTTTTCTAGATTTTTCTTCATCATCTCATATATCACCGTTTGATACATATACTTTATTTATTCCTTCATGTTCCTCCAACTAGAATATCACCTCCATAATCAGGGATATGATCTTTTGTTAACTGCTTATATTGCCAGTGCCAATCATAGTGCTTTAGTCATAAGTGCCATAGTCATAACCAGTTTCTGGCTTGTGACTGACCAGGATTTGCTGGTTGGCTGAATGAGTCAAGGCTGTCAGTGAATGAACACAGCTTTGTGTATATGATGCTGCGTTCACTGTAAATAGGTTGTGGAGGCTATTGTTCACGGTATCTTGGTATATTTTTCCAAAGAGCTATAGAAGAAGTTTCTTTCTTCCTCAGTCCTACTAGGAACAGTTGTGCTTTCTCTACATGGCTTTTTGCTTCTTAAGGGCGATTTGAATTACATTATATGGGACATCATATGTATCTCTGCATCAGCCCTGAGAAAATTCAAAGCCTAGCTCTGTGGCCTAGCTCCACAGCTTATCTCAAGCAAATGATGACTATGTATCCTGTATGCTAAAAAATTCTTACCTTCATTTTTTATTTTATCCTATTTTCTTCACTATTTATTTTAACTTACATTTCTTTTGTTGGTATGGTTTTTGCCAGCTACTTTACTTTTTTTTCCATAGTAATGCAAAATATCAATAAGTACATGCTTTAGAGATTTTATTTGTTTACTTGTAGAGAGAAGGGAAGCGTGAGAGAAAGAAAGGAAGAGAAACATCCATCAGTTGCCTCTCACACAACCCCCACTGGGGACCTGGCCCACAGTCTGTACATGTGCCCTGACCGGGAATTGAACTGGTGACCCCTTGTTTTGCAGGCTGGCACTCAGTCTACTGAGACACACCAGCCAGGGTTCAATAAGTAAATTTTTAAAATAGTGCTAAACAGCACACCTCAACTTTGTATCCAACCTTTTTACTTAGAAGACTAGCATTTTCCTGTATTATTATACATTTCTAAGATACTTGATTCCTAATAATTATATTCATAGGGTGGCTAACCCATATTTCTCTTTACTATTGGACAATTATTTTCAATGTGGGGACTTTAAAAACAGTGCTAGAATGAACATATTTATTTACAAATTCTTTCATTTTTTAGATTGTTTATTTAGGTTAGAGGTTGCTGTGTTTGCTATCATTTGCTGGATATAGTGTATCCACACATGTTAAATGTTAATCATAATGAGACCCAAGGGATCAGTGAGAGACTCTTGCACTTTTCTTGAATAGGTGGTGAAAGTGGAATCACTTCTCGATAACTTAAACCTAAGGTACTAAATTGTTTGGTGAATACACCTGTATTCTAATGGCATTTTCCTTTTTCTATCTAACTAGTTTCCACTGCGCTTCCAGAGACTTGGACGCCTAGTGGCTCAGATGGCTCTACTGTGTGCGGACCCACTGAAAGAGGTGGCGGAGGAGGCTGCAGAGGGCACGCACTACCTGCTGCGCATCACCTTGCGGCTGAAGTGTGAGGCGCTGCTGAAGGCAGCCGAGCCCTGCATAACACAAGCACAACACAAGCACCCATCCTCCTGCACCCTCACTCTCCACATCCCAGAAAAACGTTTTTACAGTAGTTTATAATGAGAAAAGTACCTAGTCCATAGGCAGAGATGAAGCAACACTGATTTAATAATTAGAATCATAACACTGGATCCAGCCTATCAGTGTCAGCCATGTAGATGGCCATGGAGTCAAGAGTATCTACACATGTAGTGATTAGCTTGGTCAGAAGCGGAGCAGGTTCTTGCTATCATTCAGGCCTTTGTTCGTTTATTTATCTCTTAAATGCTTACTGAGTACTTACTTGGGATGCAACAGGAACCAGAACACAAGGGCCCAGTCCTTACATAACAGTCTAGTGGGTGAGTCAGACAATCAAAGAATCAAGAAATAACTCTGTTGTTATAAATAAAGATAACTGCCATGAAGAGAAATTGCAGGGGCTCTGAATAAGAATCACATCTAGTGTGGGGTTCAGAGAAGGCCTCTCTGAGGATAATCTGAAAAATAAAGAACATTAGCCACATGAAAAGGTAAGAAGAGCATACCAGGCAGAGGGAACAGCATGAGAAAGGGCTTTTAGCAGGTATGATGAGCTCAAGGAGTTTGAGAAATAAAAAGAGGGACCTCAGAGGATCCCTTACCAGGCATCGTCCCCAGTGCTCGGGTCTCAGTCCACTCTGTCCCCACGAGGTTGTTGCCTGTGCTCACTCCTCTCAGGACAGGGAAGCTCCATGCTTCCCAAAGCAGCACTGTGACCTCTGGGCAGCTCCAAGGGTGAGAACTGTCTACCGAGATATACAGTCAAGGAAATATAGCTGATTATTTTTTCAACAAATATTTGTGAAGAACTTATGGTTCTTGAGCGCACTGGTGAACAAAACTGATAAGGTCCCTTCTTCCGAAAGCTCATTTTCTAGTTGAAGAGGCAGTATCTTCATCCAAGGGCTCAGAGACTTCCTATACATAAATTTCTAGAAAAACAAGGCACAGCAAGGGAGTATTGGCAGACTCAGTAATCAGCAAAACTGTACGTGTAAAAAGTTCTGATATCAGAATTATCAGATACAGTACAGCATTGTTCAGTTTTCTGTGGGGACCTGAGTTTCATCAGGAGTCCCCTCAAAAGTCCTCCCATGGGGAAGGGTTTAGAATGTCTTGGTTGTGCTTCCAAATCACTCAAAAGCTCTGCCTTCACGAAAAGCTCTTTTTCTTTCATCTCTTCTTATATTTTGTCCTACAGCAGAGGGGAAGCAAATCAGCCTTCAGATTAACACACACTCCTTCCCCCAGGCATTTTTATTCAAGTGAAAAAGACAAGAAGAGTTAGATCTTGGGATTCACTTCAACCTGGAAATCAGCCAGACTTACAAAATCAAGAAAAAGGAAATGAGCCAGAAAATATCAGTATTTAATGTTTTCTTCTCAGATATCACTGAGGACAAGAAAAATCACCGAAGCTTGAGAAGAGCAATGAAAAAATGTCAAGAACTCCTAGAATGCTACAGTATTCAATGTTTTTACAGTTGTCCCTTCAGAATCGGCCAGGTAATCAGAATGGCAAAAATTATTAAGACAGACAACTTGAAATATTAGAGAGGATGTAAAACAACCAGAAGTCTCATACATTTGTTTATGGGAATGTAAAATGGTAAAAACACTTTGGCGAAAGTTCCGGTCATTTATTATATGGGGTCAGTGTCACTGTGGACAGTTTCTTCAGACAAGCTCTGCCCCAACTTTTAAAAAAAGATTTTATTTGTTTTTAGAGGGAGAGGAAGGGAAGGAGAAAAACATTGATTAGCCACCTCTTGTATGTGCCCTCGCCAGGGACTGAACTCACAACCCAGGCATGTGCCCCACTGGGGAATTGAACTGGCAGTGTTTTGCTTTGCTGGACAATGCCCAACTGACTGAGCCATGCCAGTTAGGGCTACTCCCATTTTTTAAATTATTATTTTAGGATCCTGGCCAATGTGGCTGGGTTGGAGTGTCTTCCTGTAACCAAAGGTTGCGGGTTCGATTCCCAGTCAGGGCACATGCCTAGGTTGCAGATTCACCCCAATCCAGGCACATGAGAGGCAACTGATCATGTTGCCTCCGGAGAGGCAACTGATCAATGCTTCTCTCGTGCATTGATATTTTCTCTCCCTGTCTCTCCAAAAGCAGTGAAAAAAGTGTCCTCAAGTGAGGTTAAAAAAATGTTTTATTTTAGAGAGCAGAAGGGAGAGAGAGAAATGTGCATTCCTAGGTTGCTTCTTGTATGTGCCTTGCCCAGGGATCAAACCCACAACCTTAGTGTGTCCGGACAGTGCTCTAGCCAACTGAGCTACCCAACCAGGACAAGGTCTATTCCCATTAAAAGCCATACACTTTATAATTGATGCGCTTATTCACTATTCACCCAATATTTAAGCATCTACCAAGTACCAGACACTATGTTAGGGGGTTGGGGCAAAAAGAAAACCTATGGATCTTACTCATGTAGGGTCAAAGGTATCAGGTAATTTAGATTCTCTGCGCATCAGTTTCCTCATCTGTACAAGGGGGACCTGTAAAAATTGGAATAACTCAAATGCTGCAACAGTTAAATGAGATGCTTATAAGGAAAATGCTTTGCTTAGCCTGTCACACTGCAAGTGCCCCGTCATTTATGCCTATTATAAACATGGGAAGGACCTTAAACACTGACAAGTGCAACGAGAAGCAGAGTGACACATTCTCTTAATGCATTGCCTCCAGACAAGGTATTTCAGATGTGCCTCAGACCCTCTCAGCTGAATAGCAGTAGGGCCTCTCTGTTAGTTCTATTCCCGTAAAGGTGTGACTTTCTCAGTAGTAAAGCTTCTTCCTAAAAGTCAGATCTATAAAAGGCCATGCCCAGTCCCCGCAGCGGATGTTAGGGTAGCTTCCACTATTTCACTTTTATAAACAAAACCAAAGGAAGCAGCACTGTATATATTTAAATACTTAACTGATTGTTAACTCAGAATTGATTCCCTGTTCAGGGCTGTATCATACCATATATCTTGGAAGTTCATTTTTCCTAAATCATTTCAGATCTTCGAAGTTTTTCTCGATTCAAATGAGCTCTGCCAGTTTGTTCTGACTGTATTGGATGGCCTCAAAAATCTGAACCATCAGTGTACCCAGCAATCGGCAGGAGAATTGCTGATATCATTGGTGAAAAATGCGAAGTCCCGATTTGAAAAGGTGAACAGCTCAGCGGCCATGTCCTGGGTTTGAACTATCAGCAATATCTCTCCCTCTCGCAGCTGCTGGGGGCTCTTCTGCTGCTTCTGTTCAGCCGAGAACAACTGCTGAGGCAGATCGGGGTCAAGGCCTTAGTCCATTCGCTCAGTGTTGAACATGCATCTCTATTCAACAAGTATAAATAACCACTATCTGTGCAACTAGGGAGGGCAGTTTTTAAAAATATAAGGTGTAGTGCAAATTTTCCAGAAGAGTATTGTTTTTCTAGGAAGATAAGTTAACACATGTGAGAATGGTAACTTCAGTTTAGATCCTCATCCAGGTTAATTAACGGTGTCAAACTTTTAAAAAGCCATCAGTGATCCTGGAAGGGGGCTGACATAGTAAGAATAAAATCAAGGGAATTTGTTTAAATGTATCTAAAATTAATAAATACATCAAGAAATATAATATTGCTTAGAAATATGGAAGGACACACTGGAAGCGATAAGAGTAGTTGTCTTAGGAGAGCAGACCTGGGGAATAGCCGAGAGAGAGAGCCTTGAAATACCACTGGAACTTTAAAATTGTGTGTACTTTGATAAAAAGAATAAGCTGTTTATAAATTATAAAAATTCATTTTAAGCTATTAAAATAGCAAAGTTGAGAAAGAACCATATGAGAAGACAGTGAGAGGAACACGTTATCAGCCGGGTGCTTTCAGCTGTTCAGGAACAACAACGGTGAGAAGCTTAGACCAAGGGTTTGCGGTCTCATATAACAAGTTCGGAAGTGGAGTATGTTTTCTGGGACTGCTTGGCAACTTAGCAGTGTTATCAGAGAGACCAGGACTTTTGCATCTTCCCACTTTGCCTGTTCACATAGCCTTAAGGTACTTGCCACAGTTTCAGACTTTATGACCAAACAAGACACCCAGCAAAGAAGAAAGATGTTTTCCTTTTGTCCCGTTAGTTAAAGAGAAAAATCTTTCCCAAGAGGCCCCAGTAGGTTTTCCTTCATGTTTCACTGGCCAGAATTATATCACATGCCATCCTTAAACCAGTTTCCGGCAGCTGGTGATGATGACAGTTATTTTATATTAGATTGTTGAGGCCTGCTGCCTGAGACGCTGACATTTACCCAGAGCCCTGAAGTCAGGAGTCGATGAGCAGGAAGAGAAGTTCAAGCAGAGAAATGGCCCAGAGACCAATGGCAGGTGTGACTCCTCTGCCAATTTCAGAGTCAAAGTGAAAAAAAATCCAGCTTCCTTGCAACACAAATTTAGTACTTTGTCTTATTGTAAATCAATTCATAATCATTGAGGAAAAAATTAGAAAAACATACAGGCAAAAAGTTAATATCATTCAAAGACACATTATTGACATCTTTGTATATATGTTCTTCCAAATCTTTTCATGTGCTCATGCATCCATTCAGCTGTATTTTAAGTGGTTTTGATCATAAACTTTTTTAAAATCCTGATTTTTAAAAAATATTTTATTTATCTATTTTTAGAGATTGGGGAGGAGAGAGAAAGAAAGGGAGAGAAACACTGATCAGTTACCTCACACATACACCCCAACCAGGGATGGGGCCTGTAATCCAGATGTGCCCTGACCTGGAATCGAACCAGAGACCTTTTGCCTTTTGGGACCAACTGAGCCACACCAGTCAGGGCAACAATTCTGTTTGGAAAGTGAACCCCAGGACCTTTCAGAAATAACCACAATATCCTCAGTGACCTTATCATTGTGCCACAGGATTAAGGTCTTAGTGATTCTTTTCCCTCTTCAGGTGCCAGAAATTATGGGAGTTGTCTGTGCCCAGCTATCCAGGATCAGCGAGCCTGAAGTCCGCCAACAAGTCGTAACTACTGTGAGTTTGTTTATCTCCATGCCCAAGTACACAGATACAGTGATCAGCCACCTTCTTTGTCATCCAGTACCATATGACAGGTAACAGAACCTGGTACAGCATCTGGATTAACTTTGTGACACACCTCTGAGTATTGTAGAACATAGCTGCCCTCAAAAATCTAATGATGGTCTGCCCTGGCTGGTGTGGTTCATAAGCTGGAGCATTGTCCTGTACACACCTGAAGGTTGGGGGTTCAATTCCCAGTCAGGACACATATCCCTAGTTTGCAGGTTTAATCCCTGGTTGGGATATATATGGGAGGCAGCCGATCGATGTTTCTCTCTCATATCTATATTTCTGTGTCTCTGTCCCCCTTCTTCTCTCTCTAAAATCAATGAACATATTTTTTAAAAAATCTAATAGCATTCTTATAGTGGAGATGATGTGTATGAACAGATGCGTGCAATATAAATCAGAATATAATGCATCAACATAAGGAAATGATTCAACAAATCCAAAATGGAGACCATTTTGCAAGACAGTCAGATTGAGCTCTTCCGAGAAGCTAATGCCGGGAGAGAACGAACTGTGCCGCGGGCGCTGTTCCGGGTGGAAGGGCAGAGGCACAGCCAAATGCAGCCTGTGACTTTGACTGGATTCTGGATGAAAAACAAAAGCCATGATAAAACATTTTGAGAAAATTTAAATAGACTCTGTGCTAGGTTCTTAAATTAATGTAATTTTCCTAGGTGTGAAAGGATAATATGATTATACAGTAGAATGTCCTTATTTTAGCTGATAGATACTGAAGTATTTGGGGGTGAACACCATGATGTCTGCAACACACCTGAGAAAGATTTAGACAGAAAGTGAATATATACATAAGAAAGAACAGATTCTCAGAGAGGGAAAAAACAAGATGCTTTTGTTTTTTGTTTTTTTAGATTAGCGGTTTTCATAGGTGGAGGCACCCAGTTAAGTCCCAGGAGATGCCTTATGGGGAAGGCGGTGAGGAGTTAGGAGAGGACTCCAGGTGGCCCCACCCCAGTTTAACCATCGAGGCACCTCTTCCAAGTGCTTTGTACAGGGTGGGGCAAAAGTGGGTTTACAGTTTTAAGAACATGAAACGGCCCTGGCTGGTGTAGCTCAGTGGATTGAGCGCGGGCCTGCGAACCAGAGTATTGCAGTTCGATTCCCAGTCAGGGCACATGCCTGGGTTGCAGGCCAGTTCCCAGGAGGGGACACAGGAGAGGCAACCATACATTGATATTTCTCTCCCTCTCTCCTTCCCTTCCCCTCTAAAAATAAATAAATAAAATCTTAAAAAAAAAAACCACGAAAGAGTTTATTCTCGTATTCTCATTAATTACTATATTATTTTCCACATGAATAACTAAATCTACTTTTGCCTCACCCTGTATATTGTAGTTCTGGCTAATTATTGTATTTGAAGACTTTCTATGAATGGTTCTCACATAATGCCTTGGTGTAGTACTGATAAACTTATACGTGCTGCCACTAAATCAAATAAAGGAGGGCTTTTACTCTAGAGGAAAAAAGGAGTTCCTACACATTTTTTAAAGCCTTATTTCATTCTCATAGGAGAGGGAGGGGAAGGGAAGCAGAGAGAGAAACACCTATGTGAGAAAGAAACACTGACCGGGTACCTCCCACATGTGCCCCGACAGAGGGTTGAACTCGCACCCTGGGCACGTGCCCTGATCGGAAATTGAGCCGGTGGCCCTTCAGTTACTGGACCGCGCTCCAACCAACTGAGCCATGCCGGCCAGGGCCATACAGATTTTTTTAAAAGTATTCTTACTTTTGCATATTGCTCTCGTGTATTATTTAAAAATCTTTACTACTCACTTCAGCTTAACTATACTTGATTCTTGTATAAAATATATGACAGTGCAATATATTAAATATATTTAATTATTTTAAGTGCAATTTAATTTTTTTAATTTTATTAATTTTATTAGAGAGAGGGGAAGGGAGGGAGAGAGAGAGAAACATCGATGTGCAAGAGATATATCAAACAGTTGCCTCTTGAACACCCCCACCTGGGGATCCTGCCCAAAACCCAGCCCTGTGCCCTGACCCAGAATCAAACCAGTGACCTTTTGGTTTGCAAGCTGGTGCTGTGCACCTAAGCCACACCAGCCAAGGCTTAAGTGCAATTTTAGCATCATTTTATTGTTTCTATTTGTTCTGGCTCTTGGAAGACTTTGAGAATGAACTATTGCTTTAGATCATATAAGAATGTAGAATGTGTTAGAAATAGAAATGACTTAGGAAACTTCATTATGATTACATTTTTGGCCATTTACCTGAAGTCCATTAGTTTGTTTCCACATAGGTCAGGGTGATTATTCTTAGGAGTCTGTTCAAAGCATCTGCTGTGTGCAAGGTGCTGTCAGGCCCTGGGGGAGTAATGGACAGCGTGTGGGCCCTGACCTCAAGCAGCACACGGTCTGTCTGCTAGCAGGCCTAGGGGGAGAGGGGAGGATGCCAACGCAAGACAAAAGAGTTCTGTGGAGGTCCTAGGAGGGGACTTAATTAGATGAAGGATCGGAAAAGCCTTTCTGAAAGAAGGGCTATTCCTAGTTGAGTTTTTTTTATTTTATTTATTGGGTTTTTTTTTAGAAAGAGAGACATTGATTTGTTGTTCTACTTATTTATGCATTTCATTGGTTGATTCTTTCATGTGCTCTGACTTGGGAGCAAAACCACAACCTTGATGTATAAGGAAGATTCTCTAACAAACTGAGCTACCTGCAGGGGCCTAGCTGAGTTTTTAGTGTGAATTAGCCAAGTAAACAGAAGAGGCATTCTGGACAGGAGTAGCAAAAATAAACATTAGGAAAATATTAAACAGTTTAATGAATGCTCACTCCCAAATGAAGGGCAAACAAAAACCACATCACATCTACAGAGTCAGTATCCCTGGAAGTGAGCCTGTCCCACATTTTTAACAAACTCTCCAGGTGGTTCTTTTCACCTAAACTTGGTGAAGGCTTGCAGGCCTGTGTGTGTCTTCCTAATTCAGATGCATTCCCAACATGCTTACAAATGCACAGAACCAAAAGCATTCTGAAACACTTCTTTCGCAATACGTGCCTTCTCAAGTACTTCATTTACTCCCTCAGGAATTCACAGAAAAAAATATCAAGAGTAAATAAATATAGGAATTTCCCAGTTTCATCCCAGAATGAATGTTAGCAGTCTCCAAGGTGCTTCCCCAGCCATGAGCCTTTTCAGTGTCCCACGTTGCCTCCAGCCTTCCTCCCTTTGGGAACTTTGTTTTATTCACAGATTAAAATTACCAAAGTAGGGAGTGAAATGCTGGAATAGCCTTCAAGCCTCTCAATTTTTAGAATGGTTCTGAGCAGGCAGCTAGAAAAATACACTTTAAAAAAGCACTGAGTCTAGCCCACAAAGGTACCTAGGTAGGCTGAAAATAAAAGGACAGATAAAAAGCATGAGTGACTCCCAATCTTCTCCTCCGCTGTGAAGCTCCCTCACAATGTTTGCATAACTCAGGCCCTACCTTTGAGTCAGTGGTAGAAGAGAAGTTACTACAAGCCGGCTTTAAGAAGAGATCTTCTAAGGAGGATCAAGCTTCATTTCATGGCTTCATCTTAGCTGAAATTAGAGGACCATCTATTAGACTGAGTAAGTGTGCTTTTGAATGCGTTCTGTGAGCCCGGCATTGTGCTAGGCCCTGAAGGATTCACAGAAGAAAAACCAGGTGTATCCCCTGCCACCAGAGGGAACAGGCAGAATTCAAACAGAGAACTGACGATAGCACATGTAAGGCTGAGACAACCTCTATAAAGAACAAATTTTTTAAGTGTTAGGGGAACCCTCACTGGACGACATGATGAAGAAGCAGCAAAGGCTTCACAGAGGACATGACACTGGGTCTGGACCTGGAAGGATTTTGATGGGCAGAGGGGAGTTTTGGAAAGGGCCTTTGGGTTTCAGGAAATGGCAAAAGAGGTATAGGGTTTTCAGAGTTCATTGTTCATTTGGTAAAGGAGACTGGTTGGGGGCAGCTGGAGCACAAGGTGTGTGATAGGAAGACTGTGAGACTGAGAAGGGAGTTGAGGGCCAGTTTGAGAGTGGACTTGAAGTCCGTGCTGAGGCAATGGGAACTGCAGTCTATCAAACCTTGGGGGTTACTGTTCGAAACCAGATGGTAGGGTTTTTTGCCACCCTGAAGAACTAAACAGCAGAAAACCTCCTGTAGATTAGATTCCAAACAGACTCTGAAAAGGCTGTGGTCCCGATAGGCCCAGGAGAAGCCATTCCCCTGAAGCTTCTTCCTCTGGGATTTCTAGGGACCTGGCTGAAGTGTGGAGAACTCTGAAGGTGGAGCCGCCCAGCGCAACCCTGATTCTGTCGAGGCTCCTGAGGAAGCTGCAGAAATGCCATGACGTGCCCACCCAGGGGAAGATGGCCTATGTGGCTGTTTCCGTAAGCCCTTGCGCGCTGCCCCTCCAGCCCCAGCCCGCCACGCTGCCCACTGGGGCGACTGGCCCAGCACCCTCCCTGGAGAGCGTTCCTGTCCGCGCCCCTCACAGTTGGCTTCTGCCATCCATTCATACGTCTCCAAGTCTCTACCGACGGACTGACGTGGAGGGGCTGGGGAGAGGGAAGGCATCAGTGTGGTTTAATATGCTTTCAACGTTCCTTCACTCATCCTTGGAAAAAGGCATATCATCATATTTAAGCGTAGTACAACTTGTGAAAAACCTTTTTCAACTAAGACAGAAGAACACAGAAGAAAAGTAAAGGTCCTGCATGAGCAGAGGCCTGCAGACCTTTTCTGTAAAGGACAGACGGTAAATATTTAAATAATGGCTGTATACTGTCTCCCTAAAAATGAGCTTTTTAGAAGTGTCTATACAAATACGGACTTTTGTATATGTATTTCATATATTTCCCCCTTTAGGTAGCCTTTATTTTTTAAAGTAATTTTAGGTTCACAGCAAAGCCGAGCAGAAAGCACAGCCTCCCAGTGTGCTCCCCACCCCTGAGCCTGCAGCCTCCCCACTGTCAACGTGTAGTTTTTTTTTTAAAGATTTTATTTATTTGTTTTTAGAGAGAGAAGGGGAGGGAGGAAGCATGGGAAAGAAACATCTATGTGCAAGAGATACAGCAATAGATTGACACACCTCCAACTGGGGACCTGGCTTACAACCCAGGCGTGTGTCCTGACTGGGAATTGGACCGGCGCCCTGTCAGTTTGCTGGCTGACACTCAATCCACTGAGCCGCACCAGCCAGGGCTCAACATGTACTACTTTTACTTTACTTTCTTCCCTACCATTTATGGTTCAGTTTTCCCTGGCCTAAGTTATCATCACACTTTTTTTTTAGCTTCCAAAAACATTTTGACATCGGTAGTCTACTATTGTCTCCTCTCTTATTCTGGTTCTTAGGGATTATGCCTTTTTTTAAATCCCTGTAATGTCATTTTAGTACAGTTTTAGGAGTTAGGACAGATAAAGCTATTTCATTATGTTAGTCTATAAAGCTTTTCTCTATATATACATATAGGACCATAGTACATATATTGTGTGATGACCTGTTGTTTTTTATTTAACAATATATGAATTACTTTCAATATCAGTATATGAGGCTCTTTGTTATTCTTTTCATGGCTGCATAGTAATTTATTTTTAATTAACTTTTAAGAATAGGTAATGCATGGTATAGAACTACTTATTTTATTACCAAGTTTCATATTGGTGAACAGTTTGATAATTTTCAAGCTTTTGCCATTAAAACAGAGATATTAATCTTATGGACGTAAACTTTGGTATACTGTACATACCCAATTTTTTCTTAGGATAAAGTCCACTGAAGGGGAATTTCTAGGTCAAAGGTGGGCTCGTTAAAACTTTAGGTGATGTTCCCAGATGTGCCTCTGGCACATTGCCCCCTACCAGCCACGTGTGAGAGCGCCCATCTACCCACACTCTCACCACACTGGGCTTCACCGGTCCTTTCACCGCTGCCTGGAGAATAGGTGAAGAGGAACATGTTTTAGTTATAATTTCATTATTGGCGAGGTGGAACATTTGTGTGTTTTTTAATCGGCTCTTTAGAATTCTTCTTTTGTGACTTGTCTGTGTCCTGTATTCCAGTGCATCTCAGCTGCAATGTGCACACAAACCACGTCGTGTAGAGAGCTAACTGAAACGCAGGCTCTGCTGCAGACGATCCAGGACGGGGCTCTGCATGCTCCCTTTCTAACCAGCTCCCGGTTGATGCCGGTGCTACTGGTGTGCGGCCCACACGTTGAGCAGCAAGCCCTGCCATTTTTTCTCACTGATGTGTGAGAGAATTTTATGTATTAAGGGTATGACATTGATGCAAATACTTTCCCAGGTTATTTGTATTCTAACTTTGCATATGATGCATTTTGCCTGGCTTTTTATTTGTATGCGGTCAAATATGTTAATAATTTCCTTTATAGCTTACTTCTGGATTCCAGGGCTCCCCCTCACTCTTTGGTAACTTTGAATGACCACTTCTCTTCTGTTCCTTTTCCCTCACTTTCATGTCCCTGCCCTGAGTACCCCTACCATCCTGCTGTTGGGGTAGTAGAACCAGAAAGCATGTTCTGGCACAAGTAGAAGTAGAGCAACAGGAAGAATCAAGGCTGGCACCTTCAGCGCCGTTCTGTGCCTTTTCTCCCACAGGCCACAGATGCCCTTTATGAAATATTTATGGGAAACACACTCCCAGAAGCTACATTTGAACTCTTTCCTCAGCTTCTCGTGACACTGCTCATCCAGATTCACCACAGCATCGACCTCACCATGTCCGATGTCGCCATCCCAACTGGCCTGTATGCAGAACAGGAAATGTCTTCCAAGGTCACCCCTCTGTGGTACTACTGCCCATTGTGATTTTGCTGACCCTAACTAACACTTACTAAGCACTGGGCACTGTAGTGGACACAAGGATGGCCAAGATGTGGTCTCTACCATGGGAGAGCTTACAGTCTGCTACTCTCATGAGATGTCAAGATGAAATGCCCAGGGATTGTTCTGGTTCTCATTGGTTGTCCTTGGTTTTATTGGTGCCAAGGTGAACTAGGTTATCTGGGTCCAGTTGCTCTGCAAAATAACGTGCGACATCATGCCAGCCTTTTTTGAAAAATCAAGTAGAGACAGAGACCAGCAAAACAGCCTTACACCCACCTCCAAAACCATAGAGATCTACCACTTAACGATTCCTCATTTCTGCTTTATTGCATAGAGAGGTATTTTTAGTTCCCCATTAGGGCATCAGTAGATATTTCTTAATGTTTCTGTGACACATGGATTTCTTTCAAAGGAAGTGCTATGATACAGACTACTTAAGAACACCTGACTTGGAGTCAGGAAAACTGAATTCTAATTCCCATTTTTTTTTTAACTAGTGGTGTATCATGGGCAAATCTTTCTGTTGTTCTCTGCCTCGATGTCCTCATCTGTAAATGCAGTCAGGCTGTGTACTCTGCCAGGACCCTTTCAGCTTTCAGGTTCTCTCGTGTTATGTCTAAGACACTAGTTCAATAAGTAGTTTTAAAAAGTAGCAGGGGTAGATTTTATGGATTATCAATAAATGGTGTCTAAGTAAACTTTTAAAAAAAGCAGTGGGTATCAGTTTAGCATCCCATATCATTTGTTTTATCATATTTCTTTCTGAATCCCAGGGAAACAAAATCTAGTTAGGTTTCTTTATGTCTGTGATTTGTGCGAGGGGCCTTTCAATTATTAGAACATTCAAAGTCTTTTGGAAAATCTAGAAAGAAGAGAATTACAGTCTAGCAGCTATCAATACATGGCCCTTCGCAGTAAGGGCGGGGCCATCGTGTGCTGGTTGAGTTGTCGGGACCTGTTCCGTTCACTTACTCTGTTTTTGTCTGATTTAGCTTTGCCATACAGGCTACAAAGACTCTCCTCTTCAGAACATTGTGCTTGCAGGAATTCAGCATCATGGAGAAGAATAAAGGGTGGACCCTCCTGGCAGGAAAAGATTGCCATCTTCAGGGAGTGTCTCTCCTGGCCAAGTAAGGCTTCCATGACAGGCATGCCTGCTCTAAAGCAGCATTGTTTTAAGGTATTCTCCCTCCCGCCCCTGCTTCAGTTATCGCAGCATCCCAGGTTGCATAACCTTCTCATCATGAGCCGGACAAATACTAATAACACCAGGCAAAATTTTCAAAGGTCCTGACCCTGCTTGTTACCCTCCTGTGCACCCGAAGCTGGCCAAACACTTCAGTGGGAAAAAATTCAGCCCTGGGAAAAATGCTCTCTATTTCAGAATATTTCTAAGAGTTGTTCTGTTGGTATTCTGTTTTACAGTGCATTGCTGGACAGAAATCACGTCCTTGCACAGAAGATCTTGTACTTGTTAGTCCCTCTTCTTAACCGAGGGAATGATAAGCATAAAGTCACATCTGCAGGGTTTTTTGTGGAGGTAAGACTTGTTACTTGGAAGCTGATTCGGGAAGCCTGTAAAACAGCAGCCCCTAGGCCCTATCCAACTGAGCGGCAGGCTGAGACCCATTTCAAACTTGGGCTAGAGATAGTTTCAGATACAAGCCTATTGAAATTCTTCTTTCCTCACACTTATTATTCAGCGTTCCTTATTTACCCACAGTGTAAGCATCACCCTGTAAGGCACAGGTGCCAAATACAAGGCCCGTGGGCCGAATCCGGCTCTCCACCTTGTTTTATCTGGCCCGGCACCTGGTTTCTACCCGGCGGCAGCACCGAGCTCCTCGCCCCTAGTTAAGGAGCAGTTACATTTATACAGTCCTAAAATGACATTCGGCCCTTTGAAGGCAGCCACCAGGCTGATGTGGCCCCTGGTGACAATGACTTTGACACCCCTGCTTTAATGTATGTGCTGTATAGTAGAGGTTTCACAGGAGTAGTGTTTTGGAGTTGGTGGAAAGGCAACTCCTCTTATGGAAAAGGGCTTAAAGTTAACTTCATCTCTGACTGATTTCTCGATTCTTTCAGCTTCTCCAGAGTCCAGCGGCTAGGAGACTGCCTGGCATATACTCTGTGGATCGCCTGAAAGACTGGCTACTTCATGGAAACAACCTGTTTAAAATGCTTGCCCTCAGGGGACTGTGCTATCTCATCAGACACCAGGAGCTGGTAGGAGGGGCCCCCAGACCACTGATTCATAAGCCACCAATAAAACACACCCCAGAAAGATACACAAGAAACTGGTAACAGCTGAGGAGGAAAATTGGGCAGCTGGGCGCTTGAGTGGGTGGGAGTGCATAACTCTGCACCATTTGAAATCTACACTGAGGAAATATGCAAGTACAGGCATTTAATGGAATCAGAAAAATAATAAGGTCTAGCCACAGGTAGTCATAATATTCGAAACCTGCAGTTTATGTAGGTTTCAAATCATTATCATCACAACCTGGGCAACATTCATGCATCCTTTTATGCTTCGTACCATGTTGCCTTATCATCTAAGACAAAAGTCACTGACATTCATGTTGAAAGCTCATTTTCCATGGGCCCAACTAGACACTAAGCAAGTTCAGAAGAGAAAATTAACCCTTCCATTTTATTACTTCAGTTCTATTTCTTTTATTGCAAATGCAGGGGTGGGCAAAAGTAGATTTGTAGCTGTAAGTACGTGAAACACAGAGTTAATAAAGCTATTGTAATATCATAACCTGCATGTCTTTTTCTATTTTGCCCACCCCCGTGGACATCCGAAACAATTTCTGGTTGGTCGGATATGTGAATATTTGTGGCGTGTTCTATTTAATTTTTACATGTATGTTTTAAAGGTTAAAACCCTGAGACTGCTCCACTTTGGAGGTTTCAGAATAACAGAATCTCAGTTGATTCCTCCAAGGAATCTTTTAGGCTCTGTCTGAATACCTTCCATGCTGGGAAACTCGCTGTGACCTGAGCTAGCCATTCCACTTTCTCTCACGGTTTGGCGAGCAGTTCCTCACATTAAGCCCAAGTCCATATTGCTGGGCCCTCACCTGGTCCCATTTCTGCCCTGTGAGACAACTCACAGCAACCCTGCTCCCTTCGCTGCATGTCAGCCCTGCCAGTACTAAGAGAGGGCAGTCGTGCCTTCTTTACTCTGTGTTCATGACTAGCCTGTGGTACCTGGCATTTGATAAGCACTGGGTCCTGAGTAAAGGTGCTGTGCTTTGGTACCAGATGAAGAGCTATCAGGAGAGGTGGTGATGTGCTTGCTCCCTTTGGGCACACAGAGAGAAGACATCAAGAGCCTGATGCCACGCTTCTTAGACCTGTTATGTGAAACTGAGGAGAAGATTGTTTTGTTGGCCATCCAGACACTCCTGCAGCTTGTTGGGACGATGGATTTCTCTACCCTGAGGGCCATGATGAGGACACTGTTCTCCTTGTTTGGTGATGTAAGATAATGAGACTAGAGAGACTTTCCTGGGGGGAGGGGAATTGGCATAACAGCAAACAGAAGTTGGGATAGTAATAAGCACACCCTTAATTTGTATAGTACTTTATACGTTTAGAGAGCACTTTCAAATCTCTCTTTGGGCCCTCCTGGGTAACCCATAATGTTGTTAGGGTTGGTGTTACTATTTTTAAAATTAAAAAAAAAACAACCCTGAGACACAGAGACTTGCCAAGGTATTCCCCACCTTCACAGGATGGGGAAGGAGTTTCTATTACAGAGAGAAATGATCTTTCCTTTCAAGCAACATTCAGGACTGGTCAAGGTGGTAGGCTATACATACATTCCCGTCCCAAACCACAAAGATTTTTCAAAAAGAAATACATGAAGCACAATGAACCACATGTACAATGACCTACATATAACAAGTAGTACAAAGCACCAGGTCTTGCTCTGTCCACATACATTTGGTTTCTTGCCCTCAGCTACCTACAGCTAAACAGTCTCGTGTCAGGTCTGGCATTTCAACCAACCCAGAGCTCTTACAAGCTAGCATGAAATTTTTCAGTGAGTTGCTTCCCTTTGGCTGTTTCCTGAATAGACGAGACCTGATGTTCATTGTCTCTCCATGACCCTCTTTGGAGCTTCCATGAAGTCTGTGAAACACACAGATAAGAAGGGTGTAGAGAACCAAGTCCTGGACAGCTTGGTCCCGCTGCTTCTGTATTCTCAGGATGAAAATGATGCCGTAGCAGAGGTAATGCCTACTGTCAACTTCTTTCTGGATTTTACTTCAAACCCAGAGCCAAATCTGCAAATAAGAGTTCATATCTTTGAAGGTAGGGACTTTGTGGTAGCATCTTTATTTCCCATTTCCTCCGGTATAGGCTACCTTTCAACCGTCTTGACTAAGTGAATTGTGCAAAAAATATTACTGTCTCTCTGTAGCAAATTATGGCCCTATGTGAGTAAGAAAATAAAACGTGTTGTACTTTTTATAGAGCAACCCCAACATTCAGCCTCGTTTAGGGCCCTAGTTCAGAACAGCGTCCAATTCACCAGTCTTTTTTTATTGATGGCAATGATAATATTCTTTTCGTTCTTTCCTTTAAGAGCTGCTGCTTATCGTTGAGACAAAGATTTTTGTTGAGGCTAAGTGAGAAATAGTTGCCGCTCTGACAATGTGGAGGGCCTTGACCTCTCCTTAACCTTCCCAGAGGTTCTGCCATGAGAGTCGTGAGTGGGATGTCAGCATTGTCAGCACTTGCTGTCCCGAATCTCCCAGGTCCGTTCCAGGGTGCAGACTCAGCGAATTAGAGGAGTAGGTTTAGACTTCAAGGGTTCTGGGGAGATGCTGCAGCTCTCACCAACCTATGCTCCTTACAGAATTGAGAGCAGGCTCAGAAACAAGATTTAAGATTAAAGTAGACCTTGGTGTCTTGTGGGTTTTTTTTAAGACTTTAGCATGTTGCTAAGGAGGAAGTCTTATGAGCTTGCAGCCATAAATGTGAAATAGTTCAGACCCCAATAAACTATAAAGCAGAGCTTCCCAACCAAGTGATGGGACAGTATGCTGTGTGGGGGTTACAGATATGGAGGTGTTGATACTCACCAGCCTCTGGCAGTCAGGGAGGGTCTGGAGCAGCGCACCCTCTGGGCTTATTATTTTTTTCAAACCCTGAACAACCTCTAGTCCCCTTTTCAGGGCTCCTCATGGGTTGGCCTAAGCAAGAGGAGGGTCTAGTATTAAACAGGTTAGGAACCACTGAGACAGAAAACCTAGTGAGCATATTTCCCACCCATGCTAAAAATGTTAATGAAGCACTTATTCCCAACTGAATTTCCCTAAGAACTAGCATCTTGGATTTTTGTCATTTCTGTGATAATATTTTTTATGTTTTAAAGACTTATATGTAAAAAACTTTTATGTTCTATCATTCATATATCTTTCAGCAACCTTTTTTAAACATTATTCTTACAAGATTTATCTGTTATGTAGCTATACTTCAGTTATTTTCACTGCTTTACCACTTGCCCCATTTTCCTATTCCCAGACATTTGGATTTTCAATTTTTTATTGTTATATTGCTGCAAATGAGCATTCTTGTACCTGTTTCTTTGTGTACATGTGTGGGAGTTTCTTGAGGGCATAAACCCAAGGAGTGGAATATCTGGATATCTTTAAGTTTACTAGATATTTACAAATTGCTCAAAGTAGCTGAACTAATTTGTATTCCCATCAGTCCCCAGTGGAATTTCAGTGGCCCACGTCTCTAGTGGACCTGGGACAAAATACTTGCTTGGTGTCATCAGAGGTGTCCAGTGGTGCACAGGAGGCCTTCTGAGAGCAGTGCACAGAGAGGAGGCCCACGCGCTAAATTTTGCTCCAGTATCCGGATCAGGAAAGGACTGACACCCTCCAGAGTTTCTTCCAAGCCAGAGAGCCCACATGGATTACGAGAAACTGCACTTTCCTGTGTAGAGGGACCGAAAAATGACACAGGAGCAGTAACTGGGCATGGGAGCCCTATCTCTAGAGCATCTGGTAGTGGGGACTCCTGTCCAGATGTCTAGTCTAGGGGTTACACCTGGGAGCTCTCGCTTGGCTCTAGACCAGTGGCTTCTGCATCCCCCGAGAACCCCATGGGTTTTATGGATCCGCTTTAGGGACCGTGGGGAAGTTATGGGAGAGCAGGACTTGGCTTCTTTTCTATCCCTCTCCTCACTTCAACCAAGATGAGTCTGAGCTTATTAGCATTCTATGTCGGACTCCAGTGTCTGTTTTATTTGAAGAAAGATGACCTCAGCTTAAAAATGTTCAAAAATACCGATTTCTGATCATTCTTTTCACAGGAGAGCAGGCGAGTCCTAACTATATGTGCCCAGTTCCTGAAGTGGAAGCTGCCCCAAGAAGTGTACAGCAAAGACCCCTGGTACACCAGCCCTAGTGAGGTTGAAACAATCTGCAGGTTCTTTGTATGTGAGAAGTAGTGGTTTTGTTAACTCTTTAACATGCTGTCTTTTTTCCGATATAGTTTTTCATTAGAAGTTGGTATTTGTGAATTGTTTTGCACTGTGAATCTCTAGTTTCCTCCCCACTGAGTCACAGATACACTTTCTGGTGCCTCCTTTCCTCACAGAAAAGACTGGTCAGTTCTTAGAACCCTCCCCCATTCTGGGTCAGGCTGCAGGTTCAAGCTGATAGTACCTACTCAAGTAACTACTTGTGGAGTGAACTGAAATGGAGTTATGTATTGGCTTCACAGTGATCTCTGATCCTTTCCATGGATATAGAGAACTGGTTTACCCTCCATCAGAGCGAGTTCAGGGAGCCTCAAGCGAGAGCTGCAATGCTACTGCAGGCCACGCAGCATGATGACAGCGTGCCACTGGCTCTGCCACACCCTGGTGGTGTCCTTTCTCCTCACAAACTGGACAAAGGATACTGAGGCCAATCTTAGGGGTAAGCCTGAGCCAGAACAACCTCAGGAAACCCATCCATGTTTTTTCTAGACAACTGATTCTAGAACCACTGGAATCCTAATGAAGGCCCTAGGGCTGGCTGCTATTCCCAGGGACCTTCCATATGTGTAGCCTCTTTAGGTCCCAGTATGGGCTCCTCTTACCAGGCTTACAGGGCTCAGAAGCCCAAAGTACCCGTGTTTCAGGCTTTCCACTGGGGATTATCTCACTGACATGCAGCCTAATTTAGAACTGATGCACTGATAACAATATTCACAGCAGGAAACACGGATAATCTGCAGTATTCTGAGCAGATAAGACTGAAGATTATCCACGTTAAATCCAAATCCTATGAAAACAAATTCTTGTTCTATTGCCCCTGTCCCTGAAGTGCCTGTTCTTGTAAAAGATCACTGAGAGGCAAACTCACTCATGCAGGAAGCCTAACACATCCAGTGAGCAACAGGCCGTGGAGAACCTAGGAACAGCCAAGGATTAAAACTCCCTAAGGGGATCCTGCAAGCTAGTAAGGGAGATAAAACCTCTGTGGAATAATAAATAGAAACTCAAGGTGGGAAACATGTGCCAAGAGAGGAGTGCCTTCGAGTGCTAAGAGCGAGTTAGGTCAGGAAGGCAGGAAATGTCAGGGAAGAGCTCACAGGGAAGCAGAACTCAAGGCGGAGCTTAGAGAACTGGGAGACTTAGATACAGAGAAATGATGGATTGAGAGGCATTACAGGCGCAATGTGCAGCAGGAGTGGCTGTGAGCAAGGTGCATTCAGAGGGTTGAACTCTGTCTAGAGGATTGTTGTGGCATCATGTTCGTTCAGCAACTGTAGTTATTTCAAGCACTGTACTATGTGTGTATATCCGACCTAGTCCTTGACTCTGGAAACCACAGCGAGGCTGATAAAAATAGTGCTGCTACTTCACTCCTTTATACTCTTACTTTTTTCCCCACTTAGGGAAAAAAGTGCAAGGGGAAAGTTAACATCCTAGCCCAAGCATTGATGTTCTCCAAGGATGCAAAAGTTCCTATCAGAAGAGCAGCAGTCTTGTTTATAGGTACAAAGAAAATCCTTTCATTTCTACAGTCACTTTCTGTCCTGAACTTGCCCAAAGTGTGTTGTTGAATGTTCTCATTCTTTATGAAGATGACCTTGAAAATACTTGTTTGGAGAAAGGGGCTATGTTTTCCATAGGTGCTTATCAATAGTTGTAAGTCCAGTTTTTACGATCTAATGGTCAAAGGCCAGTTCTGCCGGCTGCTTAGAGCCACAACCAGGTCACAGCCTCACTGACTTCATTCTGCACTTAGGGCTCCTTTCCAAGCACCTGGATCGCAGTGAACTCCAGATGAAGGGCACTAAGTGGATAGAGGATGGTAAGCAATAACACAGGTGGGTTTGGGTGCCCCCAACTTTAGAGGGTACATGAGGCAGGGACTGTGGGCAGGCACCATGGCAGAGCTGAGACTCTGAAAATCAGAAAGCCCGACTTTTGCAGTAAGTGGAAACCCTTGGGGACTTCAGCTGAATGACATTCTCATCCCAGACTAATTCTCTCCTTGGGAAAGAACATGACCCTGTTCCTCTGGAAACCAGCTTTGATGCATTGTCTCAGGGACAGTTCTGGAACTTTGTCTATCAGGAAGTAAGACATTACCTAGAAATGCTGTCTTGGTGAATTATGATGACACTCACAAGTGCCACACCGATGACTGCAACACTATGGTCTATAAGCGGTTGTCCTGTAAGGTGGTAGGACTTCACAGTAAAGATGTTTTACAGTCATAGAAGGCAGCCATCACGCAGATGGTTTTTGAATTGTCAGTGAGTGGAAAATTTTTATAACTATACAGCTTGGAGGATTTAACACTCAAAGATATGTTTATTCCCACTTAAGAAGTAGTCCTACAATTTAAAAATGCCATGAAATACAGTCTCACAACCCAAAAGCAGGTACTTTGAGGACCAAATTAAAATCCTGAATAATATAAAAATAAAACTATGTGATTGGTAAAATAGCCAGAAGCTAAAGCTTGTTTAGGAAAGGTCACCCCACTTTTCTCTAAGGTCTCCTCCTTCCCCACAGATGTCGGAAGCAAAAGCATGGGAAGGTCATGTAGACTGTTCGATTCTCTGAGGTAGGGTTCTGCATGGCGGATTTTGTTTAATTAAAAGCAAATTATTTTCACCAATGTCACCCCAATAAATTCAATAAAAAAGCAAAGTAAATAAATAGCCAATTATTTTCTAATCGAAAACACTGGAGAATCAAATTATCTATAGAATCCTTTTCTATATAGAAAAATCTCAAATATGCTTATAAGTTATATGCATATTTTAGGGTGAATCATAGAAAATTACCATTTTGTAGGACAAAACAGTCAAATATCAGCAATCTTTTGTTGTTCAACCTAAGGAAATAATCCTACCCTATTCTCTCCCTAACAGTGACTAATCTGTTTTAGAAATAGGGTAAAACACCCTATCACTCCTTTTTTTATTTTTCAAATTATTTACTTATTTATTTAAGACTTTATATTGAAAAATAACTAAATAAAATTTTTAAAAAAGACTTTATTTATTTTTAGAGAAGGGAGGGAGAAAGAGAGGGAGAGAAACATCAATGTGTGGTTGCCTCTTGAGTGCCCCCGACTGGGGACCTGGCCCACAATGCAGGCATGTGCCCTGACTGGGAATCTGGGAATTGGTCTGGTGACCCTTTGGTTTGCAGTCTGGCACTCAATTCACTGAGCCACACAGTCAGGGCTAAAATTTTTATATACTGATTTTAAAGAGACAAGAAGGGGAGAGAGAGAAACACCGATTTGTTGTTCCACTTATTCATGCACTCACTGGTTGCTTCCCATATGTGTCCTGAACTGGGATTGACCCACAGCCTTGGTGTGTCAGGATAAAGTTCTAACCAACTGAGCTGCCCGCTGGGGCTCGCTCTAGGACTCTTGTTTGAACAAATTTATGTCATTTACCACAGGAAATTTTAAGCAAATTTAAACAAAAATAACAATATTTAAAATTCAATTTAAATTGATTTCATGACAAAATAAGTTTGAATCCCTTTGGATTCCAAAATTGATACCTGCTCCCTCATGCATTCTGTGGAACCTGGAGACAGATAATTAGTGTAGGAATCAAAAGAAACTAAAATTTTAGACACGTTACTCCATCTTGGAAGTAAGATGCCCCAGTTGGGGCACGTGCCTGGGTTTTGGGTGTGTTCCGTTAGGGGCACAAAAGGCAGCCACACGGGGACGTTTCTCTCCTTCTGTTTCTCCCTCCCACTCTCTCTAAGAGATGAAGGAAATCTTTTTTTAAAAAGCCTTAGAGAATTAGAAACTAAGAAGAGAGACTTTTCTAATATGATACAAACATAAATCCATAAAGTCAAAGAATGATAGATTTGTTTATTTAAAAATTTAAAAACCTACTTTGAAATAAAACAGACTAGTAACAGACTAGACTGGAAAATAAACAATAATGAAGGGAATATATTTGCCATATGATAAATGGTTAATATCATTAAAACAAATCAGTACTTTCTTCAAAGAAAAGTGACAAACAATATGAATAAGCAATTGATAGAAGACAAATGGCCAACAAATATATATTAAAAATATTCAGTATTACTGGTAATCAAAAGTTTGCGAAACAAAATGATGAGATACCAGTATGTGTTTTTCTGTCAAAATGGCAAAGATTATGAATTAATACTCAACCTTGGTGTCTCAGGACAAAACTGACATCATCATACAATGTGCTTGTATTAGCATGAGTCGATGTAACTTTTTTGTAGGGAATTTGGTAGTATGTATCAAAACTCTTTAAGTAAACATATACTTTGACTTGTAAATATCACTTCTAGGAATTCAACTTATTAACATGAGCAGATGTATTTATAGGAATGTTTATTTCAGTGTTATTTAAATTGCAAAAATGGAGACCTGGCCAGGTAGCTCAGAGTATCGTCCAATACACCAAGGTTTTGGGTGTGATCCCTAGCCAGGACACATACAACAATTAACCAGTGAGTGCAACAAAGTCAATGTTTCTCTCTTGCTTTCTCTCTCAAAATAAAATCAATAAATTGCAAAAATTGGAAACATCCAAGATTAGAAATAAGGAAACTATATCATATACATAGTGTAGAATCATATGTAGTTGTGAAAAACACTGTAGGAAAAAAAAGGGAATAATGATTTAAGAGAACCAACACAAGGGATTTCCGCCAAGATGGAGGCATAGGTGGAAATTCCGTGCTTTCTCACACAACCAGGTTTAGAGACAACAAAATATTAGCAACAGAAAACACAGCCAGAACACAGAAAATTGAACTTTTTGGAAGTCTGATAACAACAAATGCTTCAGCCTGACCAGTAAGAGGGGTAAAACCAGCAGCTGGCGGAGCAGGGTTGCACAGGAAAACTTGGTCAGATGGACTCAGGTGCGCAGATCCCAGGTGTGCGGATCCCAGGCGTGGGGTTGCAAAGGGCCGACCCAGTGAGCGACCTAGTGAGTGCGACCCAGTGAGCAACCAGCGGATCCGGCGAGGGTTAAGAGCAGCAGGTTGACTGTGCTGGCGCATTCCTGCACAGATAGATCGGTGAGGGAGTGGGCAGTGAGACTGGACCGAATGGGTCCCAGCCACGGGAGGCAGCAAAGCTGGCCGCCATTTCCCGGCTCTGACCCCGCCCCCACATACAGGGTCACAACCCAGCAACCCTGCCCTGGAGGCCCTGCCCTGGAGGCCCCGCCCGGCCCCTAAGGCTCCGCTCCTCATACTTAATGGGCACGAACAGACCAAAAATGACTCAGGAAGATCTCAAAGCCCCAGAGCCCATAAATCTAAGTGACAAAGAAATAGCAAAACTTTCAGATGCACAGTTCAAAACACTGGTGATCAGGATGCTCACAGAACTGGCTGATTTAGTCACAAATTAGAGGAACATATGAAGGCTAAACTAATTGAAATGAATGGCAATGCACAGGAAACCAATAGTAATGGAAAGGAAACTGGGACTCAGATCAAAGGAGTGGACCAGAAGGAGGATAAAAATGACCAACCAGAAAAGAATGAAGAAACAAGAATTCAAAAAAATGGGGAGAGACTTAGGAACCTCTAGGACATCTTTAAACACTCCAACATCCGAATTATAGAGGTACCAGAAGGGGGAAAGGAACAGCCACCAGTGGAAAACTTATTTGAACAAATAATAAATGAGAACTTCCCCAATCTGGCAAAGGAAATAGATTTCCAGGAAGCTCAGAGAGTCCCAAAGAAGTTGGACCCAAGAAGAAATACACCAAGGCACATCATAATTACATTACCCAAGATTAAAATGAAAGAGAGAATTCTAGAAACAGCAAGAGCTAAGGGGACAGTCACCTACAAAGGAGTTCCCATCAGACTGTCAGCAGATTTCTCAAAAGATACCTTACAGGCAAGAAGGGGCTGGAAAGAGGTATTCCAGTTCATGAAATCCAAAGACCTACAACCAAGATTGCTCTATCCAGCAAAACTTTAATTTAGAATAGAAGGGCAGATAAAGCGCTTCTCAGATAAGATCAAATTCAAGGAGTTCATCATCACCAAGCCCTTATTATATGAAATGTTAAAGGGAATTACCTAAGAAAAAGAAGATAAAAAAGATGAACAGTGAAAGGACAGCAAACTCACAGTTATTAACAACCACATCTAAAACAAAAGCAAGCTAAAAGGACAGCTAGATCAGGAGCAGAACCATAGAAATGAAGATCTCATGGAGGGTTAGCAACAGGGGAGTGGGAGGAGAAGGGGGGAGAAGGTACAGAAAATAAGTAGCATAGATGGTAGGTAGAAAATAGATAGGGGGAGGGCAAGAATAATATGGGAAATATAGAATCCAAAGAACTTGAGACACTTGGTCATAAACTAAAAGGGGGGATGGTGGGAGGAGTACAGGGTGGAGGGGAATGAAGGGGGAATAGAACAACTGTAATGGCATAATCAATAAAATAAAAAATTTTTTAAGAAAAGAGGACCAACGCAAGAACTTAGAAATTAACAGTATTAGTCAAAACTTAACAGGTCCTGAAAATATAACTTTATACAGACTACTAGGCAGTCTAATTATTGTAAAGAGTAAAATATTTGGCAACTTAAGAAATGAGTAAGTTCTATAGGTCAGAATTGGAATTGATCTATAAACTTTCAGGTAGAGGCTTGTAAAACGTTTGTCATGCTGTAGACGTGTGGGCTGTTCGGTGCCTGGATCATTTCCATCAGTCTTTACCTCCTGCCTGGGTGTTATTGCCATTTAGATCTGAGACATCTGCTGCATGACCCTGAGCCCTCTGTGCACATCGTCACCTCCCAGGCCTTGTTCCAAATCCAGAAGGCGGGGGCTGAACCAGACCCTGAGCAGACACTTGGCGGGTTGAGGAAGCTCTTGGGTTGTCTTTCTACCTAGAAGCCCAAGGCAAGCCACATCAGGTAAAAACTAACCCTTTCAGAAACCACAAAAGGAACTAGTGCTCCTTTTTTTTTCAGACTTAAAGCCACGCCAACATGAAGCTACCTCCACCCATTTATTTGCCTCTTTTTGCTGACAAGATCTTTAAGGAATTAGAGTATGTAAGGGAGAACAGCTCTTGGTTTAAGTTAGCAGGTAGAGTGGAAATGTACTGAGTGTTTGAGGCTCGCCAGAGCACCCACAAAGTTCCAGTTTGGTAAACCTCTGTAGGACAGCTTCAAAAGAGATTCTGAGTAAATAGTAATGTTGCCAGGTTTTTATTGTTGGCTGTTTTGTAAAAGCCCAGCCTACTTGTCAATAGTCTAAGAATAAAGTAACAACCAGTTCTTACAGTTTGATATTAATGATCTATTTTTATAAAACTTCTTACAGCCATTCTTCTTCCTTGCCCTTTCCTTTAAAAACTCTCAAGCAAGGAAAAGAAAAAAAAAAAAAACAAGACTTTCAAAGTGTTGTAATGCTAAATTTATCCCAATATAGGTGAGGTTTCCACTCCTTATTTCCCCTTTTTCATTTTTCTGATTAATTCTCCTACAACTGCTGTCAGATCCTATTATCTATTGGGTGCCCACTCTCTGTTTTAAGCATAGATGGAGAACATTTTCTTATAAGTAGAAATTATCTGTGAAAGAGATTAATCTGTACTTACCAATATTTTAATAAGCTGCATGTAGAAATGGTCACCATAGGTCTAGTTCTCAGGCTCTTGTTTGGTTGAGGAACGTAAGCAGAGAGCCAGAGCTGAACTGTGTAAAGCAATGGGGAGGCCTCGTGGTGTGGGAAAAGACAAAGGAAACGAGGCAACTAGGCTATAGGGATAGACACATCCAGTGGTGTACTGCATTAAGTTTTTGTTATAAAGTGAGCAGTATGAATCCTGTCCTCCTGCCTTTCACATCCATCCCTCCGCCAAGACATTGTTAGGACACATTTCTCCATGATTCATGATGAGTTAGATGTTTTGAAGGATGTGACTGTGTGCCAAGCATGGCTTCAAGAGGATCCCTGCCCAAGAAAGGTCTTCATGTTTGCGACTAGCAATCTGGAGTTTGAGCTAAAATGCAGGTCCCAGCAGCCTGATGAAGTAAATCTTCACCGTCAAGCAGAGCCACCGTGAGAGTGACCACTGGATGCCAAGCCAGAGTGCAGCAAGCCTGTTGGCTTTCCTGGGTCCCATGCTGCTTCCTCCCTGGTCTCGTCGCATGCACCCAAGCAACTCCACTGTTTCGTGGAATATCCAGTAAAAGTGACTAAGACTTGTTGAATATTGACAATAAGCCAGACTCTAAATATATTATATGATTAGCTCTTTTAATCCTCAGAACCACTTCATGTGTTACCTCCTTCCTGCAGCTGGGGAAGCTGAGGGACAGAACATGAAAGGGACTTGCCCAAGGCTGCACAACTAGAAATGCTGAAGTCCAGCAGCCTGGCCCCAAAGGCCACATCCTCGGCTGGTCTGCTCCGCTCCTCTCCAGTCCGCTCTTTCCCACTAATGTGAATAAATGTAGATTTAGTCCACAGTTAACCTTAGTTGCTGGACTCATGCCGCAAACTCATGTACTCAAATAATGTTATGTAGTACTAGAGAACTTCAGACAAGAAATTCAGAGTTTGAACACTTCTTACCTAAAACTTGGTGTACCTCATTTATTTTTTAATAGGATAGAATGCACACCCCACACTGAAGACAGTAGACTTAGAGCAAAATGTGTTGATTATTCTTGAGGGCTCTTTTTTGAGTCCTTGGTTTGATCTCGTGAACTAGCTGTGTCTCACAGCAGAAAAACAGACCTCTAGGTCCAGGGTGCAGTTTAAATCTGCAGTGACATGGACGAGGTCTAGTGAATCCTTTCTCTCTTCCCATATTTACGCTGGAGTCCCTTTTCCTCCAGGCATATTTTTATTTTTCTCAGTAACACCACCAACAGTAAGTAGCAAGCACAACAGTGCTTATTCTATCTTACTTAATGTTTTATTGTGTTAAAATTCACAGAGAGAAGCATCCATTAGGAGACAGAGGACTGCTCTTTACTGAAATACCTCAGCAGTTTGAGAAAGGCTGAAGAAGTACTTAATAGCAATTTTATTAACAAGTCTGTTTATTCCAAATATCTCCATTATATTTATACAAGGCTCTACTCAGAGTTAGGTTTATGTTTATATGGAATTTTTTAAATATATAAAACAAAAATTTCTGGACGTTTTTGTTATATGTTGAAATAAAGTTTAATATAACTGAATATTATTTTGGTTTTATTTCTATTATATAATATTAAAATGTACTATTCATTATCTATTACTGGTCCAGCTGTCTTTATTATTTTATTTATTTATTTATTTATTTATTTATTTATTTATTTATTTGAATACTTACCCAAGGATATTTATGGATTTTAGAGAGAAAGGAAGGGAGAGAAACATCAATGTGAGAGAAACATGAATAGGTTGCCTCCTGTATGAGCCCCAACCAGGGATCGAACCTGCAGCCTAGGTATGTGCCCTGACCTGGGAGCGAACCAGCAAGCTTTTGGTGTGTGGGATGACACTCCAACCAACTGAGCCACCTGGCCAGAACTATTCTATTTTATTATTATTTTTTAATCCTCACACAAGGATGTGTTTTTGTTTTGCTTTGTTTATTTTAGAGAGAGGGTAAGGAAGCGAGGGAGAGAAAGAGAGAAACATCCATGTGAGAGAGAAACATGGATTGGTTGCCTCTTGCACATGCCTCAACCAGGGATCAGACCTGCAGCTTAGACATGTGCCCTGATGGTGAATCAAACCTGCAACCTTTTGGTGCACAGGACAATGTGCCAACCAACTGAACCACCCGACGTACCGAGGTACCTATTTTATAAGAAATTGTTTTTTCTCTCTGATTGAAAGATTAAACTATCATGTAAGTAAAAGATGGAATGGAGCAAAAGGAGAATCCATCAGACCTCAGCCCTGGCAAATAAAACAGCACTAGGCACAACTGTAAAGTAGGTTAAATCTGTCTCTTCCAGTGCCCCCTCCTTTCTTCTTCCAGGTTCTAGGCTTCATGCTCCTTTTTTTTTTTTAATCTCTCCCTCTTAAGAAAGGATTCGATGAACTCACTGTTAGTGTAAGTGATTGATAATGCAAAACTTAATGAGGTGAATTCTTCCAGAGATTTTTGCTTTTTCACAAAGTACAGTTCTTAAGCAAAAGGCATAAACCTCTCTAATTGAGATATTTTAGGCACTACTGAGCAAGATGGAAAAGGGAGGTATTTGGATATGGAGTTGGGGGTGATAATGTTGCTGGTGGAAACAAGGTCCTTGCAATGTTGTGAAAAAAGCTATGTCTGGGGACCCACATGGGAGGATGTGGTTTAGTGGTAAGGTTTATTTTAGAAGTGAAATCCAAGGGCGGCCCCTGGGTTCACAGTGTCTCGCTTCTATCCGTCCTGCTGTGAGAAAAGTCCAGCCTTGTCTTCATCAAGCCCAGAAGAAAGACCAGTGTCCATAAAGTCTATGTCATTGGTTCAGTCCAGTGTTTCTGGCTGCACTGCAGCTGGTGCTGTGCCCAGGCCCATGCTTGGAACCCAGGTCCCAGTGGCTGCTGGGCCCACATAGCTGCTATGGAGAGATAATGGGTAAGCATGTGTTACAGAGGGAGAGAGAGAGAAAGAGGAAGGGGAAGGGGAGAGGAAAGAGAGAAAGAAAGAGACAGACGAAAATATCCCTTATTATGTTGATATATTATCTTGGGCTTGGGAAGGACTAGGCACTTTTCAAACCCATTCAGTTTCCCAACCCTTTACAGGTTTGCATTGGATCCTCCTCCTAACCAATCCATTTCTTAGATTTTCCAGGGTTGCATGTCCCTTATCCAATCCAATTCTTTTCCCAGGATAGACAGGCCTTTTTGGTTTCCATCTTGACTCCTACTGCATATGCCTCATAGTAGAAGCACCTCCACTTGTGCCCTTTTGGCTCCTACTGAGCTTGTGTCCAGCTGAGGAATTTCTCCTGCCAGTTTCTTTCCCTCAGTAATACTGGCTAATGACCAGTAAGGATCCTGCCTTCCTTCCTGCTTGCTCCAGGGATTAGATCCGATGCAGCAGTCCCCCAGGGAGTCTGTGACTGCTGCAACTTCCCAGTGAAGCAGGGTCAGTGTTTGATCAGCTCCCTAGTTTATTGTGCTTAATAATGTCTGATTCCCTTTGCTCCCTTTATTAATGTCTAGCTATCTATGCTAACAATGGTGGGAAATAGAGATTTTTCTTGTCATCCTTGAAGTCATATCATATAAATCAGTTCTTTCCCTACCTCTGCCCAAACCCTCCTCAGAACTCAGCAGAGGAAAAGGATTAGAAAAGATAATTAACAACTGCCTTATGTTATGCAAAATACAAAGGGAAGTGATGTATTCTCTCCTTCCTGAAAACTGGAGATAACTTGCCCACCACAGAGGATGACTTCTCTTACTTAAACGCCAACTGCCAATTACTGAATGATTCAGTATGTCTTCTACACTTTCTCTCATCCTATAGTTTATTATCCAGTGTCCAAGGAAGATAGCACTGGTTTTAAATAGTTCCTATGAATACTGATAGTTAATCCATATATCAGGACCCACAAAATGAAGGTCACCTCAGTGGCCCATTCCACATCACAAATCTCAACCTAAGTCAACCTGAACTTACAGAAAACACCTGCCAAGGAATCGCAACATATACCAATCACAATCCTCCAACTCAGCCTTAGTTAGCTTTCTTTACCCTAGAGAAAGAGGACCTTCTGGCCTTACACGCAAATCCACAACCTAGCCAGGAACTGTCCCAGGTAATTAGAAACATCAAGAAATAAGAGAGAAGAAAAAATCCCCCCCCCAGAAGAGAGAGATTTAAAATTTTTAGAAAAGCAAAACAAACAAAAAATAAAATAAGAAAAAATATAAATATAAAATACTACCAAAAAATAAAACAATAAAGTCCTTGCCTTGGTGAGTTTTATATTCTAGCGGGGGAAAGAAATAATACATATTAATATATAACTAAACATAAAATCACATAGTGTGTTAGAAGCTGGAATATGCTCTGGGAAAAAAGGGTATGAGAAATCAGGAGTGTGGTGACTATAGGGAAGAAGAGGGTGCAATTTTAAATAGGATTGTTAATATCCCTGGCTGGTGTAGCTCAGTGGATTGAGTGCAGGCCTGCAAACCAAACAACTGCGGTTCAATTCCCAGTCAGGGCACATGCCTGGGTTGCAGGCCAGGTCCTCAGTAGGGGACACATGAGAGGCAACCACACATTGATGTTTCTCTCCCACTCTTTCTCCTTCCCTTCCCCTCTCTCTAAAATAAATAAATAAATAAAATTAAAAAAAAAAGAATCAGTTATATTGATTGAGATGACATGCTCCCAGATGTGGAACTAAAATAGATTAAAGTTGATTAGGAGGTAGCCAATTGTTTCTGGTGCAACACAAAAAGAGTAGGAGAAATAATATAATTTTTATTTGTATAGAACCTTCACATTATTTTTTTTACCTTGAATTAATTGTTTAATTTAGATGTTATTGTTATCACCATTTTACAGGTGAGAAAACAGGCTAAGTTGTCAGCACAAACTCAGTAAGTAGGATGCTAAGACTTAGATTCAAATCTTTTTTTAAAAAATATTTTACTTATTTATTTTCAGAGTGAGAAGGGGAGTCAGGAGAAAGAAAAGGAGAGAAACATCAATCAGTTGTCTTTCATATGTCTCCAAATGGGTACCCAGCCACAATCTAAGCATGGGTCCTGACTGAGAATCAGACTGGCAACCTTCTGCATTGCAGGCTGACAATCCACTGAGCCACACCAGCCAGGGCTCAGGCCTCCCAATTCCAATTCTCTCTGTACTTTTTTCAGTAGTCCCACAGGTAACAGCCTGAGCTGTTTCAAAGGAGAGAAAGAAAATATCAGTTTCTCTAAGTTGAATGAAGAAAGTGAAATGAGTGGAAAAACAACTAATATCTGGGATGACTTTTAGCTAATAACGTTGTTTTGCAGCTTCCCTGGGATTACAGGGGAGTAGGATTAAGCCAGGTTAATATTATGGATTCAGGAAACAAAATTGATCCTAAATTTTGGTTCTAGGTAGAATGAAGTATGTGCCAAGACAGCCTATTAGAAGGAAAAAAAAAATGCTATTTGCTATTCTGAAAAATCTTGTGACAAAAGAGTGCCCTGGGCATAGATTTTGACGGAGAAAGGCCTTAGAATTAACAGTTCAAATTAAATTGCTGTTTTCAGTTTTTCAGTTCTTTATCCAAAGTCTAAAGGAGATACAGAAATCACTTAATTGTCCTCATAAGTAGGGCTGACACTACTTTCCCTGCAGGGACCCCGCTTAGGGACCACTTTAGTTTTTCCTTGGAGGAATAAGAACAGTAAGAATGATGAGGTCAGGATTTGCCCCTTCCCTACAACTACCAATTGCTTTTTTGGGATAGTTAGATGGTTAGGTGAGAAAGTTTTTTTCTAAGAGGGGCACGTGCTGATCACGCACCTGCTTAAGGGGCATAGCAAAGCTGGAGGACAAAAAACTTTTTTGACGGAATTTTTTTTTAAAGATTTTTATTTATTTATTTTTAGAGGGGAAGGGAAGGAGAGAGAGAGAGAAACATCAATGTATGGTTGCCTTTCATGCGTCCACTGCTGGGAACTGGCCTGCAGGGAACTGGCCTGCAACCTAGGTATGTGCCCTGACTGGGAATCGAACCGCGATTGTCTGGTTCGCAGGCCCGCGCTCAATCCACTGAGCTACACCAGCCAGGGCTTTGACGGAATTTTAAAATGAAAAGCCACTTTGAGAAAAAAATCAGAACTGTGCTGTACACTTATGTTGTGATTTAGAGTTGTTTGTATTTTGAATAACATTTGGGAGCGTGCACACTTTAATCATGTTAGTCTTAGAGCCTCTGAAGGTCATAATCAGGCTTTGGACACATGCTCTGGGGAATCCTGAAATATTAAACCACAACAGGGAGGCTAATCATAGAGACCATCACACAATGGGATCAGAATAGAAACAACCTTCATGATATACCTGGATCAGAAGTGAAGGCAGAATAAATCTATTTCACTAACCATATTTCATTTCTATTTTTAAAAAGCTCAGTTTAGAGTTCAAGGGGCATGCCACTGAATATTAAGAAAAAAATTAAAAACAGCATGAACCCTGATCAAAAGTGGGGTGAGCTGATGGATAACAGGGAAAAACAAAAGGCGCGCAGATGAGGCTGGGTCTGACAGATGTGTCCTCAATGCTAAGCTGCCTAAATTCGATTCAAATGGTAACAGTGAGTCCCTGAAGTTGTGGGAAAGAAGGTGACGGGATACAAATGCTGCTTGAGAAAAACTAGACTAGTAACTAAGTATAAAATGGATTGGAAGGGAAAATGCAAAATGTTGAGACAACTAGAAACCTAGTGGGGGAGGAACCTACAACCTTTAGTGATTAGGAGTAGGGGATAAAAGAGTAGGGGAGTGAGTGACGCCAAAGAGGACAGCAAGGGCTGGGGGTTTGGGTGGGTGTGGCAGTAGAAAACCAATGAGAGTTTAGTTACCGAGCAAAATAGGGGTGGGGAAGTACTGCTTAAATCTGCTTTATTGCATAAGGGAAATAAGGAAACTAAAGGGTATTTTCCTTTTATCTTGGTCTCATTTCCAAGGCCTATATTTCCTAATAATTTGACTGAGGACAGTCTGAGAATTATAACATAGTAAAAAGAAAAGTTATAGAAGCAAGTGATTGATGGGATATAAAGAGTGACAGATAAGAGATGGGATGGAAATGGAAGGCTTTAGGGGTGTCCAAACTTTTGGCATTTCTGGGCCACACTGGAAGAAGAGTTATCTTGGGCCACACATTAAATACACAAACACTAAGCAAAACGGATGGGGGGGGAAGGTGTTTTAAAAAATATATTTTTTATTTATCTATTTTTAGACAGAGGGGAAGGGAGAAAGCAAGGAAGAGAAACATCAGTCTGTGGTTGTCTCTCATGCACTCCCTACTAGGGACCTGGCCTGCAACCCAGGCATGTGCCTGACTGGGGATCAAACTGTCAACCCTGTTTCAAAGGCCAGTGCTCAATCCACTAAGCCATCCAGCTAGGGCTAAAAAAAAGGGTTTTAAGTAAATTTATGATTTTGCATTGGGTTGCATTCATAGCCATCCTGGACCATATGCAGCCCGTGAGATGTGGATTGGACACCCCTTCCATTTTACATAGGATATGACTTCTTGAAAGTCCCGATTCAGCCCTGAAGAAGAGAAAAAAGTAATAATGTTTCTCAGTTTTTGTTTGGTGGGTAACCTTTGGGAGGTGTTTCTTTTATTCTTGGATCATTTTCAAGCCAGCAGTGCCCCTCTGTTCAAGTGTGGATGACCTGAAAGTCACAGCAAAGGAAGCATCAGTATCTTGCACATAGCATGCATTCAGTCAACATTTGAAGAATGAAGACATGAACAGTTTTCAAGAGTTAGTATGCATGACTTGGGAAAAGAATCAGGAGACTCAAATCCAGAAGTAAAGAAGAAATGGGCTATGGTATATATACTGCAACTCACTGAAAACCAAACTACTAAAAAGATGAAAAATGGGGCAATGAGTATAGTTTTGTTTGGTTTATAATTGGTGGGAGCTATTAACTGTTATCTTGGTTGTTTTTTTTCAAGGCCAAAAACTCCCTTTGCAGTTCCCGTCTGGGGAAGAAAAGAGATTGGTTATGGCAAAGGCAAAAAACAAACAAACAAACAAACAAACCTTGAGGCTTCTCAGCTCTGTTATCTTGTCCAGGAGCAGCTATGAAAGCCAGGATCCCATGAGAAAGACTTACTTTTGCTCCATTTTTCCTCAAAAAATTCCAACCATGTTTGCATTTGACAGACCCAGCAATATTTCTCAACAATTGTTCCAGACCTTTACCGCTATACTGCAAGTTGCTCTGTTTTCCACTTAGCGGAGCACCTAGCAGGTCTGCTGAGTCTGGATGTAAGGTGACCACCTGCCAGTCAGGTTCATGAAGAGGAAAGGCCAGGATCTGGGTTCCTGGCTTGGCCCCTCAATGATCTCTCTCCCTTTTTTTTTTTTTTTTTTTTGTCTTCAGAGTCACTCTACTTGTTTCTGTCCATGATTATTCATATGCTTGTGTTTCCCCTATCCTAAAAAATACCTTACTTTGCCTCTCCTCCACAAAACTTCTTAAAGTTTTTACTTCCCACTTCAATTTTCTCATCTTCCCATTAGCATCTGTTATAGTAATATGACTTTCACTCCCACTGTGCTAAAGAAAACTGCTCTGGCCCTAGCTGGCATGGCTCAGTGGATTGAGTGCTGGCCTGCAAACCAAAAGGTTGCTGGTTCAATTCCCAGTCAGGGCACATTCCTGAGTTGCAAGCCAGGTCCCCAGTAAGGGGCATGCTAGATCAATGTATCTCTCACACAATAATGTTTCTCTCCCTTTCCCCTTTCCCCTCTCTCAAAAATAAGTGAAACCTTAAAAAAAAAAAAAAAAAAAAAACCCTGCTCTGGCAAAAGTCACTAAAAACATATGAATGCTAGTTCATGAGTTCTTTGAACTCTACATCCTAATTGAATTCTCTGCAGTATTGGATTCTATGGAGTACTTCCCCAGCCTCTGAGATACTGCTCCTTGTTTTCATACCTCTCTGGCCAGTTTTTTTCATTCACTCCTCAAATTCTGACCAACCCTTAAGTGTTGAGGTTCCTAAAGTCTCTTTTTCATACCATCATGCTCCCTGATATAAACCTCCTTCCTTAGTTTCAGGTACTGCCTGAAAATATTCCCAAATCCTCGTGTCCAGGCTGTCCCCACACCTGGAGCTCTCTCTTAAATAAGTGCAGCAGTTTCATTAGAAATCCAAAGGAGCCACAAGAGGACTTTTCATTCATCGCACATCCACTGATCCTGACATTTGTTGGCTGACCAAAAAGGAAGTTAGGGGGAGAGATGATAACACCTGTTGTAGACCCCTTGGTACTTACTGGAGATAGACTGAGAGTCTCTGTGTAGGCACTCTGTGCGGAGACAATAATGAGACTATCCTGAAGTCAATTGAAGCAGTAGCTACTAGGAGGTAGAGTTGGAAGGAAGTGCCACCACATGGGTAGTTTCATTTGAGTTTTCAGTTTTTTGCAGGGAGTCTGACTTTTTATTCATTTGAGACCCAGCTTACAGCTGGTTTCCAAGTCCCAACGGGCTACTTTCCAGGGTCCAATCGCTTCCTCTTAAACTTCTGCAAGCATCCCAAACATGACAGTTTGAGAACTAGTCTGATCCCTCCACTTGTGCTCCCATTCTAGTTAACAGCATCACCATCCACCTCTTGGCCCAGGCGGATCCCTCTGTTCCTGGGGACTCCTTCTGCAGTGTCCCCTTTAGTTCTGGGCCAGAGACCTCTCTCCAGGCTGGCTCCTTCCCAGGGTGTACCAACTGCACACATCTAGTCTCTACTCCATCCATTCCAGTGTCACGATGCAGCCAGAGAAACTTGTGCAAGACACATACTGATCATTTGTCACCTTCTTTTCATTGAAACCCCCACTGATGATAATGTGCAGGCTTTTAATGGGGCGTCTGATGTGCTTTGCAACCTACTTTGTGTTATTTTCCACTTTCACCTCTGGTGATTCCTTCCATCACCCAAGCAACAATGGGCCCTTTGTAATTTTTCAGATACATTATGCTAAGTACATAGTGAATAACAAATACCAGCCAGGCATCAATCTAAACTTTGGAATATAGTGAGCATGAAAAGAAGGCGCCTGCTCTCATACAACTCACATTTTAGTCGGAAGAGCCAATGAATAAACAAATAGCTTCGGACAGTGATAAGGTGCCATGAAGACAAATGGGGTGGAGTGTGAGGTGAGCTATTTTAGATACAATGCTCATGGATGGCCTGAGAAGGCCACCTTTAGTTGAACTTGAATGGTGAAGAGGAGCCACACAAGCAAAGGCCTGTTGTACAGTGTTTGGGGCTGTTTGATCAGGATGTGAGAAAGGCCTCAAAGCAAGAACTAGCTTGGTAACTTGGCATTTGGAAGGTTCCAAAACAAAGCAGTGAGGCTGAACCTTTACTACCTACCTGGGCATGGGGAGTTGTGGGGGTGGACAATGCCCTCTGTGGGGTGGGGACATATCACATGGGGTACTGGGGGCCATAAAAGGAGTTGGGCATTATTCTAAAGGCAAGAGGAATCTACTGAAGGGTTCTGAGTGGAGTGATATGCTCCATGACCTTTAAAGAAAAAAATCACTCTGGCTCTTGATGAAGCAGAAGTGCTGGTTGCGGCAGCAGAAGGGTGAGTAAGCAACGGAGTCCAACAAAGCACTTCTGTCAAGGGACCATTTTGTTCTCTCCTCCATCTCCTAACTCAAGGGGCAAGTCTCAGGCTGGCGCTGCGGAGCAGGGCCACTCCAAGCCCAAAATTTGGCGGGACAGAGATTTCCCCATAAGTTGAACGAGGCCACCTCTAAACACATAGCCCCGTCCTACCGGAGCCAAAGAGCCGCGGGGACTAGGGCGGCGCCGCGGGCTTCAGAGCAGGATATGGACTACAACTCCCGGCAGACTCTGCGCGCGGGGTGTCGATCCCTCCGCTCCCAATTTGTCCCGCCGGTTGTGCCCATCGTGGCCCGAGGGCCAAGTTCAGGGTTTTTTCAGAACCCGAGGTTCGTCTTCTTGTCATATTTCCCAAGAAGGACCACTGGGAGCCCTGGATGAGAGACGGACTTTTTTTAGGAGAAACGCGGATGCAGACCATCGAAGAGACCTCGCTCTGTAGCTGCGATTTTCGCGCGCTTTGGCGCAGGTGGTTGTGGGTAGCGCGCCCAGGAGGGAGAAAGGACTGGGGGGCTTGTGATTGCGCCGCCCGCAGGGCCTAGAGGATGTTCGAGGACGACCCCCACGACGAGGGGGCGGCGGTGGTCGCCGCAGCCGGGGAGGCGCTGCAGGCCTTGTGCCAGGAGCTGAACCTGGACGAGGGGAGCGCGGCCGAAGCCCTGGACGACTTCACCGCCATCAGGGGCAACTACAGCCTAGAGGTGAGCGGCTGCAGGTGGGACCCGACCCCCGCCAGGCCCCACCCCGGCTCCGCCCCTGCCCTTCCCTATGGGTCGGTGGGAGTTTCCCCACCGAGAAGGGTCGCCGCCCAGCCGGGCGCCGCGGAGTGCGAAACTGGAGGGATGAGTGTAACTCATTCTGGCTCTTTATGTATTTTTTTTCTTTGGAGGCGGGAAAGTGAAGTTCGGAAAGGGAGCGGCTGGTCCAAGGTCACAGCCACTCGGGGCCTCCAGACTCCGACCAGGTCTCCCTCCACCCCGCCAGACGGCACAGACGTCAGTGGCACTGCCCTTGTATCTATTTTGTTCAAGAGAAGCAAATACTATAGTGATAAAAGCGAAAATGAATTGTGTGTCAAGACATCACTGCCAGCCCTTTAAATATGTCATCTCACTTAGTTCTCGCTACAACCCCTCGAGCCCGTTCTGCGGTCCCCGTTCCGCAGCCGCGAAGCCGAGCCCCGGAGACGTTCGCGTGCCGAGGGGCACAGGGCGGTGCTGGAGCCCGAGCCCGTGGCCCTCGCACCCTCCCCGACCGAGGGCGGAGGTCGGGTCGCTCACTCGTTAGTTCAGCGCCGCGCAGCGGGGAGGTCGGAGCCGGCGCTCGCACCGGGCTCTCCGCCCCGGGCACCTCCTCTCTCACTCGGGGATACTTAGCTGGTCCTGTTGCTTTAGCGCAGGCTGTCGTTATATATGCTACAATATAAAAGAAACGTAGGTTATCACTTTTAGATTTTTTTCCCCCCAACCATTGCCCTTGATCTCCACAGTAGCCCTGTGAACGCGGCAGAGGGGTGAGTGGTATTACCCCTGCTTTCTAAGCAATATCAAGGCCCAGAGTGCCGTCTGGCCCCGGGGTCGTTCCGCTGGTTATTATAGGAACTTAGATAAGCGCAAGCCCAGTGTGGAGATGGAATTGTGGCGGAATGTGTTTCCCAGTTACTCCAGTGGCCTCAGACTCCAGGGCGTTCGTGCTCCAGAGGGGGCAGGACTCGCCCATAGAGTGTTTCCCGGACTCAGTACCCAGTGGAGTAACTCATCGCTGGATTTAAAGACACGGAGTTGGATGTTTGGAGTTGAGTGTACGAGTCTGTAGACAAGGGAAGAGCTCCCAAGAGAGACTCTTGTTGTGTCCCCAGGAGAGGCCTGGATGGACCGGATAAAGGGCAGCGGTCTGCATCCGTGGGCGGCGGGACTGGGAAGTAGGAAAGTAAGGGATATTTTAAATGATATCCTCTCAATGAAAACAAACTGATTTTTATTTTTATTTCCTTTTACACTGTCCTAGGATAGAATGGTCCACCTCAGTAGCTTCTGAGACCAATACATTTCTGTCACCACAATTACTTAAGCGAACCTGGTTCCCTTCACTTTCGCAACGTCATGCAGAGTTAGTCATCGAGTTTGCACACAAACAGATTTTTTAAAGCCTGAGAAAGCATTTCTGACATCCCAGGTCCTGTTTGGTCTTAGTGAATAAGCATTTATGAGTGCTGACTCCGGTCTGGACATTAACTGGGCACCTCTTTTAAGATTTTTTTTTTTTTTTAAGATTTATTTTCAGAGGGGGGGGCGGGGAAGAGGGAGAGAAACATCCATGTGTGAGAGGAAACAGGGATCGGTTGCCTCTCACGCGCCCCCAACTGGCGACCCAGCGCACAACCCAGGGAGGCGCGTCTCAGGCAGCGCTCAACCCACTGAGCCTCTCCGGCCCGGCCTCTGCGAGCTAGTTCCTGCCTACAGGCTGTCACCAGGCCGTTCCCTCTACTGGAAACTTTCCCTTAACCCCCATTGCAGGAAAAATTGGGGAGCTGGATCTCCGGTTAGGCAGAGTTGGAGTCGATCGCAAATGCTTGATTTAGAAAGCACAAATGTGTGCATTAAGATTTCATAAGTGTTTTTTCTACCCAAAATGTTTTATTTTTTTTCTTTCTTGTTTGTTTGTGATGGAAGACTTGAAGTAGGCATTTTCATGTATCTGCTGCTTGCTCAGAGCCCCTCTCCCCAGCCCTACCTCTCTGCAGTCTTCCTGACAGGCCCCTGCCTACATTTTTCCCTTCCCTCTTGCATTTTGGTGATTTACCACTTAGCAATTTTAAGTTTGAATCCTTCCCTGAGCTCTAGTCAAAATCATATTCTCTACACTATATTTTACTAGCAACACATTATCTTCATTGCTCCTTATAGTATATATCTCACCAATTAGAGGTAGTAGTATCTGTTTTTCTTAGCTCCAGACTTGGAATTTTGTGCGGTCAGAAACTATCTTTGTGTTTCTAAGACCTAGCATCATAGACTTAAAATAAATAATGTAGGTGACTTAAATTTTTTTAATTTATTGATTTTAGAGAGAGAAAGATTAATTTGTTGTTCCACTTACTTATGCATTCATTGATTGCTTCTTGTATGTGCGGTGGCAGTAGATTGAACCCCCAACCTTTACGTATCTCCACCAACACTCTAACTGACTTAGCTATGTGACCAGAGCCTTTTTAAATTTTTTTTATAGTAGGACACTAGGTGTTTTCATCTAGTGTCCTGTATCCAAAGACACTTGGGTGCTATTCCCAAATAATTCATTAATCTAGGCTTCTAAAAATATTCAACTTTAAGCTTACCTACCTCATTTCATGTCTTGATCAAATAAGACTTCTCACTACTTTAAGATAGGAGCACTGGGTTTTAGCTTTATCGGTGGCCATTCATTCCTGCCTACCACTTTTGGATTATTACAAGAAATCTATCAGTGTTTTTATCTGTCTTCAAGAGGATGTGCAGAACACTGAATAACAGTAATAGTATATTGTGCTGTGAGATTTGTGTCTAACTCCTAATCTTTAAATTTAACTATAGTTCAGCAGTGAGGTCATGAAGTGATTCTGGCTTGGAGAGATCTCAAGTCTGTCTCAGACAACTGAGTGTTAAATTCACAAATGTCACCTTTTTTGTAACGTTGTAAACTGAGATACCCGCTAAGATAAAGAGCCATGCTTAGAATTTTAAAGATTGGGGTAAATAATTTCCCAAATGTTTACCTCGCAAAAATGACAGTTTTCTTTTATGTTTTGCAAGGTACTAATTTTTGTTACGTGTGATTTCCTTGTTATCTTTCTACTCTGTTTTTTCCGTTTTCTGCCAAACTGGTTAAAAAAAATGGTAGAAGGAATTTCAGCATCATCAAGGCCACGACTGATGTTTTCAAATTGAGAAAGCTAATGCTGAGAACTTTTAAGAGAACTCTGTCAATATTATATTTGGGGTGTAGGTGAGAGATCTAGCCTTGGATTAATACTGATGTAGTGTGTTACACGGGACTGAGGGTAAGAAGTTTTACACCCACTACTGCAGCTGCTTTACCTCTCTGGTCTGTTATATGCAGAACAAATATTAGACCAGATAATTCTAAGAGTTATCTTAGAATTCAAGCCCTTTAACATAATGTATTTGTTTTGATACTTGTTTTTTGCCTGCCAGGGAGAAGTTATACACTGGTTGGCATGTTCATTGTATGTCGCGTGCCGCAAAAGCATTATTCCCACAGTTGGAAAGGGTATCATGGAAGGAAATTGCGTTTCACTTACCAGAATACTACGTTCAGCTAAATTAAGGTAAAGCACTTTGATTTTTCAAACATTGTTTTGTACCTCCTAAATTTAATTTTAGAGTTTAATTTCTCTTTAAGTTTAACACATTTAACATAATTCGATTCTAAGTTTGTTATCATATAGGTATTCTTTCCCAGTTCTTCTACCGCCTTTCTTCCTAAAATTTTGACTTCAACCTAAGGCTTCTGTATAGATAAATCTTTTTTGTCTATAATTTTTTCATTAGGGTTTTTTTAAAAGATTTTATTTATTGATTTTTAGAGATAGGGGAATGGAGGGAGAGAAACATCACTGTGTGCTTGCCTCTTGTGTGCCCTCTACTAGGGACTTGGCCTGCAACCCAGACGTGTACCCTGACTGGGAATTGAACCAGTGACCCTTTGGTTGGCAGGCCAGCACTCAATCCACTGAGCCATACCAGCCAGAGCTTTTCATTAGTTTTGTAAAATTTGAAAATAATTTTATGCACAAAGATTACCCATATGCCCTTGATCCAGATTCACCTATTATTTTACCCATTTGCTTTATCATTTCATCTTTCTCTCTTAAATAATATTTTTTCCGCAACCATGTCAAATTAAGTTGTGTACATTATAACCCTTTATACCTGGTGTGTATTTCCTTAAATACCTACAATGATCAACTCCAGCAAAGTTAACATTGATACAATAATTTTATCTAAAATATCATCTCTATTCTATTTTAATTAGTTGATCCAATAATATTCTTTATAGCATATTTTTTCTTTGGGTACAATTTCCAACCTAGAATCAAGCATTGCATTCACTTACCATGTCCCATTAGTTTCCTTTAATCAGGAATATTTTCACAGCATTTGTCTTTTATAACATTGACATTTTTGAAGAATATAGTCCATAACTACCCACTCTCTTTTTTTAATAGATTGTTCCTCATTTCAGATCTCTCATGTGTTTCCTTATGATTAGATATAGGCCCTGTGTTTCCAAATGGAAAACTACGTAAATGATTTTGTGTCCTCAGTGTATCACATCTGGAGGCATATGATATCTATCTGTATCTCATTGGTAATATTAATTTTGATCATCTACTCAAGATTCTGTATAGTTCTAGTACATATGGAACTAATTGCCTGGATACAAAACAAAAGAAATGGAGCGATCCAGGTCTGGATGGTCTCTGTTTCTGGGTTATTTACCTGTGACAAAGCTATTTGAGGTGGTTGTATATTTGCTATTGTGGGTTTCCAGGACAGAAGAGAAACAAATTTTAAAGCCCTATCCAGAGAATGCAATTAGGTTTCAGTTCATACTAAACTAAAAAAAAATTTTCAGAATAATTTTGGTGCCTGTAAGTGGAAAAATAATAAACTGGAGACATTTTTTTTAGACTTTCCTATCAGGTTTTTTCATTGATGATAAAAAGAAAGTATAAAGATTAGCGCTCGCTTCGGCTGCACATATATAAAATTGGAACGATACAGAGAAGATTAGCATGGCCCCTGTACAAGGATGACACGCAAATTCGTGAAGTGTTCCATATTTTTATATTAGCCAAGATTAAAATGAAGGAGAGAATCCTAGAAGCAGCAAGAGATAAGGGGACAGTCACCTACAAAGGAGTTCCCATCAGACTGTCAGCAGATTTCTCAAAAGAGACCTTACAGGCAAGGAGAGGCTGGAAAGACGTATTCCAAGTCATGAAAGGCAAGGACCTACATCCAAGATTGATCTATCCAGCAAAGCTTTCATTTAGAATGGAAGGGCAGATAAAGTGCTTCTCAGATAAGATCAAATTCAAGGAGTTCATCATCACCAAGTCCTTATTATATGAAATGTTAAAGAGACTTACCTAAGAAACAGAAGATAAAAAAGATGAACAGTGAAAGGACAGCAAACTCACAGTTATTAAGAACCACACCTAAAAGAAAAGCAAACTAAGAGGACAGCTAGATCAGGAGCAGAACCATAGAAATGAAGATCACATGGAGGGTTAGCAACAGGGGAGTGGGAGAAGGTACAGAAAATAAGTAGCATAGATGGTAGGTAGAAAATAGGGGGGAGAGCAAGAATAGTATGGGAAATATAGAATCTAAAGAACTTGAGACATGTCATAAACTAAAGGGGGGAATGGTGGGGGGAGGGGGTGTGCAGGGTGGAGGGGAATGAAGGGGGAAATAGAACAACTGTAATGGCATAATCAATAAAATATATTAAAAAAATAAAAATAAAAAATAAGATTAACAAAGTTCAGGTAATTTTTTAATTGAACAAAACCTTATCCATGATAATATAAAACAGTTTGATTTTTTCTATTAGATTGTTTTATATCACTGACCATATAATAACTTTTTTTTTAATCCTCACCTGAGGATATGTTTTATTGATTTTAGGGAGGGAGGGAAACATGGATATGAGAGAGAAACATCGGTTAGTTGCCTCCAGTGTACACCCTGACCAGGAATCAAACCCAGAACCTTTTTGGTACACAGGATGGTGTTCCAACCTGCGGAGCCACTTGGCCAGGCTGACCATATAAGATTTTAAAAATCTCTGTGCCCTGGCTGGGTAACTCAGTTGGCTACGACGGAATACACCAAAGTCGTAGGTTGGATCCCCTGTCAAGGCACATAACAAGAAACACCCAATGAATGCATAAATAAATGGAACAACAAATCAATGTTTCTCTCTTCCTCTCTCTAAAAAATCAATTTAAAAAAGTGCTGATAAAATATGTAATAAATTTTAAGGAAACTGAACAAAAAGAATAACTTAAAATTTAGAGCAGTACAAGCTAATGATAAAAATTTTAAATATAAAAATAGTTCTAGAGATGGATGGTGATGATGTTTGCCCAGTGTGAATGTACTTAATGCCATTGAAATATACACTTAAAAATGGTTAAAATGGTAAATTTTATGTTATATACTTTATTAGAATTTTTTTAATGTTTAAAATTTTTTCAAATAATACAGAAGTGTTGAAAGTAGAAAGATGTCTCTTCCTTTTCTCTCTCCCCAGAATTAACTCCTATTGACAGTTTACATTAATCAATTGTTAAACAGGAAAAAAATTGTTTTTCAGTCTCTTGGTTGTTTTTTTAAAAAAACATAAATGAGATCAGTAGATTACTACCTTAAGATTCATTTAAAAATTTCTTTTGCTATTAAGTATAGTATAAAAAGTGTCTGTTGTGCAGTTTGAATTTCTAATTCATTTTATTTTATTATTATTCTTAATAGGTTTTTTTGTTGTTGTTTTCCATTACCATTTATCCCTCTTATTACCCTTCCACCTCCACCACCCCCAACCTCACAATCACCAGGTGTCCATTAGTTCTGTCACTTTTTTGCTGGATCCTTCAAACCACCCTGTCCCCCACCCCTACAGCTGTTAGCCTGCTGGCTTTCTAATTCATTTTAATCAAGATATCTGCATCTCTTTCTTTAATTTCCACATTCTTTCACAAGTTTTTCACTATCTTGTGATTTAAATCAAGATTACTTTCACTTATTATTTTTTCTTATTTTTATTATTATTAATTAATTAATTAATTTTTTTTTATCTTTAGAGGGGAAGGGAAGGAAGGAAGGAAAGAAATATCAGTGTATGGTTGCCTTTCCTGGGTCCCCTGCTGTGAACTGGCCTGCAACCCAGGCATGTGCCCTGACTGGGAATCGAACTTCCATCCTTTGGTTTGCAGGCCTGTGCTCAATCCACTGAGCTACACCAGCCAGGTTCTTTTTATTTTTAAGATTTTATTTATTTACTTTTAGAGAGGGGAAGGGAGGGAGGGAAGAGAGGGAGAGAAACATCAATGTGTGGTTGCCTCTTACGGTCCCCTCCTGGGGACCTGGCTCACAACCCAGGCATGTACCCTGACTGGAAATTGAACCGGCAACCCTTTGGTTGGCAGGCTGGCACTCAATCCACTGAGCCACACCAGCCAGGGCTCACTTACTATTTTCATATTATAGTAGAACTGAATGAAAATTTAGTTCATGGAAAATTATTTTTTATACATTTTAATTAGGACAGTGATATTAATTTTTTACAAAATAATTTTTTTATCTTTGAGTGCCATTAAAGTCCAATAGTGTGCTGCTGTTGTGATACATGTGCCATATTTTTTTATTGCTGCTCTGTATATTTTTGTTGTGTCTGTTGAAATAAACATAACATACAATTTACCATTTTAACCACATTTGAGTGTATAGTTTATTGGCAATAAATGTATTTACATTGTTACGCAACCATTACCACCATCCATCTCCAGAACTCTTTCATCTTGCCAAACCGAAACTTCATAACAGTTAAAAGTGTCTTCCTTCTTTGCCCTCCTGCTAACTTTCCATAACCTCCAGGCTACTTTCTGCCTCTATGAATTTGACTGTTCTAGATACTTCCTGTATAAATGGAATCAAACAGTATTTGCCCTTTTGTGACTGGCTTATTTCACTTAACATAATGACTTTAAGAAAATTGTTGATTCAAAAGCTAGAGCAGACCTACGTATTTTTCTCTTTAAAAAAATTAAATTTATTGGGGTAACACTGTTTAATAACTTATAACTTAAATATTAAGTGTACAACTTTATAATATCTGTATACTTTATTATACACCACCTAAAGCCTAGTCTCTTTTTGTCACCATAATATCTGACCCCCTTTACCCTCTTCCTCCTCCCCCTCACCTCCCTTCCCCTCTGATAAACAACATTCTATTGTTTCTATCTATGAGTTTGTTTTGGGGGTGTTCGTTGATTTCATTCATATCCTACATAAGAGTGAAATCATATATAGTTCTTGTCCTTTTCTGTCTGACTTATTTCACTTGGCATAATACTCCCAAACCTGTTCTTTCTGATAAACTTTGAACTTATTATGGCGGGAAGTAAAAAAGTGCTCAAAAAAATGTTGGGGACATGTCCAAGGGACATAAAAGCTAACTTGGAAAGGTTGCCAGTAGTTGCCAAATTGGGGGGGTTCTGAGCATTAAAATTAATAGGGACAGTTATAGATTATAATTCAATGAGTAAATTTTATACTGATGATAAATAGGGGGGAAGGGAAAGCTCTTTATTAGAATGCCAATTAATAAATGTAGAAGAATAATAGAGTTGGAGGGGAAAAAAATCACCATTTTGCACCTCATAGTAATGAGGGGAGAATTCTCAATGGATGCCAAAACTATGGGACAGAAGTTTGATGAGAGCAGAATATTTATGTAATTCCAAATATTTCCTTATAAGTCACTAATTGCAAAGGGAAAAAATAATAACTTGGAGGTGGAAAACCGGAAGATCCTACCTAATTCAAGTGCAAAGTTATCAATAATGGGACAAGTGGATATGATCCGCTGAGAAGAGTATGATATGACTTACATAGTACTCTGTCAAAGATACACAGCCTACATCTAATAATGAGGGAAGCATGAGACAAACCCAAATTAGGGACATACTACAAAGTGAGATCAGTGAAGTGATAACAATGCTGTTAAGTTTTTTTTATTTTCAAATACTCTGATACCTTTTATTCCAGTTAGAATATTCTTTTGGGGGATAGCACTAAGTACAGTGGGCTTATATGGGGGTGTATTAGTCAAGGTTCTTTTTTTTAATAATTTGAACACTATATAGATGTTAATTCTATTTTTGCTTTTATTTTATTTATTTTTTTAAGTATTTATTTTTTAAGATTTTATTTATCTTTAGAGAAGAAGGGAAGGAGAGAAGGAGAGAAATATCAATGTATGGTTGCCTCTCGTGAGTCCCCTGCTGGGAACTGGCCTGCAACCCAGGCATGTACCCTGACCAGGAATCAAACTGTGATTGAGTGGTTCGCAGGCCTGAGCTCAACCCACTGAGCTACACCAACCAGGGCTCAAGGTTCTTATTTAAAAAACAAATAACAACTATCAACTCTGGCTAATTTAAGGAAAAAATAAATGTACTAAAAGGATGCTTATTGGATATCAGACAGAGTCTTGAGAATAGCTGACAAAATCTTTAGGATGACTTGAAAAACTGAACTTGGAAAATGACTAGTAACAAAAAGAGGCTGGCTACACAGCCAAAGAGCATGTCACAGAGAATATAACAAGGACACAGCTTGCATGCCAGCAGTGCTATCCCTGGACATTGCCACAGTATTTACCCCCAAGAGCTAAATATTGCTGTTGATCTTACTATAATAATTTACCACTTCCTCACTTCTCTGCACCATCAGCTCCAGATTCAAAATCCCAAGCATAGATCTAGTCAAGGGCTTCAGGTTTCATGCCTTCGCCCTAACTGCCAGTGAAACTTCTCAAGAGAGGAATTCCTCAGACAAGCAGAAGATTTAACATGCTGAGCATACCCCACCTCCAAAACAAAGTCCTCTATCAAGGACTATAATTTGTCAGCCAAAATATTTAGTAGTCTGGCAGGGTTTTTTTTGCTGCTAATGTTAACAATTTTAAAGAGACTCTTAAGCACCCTGTCTGGAATTTGAATATTTATGGACAATTAGCTGATGATGTCTTCTATCAACTTTTTAAAAAATCACAAGTGTCATTCAACATACAAGGTCTGTCCAGAAGGTATCCAGCCATGTAATATGAAAAATAGAGACATTTATTGAAGAAGATACAAGAAACATTGTACATAGGACAATGACACCTCAGTCCATTCAAAGTAGGTTCTCCTGATCATCATCAGCTGCTCCGTCATATTTTCCTAAATTTTATTGATGGTCTGAAATTTTTTTCCTTTTAAAAAAATATATATTTTATTGATTATCCTATTACGGTTTTCCCAAATTTTCCCCCTTTTCTCCCTTCCACATGGTATCCCCATTTCTTCCATCAATCCCCCCCTTAGTTCATGTTCATGGATTATGCATGTAAGTTCTTTGGCTTCTCCATTTCCTATACTGTTCTTTTTTTTTTTTCCTATACTGTTCTTAACATCCCCCTGTCTATTCTGTACCTACCAATTTGTACTTCTTAATCCCTGCACCTTTCCCGCCATTTCCTCCTTCCCCCTCCCAACTGGTAACCATCCAAATAATCTCCATATCTATGATTCTATTTCTGTCTGCTTGTTTGCTTAATTTGTATTTTATTAAATTGTTGATAGTTGTGAATTGATTCCCATTTTAATGTTCATAGTTTTGATCTTCTTAAATAAGTCCCATTAACACTTCATGTAATAATGGCTTGGTGATGATGAACTCCTTTAACTTTACCTTGTCTGGGAAGCACTTTATCTGCTCTTCAATACTAAATAATGTCTTTGCTGGTTAGAGTAATCTAGGTTGTAGGTCCTTGCTTTTCATCACTTTGAATACTTCTTGCATATCCCTTTTGGCCTGCAAAGTTTTGAGAAACCAGCTGACAGTCTTATGGAAACTCGGTAATTCTCTGCTTTTCTCTTGCTGCTTTGAAGATTCTCTTTACCTTTAACCTTTGGCATTTTAATTCTGATGTGTGTTGGTGTGGTCCTTTTTGTGTTCCTCTTGTTTGGGACTGTGTGCTTCCTGGACTTGTATGTCTGTTTCCCTCACCAAATTGGGGATGTTTTTTCTTTCATTGTCTTTTCAAAATAAGTTATCAACTTCTTTCTTTCTCTTCCTCTTCTCCTTCCAGCCCCTCTGTGATTCGAATATTGGTACATTTGAAGTTGTCCCAGAGGCTCCTTACCACATCCTCTTTTTTGGGGTGGGGTGGGGTTTTGGGTTTCTTTTGGTTTTTTTTTTGGGGGGGGGTTGGATTCTTTTTTCTTCTTGCTGTCCTGATTGATTTTTTTTTCCTTGTGTTCCAAAACATTGATTTGATTCCTGGCTTCCTTCCCTTCACTGATGATTCCCTGTAAAGTTTCTTTATTTCACTTAGTGTAACCTTCATTTCTGCCTGAGTCTTTTTTATGCTGTTGAAGTACCTAACAAGTTCTTGAACATCTTAATAACCAGTGTTTTGAACTCTGCATCTGATAGATTGCTTGTCTCCATTTTGTTCTTTTTCTGAAGTTTTGTTCTGTTCTTTAATTTGGGCCATGTTTCTTTGTCTCCTCATTTTGGCAGCCTCCCTGTGTTTGTTTCTATTTATTAGGTAGAGCTGCTTTGACTTCTGTCTTGGTAGCACAGCCTAATGTAGAAAAGTGCACCCATAAGTTTGATGGGGCAGAGTCTAGGTAATGGCCTCAGTGAGGCAACCCATGTGAACCAAGTAGATGGAGTCTTGAATATGGTGCCACTTGCTCTGTAGCTGTGTTTGGAGGAGGGCTCAGGAAAGGGACAATAGCTGCTGCCTGGCCTCTGGAATTTTAGGAGGAAAGCTGCCCCCCAGCATTTTCCTTGATGCCAGGTACTTCTGTTTTCTTCTGTTATGCCACTGGTGCCCTTCAAGCCACTCTCAGGGTGATGGAGCCCAGGGGGAGTGAGTTTGCACAAGCCCTAAGTCCATTGCGGACCCATTAAGAGGAACACCTGAGAATCCCACAGTTTCTTCCGCCACCCCAACACCCACTAATTTTTACAACTAGAAGTTACGGGGATTTATCTTCCTGGCACTAGAACCCTGAGCTGGGTGGTCTGGTGTGGGGCTGGGATTACTCACTCCCCAGGTTTCCCTCCCAGTTTTTATCCACCACATGTGGATGTGGGACTGCACATTCCATGTCTCCATGTCTAAGCCCCTCCTACTCATCTGCATCAATTTGACTTCTTTAATTCCTTGGTTGTGAGACTTCAATACAGCTCGATTTTCTGATGATTCTGGGTGATAGTTGTTTTGTAGTTTAGTTATAATTTTTATCGTGGTTGTATAAGGAGGCATGCCATGTTTGCCTATACCTCCATCTCTTGAAATCTCTTCCTTTTCAAAAGTGACTTTAGTTCTGGAAAAAGCCAGAAGCCAGGGTGCCAAATCTGGGCTGTAGGAGGGCTGAGTCACCTGGGTGATTTGATGTTTCACCAAACAACTCTGCATGAGACATGATGCGCGAGCAGGCATATTGTTGGGATGAGGCTGCCAATCACCAGTTGCTCATAGCAGCAGCCTTCTGAGTCATCCAAGTAGTTTCTGCTGAGGAATGCTTAAGCTTAACACAAAAATTGATACAGATTCATTCCTCTACTTGCTCAGTCATTTTGAATATGATGGTCACACAGTACACATACTCACTCACAGATGTCTACCTCCTCCTCTGAGTAGTACAGTGAAGTTATCATTGTTCACACATACATACACATTCCAGTCCACTCTCCGTGGCTGCCAGGTTGAGCAAACCATTCTCGTTATATTAACGATGGCTGGACTTTTTCCGGACAGACTTCATGAAGTGCTAGACACTTAATGAGCTTTAACACTACACAATTTCAATCTCAGACCATGCTAATATGGACATAAAAATGTACCCACAATCAAATAAGCCAGAAAAGTGGAGTAATAATCTATTAAGTTCTTTTCTGGGGATGTACTACCTTCTTAGTTTCTATTTAATGGTGGAAATTACACACTGGAACATAAATACTTGAATTTTATTCTTAACCTGTCACTACCTGGTTCTTTGTGAGCACCTTCTAGAATCCACAGGTTGGGAGATTTTGTCTTTCCTCAAACTACTTTCATGAACTCATCAATCTCTTGACTACCATTTATTTAATTTATAGGTTGATTAATGTCCAGGTGCTATAATTAGATAGGTACGATCACTCCCTGCATAGTAGAAGACATTGTATGTGATGACTACTGATTTAAAGTCTATATTTCCATGGTGATTCTGGGAACCAAAGTAATTTCATAGCACTTGGGAGTGAGTTGTTTTCTGTTTTTGCTTTTTTTTTTTTAAATTAAACTCCGGCTGTTTGATAAATATTTTTAGGCATAAACAAAATGATTCCTTTTTCATCCATCATATGAACTCATTTTAAAGTTGTTGTTTTTTTCTATTTGTTTAGTTTAATACAGTTTTTTAGTAAAATGAAGAAGTGGATGGACATGTCAAACCTGCCACAAGAATTTCGTGAACGTATAGAAAGACTAGAAAGAAATTTTGAGGTGTCTACTATAATTTTCAAAAAATTTGAGCCAATTTTTTTAGATATATTTCAAAATCCACATGAAGAAACACCAAAGTTACCACGAAGCAGGAAGCAGAGGTGAGACCCTTAATCCTTACATCATTGACATGAAAATATTGGTATGAAATTACTAAGGGAATTTGTATTTTTAAAAGTTCACTTTTTACCAGAGGTAACCACCTGCAAAAACTGAAGTTTTTATTACAATTCATTTATAATTACTCATATCTGAGAATTCAGGTAGTACTTTCACTTATTTTTTTATGTTCTGATGATTTTATGCAGATTGGAAAGGCTTAAAAGTTTGTTTAAATTAACCAGAGGTCTGTCCTTTGTGAGTGGAATTTCATATGTAATTTGACTTTACCATTTGTTATTTATATGGCAGCTCTGGAATGATATTTAGCAAGTTAGTTATATAAAAAATACCTTTGTTTTCCCTTTTTAGGAGGACTCCTTGCACTGTTAAGGATCTCTTTAATTTCTGTTGGACACTCTTTGTTTATACTAAGGGTAAGGAGATACTTTCAGTGGTTTTACATTTCTACTGTGGGAACTTGGTGCTATTTGACATGAGAAGTTTCTGGTTTTTGTGTCTCTTTTTTTTCTTACAAAGGTAATTTTCGTATGATTGGAGATGATTTAGTAAACTCTTATCATTTACTTCTGTGCTGCTTGGATCTGATTTTTGCCAATGCTATTATATGCCCAAATAGACGAGACTTGCTAAATCCGTTATTTAAAGGTAAGACTTTATTTATTCATTCATTCATTCATTTTTCCACAGTTGTTCCAATATTCCCCCTTTACCTCCTTCTACCCAGGCAGCCCCCCCACTGCCATAGTCAATCCCTGCACCATTGTTCCTGTCTATAGGTCCTTCATATACAAGGGGGACAACCCAGAAAAACCTGGAATTATCTTCTGGAGGGCAGGCCTCTTGTAGTACAGGCTTCCCTGCTAGGTGGTGTTCTAGGAACCCATCTGTATCAGTGTACCAGCTGGCATTGTTTTGAAAGGTTGCGCTGGGCTTCAGTGAAATATTTTTGGAAGACTCTTTCACCGTGTTTGCCCATTTCATGATGAGTGATTTACGAACGCACCTGCCCATGCCACACTTAGTGTTCAGCTGTTTTTGACCCAAAATGGCATGACCCCTGTGACCTCACCCTCCTTATTCACGAACCCCTGCCCAGCAAATTTTCCCCCCTCCGGATGAAAAAAAGTCCTCAAACATTTTGCCAATGTGGAAGGGGGAAAACAAGAAGAGGCAGAAGCACTAAAAAGCATTAAAATTGATAAACTCAGAAACTGTTTCAAGCATTGGAAAAATGTCTCGATTAGGTGGTGTATTGCATCAAGTAGAGAGTGCTTTGAAGGTGACTGAAGTTTAAATACATAAGAATGAAAACAATTTTTATAACTAAATTCTGAGTTTATTGGGGGTTACCCCCTCATGTTCTTTGAGACCTTATTTTAAAAACTGATTATTTTTAGAAAAAGAGTTTTAAAAGTTGACCATATTCTTTTTCCCCGGCTGCTTTTCATACCCTGTCAAACTAGGTTTGCCATCTGATTTTCACACTGCTGACTTCAGGGCTCCTGAAGAGCCTCCCTGCATCATTGCTGTCCTGTGTGAACTGCATGATGGACTTCTAGTAGAAGCAAAAGGAATAAAGGAGCACTACTTTAAGCCATATATTTCAAAACTCTTTGACAGGAAGGTACTGTACTTACTATTAAATGACTGCGATTTATTTAAGGGTTAGCAGCAGCAACCTCAAAAGAAAAGACAATATTTTAAGTAGTCAGACTCAAGATTTCCAGGTTGCAGTCTTTGCTGTGATGCAGAATTGGCCTGTGATCTTCTGTGATGTGAGAACTGAGCTGTTGAAGAATGTGACCAACTAACTATACTGTCAAGTAAAAATACACTGTGAGAGGCAACTGTAGGAGGTTCTGATAAAGAATTATGAAAAACAAGAGATCCGAGTATGCTAATTTACTGCACATTTGAGTCAATCCTGCCTGCCTAACAAAAGTAGGATAGTGTATAACAACTATAGCTTCAATTCCTTATAAATAGAGCATAAAATCCCTTACAGCTTTGTAGACACCTGCAGGCCATCTGTATGCATTCCATATTTTTTTAAGCATTTACTTAGCTGTTTCTGTATTTATAAAGTGGCTTATTCATTTGGGTCCTCTTATTTCCCCAGTGTTTATCCATTTAGTCCAGCTAGACCTTGAGTTTGCTCTTTGATAAAAATGGATTTGGGATTAGGTCATCACTGTAGTCCCTCTCTGTCAATATTATGAGATTTTTTTTTTTAAGCATAAAGTCTTTCCTAACTGGGTTCTTTGTCTTTTCATATCCTTTTGTATTTCCTAAAAAATATTTTTTTGTCTGTGCGTGTATGTGTGTATATATATATTATGGTTCCTTACATGTATGCTAACATCTTCAGTAAACTTTTAAGAAAGATTTTTGAAATTTATTTTTAGAGAGAGGGGAAGGGAGGGAGAGAAGGAGAGATCGAGAAACATTGATCAGTTGCCTCTCAGTTGCCTCTAGTACGCCCCATACTGGGGACCTAGCCGGCAGCCCAGGGCTATGCTCTGACCGGGAATTGAACCAGCAAACCTGTAGTTCTCAGGTCGATGTTCAACCCACTGAGCAACACCAACTAGGGCATCTTCAGTAAGTTTTTGAAGGAACTAAAGACTTATGTGTCTTGTACTCTGAAGGAGCAGCACACTAGTGGCCTCTGGGTACGATGACTGTACAACTTGGTTTGCTTGGATTTTCTAGCTTTGGACTGTTGTCTTAGTGTAATGATTATAGCAGCTCCTTTCACTCCAGAAGTATCCTAGTTTGGACAATGGTCCTCCTTCCCATGGGCCACAGATGTTTTGCTTGGCCTATGTAAGGTATTCTTTATTTCATTTTAATTTTGTTCAATTTTTAACATATAAAGACCTTTTCTATGAAAACCTTTCAAAAATCAGAAGCTATGGCAGTATCGGATTGGAATTTCTATGTGACTACGTGGGCAGCTGTTGTCAAGTTAAATGATGGTCACCTCTTTGAAGATGGGAAGTATGCTTTCCGTTCTCATTATCTATGTATTTTGAACTCTGACCCCTGAGGGCATTTGAGTTTTCAACTCCTGATGTGTAGTAATCTTAAGTAGTGTGAGTACACAAAAGTATTAGTAACAGTATACTTTTCCTGTCACCAGTGATAGTGCTTATATTCGCTTTGAATCTTTTGCTTGCCTAAGATATTCAATATATGTTAGCTTCCTTTCTCCATAGACAAATATTGAAAATTGGATAGCTTTCTCTAGAATCACTTGAGAAATTTGCTAAAAATGCTGCCTCAGCTCAAGCCTTGAGGTCCATCACTTGGCATTTTAAACAAGTTCCCCTAAGTGATTAATATATGTCTAGAACTTGGAAACCACTGCTATAGACTAATTTTAAAGTATTTTCAAAACTTGACTTTAACTGTTTTTTAATATTTTATTTGCATACTGATTTCATTTTACTGGTCTGAAATATTTAGTAATTATATTTTGTGTTTGTATGGTTTATAACAACTACCAATGTGAAATTTTAGATAAATGTTGCTTTTATGCATATGTTATATGCTAATTACTTTTTAATTAAATTTATTAGGGTGATATTTGTTCATATGGTCTTAGGCATACATTTGTAGATATATATCTGTATATTGCATTGTGTGCCCACCACCCAAAGTCAAATAACATCTTCTGTCACCATATATTTGCCCCTCCTTTACCCTTTACTACCTCCATGCCCTCCTCCCTGGTCACCAGCATGCTGTTGTCTGTCTATACCTGTGAGTTTTAGTTTTATATTCCACATATGGGTGAAATCATGTGGTTCTTAGTTTTTTCTAACTGACCTGTTTTGCTTAGCTTAATATTCTCAAGTCTTGCTGTCTTTAAGTACATTTATTTAAGAAACCAAAATGGATAGATTCTCAAGATCTATCCATTTTGTTGCAGATGGCAGTATTTCATCTTTTCTTATGACTGAGTGGCATTCTGTTGTACCAGTATATGTGTACCATATCTTCCTTATCCAGTCCTCTGTCAAAGGACACTTCAGTTGTCTCTATGTCTTGGCCACTATGAGTAATGCTACAATGAACATAGGGGTGCATACATATTTGCAAATAAATGTTTTCAAATTTGTCAGGTAGATACTCAGAAGAGGGGTGCCTGGGTCATATGGTAATGCTATTCTTAATTTTTAAAGAATAAAAAAGGAATTGTCATACTGTTTTTCATAGTAGCTGTACCAGTTAACATTCCCACCAGCAGTGAGTGGAGATTCTTTATCCCTACAACCTTTCTAACACTTGTTATTACCTGTCTTGTTCATAACAGTAATTATAATGTGTGGGTAGGTAATATCTCATTGTAGTTTTGGTTTGTATTTCCCTAAAAGTTAGTGAAGTTGAACATCTTTTCATGTATCCGTTGGCTGTTTATCTTCTTGGGAGAGGTTCCTGTTCAGGTCATCTGCCCATTTTTTAATTGGATCGTTGGTTTTTCTGGTGTTGAGTTGTATGAGTTTTTTTAGTATATTTTGGATATTAACCCCTTGTTGGAATTGTTAGCAAATATCTCCCATTTGGTTGGTTGCCTTTTTAATTTGTTTTCGGTTTTCTTTTGCTGTGCAGAGCCTTTTAGTTTGATATGGTCCCATTCACTTATTTTTACCTTTACTCCCCTTGCCTTTAGACTCAAATTCATAAAATGTTCTCTAAGACCAAGGCCCCTAAGTTTAGTGCCTACATATTCTTCTGTGTACTACATTGTTTCAGATCTTATATTTAGGTCTCTGATCCATTTTGAATTAATTTTTTGTACAAGGGAATATGCTTTTTCTTCCCAGATTTTAAAAGGAGAATGCCTCCTGGACCTTTCCTGTTTTACTGATAATAGGTAAGTATGTAACACTAGTGGTATGTAACACCAATGGTATCCCTTGTATTACAAGCTGTCAATAATAATTTGTTGTAATTTGTTAAGTGAAACATTTTATTCAGGTTCCTACTGGTTTAGTAACATTGAGTGGGTGATGTCACCAAGTCTTGCCGTCTTTAAGTACATTTATTTTAAGAAATCATTGGCCCTTAAGACAGCTGCTCTTCAGAGAAAGTCATAAACAGACCCAGTGACTTCTGTATTTGAGTTTTTATTGTTTTATTAAACAAATGTTGGCAAATTCAGAATGTTCTTATAGTTCAAAGCCACTGTTGTTTCCTCAGTGATCAGATCTTAATTTAGGTTCAGCTAGTTTTCAGATTGTGTTTCACTCACCTTTCAAAGTAATTTATTGCTGTGTTTGTGAATGTGAAGAATGTTCGTCAGATAGGAACCTCTGATATTGTTAGATGAGCAGACTTAACAAAAACTAGAAAGTTTCACAGGAACAAGTATAAAGGACACATGGACAAAAACTAAGGCGGAGGGGAAATGGGAGGGAGGTAGGAAACGCTGGGGCGGGGGCTGGGATGGGAGTATAAGACATAAAACTGTACATGAACAATAATAAATTTAAAAATTAAAGAAAAAACTAGAAAGTTATCAGCTTTTTTAGGCTGTGGAGTCTAAATCTTTCTTCAAGTCAAGATAAATCCATTGTATTTTATTTTATTACTTAATTTTATTCTTGCAGCTTAAAGTATTTCTCTTTTCAGCAAAGCAGTGAACAAGGAGTATGAAGAATATGTTTTAACTGTTGGTGATTTTGACGAGAGGATCTTTTTGGGAGCAGATGCAGAAGAGGAAATTGGAACTCCCCGAAAGTTCACTGGTGACACCCCACTAGGGAAACTGACAGCACAGGCTACTGTGGAGTGTAACCTTCAGCAGCACTTCGAAAAAGTAATATAACCTAGACTGGCCTCAGTCTTGAATGATCTTTTTCTCTGTGTGTGTGATTCTACTAACAGCAGGAGCATCTTTCAAGTTAAATCTTGAGTCTCTTCTACTAATTCATATTTCCCATGAAAGCCTTAAAAGGTAATTTTTTAGAACTATGATATGTAGTGTTTTTATTGCATTTCTTGCTATTTTTTATATTTTGGGTATATTTTCCCAGAATCCCTGGGGTTTTTTGTAGAGTGTGTGTCTTGACATAAAGGATTTATGCTTTCTTTTTTTAATATATATTTTTTAAGATTTTATTTATGTATTTTTAGACAGAGGGGAAGGGAGGGAGAGAGGGAGAGAAACACCGATTGGTTGCCTTTTTTATATGCCCAAGGACCAAACCTGCAACCCAGGCATATGCTCTGACCAGGAATCAAACCAGTGACCTTTTGCTTTGTGGTAGGACACCCAACCAACTGAGCCACACTGGTCAGGGCTAGAAAGATTAATAATTTGGGAGGGGGGGGTTTGCAGAAATCATTTGCACCCTTTAGTCTTTCTTACTAATCTTTCTTTTTGTCCCTTTAGTCATTGTTCCATTGCTTTAAGATTTAGTTTGCTTACTTACTCATGACCAACTATGTGTCCTTCCTGAACTTTAGCCATAAAACTCTGAACTTGATTATTAATAGCCAAGACTTAATTTTGTCTACAAGTGTAAAATGGGTTAGACAATAAGATTTAATGGAAAAATTACTAGTCTAGAACAGCAACTTTCAACCTTTTTCATCTCATGGAATGTGTAAATAATTACTAAAATTCTGCAGCACACAAGAAAATATATCTTTTACTGACCTGACCAAAAACAATAGGTATAATTTTGATTAATTTATCATTATAAGCTATCCTTATTGTTCCCAGGTGGTTTAAAAAAAAAAATCAGGTGCCTATACTTGTATATAAGGATTTCTGGTACCCAGAATTTACCGATCACACACAACCTTATTATGCGACTTGAGTAGTAAGATGCAACTGTAGCCCTGACCAGTGTGGCTCAGTTGGTTGGGTGTCATCCTGCAAAGCAGAAGATCGCTGGTTCACTTTCAGTCCCTGGTCAGGGCACGTGCCTATGTTGCATGTTGGGCCCCTGGTCAGGGTGAGTATAAGAAGCAGTTGATCAATGTTTTTCACATCGATGTTTCCCTCTCTTTCTCTCACTCTCCCTAAAAATAAATAAATTGAAATACACTAAAATTTTTTTAAAGATGCAACTCTTATTATATTACCTATTATGGTTCAAGACAGGGTATTCACACCATACAGCTATTGTGTTCGCGGTTGTCATTTTTTTATTTGACCATCTAAGGGAAAACAGATTGGTGTCCCTGACTAAATAGTCAGGTACTGCATGTTTTAAAAGTTCCTGCAGCACACCAGTTGAAAATCACTGGTCCAGAAGATACAAAACCTAAGTCTTAGTCCAAGCTCTGCCATTAACTGTCAGCTTAAACAGGTTTTTTCACTTCTCTGTGCCTGTTTCCTCATATGTAAAATGAAAATGTATGTTATTTTTCAAGTGAATGTTAGAAAAATAAAATTAGATTAAGCTTTGAAAAATGTTACTGTAATATAAGAATGTTATCAGCATAATATTGCTAAAAATTTGGTGGGTAACAGAAGAAGAGGGGAAAAAAGTAGCCTACTAAATATGAATAGAGATGATAGTATATATACTGAACTAAACATGAGAGGGAAGGTAACTTTAATTTCACAGATTTTTGGGGGGGCTTTTTTTGCAGAAATCATTTGCACCCTCTACCCCACTGACAGGACGGCGGTATCTACGAGAAAAAGAAGCACTCATTACACCTGTTGCGTCAGCCACTCAGAGTGTGAGCCGGTTACAGAGTATTGTGACTGGGCTGAAAAATGCACCAAGTGAACAGCTTGTAAATATTTTCGAGTAAGTTCAATACCATTATTTTTCTAAAGGTCTCTTTTAAATTAGATTTTATATTCTATTCTATATTCAGTATATTCAAAATGCTTAAGATGGTATACATCTAGAAAGTTTTATTATACCATTTCAGTTACAAAATATGTTGACCTAAAAGCAAATAGAAATACCTATTAAAATTTTTATATAAATATTCTTATTATTATAGACTTTGAAGGTTAAATACATCTGAAAAGTTATTTAGCTCTGACATTCCTCTCTTGTAACTAAGTAATTCATTATTGTTTTTCTTTTTACATTGAGTTTAAATGGGTTCAGTCCTTCATCAAATGGAGGACTGATCACATATTGATGGTGCAACCACAAAATAGAACTTTATGCATTTTTTAAAAGAGGTAACTGTAAGAACCTGGTGGGATTCCTGTAGATAAAACCCAGGAAAGTTTGGGGATCCCCCTAAGACTGCAGCCCACAGGAGTTTCCCTCTTCTTAGACTCGTCCTCACTCAACCTCCAACAGTTCATTAAAATGGCCTTTTAGGCGTTCTTACCAGGTTTTTATGCTCCTTCTGCTTCTGCTCCAGAAGTATGCAACAATGGGATAGCTCTCCCAATCAACAGGAAGACATTGATAACTATGAAGTTCAATGTTTCCTCAATGATAGGTTTGCTACCTCTGAATCCTAAAAATGACACTGCCCTTCAGGAGCAACTGAAGTCCTTCAGAGCTCCACTGATTTCCCTTTATCTCCTTGTGTTTATAATTTTCATACCTATCATTCGAATAGTGGCAGGAGATGAGTAAATTAGAGGACCATGTGTATAATGCATCAGCAGAAATTATGTCTGTGAAAGAAAAAAAGTGTGTACGAGAGGTAACTGATGGATGTTTCTCATATTGTTGTTTCTCTCCCACATCACTGTTTCTCTCCCTCTCTCTTTCTCTCCCTTCTTCTCTCTAAAATCAATAAGCATGTCCTTGGGTGAGGATTAAAAAAAGAAGAAAACAGAAAAGTATGACTTTGATTCAAGGTCCTCTGAGACCCCCAGGTAAAAGAGCAGATAGAGGTCATCACACTGGAGCAATGGTCCATAAGACATTCCAGGTCTAATAACAGGTCCTTCAGGTCCTAAAGGTGTTTGGGGAGCAGTTGGCTGTCCTGGAAGTCATGGATTCTCAGGACCAGTGGGGAAGACTAAGACCAGGAAATCCTGGACAAAAAGGACAAAAAGTCAAAACAGGGAGTAGACCAGTACAGCTCCCTGATTATATTAGGGCAGGCCCTTTTAAGATCAGGTGGGTTGGTCAGGACACCCTCTACTACCATCTTATTAAAAGGCGCTTCACCTCCAGCTAAATAATCATTACAACTGACTCTGAGATCCCTTTGTGGTTCCTCTGAATGACCTTGGTTCTCATGTGGCTCCCAGTCTTCTCATGGCTTTGTCTCCTGGTCCTGGGTACTGCTTGGGCCTCTGTTCTCTATGCTCAGACCTCTACCCACTCCATTACCCCTTCATCACTACTGTTCCCTAGCACTCCTAACTGGGATGCCTTCAAGAAAAAGCAAATTAAAACCAAAATCATCAGGGACATGCAAATTAAAACAAAAAAAACTTACACCCATTAGAATGGCCACTGTCAAAATATACAAACAAACAACAGAAAATAACAAGTATTAGTGAGTATGTGAAGAAATTGGAACCCTAGCATGCTGCTGCTGATGGAGTTATGAAGTGGTATACCTGATATGGAAAACAGTATGGAGGTTCCTCAAATAAATAAAAATAGAATTTTTATTACCTAGCGATCCAATTTCTGCATATATATCCAAAAGAATTGAAAACAGAATGTCAAAGACATTTGCATACCCAAATTCATTGCCCCATTACTCAAAATAGCTAATATATGGAAACAACCTAAATGTCCTATCAGTAGGTGAATAGATAAAATATGGTGAATATATATATATATATATATGGCATATTATTACGTATTAAAAAGAAGGAAGTTCTGTTGTTTGCTACAACATGATGAACCTTGACGATACTAAGTGAAATGAGCCAATTACAAAAGGACAAATACTGCATGGTTCCATGTATATGTGGTATCTAAAGTAATCAGACTGACCGAAGGTAGAATGGTGGTGCTAGGGATTGAAGGAAGGGGAAATGGGGGGTTGTTCAAGGGGTATACAGTTTCAGTCATGCAAGATGAAAAAGTTGTAGAGATCTGTTTTACAATGGTGTGCACATACTTAATAATGTACACTTAAAAATTAAGAGGGTACAAGTAGCCAAGATGGAGGCATAGGTGGAAACACTGTACCTCCTTGCACAACCACATTTAAGGACAACAAAGAATTAGAAACAAAAACGCAATCAGAACAGACAAAAAATTGAACTGTACTAAAGTCTGACAACAATAAACCATTATCCAGATCGATAAGAGGAGCTGAGTTGGTGGCTGGTGGAGAGGGGTTCCCGGCAGGAAGAGACGGTGGTTGGCGTACCCGCGTGCAGGGAGGAAACAAGCAAACCCAGTGAGATGTGCAAGGTGGTTAGCTGACCACGGACACACATTCACGTGTAGATAAACCAGACAAAAAATGAGCAGTGAGACAAACCGTGCAAGCCAGGGCCCCAGCAACGGGAATTAAAGCCTAAAAGCACAGAATTAAAAAACTTTTGGGGATCCAGATGCTGGAAGAGGATCTCAGCCTCACAGGAAAGTTCGTTGGAGAGACCCACAGGGTCCTAGAAAGTACACAAGCCCACCCACGCGGGAACCAGCACCAGAAGGGCCCAATTTTGCTTGTGGGAAGAGGCAGAGAGGACTGAAATCTGAGAGTGGAACACACACCATTGCTCCCTCTCTGACCCCTCCTCCACATACAGCAGTCACAACCGAGAGACTGGGTTACCCTGCCCTGGTGAATACTTAAGGCTTCACCTCTCATACATAACAGGCCTGAACAGACCAAAACATTATGGCTCAAACAGAATAACAGATCAAAGCCCCAGAGCCAATACTTATAAGCGACCAAGAGATAGCCAACCTATCAGATGCACAGTTCAAAACACTGCTAATCAGGATGCTCACAGAACTGGTTGATTTTAGTGGCAAATTAGATGAAAATATGAAGGCTACACTAAATGAAATGAAGGAAAATGTGCAGGGAACCAATAGTGATGGAAAGGAAACTGGGACTCAAATGAACAGTGTGGATCAGAAGGAAGAAAAATAACCAAACAGAAAAGAATGAAGAAACAAGAATTCAAAACAATGAGGAGAGGTGTAGAAACCTCCAGGACATCTTTAAACGTTCCAACATCAGAATTATAGAGGTACCAGAAGGGAAAGAGGAAGAGCAACAAGTGGAAAACTTATTTGAACAAATAATAAAGGAGAACTTCCCCGATCTGGCAAAGGAAATAGACTTCCAGGAAGTCCAAGAAGTTCAGAGAGTCCCAAAGAAGTTGGACCCAAGGAGGAACACACCAAGGCACATCATAATTGCATTAGCCAAGATTAAAATGAAGGAGACACTCCTAGAAGCAGCAAGAGAAAAGGAGACAACTACCTACAAAGAAGTGCCCATAAGATTATCAGCTGATTTCTCAAAAGGAACCTTACAGGCAAGAGGGGCTGGAAAGAAGTATTCCAAGTCATGAAATCCAAAGACCTACATCTAAGATTGCTCTGTCCAGCAAAGCTTTCATATAGAATGGAAGGGCAGATAAAGCACTTCTCAGATAAGGTCCAGTTCAAGGAGTTCATCATCACCAAGCCTTTATTATATGAAATGTTAAAGGGAGTTACCTAAGAATAAGGAGTTAAAAAATATGAACAGTGAAAGGACAGCAAACTCACAGTTATTAACCACACCTAAAACAAAAGCAAACTAAGCGGACAGCTCGGTCAGGAGCGGAGCCACAGAAATGAAGATCACACGGAGGGTTAGCAACAGGGAAGTGGAAGGGGGAGAAGGTACAGAGAATAAGTAGCATAGACGGTGGGGAGAAAATAGATGGGGAGGGTAAGAGTAGTGTGGGAAATGTAGAAGCTAAAGAACTTATGACACATGGACATGAACTAAAGCGGGGAAATGTGGGGGGAGAGGTAGGTGTACAGGGTGGAGGGGAATGAAGGGGGGAAGGGGATAACTAATGGCATAATCAAAATATATTTTAAAAAATTAAGAGGGTAAATTTCTTACCTGCTTTTTACAACATAATAAAAGACAAAGAACCTAGTTGGGGAAAAAACAACACAAGATGCAGAGCTTTGCATTGGAACTTGACAAGAAGAAATATTTTTGCCATTTGTGCTGCCTACCTCTCTGAACATAATACTGGTCTGTTCAAACCTGGGATTGGAGTACTGAACCCTGCACTGGATATGTGGCTTTGGACAAATCACTTTCTGTCTACAGCCTTGGATTTGTTTCTCATTTCTGAATTGAGATATATTTTGTATTTGAATGATAAAAAGATAACAGTAATTTCAGGGTAACAGGGTTAATTGCTTCTTACTAAATATTTCTCTTTTTAGTGCTATATATTTTTTAAGACATTTTATTGATGGTGCTATTACAGTTGTCCCATTCCCCCTTTCACTCCCCTCCACCTTGCACACCCCTGTGACACACATTCCCACAATTTAGTTAATGTTTATGGGTAGTATATATGAGTTCTTTGGCTTTTACATTTCCTATACTATTCTTACCTTTCCTCTTTCTATTTTCTACCTACCATCTATGCTACTTATTCTCTGTACCTTTTTCCCCTCTCTCCCTGTTGATAACCCTCCATGTGATCTCCATTTCTATGTTTCTGTTCCTCTTCTAGTTGTTTGCTTAGTTTGCTTTTGTTTCTGTTTTAGGTGTAGTTAATGATTGTGAGTTTGCTGTCTTTTTACTGTTCATATTTTTTATCTTCTTATACTTAAATAAACCCCTTTAACATTTCATATAATAAGGGCTTGGTATTGATGAACTCCTTGAACTGGACCTTATCTGAGAAGCACTTTGTTTGCCCTTCCATTCTAAATGAAAGCTTTGCTGGGTAGAGCAATCTTAGATGTAGGTTCTTACCTTTCATGACTTGGAATACTTCTCTCCAGCTCCTTCTTCCTTGTAAGGTCTCTTTTGGGAAATCAGCTGAGTCTTATGGGCACTTCTTTGTAGGTAGTTGTCTCCTTTTCTCTTGCTGCTTCTAGGAGTCTCTCCTTCATTTTAATCTTGGCTAATGCAATTATGATGTGCCTTGGTGTGTTCCTCCTTGGGTCCAACTTCTTTGGGACTCTCTGAACTTCTTGGACTTCCTGGAAGTCTATTTCCTTTGCCAGATCGGGGAAGTTCTCCTTTATTATTTGTTCAAATAAGTTTTCCACTTGTTGCTCTTCCTCTTTCCCTTCTGGTACCTCTGTAATTCTGATGTTGGAACGTTTAAAGATGTCCTGGAGGTTTCTACACCTCTCCTCATTGTTTTGAATTCTTGTTTCTTCATTCTTTTCTGGTTGGATGTTTCTTTCTTCCTTCTGTTCCACACTGTTCTTTTGAGTCCCAGTTTTTTTCCCATTGCCTTTGGTTCTCTGTACATTTTCTTTTATTGTGCTTAGTATAGCCTTCATTTTTTCATTTAATTTGCCACCAAATTCAACCAGTTCTGTGAGCATCCTGATTACCAGTGTTTTGAACTGTGCATCTGAGAGGTTAGCTATCTCTTCAGTGCTTGGTATTTTTTCTGGAACTTTGATTTGTTCTTTCATTTGGGTCCTTTTTTTTTTTTTTTTTTTTTTTTTGTCTTAACAAGACAAAAAAAATCTCATTACGCCTGTTACATAGTGAGGGGCAGAGCCTTAGGTGATCACCAGGGTGGGTCATCCCACTGCAATGGGTTGTGATGCTCTCTATGGGGGAGGGGGCCAAGCGGGAACAGTGGCGCTTGCTCTGCTCTCTGCTGGATTTCAGGCACTTTCCCTGCTTCCCACAAGCAAATTGGGCCCTTTTGGTGCTGGTTCCCAGGTGGGTCAGCTTATGTATGTTCTAGGACCCTGTGGGTCTCTCCAGCGAACTCTCCTGTGAGGCTGGAAGTTTCCCCCCCTGCCTCAACACCCATAGGTGTTTTCAGTCAGTGATTTGAGGCTCTCCCCGCGCTGTGACCCTGGGTTCTGCAACACCCAGGTTCCCCTTCTTTCTCCTAGTTTATCTGTGAGTGAATGTAGGACCACCCAGTCTGCAATCCAGCACCTAGCTGGGTCCACCTGCTGCTGGATATAAGCAAAACATAGAGGATGTTGACTCTGCTAATGTTGAGATTCCTAAAAATATGCAAAATTATTTTATTTATAGGCTGTAGACTAGTTTCAAATAGGCTGTGTTTGCATACCTGGGTATATAACTGAGAATAGAACTTTGGTCACTAAAAAAACAAACTAATTCTTAAAAGAAGAAATGTTGCTAAGCTGGGTTTTTTCCTCCTGGTAACTGGGTTTCTTTTGTATTTTATAGATCTTGTATGCGTAATCCTATGGAAAATATTATGAAAATAGTGAAAGAAATAGGAGAGACTTTCTGTCAACACTACACTCAATCAACAGATGAGCAACCAGGATCTCACATAGGTAAAAACACTAAACTAAAGTTAACATGGTATTAAAGATAGATTTTCCCCCAAAGAAGTGGAAATTGAAGTTTTTTCCTTCCTTGCTATTCTTAATTTATCATATTTAAATTTATCTTTTGTTCTTTAGTCCTTAACAGCTCCTTCTCAATAGCACATTTTTCCTTTTTCCCCTAACAGACTTTGCTGTAAATAGACTAAAGCTTGCAGAAATTTTGTATTATAAAATATTAGAGACTGTAATGGTTCAGGAAACACGAAGACTTCAAGGAATGGACATGTCAGTAAGTAAATCCACTTTCTCAACCACTAGCAATGTCCAAAAATCTTAAGACTAGAAGTGTGTTAAGAGGTTCTTATAATGCATTGTTAGGGTCCATAGTTAATGTTAATGGCAGACTTAGCCAGAATGACAAATTAGTTGATCTTAGTTGTCTTCAGCACGTCTAGACCTAGACATCTCTAGTCAGGAATGTGAAATAAGTAAAATTCGTCTTTGGTACACTATCCTTTCCATTCAGGTCCTCTTTATTTGTTCTTCATTCAAAGCTAGGTAATAATGAATACCCTTCACCTGACTATAAAGCCAATTGATAATTAAGGCATTTGCTCATAACTCCCAGGGATTTTAGAGGAATAAATTCTTGTGGGGTATTATGAGGGGGTTTGTTTTGTTTTGTTTGTTTCATTTTCTTTGAACTTTTTATCAAATCTGACCACTCTCTGTAATTGCTATGGAAAGGAATTTTATTCCTTTTAGAAATATTATTCTTTAGGAATTTTATGCCTTTTAGAAATTCCTTTCCTTTTAGAAAGTCAAACCTATTATATATCAGTTTCATCCTCCTCCTTCTAGTCACTCTTGGAATCTTTTGACCTTCAGTTCCAATAGAAACAGGTTGATGTATAAGGGTGCAGCATAACTGTTGTAGTTAAAATCTCTTTGTTTCAGCCTGGAAATTTTCATCTCTCCTGTGTTGGTTCCCTTTTTCCTTGCTTCCTAAGAAAGAAGTAGATTTTCAACTTTTTATTTTGAAACAATTAAATTCACAAAAGTTGGAAAAGTATTATAGGAAAGTCCTATGTACCCTTTTGCCTCCACTGGTTACATTTTACATAGTACAATATCAAACCAGGAAATTGACATTGGAACAATGTATGTCTTTCTCTCCCTCTTTGTATCATTGTGTTACATGTGTAGATTATATATAACCAACACCAAAATCAGTATATAGAACTCTGTCCACTACAAAGATCTCACTTGTGCCACCTCTTTATAGTATCGCTCACTCTTTTCAGCCACTAATGTGTTTTCCACTTGTGTACTTTTATAGTTTGTTGAGGGTTATTTTATGATATAGGACATGTTTTTATCTTGGCAAATTCTGGGCCCTTAAAAAGTGTGTATTCTGCTGTTGTGTGGAGTATTCTGAAATGTCAGTTGTGTCCTGTTGATGGATGGTGTTGTGGAGTTCTCCATATCCTTGCTGATTTGCTGTGTAGTTCTACCAGTTGTTGAGAGAGCAGTATAGAAGTCTCCAAATATAATTGTGGATTTATCTATTTCTCCTTTCAGTTTTCTCAGATTTTTAAAATTCACATATTTTGAATTTCTGCTGTTTGATGCATACAAATTGAAGATTGCTATGTCTTTTTGGTAAATTGTTCCATTTATCATGGTAAAGTATCCCTCTAAATCTGGTGATTTTCTTTGTTCTGAAGTCTGTCTGATGTTGATAGCCACTTTTGTTCTCTTTTGATTAATGACTGCGTGGTATACCTTTTTTTCATCCTTTAGTTTTATAGCTACCTGTATTACTATATAGGAAGTGAGTTTCTTGTAGGTAGCATAGGATTCAGTCATATGTTTTTATCTATTCTGTCAGTCTCTTTTAATCAGTAAATTTAGACCACTTACATTTAATTGTTGATATGTTGGTGCAGCAATTTTCAACCAGTATGCCACAAGAATTTTTAAATCATATATTTCCTTTAGATTGTCATGTAAAAGACAACAGCCAACACAATAATAGCCATCTGGTGTGAATGAATCAAAATTATACCTATTTTTGTAATATTGGAAAAATATATTTTGGGGATGCCACAGAATTTTAGTAGTTTATGTGTACCATGAGATGAAAAAGATGTACCACAGTGAAAAAATCACTGTGTTAGGGCATAAATCTACGTTTTTGTTTGTTTGTTTGTTTTCTATTTGGTCTCTCTGGTTCTTTTTTCCCTACCTTCCTATGGATGACTTGAACATTTTTTAGACTGTATATCTGTGTGTTGATTGTTTTTAGTGGTTACTCTAGGTATTGCATTATACTTACACATAACTTCACAGTCCACTGGTATAGATAGATACCAGTTGGAGTAAGGTGTGGAAACCTTACCTCGCCTTAAGTCCTATTTCTAAAACTTTGTATAATCCCTGGCTGGTGTAGCTCAGTGGATTGGGCCCGGGCCTGCAAACCACACGATCATGGTTCAATTCCCAGTCGGGGCACATGTCTGGGTTGCAGGCCAGTTCCCAGCAGGGGGACTCACGAGAGGCAACCATACATTGATATTTCTCTCCTTCTCTCCTTCCCTTCCTCTCTAAAGATAAATAAATAAAATCTTTCAAAAAAATAAAATAAAATAAAACTTTGTATAATGTTTTTTATAGTCTCACTTGATTGGTAGTTGTCTGTATTTAGAATTCTAGATTGACAATCATTTTCCTTTGCCATTTTGAGGCATTGCCTCATTATCTTCTAGATTTTAGTGTTGCTAATTAGAAAAAAGAAGTCCAATGGCATTCTTTTTTCTTCTTTAAAAGATTTTGTTTATTTGTATTGAGAGAGAGGGGGAGGGAGAGAGAAAGAGGAAGAGAAACATAAATGTGTGGTTGCCCTTCACGTGCCCCCTGCGGGGGATCTGGCCTGCAACTCGGGCATGTGCCTTGACTGGGAGTAGAACCAGCAACCTTTTGCTTCCCAGTCCGGCTCTCAGTCCACTGAGCCATACCAGCCAGGGCAGAAGTCCAATGACATTCTAATTCTCATTATTGGTATGTGGCTTCTGTTTACTTTCTGGAATCTTAGTATTCTCTTTTTATCACTGATATCCTGCAATTTATAATAAAGTGCCTTACTGTACATCTTTATTCGTATATTGGGCATTCCTACAGAGTTGCTCTTTTAGTGCCAAAATTTGTGTCCTGCAGTTTGGGGTAATTTTATTGCATTACTATTTCTTAGATAATATGTGTCCCACTGAGTTATCTCACTGGAACTTTTAGTTTTCAGATGAGGCATCTTCTGAATTAATCTTATTATTTTTCTTTCTTTGTATTTTTCTTTCTTTGTATCTTTCTTTGTAATTCCTAGGGTATTTATTCAACTTTTTATCATCCAATCTTAATGAATTTCTCATTTTAGATATATTTTCATTTCTAAGATCTCTTTCTTGTTCTCTGAGGTTATTTAGATTTCTTCGAAGTTTTTTTTGTGTTGCTTTTATTGTCTGTTTCTTCTGAGTCTCTTGTCTGTTTATTTTGATCTTTGTATTTCAATGGAAGGTTTTCTTTAAATGTTGGATTATTCTTGGCTGTTCACTTATATTTGAATGAAACACTAAAAATGAGACATTAATAAACTCTTATGTTGACAAACAGCTTGATTCAAAACTCTGTATGCAAGAGTGAGAATAGAAGTCCACTAGCCTCAGATGATTATGTGATATTAGGGACCCTCAACTGTTGGTGTCTTCAAAGGCTTTTTGGGAATATTTTAGTTTCTCTAGAGAAGTCTCTGCTAATCTCTTGCCTCACAGTTGTTTTTGTGGAGCAGGAAGAGGAAAGGAGACTTGATCTCACAATTCATTCTGCAGACTTTCACTTACAACCTCAGTCTCTTCAATGCCTAGTGTTTTCAAGTTTCAAGTCTCTAGTTCAGTTCTATAGAGAATAATTTTTCGATCTGTTGAGGTAGACTAGAAGCCTACCATCTGACTTCTTAAGAGTAGGGGTTGAGTGGGTATAGTTCTAACTACAACAGACTTTGAAATCGTCCATGTTGGCTCCTTGCCCAACCACTGTTTTCTATTCCATACGCGCCTTCAGTTGCTTTGCTTCTTCTCAGATTGCATAGAGCAAATTCATTTGTTTTAAATGTCCCCTTTATGTTTGACCATTTTACTTTCTGCTGAGTAATTTGTCATTCTTCCATTTCCAGTTTCTACATATTATAGTTTGCAGTTATAGATAACTTGTAGTTTTCGCCAAAATAGTTTCTGGGTTTTTTCTCTGTGTTGATTGGGAGTGGTGTTTGAAAGAAGGATGGCACAGATGGGATGTTGAAAACTGAAAACTGAGGTTGAATCTCAGACTCAATGATGAAACAGGACTTTTATCTTCTTAGTAAAATATGTCTTGTTCTTAACTTTTTAAGTCTTAGTTGTGACATTATACTTTTGATTTCAGTATTTTGATTAAAAACCCTTATGTTGACAAAACGTTGGTAATAAATGTTGTTAATAAAACATTTGTAAAAACCAGCCCTGGCAAAGTAGCTCATTTGGTTAGAATGTCACCCTGATGTGCCAAGGTTGTAGGTTTGATTCCCAGTTAGGGGACGTATAAGACTCAACAAATGAATGCATAAATAAGTAGAACAGCAAATCAATGTTTTTCTCTCTCTCTCTCAAAATCAATAATTAAATTTTTTTAATTTAAAAGTTTTAATAAATAGTCCTAGTGCTTTTCTCTTAATGAGAATTTTGACTATTTTATTATTTGCTCAATTTTCTAAGCAGATTGTGATGCAGGCCTAATTTAAATATATCTACCACTGAGCAGGATTATATATTATAAGAAAACTCATTACAAGTTTGAGGATTCAAATATATATCTCTGATAATCCGCTGTTAGATAATATTCACAAGTTATTTTATGTTATTTTTATAGTCATTCTATAAACAAGAGACAAATGATGAAATGCTAGAAATGTTGAACTGTGGTCTTTCTCTTCTCCAAGGTTCTTTTAGAACAAGATATATTTCATCGTTCCTTGATGGCTTGTTGTTTGGAAATTGTGCTCTTTGCCTATAGTTCACCTCGTACTTTTCCTTGGATTATTGAAGTTCTCAATTTGCAGCCATTTTATTTTTATAAGGTGAGATTAAAACAAAGTTCTGTTGTGGTATACCTCACACTAGAATTCTATTTATCTAGAGACAAGAAAACACACACACACACACACACACACACACACACACAAGAATTCTGTTTATCTTAATGCTGAGGAAGCAAGCCATAGTGTTTGGAAAATATTTCCAGAGCTATTCTGAAAACATATATTCCTTTTGGGTGGAGTCAAGTACAAAAGAGAGAGAATGAATGGTATATATAGATTAAGCCAATCTCATAGCTTTGGTTCATTTTCCATCACTTACTGGCAAAGGTAACCAGGAACTTACTAGTTAACTTTGATTTTCCATATTTATGAATGAAAATCATAATCCTGGACTTACTGTCAACATGTCAGATAATTAAATACCATACTCACATTCTTCCACAATGACATGAAAATTAAAACTAAACTACAGAACAATAATCATTCAGAATCATCTGAAGTCTAACTGAACAGAAGTCTGTAACTAAGGATATGAGAAAAAAACCATATCAAGACTGAAAGGAAGTACAGAGATGCAGAACAGGCTGGTCCCACACCCAAGTGTGGCAGTTAAAAAATCAGGAAGGATGTCTCAGCTGCAGAGGTATCCCCTGAGGAATAAGGAGTCTGAGCTCCAGCCCAGGGCTCCAGTGCTGGCAAGAAAAGTCCCCAAAACTTGAGCTGTGAAAACCAGTGGGGATTCTGAGTGAGACGAAGGGCTTCTAAAGTCCAGGCATTCTCCTTAAGGGGCCCATGCAAGGACTTACTAGGACTCACCCCTCTGAGCTCCAGTGCTGGGGCTGCAGCTCAAAAGATCCTAGGGGAGGAACTAAACTGTCTGGCTTTGGGGTGACAATTGAAAGGAAAGCATTCTCCCAGACAATTCTGGCACAGGCCATTGTTCCTTTGCTGAGGCCTTCCCTCATAGAGCAAGGAGATAGGTGACATATCTGAGTCTTCATCAACCTGGCAAACACTGTTTACCCTCACCCTGTTGATTCCGAGATCCTGCCCTGCACAACTTTCAGGCCTACCCAGACCATTTCCAGTGGCTGTTCCACACAAATAACATGACTGTGTTCATACTGCAGACTTTCTGAAAGTCCCTCAAAGGTTCACAAACCCCAAACAAGCAGCATCTAGCTTCAGCCTTCCCTGTACCTCTTGCTAAGTGGCCCTAGGCTGAGCACTGACAGCATCACCCAGCCTTGGTTCACAACTTGGTCTGTCCCAGATACCTCCAAGCCCAGCACTGGTAGCAGCCACTTGCAGATCATGCTAGGGTAGCCCCAGGTAGGGCATAGGTGGCAGCCGATCTTGGCTTGCAGCTCCCAGGAGGTCCCTGGGCCAGCACAACTGATGGACAGCTTCAGACCAGGCCAGAGCATCACCCAACCACCTCTATAAGTGACACCCTCAAGGAGCAGACTTATTGGTCATTAGAGTCCTGCTGAAGCAAATCCTCAAAGGGGTCAGCCCCTCCACAGCAAGTCCACTGTAGTCATGGCCAGTTTTCCCAGCTTATGGGCCTTGGGGTAAATTTTTCCCATTGATGTGCCAACAGCAATCAAGGCTCAACTAACAGGAGGGTGCATACAGCTCATGGGGGTGGGGGAGTCACCTGGACACATAGCTGGGGTGATCGGGGTAGCTGTGCCACTGTACGCTACAGGACACCCACTACTAAGACCACTCTATGAAGACTTGGAGACATAGCATCTCTAAGTAATACATAGAAACAAACACAGGGAGGCAGCAAAATGAGGAGACTGAGAAATATGTTCCAAATTAAAATGTAGAACAAAACTTCAGAAAAAGAAATAAAATGAAGACAATCTACCAGATGAAGAGTTCAAAACAGGGTTATAAGAATGGTCAAATGCTCAATGAAGTTACAGGAAAAGTAGATGAACTTAGAACTTCAACTGGTAGATAGGAAACATAAGAGAAAGAAAACATTAAAAAGAACCAGTAAGAAATGAAGAATGCATTATAATAACTAAAATGAATACAGCACAGGAAACCAACAGTAGAGTAGATGAAGCAGAGGATCAAGTCAAAAGCTTCTGGGACAACTCTAAACCTTCCAACATCGGAATCTAGGGATGCCAGAAGGAGAAGAGGAAAAGCAAGAAATCGAAAACATAATAAAAGAGAACTTCCCTAATCTGGCAAAGGAAATAGACTTCCAGGAAGCTCAGAGAGTCCCCAGGAAGTTGGACCCAAGGAAGTACACACCAAAGCAGATATAATCACATCACCCAAGATTAAAGATAAGGAGAGAATCTTCAAAGCAGCTAGAGACAAGACAGTTACCTACAAAGGAGTTCCCATAAGACTATCACCTGATTTCTAAAAAACCTTGCAGGCAAGAAGGGGAAGTATTCAGCAAGTAGTACTTTAGAGTCAGTATTCAAAGGAAGTAGAAGAAAGTATTCAAAGAAGGAAGGAAGTATTCAAAGTCAGGAAAGGCAGGCCTGCATCCAAGATTACTGTATCCAGCAACTCTATCATTTAGAATGGAAGGGCAGATAAAGTGCTTCCCAGATAAGGTCAAGTTAAAGGAGTTTATCATCACCAAGCTCTTATTGTATGAAATGTTAAAGGGACTTACCTAAGAAAAAAAGATTAAAAATCTGAACAGTAAAACAACAACAAACTATCAACAACCAAACCTAAAAAATAAAAATAAACTAAGCAAAGAACTAGAACAGGAACAGATTCACAGAAACAGAGATCACATGGAGGGTTATCAGCAGGGCAGTGGGGGAAGAGAATTGGGGGAAAGGTACAGGGAATAAGCATAAATGGTAGCTACAAAATAGGGGGAGGTGAAGAATTGTATGAGAGATGCAAGGAACTTTATGACCCATGGACATGTTTTAAGGTGGGGGAATGAGGGAGGGGGAAAGGAATAAAAGTGAGGGGGAAAATGGAACAACTATAATAGCATAATCAATAAAATATTTTTTTAATCTTGCTATTTGCAATAACACAAAGGACCAAGAGCAGTAATTTTCAACCTTTTTCATCTCATGGAATACAAAATAATTACTAAAATTCATTGGCACACCAAAAATAATAATATTTGCCAATCTGACAAAAAAAATAGGTGTTACTTACAATAATGATAGTAACTACCTACCCTTTTTCCTCCAAACTGACTATAGAAAAATCAGGTGGCTACCCCTGATTGGAGTGGCTTGGTTGGAGCATTAGTACATAAACCAAGAGACTTGTTGTATTGATTCTTTGTAAATAGCCAGCTGAGATCAAAGTCCCTCTTCCTCTCTCCCTTCCCCTTTCTTTGATGTTTCTCTTCCTCTCTTTCTCCCTTCCCCTTTCTGGTTCTCTTCCTCTCTCCCTCCCTCCCCCTTTCTGTGATGTTTTTCTTCCTTTCTTTCCCCCTTCCTTGGCCTTTCTCTAAAATCAGTAAGCATATCCTTAGGTGAGGAGTTAAAAAACTAAACGTGCTTATACTTGTGTATAAGGATGTGTGGTACCAATAATTAACAAATCATGTGCAACCTTATTATGCGACATGACCAATAAGCTGCAGCTCTATTATACGACCTGTATATTTATGGTTCAAGACAGCACTGACACCACACAGCTATTGTTGTGCTGGCTGTTGCCATTTTTTTTTCTTTGACAATATAAGGGAAAAGAGATCAGTGCTTTTCCATCTGAATTGTCAATTGAGCGGGATTTAAATATTTTTTTTTAGTTTCTTAGGGAAAATTGCTTCTTTCTACTTTAATGTTTATGTGTATATTTAGCTGTTTAGCTTTACTGTTAGGAAATATATATAATTTTATTGAAGGGAAAAGTTTTTTTGCCCGTATTTAATAGCAATTTATTTTAACCCTTTTTTACTTAAGTGAAATGCCTTTGTTTTTTAACCATATAAATAACATACTCCTTAAAAAAATACAACTATAAATATTAAAATCACATTAAAATTCTAATTATAAATAATAATAATCACTTAATACTTTTATGTTCTAGATATTTACTCTTTTTTAAATGGAAATAAATGGCAACCTATATATTAGGTTGACCAAAAAAGTTCATTTGGTTTTTTTTGTGAGTTGGCCCTAGTAGTGTTTAGTTGTCCTTAACCTTTTCAGAACAATTTTGTTAGACTGTATTGTGACAGCTGTCATATCAGCATCCATTTTTTTAAAACATCAAAATTGGTGAATTTTTGTGTAACCATTTCAACATTGAAGATGGAAGAAAATATGCCAAAAACATTTTTGGCATATTACATTTTATTATTTCAAGAAAGTAAAAACACGACTGAAATGCAAAAAGATTTATTCAGTGTATGGAGAAGTGCTGTGACTGATGAAATGTGTCAGAAGTGCTTTGTGCTAGAGATTTCTTGCTGGATGATACTCCACGGTCAGGTAGACCAGTTGAAGTTGATAGTGATTAAATAGATATGTTAATTGAGAACAATCAGTGTTACAACACACAGGAGATAACTGACATACTGGAAATATTCCAATCAATAAAGTTATTGGTGAAAATGAAAAATGTATCTTTTATTAAACAGAAAAAACTGTATAATAAAATAAATAGAGTCTTTGGGCAACCCAGTATAAACAAAGTTTCTTTAACAATGTTATTCATTCTGTTCTTTTGAGCTATTAGGAAGAATAATGTGAATTCAAAATAGCAATAAATTCATGTTCAAAATAGCAGTAAATTCAAAATAGCAATGGACTGGGAACTAAATATCTGACTTTTGCCACTATTGGACTGTTAATAGTTTTCACCTATCATTGCCTTAGTTTTTCATATATAAAGAAAACATGAAAAACAGGTGTATGTGAAATATATATATATTTTTTTAATTTATTTTTAGACGGGAAGGGAAGAAGAGAGGGAGAGAAATACCAATGTATGGTTGCCTCTCGTGCGTCCCCTGCTGGGAACTGGCCTGCAACCCAGGCATGTGCCCTGATTGGAAATCAAACCTCCATCCTCTGGTTCTCAGGCCAACGCTCAATCCACTGAGCTATACCAGCCAGGGCAAATATTTTGACGATCTTAAAAACTCCTTCAAAGATATCCTTGGTTCTGTGTCATTAATAGGACCAGAACTTGTTGCATGTGCAAGCCCACCCAGTTTAGAACTGACTGCTTGAGCATACATTAACTTCTCAATGTTCTTGTCTCCAGGTTATTGAGGTGGTGATCCGCTCAGAGGAGGGACTTTCCAGGGACATGGTGAAACACCTGAACAGCATTGAAGAACAGATCCTGGAGAGTTTAGCATGGAATCACAATTCTGCACTGTGGGAGGCTCTCCAGGCTTCTGCAAACAAAGTTCCTACTTGTGAAGAAGTGAGTCAGGACAAGACTGATAATCTGTCATTTTATAAAATAACAGCTTTATTGAGATATAATTCACACACCATACACTCACCCATTAAGAGTGTACAGGTCAGTGGTGTTTAGTATAATCACACTGTGTGCAGTCTTCACCACCTTCAGTTTTGGAACATACTTGTCACTTCAGCAGGAAGCCATACCCTTTAGCTATCACTTTCCTACACCCTGTCTTTTCCCTAGCCCTACGCAACTAGTGATCTTTCTGTCTCTATTCATTTCCCTATTCAGGACCTTTCATATAAATGGTATCATACAGTATGTCATATTCCTGTTGTGATTGGCTTCTTTCATAATGTTTTCAAGATTCAATCATGTTGTATGTACCAGCATATCATTGCTTTTTATGTGCTTAATAATATTCCATTACATGGATATACCATTCATCATTGATGGACATTTGGGTTGTTCCCACCTTTTGACTTACAAATAATGCCTCTATGAACAGTAATGCACAAGATTTTGTGTGGAGATAAGTTTTTATTTTTCTTGGGTATATATCTAGGAGTAGAATTGCCGGGTCATACAGTAACTGTTTAAGCATTTGGGAAACTGTCAGACTTTTTTCCAGAGTGGCTGTACCATTTAACAGTCCCACCATCAATGTATGAAAGTTTCAGTTTCTCCACATCTCCAAACTACTTATCTGTCCTTTTTAAAAATATTTTTTAAGAATTTATTTTTAGAGCAAGGGGAAGAGAGGGAAGAAGAAGGAGAGAAACATCTATGTGAGAGAGAAACATCGATTGGTTTCCCTTTACACACACCCTGGATTGTGGGACCAAAGCCACAACCCAAGCATGTGCTCTGACTGGGAATTGAACTGGTAACCTTTAGCTTTGTGAGGTGACACCCAACCAACTGAGCCCACTGTTCAGGGTTTTCTTTTTGATTCTAGCCATTCTAGTAGGCATGAAAAGATACCTCGTAGTTTTTATTTGCATTCTTGTGATGACCTGTGATGTTCAAACATCTTTTCGTGCTTTTTAACTATTTATATATCATCTTCAGAGAAATATCTATTCAGATCCTTTGCCCTTTTTTAAATTGGGTTACTTTTTATTACTGAGTTACAGGAATTCTTCATATATTGTCTGTAGAACCATGCATGCAACATGTTCTGTCAGTTAGCTTTATATTTTCTTGATGAAGTCCTTTGGAATGAAAATTTTTAATTTTTGATAATGTGTAATTTATCTATCTTTTGTGGCTTATGATTTTGGTGTCATATCTAATAAACCATTAATTCCATCATTTTTAATATTTTAAATGTCCTCGTAAAGAATTAAATACTTTTGCCCTGGCTGGTTGTAGCTCAGTGGGTTGAGCACGGGCCTGCGAACCAGAGGATCGAGGTTCAATTCCCAGTCAGGGCACATGTCTGGGTTGCAGGCCAGTTCCCAGCAGGGGACCCACGAGATGCAGCCATACGTTGATATTCTCTCCCTCTCTCCTTTCCTTCCCCTCTAAAGATAAATAAATAAAATCTTTTAAAAAAAGAATTAAATACTTTTCATTAGTAGTATTTAGAATAAAAAACAGAACTTTGTCCTTAATATATATAAATAACACATTTAACATTTTAACATTCTTGAGAAATTGAGTGTTTTTTTAAGATTTTTTTAATTATAATTTATTGATTAATGCCATTACAGTTGTTTCATTTTTTCCTGCCTTTTATCCCCCTTCACCCAGCAATGCAATCCCTCCAGCATTCCCTGCCCTTAGTTAATGTTTCATGTCCATGGGTCGTGCATGTAAGTTCTTTGGCTTCTCCATTTCCTATACTGTTCTTATCCTCCCCCTGTTTATTTAGTACCCACCAACTATTCTCTTTATTCCCTGTACCTTTATCCCCCATTCTTCCTCCTCCCTGCTGATAACCCTCCATGCGATCTCCATTTCTATGATTCAGTTTCTGTTCTAGTTTATTTAGTTTGCTTTCATTTTTGTTTTTTAGGTTCAGTTGTTGATAGTTGTGAGTTTGTTGTCATTTTATGGTTCATAGTTTTGACTCTTCTTTTTTTTTTAGATAAGTTTCTTTAAAATTTTATATAATACGGGCTTGGTAATGATGAACTTCTTTAACTTGACCTTACCTGGGAAGCACTTTATCTGCCCTTCCATTCTAAATGATAGCTTTGCTGGATAGAGTAATCTTGGATGTAAGTCCTTGCCTTTTATGACTTTGAAAACTTCCTTCTAGCCCCTTCTTGACTGTAAGTTTTATTGTTGTTGGTTTTTTTAAGAAGTCAGCTGAGTCTTACAAGAACTACTTAGTAGGTAACTGTGTCCTCTTCTCTTGCTCCTTTGAAGATTCTCTCCTTATCTTTAATCTTGAGTAATTTAATTATGACGTGTCTTTGTGTGTTCCTTCTTGGATCCAACTTCTTTGGGACTCTCCGAGCTTCCTGGATTTCCAGGAAATCTATTTACTTCACTAGAGTGGGGAAGTTTTCGCTCATTATTTTTTCAAATAAGTTTTCAATTTTTGCTTTTCCTCTTCTCTTTCTGGCATCCCTAGATTCAGATGTTGGAAGGTTTAAAGTTGTCCCAAAGGTTCCTAAGCCTCTTCTAATTTTTTTGAATTCTTATTTCTTAATTCTGTTCCAGTTGAATGTTTATTTCTTCCTTCTGCTCCACATCATTGATTTGAGTTCTGGTTTCCTTCCCTTCACTGCTGGTTGCCTGTATATTTTGCATATTTCACTTTGCATAGCCTTCATTTCTTCCTCTACTTTGTATCTGTGCTCAATCATTTCTTTGAGCATCCTGATTACTGATGTTTTGAACTGTTGAATCTGATAGGTTGGCTATCTCCTCATCATTTAGTTCGTTTTTGGAGTTTTAGGCCATATTTCATTCATTTCATTTGGGTCATATTTCTTTGTCTGGGTGCACCTGTTACATTGTAAGGAGTGGAGCCTTAGGTATTCACCAGGGTGGGGCAACCCACATTGCTGGTGTCATGGTGCTGTATGTGGGGGAGGTGCTGTATGTGGGGGAGGGGGCTTCTTGTAGGAAGCAAGAGAGGGGAAAGTGCTGCTTGCTTGCTTGCTTCTTACCCTGCTTTCAGCCACTTCCCTTGCTTCCCACAAGCAGATTGTGCCTTTTCAGGTGCTGATGCCTGGGTGGATGGGTTTGTGTATGTGCTAGGGTCCTGTGGGCCCCTTCAACAGACTCACCTGTGAGATAAGTTTCTCCCACTGCTGTAACCCCATAGATTTTGAGACCTTAGTTTCCTGCACTGTGGCCCTGGGTTGCTTGGTTTGTCTCCCCAGTTTTTCTTCCTTGCTTCTCCTTGCATGAATGTTGGACCACCTAATCCACTCGCCACTGCCTTCCCTGCCCCTGTCTGCTAGCCGCCACAGCTAGTCACACTTTCTCATCGTCCTAACTGCCCCAGCTTCCTGTCTCCACCCCTTCTACTATTCTGGATGAATATTTCTTTAACTCCTTGGTTGTCAGACTTCCATACAATTCAGTTCTCTGGCAGTTTAAATTTATTGTTATCCTTCCTTTGGTTGTGCAAGGAAGCAAAGCTCATCTGCCTATGCATCCATACTTGCTGGAAGCCGGAAATTGAGTTTTTTCTTCACCTCTGTTATTCTTTTGTAATTTTTTTCATTCCTCCTTGCTTTTTCACCTCCTTTTACTTTAATCTTAAACTTTTCCCTAATTCCAAACTATTGAAGGAACTCTCCAAGACTAGGAAGAACTTAAAAGAAAATGGTTTCTAAAAAGAATCTCTCTTCCATGAGTCATTTTTTGTAGCACTGTGATTAATGGGACAATCTTTAGTATTCATCATTATTTCTATTATAAAAATCCATTGGGGAAGTGATTAAAAAGCTATTAACTTGAAGGAAAAGGATTTGAATTGAGGCTCTTTCTCTGTTAATTAGTAGTAGGTGTGTCCTTGGGCAAATTTCACATTTTGAGCCTTAATTTTTCCATCTCTAGGTGGAGAATGATAGTGTCTACCTCACAGGTGTACTTCTAATTGTTAAATAGATACATTATGAGATTAAGTGAGATGAACTCTTTACGTATATTTAACAACATTAACTATTGAGCACTTTAAGTTTTTTCATTTTGTGAAGAAAAAAGGAAGGGGACATTATGTAGTAAAAGAAATTAAGAAGTCTCCATTTTTTTCTGTTACAAGTTTTCATAAGTAGGTTTACCTGTATATAAAGCAAAGGGTTTTTGTTTTCAACAGGTTATATTTCCAAATAACTTTGAAACAGGAAATGGGGGAAATATACAGGGACATCTTCCCATGATGCCAATGTCTCCGCTAATGCATCCAAGGGTAAAAGAAGTTCGGACAGACAGCGGAGGTCTTCGAAGGGGTAGGTGCAACGTTGGCAAAGCAATGAAAAATAACAAAGATCATTTTTCCAAGAAACTTTCAAGTATTTTTTTTTATCCTCACTGGAGGATATGTATCATTTTAGAAAGAGGGCAAAGGAGAGAAAGATTGAAACATCAGTGTGAGAGAAAAACATTGATCTGTTGCCTCCCATACATGCCTCAACTGGGGATCGAACATGCAGCCTAGGTGTGTGCTCTGAACAGGAATCAAACCCGCAGTCTTTTGGTCTATGGGATGATGCTCCAACTGAGCCAGTCTGATTAATGTGTTATTTATTTCTTCATCAGGATTTGAAGGGGGCTAAATGCTTACATCAGCATCATAGTGTGGCTTGTTCTATGCTTTTTTGCGTTAAAGTAATAAGATTTCCAGTCTAATTTTGAATATCTATTTTTTAAGATTATTTATCTTTGAAGGACAGGGGTAGCTTTTTTCATTTAGCATATTTTTAAAGTATATATATACCTTGAAAAGGTATACTTCAAGGTATATATATATGTTGCAGCATGTACCACTACTTCATTCACCTTTATGAATGAATAATGTTTTATTGAGTGGATATTGTGTGTTTTTTCATTAGTTGATGAACATTTTGATTATTTCCACTTGTTGGCTATTATGAATGATGCTGCTATGAACATTCAGGGCGTATATTATTTTTATAATTAGAGGAACAAGTTATTTTCTTGTAAGGGTTCAGGCAAGAGAATCAACTAATAGAAAATTTTTAGAAAACAATAATATTGAGCCTTGACTCTGGGGAGATCAACCTACTTTACCCTTAACATTTTGCTCTTTTAACATAGGCAGAGGTTCAAGAAACCAGGAAGTAAGCTATCATTTTCACATTTTATTGTAAGGACTTACTGCAGGCCTACTTTCGTGTTAGTCACTGCTGGATTCTTATTGCCTAGAATGGTAACTCAGTTTCTTTTTGTCGAATGAATGAATGAAACAGGTTCATTATTTTGGAATACATATTAAATCGCTTTAAATTTATTTTTCTCTTTACTAGATATGCAGCCATTGTCTCCAATTTCTGTTCATGAACGCTACAGTTCTCCTACTGCAGGAAGTGCTAAGAGAAGACTTTTTGGGGACGACCCCCCAAAGGAAGTGCTTATGGACAGGATTATAACAGAAGGGAAAAAATTGAAAATTGCTCCTTCTTCAAGCATTACAGCTGAAAACATATCAATTTCACCTGGACAAAGTCTTTTAACAATGGCCACAGCCATAGTAACGGGGACAACAGGACATAAAGTTACGATCCCGTTGCATGGTAACATTTTAATGCATTTATTTTATATTCTTTTCTGAGTTGATAAAATTTAAAATACATCTTACTGGATTGGATCACATGGCCTTGCTAATCCAGGATTTTTTTTTTTACTTAAATTTATTTATTTATTATTTTTAGAGCAATTTTGGTTTATAGCAAAATTGAGTGGAAGGTACAGGAATTTCCCATATACTCTTTGCCCCCAAACACACACAGCCTCCCTCACCATCAGCACTTCTACACCAGGAGGTTACATTTGTTACAACTGGCAAACCTACACTGACACATAATCATCGCCTCCAGTCCAAAGTTCACATTAGTGCTCACTCTTGATATTGTATATTCTGTGGATTTTGACAAATGTCTGGCGACACCTCTGAACCATTATAGTATCACACAGAATAGTTTCACTGCCTTAAAAATTCTCTGCCCCACCCTTTCTTTTGTTTTCAGCCTGTACTTTCTCCTTGAATTTTCACATTTTATAAATATACTACCCTTCTTGTTAGGACTTATTTTCTTATCTAAGCTTTACAAATGAGTATATTGAGCAAGAGTGCTGTTTTTTTATTAAAAAGTCTTTAAACGCTCTAAAACAATAGAAAATAATGCTATAACTTAGAATTACTATTTTTGTGGCTTTCCTCTCCTTTTCTACTATATTCCTATGCTTATACACTTAGGTGGATAGATATAATTGACAACTTTTCTGAAGCACATACAGCTTCCTGCTAAAACAGAACTCTTGTTTGTACATTTAGGTATTGCAAATGATGCTGGGGAGATCACACTGATACCAATTTCCATGAACACAACTCCAGAGTCCAGAGTTGAGAGTCCTGTGTCACTTACTGCTCAGTCATTAAGTGGTGCTTCTCCAAAACAAACTCATCTGACTAAAGCACAAGAAGTACATCCAACCGGACTAAGCAGACCAAAGAGAACTGGGTCCTTAGCACTCTTTTATAGAAAGGTACGTGATTTTATAGCGTCTAAAAAGATCTCATTTAATCACTCCAAGAACGATTGAGTAACAGCAGCTTTTGTTTCTTTTTTGTGTGTGTGGTAAAATATATGATTTTAATGTTTTTTTTAATCCTCACCCAAGGATATGTTTATTGATTTTAGAGAAAGAGGACAGGCGAGAGAGAAACATCGATCAGTTGCCTCCCATATGCACCCTGACCAGGGGTCATACTGCAACTTAGGTGCCCTAACCAAGTAATCAACCCCTCAACCTTTTGTTGTTTGAGATGATGCTCCAACAAACTGAGCCTCTCAGCTGGGGCAACCGTGAATTTTTTGTTAGAAGAAGAAGCCATCCAGAATATATGTATCTTGGGGACTTCTGGTCAAGAGGAGGTGTAGGTAAACACCGTTCACCTCTTCACACAACCACAGCAAAAATTATGACTAAACTACAGCTATCACCTAGAATCATTAGAAAATTGAGCTGTACAGAAGTCTGCCAACTAAGGAATTACAGTAGTCACATTCATCCAAACATGTAGAAAGAGCAGAGATGTATGGAGATGGACCAGGTAGTCCCACACTTACATCTGGTGGATAAAAATCGGGAGGGAAACTTTGGGAGCAAGGGATCTCAGCGCCACACCAGATCACCCAGCCCAAGGTTCTAGTGCCAGGAAGATAACTCCCTATAACTTCTGCTATAAAAATCAGTAGGGGTTGGGGCAGTGGAAGAAACTGCAGGATTCTCAGGTCTCTGCTCTTAAAGGGCCCGCAACGGACTTAGGACATATGTAGACTCCTTCTGGGCTCTAGCACCAGGGCAGCAGCCTGAAGGATAGCAGTGGCATACGTGGAGAAACCGAAGTGTCTGACATCAGAGTGAGTCTAGAGGACAGATCCCTTCTGGATAAAACTCCAGAGGCCAGACTGCAGCCACTGTCCCTTTTCTGAGTCCTCCTGCACACAGAGCTACAAAGCAGGTGGCACCATATCTGAGACTCCATCAACCTGGTTCATATGGGTTGCCCCACCTAGGCCATTACTTAAGACTCTGCCCCATCCAACTTACTGGTGTGCATTTCTATAATAGGCCAAGCTACTAAGACAGGGAGTCAAGCAGCTGCACCTAATAAATAGAAACAAACACAGGGAGGCTACCAAAATGAGGAGACGAAGAAATATGATCTGAATGAAAGAACAGAACAAAACTTCAGAAAAAGAACTACAGAAGGTGGAGATAAACAATCTATCAGGTGCAGAATTCAAAACACTGGTTATGAAGATGCTCAGGGAACTCATTAGGTACTTCAACAGCATAAAAAAGACCCAGGCAGAAATGCAAGTTACACTAAGTTAAATAAAGAAAAATTAGACCTGGTTGGTGTGGCTCAGTAGATTGATTGCCAGCCTACAAACCAAAGGGTTGCTGGTTAAATTCCCAGTCAGGGCATGTGCCTGGGTTGCAGGCCAGGGCCCCAGTAAGAGGTGCTTGAGAGGCAGCCACATATTGATGTTTCTCTTCCTCTCTTTCCCTCCCCCTCTCTAAAAACAAATCTTTTAAAAAAAAAAAAAAGAAAGAAAAAAAATGTACAGGGAACCATCAGTGGAATGGATGAAGCCAGGAATCAAATCAGTGATTTAGAACATAGGAAGAAAAAATAATTTAAAAAAAAAATGAGGATGTGGTAAGGAGCCTCTGGGACAACTTCACATGTACCAATATTCGAATCATAGGGGTGCTGGAAGGAGAAGAGGAAGAGCAAGAAATTGAAAGCTTATTTGAAAAAATAATGAAAGAAAACTTTTCTAATTTGATGAAGTAAACAGACATACAAGTCCTGGAAGCATAGTCCCAAATAAGAGGGACATAAAGAGAACCACACCAACACACATCATAATTAAAATGCCAAAGGTTAAAGGTAAAGAGAATCTTCAAAGCAGCAAGAGAAAAGCAGAGTTACCTACAAAGGAGTTTCCGTAAGACTGTCGGCTGATGTATCAGAAGAAACTTTGCAGGCTAGAAGGGACTTGCAAGAAGTATTCAAAGTGATGAAAAGCAAGGACCAAACAACCTAGATTACTCTAACCAGCAAAGCTATCATTTAGAATTGAAGGGCAGATAAAGTGCTTCCCAGACAAGGTAAAGCTAAAGGAGTTCATCATCACCAAGCCATTATTACATGAAATGTTAAAGGGACTTATTTAAGAAGAAGAAGATCAAAACTATGAACATTAAAATGGGAATCAATTCACAACTGTCAACAATTGAATCCAAAAAAACAAGTAAAACAGAAACAGAACCATAGATATGGAGATCATTTGGAGGGTTATCATTTGAGAAGGGGACGGGGGAGAGTGGGAGAAAAGGTACTGGGATTAAGAAGTACAAATTGGTAGGTAGCGAATAGGCAGGGGGAGGTTAAGAATAGTATAGGTCTGGCTGGTGTAGCTCAATGGATTGAGCATGGGCCTGCAAACCAAAGGATCACAATTCAATTCCCAGTCAGGGCACATGCCTGGGTTGCAGGCAGTTCCCAGCAGGGCACACATGAGAGGCAACCACACATAGAGGTTTCTCTCCCTCTTTCCTTCCCTCCCCTCTTAAAGATAAATAAAAATCTATAAAAAAGAAAAAGAATTTAATTGCTTTAAAAAAAAAAGAATAGTATAGGTAATTGAGTAGCCAAAGAACTTTATATGCATGACCCATGGACATGAACTAAGGGGGAGGATTGTCAGAGGGAATGAGGGGTACCAGGTGGAAGGTGGTAAAGAAGGAAAGAGTGGGACAACTATAATGACAATAAAATGTTATTTTTAAAAAATATGTGTAAGGCATTGGATCAGCTCTGTAAAAGACATCTAACAATTATTACTTAATTACATATTACATTTAATCCACACTACGACTGTATCTGTTATCTTTTTCATGAATGTAAAGTTCTAGCATCTTTTTCACTGCTCCGGCCCCAGTAGTTCCAGACACAAGGAGGGGATGCTGAAAATGAGTTGCTATAAAATTAATCACAGGTAGCTTTGGAGTCAACCACTTGTCTCTGTCTTTCTATCAGAGCCATGTATTAGGTAACTTACATTTGTTTTTATGCTGTGTAGATTTTTTTCCCTGCCAGAGATACTTTTCTGTAAGTAATACCTTGCTCTTTTTTAGTTTTTTTCCCTGAACATGTCGATTTAAAGATTTAGTTTGAGCAGAATAGTCTGGTTTAGGATTACCACAGGAAGGTTACCATTTCTTTTTTTTTTTTTCCATTTCTTAAAATAATAAAACATAATGCTTCTGAGGTGATTAGAAACATTTTAGAATCTTGCAGGACCTTCAGGTCCTTTCCAGTTCATCTGATGACTAGTGTAGATAAAAGGCTTAGGGCATTGCGCTAAAATTATTCTGATTAAAAAAATCCAGGTATCTCATTTAAAATCTCTTTCATATGTTCATAAAAACAATGTAGACTGCATGGGAAAGTCTTTAAATGGTTTTGCTTTCTGACTCATTTTTTGAGTCAAACATTCATTTTAGTTATTTATTTTCTGACATTTTAGGTTTTCTAGCAATTTTGTCTGAACCTTCCCCCCAAAAAAGATACTTCTGAACACTTGAAAAATTACATATTCATAATGGTCATAACACAGGTAAATTCTACATTTTAGTGTTTCTTTATGTAGATGGCAGCATAGAGTATCAGGAGACATTTGTCTTTTCAAAAATTATTTTTTTAAGGTAGTTTTTTTTTTTTTTAAGAGAATGTTGCTTTAATCTATTTCTCTCTGCCATAGCAGTGAACTAGTACTATAGAATGGAAATTTTATGTAATTTAACATATCAACTGCCTCGGTGCTTGTTAATCTTGACCTTAGAGCCCATGTTCATGGTAAGTCATAAATTTTAGAAATTATTTTTACTTGTTTTGTTGCATCAGTGTGCTACCTTCTATCTTAGGTCTATCACTTGGCAAGTGTACGCTTACGTGATTTATGTTTAAAACTGGATGTTTCAAATGAGTTACGAAGGAAGATATGGACGTGTTTTGAATTCACTTTAGTTCACTGCCCTGACCTAATGAAAGACAGACATTTGGATCAGCTCCTTCTTTGTGCCTTTTACATCATGGCAAAGGTAATGCGTAAGCTGGGGGAAGTTCTTTGTACTGGTTGCCTGTATTTGAAGTATGAAGTAAAAATCTGTTGCACTTGATCTTTAGTTTGCCTTAAGTGCTGTAAGCTAACAGTACCCACCATCATTGATGGAGTAGTAAATTCCAGCTACTATGCCTATTCTCTGGATTCTCCATTTAGTTTTACAGTAATCAGCTTTCCCACTCCATATGTATGTGTTGGTTGTAAAGAATTCAGAAGAGGTCTTAGAGACCAGTTGTCGTAAAGTAGCTCTTCCCGCTATTAATGTGACAACACCATACCCCTGTGATACCTGTAATCTGGCACTTTAAAGTAACATGTTCATTTCACTATAGGTGAATAACCGAGGCCCAGAGCTGAAAGTTACCTTGGCTAATGTTCTACAATAAGTGGCAACCTAGGACCTAGGATCTCCTGATTAATAATCTAGTATAAAATAGCTTCTATGACATACTTCTTTCCTGTAACTTACGGTGCCACCTCTGAAGAATGCTTTATTCTCTGCTTGCTGCAGCATGTTTTAGGTTATAAAACAACTTACCTTCTTTTTTAAGTTTCTGCTGTATCTGAAACAATCATCTGCAACTTTGGTCACGACTGTTGGCTACACTGGCTGTCCTCGCAGACATACACAGTTAAGTCCTAATTGTTAAGCTTTTTGAGGCAGGCAGAGGACATGTTTTCACATTTCTTTGTGGCACCTGTCTCAAGGTGTCTTTAAAATCTTTGTACAGGTGCTCTCACGGTCTCAAACCTGTTCCAGTGTGCTTCGCTTGCTTTCTCCTGAGCTTCAAGAGCCCTTCTTTGGCCTCTGTTTCCTGAGCCCACATCCAGCTGACACTTTTCCTGCTCTGTCACTTTCTAAATAAACTTTAACTACAATTTGAAAAACAAAAAAGCTCTATACAAACAGGTATTAATAAATGGTATTAACTAATCATGTGTGTATTCCAAAGAACAACAAAGCTCAGGCTTTGCTGTTTTCTAGCTCAGCTTATGGAGAACAGGTTAAATGCTGATGCACTGTGAAGCAGAGGAAGAGAGTAATTTAAGTGAACTTCATTGATAATGAATAGACCAGAAGGTATTTTTTTATGGATCACGGATGTATTTTCTTACTTTTAGCCATCACTGCGACTTTTCTGTCAAAGCATTAGAACCATACAGTCTGTCCTAACATGTTAGAAGCCTAATCCTATGATAACCTCTCATTTTTATTGTGAATCACCACAAGACATTTTTTATAATTAAGTATGTAATTAGTTTACTTTTAAATAAGTAAATGAAATTTAATAAAATGTAAGACTGCACGGGGGATTCAGCACATTTGAGGGGGTTTTTTGGTCATTTAAAAACATTTTATTGTATCTTTTTGTATTACCATTTAGCCCCCTTATATCACCCCTGCCCCGATTTTCTTATCATTCTTTTTACAAAGAAAGTCATTTTCAGTAAAGCCATGCTATAGCTATCTTGGTGCTTTTGATTAATGAAACTATTAGCTAGGTCCCCACAGGCCACAAAACCTGAACTTTGAAGTTAGTACAAATCATATGTGGTAGAGGTTTTTAGTCATGGACTGGCCTAAGGTTAATGGCTTTCTGCAAGATTGCTCTCCAGTGCCAGCCTATAATTGAGGTGTTTGTTCAGAGCCATTTTTCTTTTAAGAGCAGTTGAAAAATGCAGTTTTTCTTTTCCTTAGGTAACAAAAGAAGAAAGAACTTTTCAAGAAATAATGAAAAGTTATAGGAATCAGCCCCAAGCTAATAGTCATGTGAGTTACATTATGTTTCTTCTTGTCCAAAATTAGATTTGTATTTCTCTCATGAGAAGTCATGTAAAAGATAAATTTCTTTTATAGTTCTACTGTATTTTAGGTTTTTTGGTTTAATAGATAATCATTAAATTCAAGAGACAGTTTCAGTAAAAGCCAGGCCATTGGCTGTTCCTGACTCCCACATATATTTGCATATACTTTTTACACAGTTTCCTTTACCATTTGTTCATCAGTTGAGTAGGAACATTTTTCGCTAGAAAATCTAATTAAAAATATATAATAATAATCTTTAATTGTATAAGATTTGATTCTCTGATATTTAAATCCAGTGAAAATTGAGGATTTATTAACTTAAATTTAATTTCTTTTGCCATCTGCTAAGAATCATAGTGTTTGTATCTTTGAATAGATGTCAAGCATTTCTGATAATGTTGTTATAATAGCCGTGGTGAGAATCCTTTACAACTTTTCAGTCATGCAAATATACAATGTTAGCATAGTGGACCAGCACATGGTAAGCGTTCATGACTCTTAGGTCCACGTTGTTGTTATTATTGGTAGCTGAAAACACAGACTTACGTTACGCTAAGGCTTTGGCATTCAAGATCTTGGTCGCTCTGCTTCAAGGGAGTATAATGGCCTCTTCTCTGGCCCCCACGATCCACCATCTTAGGAAGAAAGACGGTGGGTCAGTATCCCAGCCTGGTGTGATGGGCTCTTCTAAGAGAGCCCCTCCAGTAGTTTTGTTGTCAGTGGAAATCAGGCTTTTCCACAGGGATCACAAAGAATGCGTTCCAGGAACCCACACACAGGAGATTATGGTGTGGCAAGGTGGTTTATTCATGTGGAAGGCTGTCCCTATGTCCCCTCTGTCCTACCTCCACCCATCCAGCCACAGAAAAAGTCCAGCCATGTCCTCAGCAAGGCCAAAATGAAAGCCAGTGTCCAGATTGTCTCTTCATACTAGAGCTTAGTCTTTTGGAGCCCACACCGTGTGCCACAGGCCCTAGTGTCTGCTGGGCCCACATGGTCCTGGGCAAGGAAGAGCACATGAATGAACTGGGCAAGTACAGATTTTCAAAATAATGAAATCAACTTTCCAAGCTTTTGTGGGTTTCTGATGAGTTCACCCCACTAGCCAATGCATTGTTCCCCAGGCTAGACTGACAGGCCCCTATGGTCAAGCACCTCCTCCACCCTTGCCCCCTTTACTCCCTACCATCTGGCGGAGGGGGTGGGGAGGGGGTATGTTCATCTCCTTGGAGCACAATGCTCTGGTCCCCTGGAGTGTGAAAAGCAGTAGCTCCCTAGTGAGGCAAACAGGCTCATGCTCCCCAGTTTATTAAGCTCAATGTCTAAGTCTCTTTGCTTTCTTTCTCATTAATAATTAGCTAACTACCAATGGTAACAATCTCACTTCTTTACTTAAGCCCCCAAATACACTGATAGTGATTTAGAGATATTAGAAGAGCCAAGTACAAGTGTGTGTTATATACTATGACAGGCTAAGAGTTTCTGGACCTTCAGAAAACCCCTCAGGAACAGAGCCTACAGAGGGCCATATTGTCCTTAAAGATCATGAAGGTCAAGTTACTGTGTGTCAAAGCCTCCTCAATATCTTCTAAATACTAATACGCAGAGGACGAGGAGGAATGGATCCTGCCTGTCAGCTACCTTGGAGGCAGGAAAGAGTTTCGGTGCAGGATGGGAACAAATTTTCATGTGGCTATTTAAAAGGAGTTGAGAATGGATGGGACTAGGAAAACAAGCTTCAATGACAGCAAATGATTCTTGGGTAAGGAGTTAAAAGAGAAGAGGAACAAATTCAGATTTTTGAGGTTACTTTTATTTGGCAAAACCTGGTCATCAGTGTTCAGTTGCTATTTATGTACTTAAAATTCTTCTATTTACATTGTAAACTCCTACAATGGCATATTTTAGGTATAGGCTTAGAATCTGCTTTAGTATCCCTCTTCTAAGATGTTGTCCCTAGTCTTCATTTACCAGACTAATAACTACCTTCCCTTGATTATCCACCCATACAAACAAATACGTTTTAATTGGCTTGATATTTTGTTTTTCTTGTTTTGGTTTTGCTGAACTCGTGCCTCTTTGTGACTCAGCGGTCCTTTACTTCCCCTCTGACCTGTAGGTCTATAGAAGTGTATTGCTGAAAAGTATTCCAAGAGAAGTTGTGGCTTACGATAAAAAAGTAAATGGTGATTTTGAAATGACAGATTGTGGTAAGTTGTTCAGTTTAACATTCTATGTGCAACACCCTCGATTACATCATACATAATGTAATACAGTGGCTGTCAGGTAACACAGAGTCAGTGATGTAGGTGTTTGGGAAGAAATAAGTAAGTTTGTGATAAGTATAGGTCGGGCACCTCCCCCAAGAGGTTGTGTATTGCAACTATTTATTTGTCCCCTATTTAATTGTATTTTAGAAGTTTTCTAGTCCACTTATACACATTAATAAATCAAGTAAAGGCAGTTAAATTTTTAAAATTCAGTAGTCCTCCCTTATCCACAGTTTTGTATTCCTTGATTTCAGTTACTAGCAGTCAGTGGAAAATTCTAGATATTTGGAGAGAGAGAGAGAGAGACCACATTCACATAAGCTTTACTGCTGTTTATATGCTTTTAGTAATAATTTTTCTATTGTATTGTTAGTTATTGTTGTTAATCTTTTACTGTGCCTAATTTATAAATTAAACTTTATCATACATGTTTACATATAGGACAAAACAGTATAGGTAGGGTTTCGTACTGTCCACTGTTTTCAGGAATCCACTGGGGGTCTTGGAACATGTGCCCTGTGGGTAAGGGGGGACAGCTGTAAATCCGAGTAGAGGGAAACAAAGATAGCTGTCAGTGATCTGCCTGGGGAGACAATTAAGGAAATATCTTTCTCATTAAAAAGTGTACAGGTGTTCCGCCACCACTGGCAAGGCTGCTACCTTGTTGCTACCATCATGCTAAGACGTGAGGCACTAGTAGTTTTTTTCAAAGGAAAATCATAATGTTCTGTATTCATGTGTTGATGAATTGTGGAAATGCCTCTTCCGCCCATCTCCTTAACCTTGTCTCATCTTTTATTACTTGACATGCACCACTGTAACCCTGCTCTTGCCCCACCCCATACGTGTGCACATGTGTCGTGTGAGGGTCCGGCAGAAGCACCGCCTGCTTGAGTGTGGTTGGTCGGGTAATAATATGGGTGTCATAATTTATAGTTTTGTTTTGAACATTTTGCCTAAAATGTCATGTGGTGCACTTGAGTGTGATGTTGTTATGTAACAGAATTGCATGCTTATGATTATGTAATAAAAGAGTTTGTAATAGGAAAGGGGTGTTATGTGTGCTGGACCCTGTATACTGTGATTTCTTTATACAATGTGGGATGTTTAGATGGTTTCCAGTTTTGTACAGTTTTGTGAGGAAATCACTGTAGGTTAATCTTTGGTCTTCATCCTCAGGATAAATTCTTAGAGAAACTTTCTGGATCAAAGATATTTTAGAAAATTACACAAATATCCATGATCATTTTGGTGTCTACTATAATCTGAATTTTTAAGATCTTATCAAAATCCTTTAATTACTGCCTAGAATCTGATCCCATTTAAGGACACATAGGCCATTCTCAATTGTAAATATAGTATTCCTGAGCCTTTTCAAGACAATGAGAAATAGATAAGACAGTAAGCCTGACCAAAAAAAAAACAACACAAACTTTGTTTTTGTTACACATGTTGCTGTTCAGTCTTAAGTGGTTTTACTGTCCTTGGGAAACCAGCATATTGGAGGTTAGATAGGAAACAGTGTGCTCAGTGTTCTATGAGGAAATTTTGTTCTGTGAGAAACAAAGTACTGTATTTTGCTCTGTATTATGTGCACATTTTTGCCCAAATCTTTGAGGGAAAAACAAGGATGTGCATTAGGTGCAGGTAGTACTAATTCTGTATCTATATGAATGTTTTTAATTCTTTTATTAATGCTGGTGAGTTAAAAGTATAACTCTAGCAAGCAATAAGGATATTCATGTGCAAAGTAATACCCTGGAACATGATAATTGGTTTTGTTTCTAAATATAAATAAATAAATAATTGGATTAAAAGATTAAGATGGGCCCTGGCTGGCGTGGCTCAGTGGATTAAGCACTGGACTGCAGCCGAAGGGTTACCAGTTCAATTCCCAGTCAGAGCACATGCCCGGGTTACCAGCTGGGTCCCTGGTAGGGGGCACTCGAGAGGCAACCACACTTGATATTTCTCTCCCTCTCTATCTCCTCCCTTCAGCCTCTCTAAAAATAAATAAAATCTTATAAAAATAAATTAAAATTGAAGGTTTTTTTCTGAAAGTTGGGGCAAAAAATGTGCGTGTGCGTTGTACATGGGACTGCTTATACACAGCAAAATGTGGCAGCTCCCAGCCACTTCCTGAGATGCAGGGACCTATGAAGTTCAGGACAGTGTGAGTAAGCAGAAGGAAATATATCGTGGTTTCTTTTTGATAGGATGTCTACCAATGAAGTTTGGGGAGAATGAGGGTTAGCTTACTCTGTCTACAAGAGATCAAATTATTTTATATACGTTTATTTAGATACTTATTAGCAGGCAAACAAGAAAAATATTCTTTTTTTAAAGATTTTATTTATTTTTAGAGAGAGAGAAAGAGGGAAACATCAATGTGTGCTTGCCTCTTGCATGCTCCCTACTACTGGGGACCTGGCCCGCAACCTGGCCATGTGACCCAACTGGGAATCGAACCTGCGACCCGTTGGTTTACAGGTCAGCACTCAATCCACTGAGCCACCCCAGCCAGGGCAAGAAAAAACATTCTTAAGATCCTATCCAGTGGGGGTGGCACAGTGCAAGAGAGTATCAGTGGTAGTGGTCTCAGGAATTCTGGCACCAAAAAAAGCGAGGAAGATACCAAAAGGCAAATCTTCGTTCAGAAAAGACGTTTCAGTTCCTGGAGCTATGGCTAAACACAATGGCCTAGACTTGAACACACCAAAAGAGCACCACCTTGAAAAAACAGTTCTGGTTCTATGAACAAATTCATCATTAGGTAGAAAATGATTACTGTTTAAAACACACTCTTTACACATTCTATACAGTTAGCTCAAAGCCCTAGCTGTCTGTCTGTCCAACTACCACCTCACTCAAGGTTCACTCAAGGCAGATGCTATTACCCAGTTACCTTTAAAGCCAGGATCAAGCCAACAATGTGCATCAGAGTTCAGATCTGGTCGTCATCCATAATAGCAAAGCCCCACAGACCTCATGGGATATCTCATCTTTTTCATGGTATTGTGGATAATGAATGTCTCAAATATTTTAACTAACCCTGCTTATGTCAAATACTTCTAATTTCCCCAGCATGAGCCAGTTTTTAGCATTAGGCATATCTAATAAATGGTTGCTATCGGCAAAAATTTTATGCCGATCCTAGATTTTCGTCAGTAAAAACCTATTCCTGATGTTCAGTATGTTAGCAAAGCATTGACCACTGATTGACATATGCCGAACAGAAACTCTTACAAGTAGCGAACTGTGGAGAATGAGCTTCTTAATGAAAACAGCAGTTCATTCATGTACCATGTATCCTTCATTATCATATTAGACCTCCCCAGACTGGCATTCTTGATTGAGAACATGTGAGAGACCCAGCTTACAGCTTCATCTAGGTAACACAATCACAATACTCAACTGTATTATAGCAAATTGAAAACTTTACAATACTTCCTCAGAGGCTTGTTTTAAGGGTTAAAAAGAACAGGTGTGTGTGTGTTTAACACAAAGCCTGCTCCTAGTGAGGCCTGAGTACAGTAAGTAGTAGCTAGTGTATATAATTTTGTTTATCAGCAATATAAACTTTATTATATTTATTAATGAATATGGCTTTTGTCTTTTAAAGCTACTTTTTGTAAGGTCATGTTTCTTATTTAAAATTTTTTCAGTGTTGAAAACTAGGTCACACACATATAAAACAAAAACAAAAAATAGTAAATTCTCTGAAGGGCCAAAATTTTTGTTTTTATATAAGATATTTAAAATTGGTAACTGCACATTGATAATTAGGTGACTTTATTTTTAGTTAGATAACATTTAAACAGTCACCTGGTAGACAACCAAGATGTTGGTAGAGAACATTTTTATTTGTTTTTAGATTATAGAGATGCCTTTTAGACCTCACAAGAAACTGCCAAAATATCACTGAAATGGTCTAAAACCACGGAAGTTTTCAAGTGGCCTGTGCTTAGTAGCTTTTGCACATCTGGGGATCATGCTGCCCTCTCAGTCACAAAGCCAGTCTGGAGTAGATACTGCACGTTGTTATTGTGAGGGGCAAAAAGAAGGAGTGTGGATGTGGCAGGAGAAGTGCGAAAGGAATTCTAAATGCCTCCTCCGTGGAAATGCTGCTGTGCTGGTCAAGCCCATCATCTCTCAAACCCACCCTTTGATTTAGAAATTCTGATCTTTCTTACTTTCATCCTAAAATAAACTTGTTTCTGTCTCCATGTTTAAGTGATAACAGTCACACGATACGCCTTTTCTCAATCCGAAAACTAATGACAGTATGTGCAAAGACATCAGCATCAGTCAGTTGAGCAGTTCCTCTTCCAGTGATGGCTGGGCATTCGATCAATATGTGCACCCAGACAGCTTAGGTCTGCCCAGTCTGTGAAACCAGGTTCCCTGAGAAATAGCTCTCTGCTGTGCCCCTGGCTGCAGATCTATTACTCTACATTTAAAACTAACCGTGTGTTATGCTTGTAGTTGTTGGCCACCTGCAGCCCTCGGATAATTTGCCTTCTACCTTGCCACTTTCAGATCAGGTCTTGAGAAGTTTCTAAAGCCAAAGCTCCAGGCCAAAAAATGCATCCTGTCTCTCTGGAGTTCTGCAGATATTATCTCCAGTCTTTGTCTCAGTCACTAGTGTTTTGTATAAAACCACATTTTAATTGCTTGTCAGTGTTATATGGCAATCCAAAAAAGACATTTCTCTTACTCATGAGAGCAGTAGGGGAAATTATGAAATTATAATAGTTTATTGAGCAAGGAAAATTACTTTAACCCATCTTAAAGGTGGGTTATTTTAAGACGATCTTTCTAATGATGGGATAGGAAAATTAACTTATAGCGGTTGAAGTAAGAAACATGTCCATCTCATTTTTCAATGGTTAGATCAAGATAGAAGATAGGAAATTTAGCCTAATCAGGTCTCTTCCTACCCAGAGATACTGTAAATTTAGGAAGAAAAAATTAGGGTTAGGGCTGGCGCTCTTCTAAAGGCCACCAGTGACAGTGAACTCAAAAGGTGTGGCTGCCGAAGTGGTATCTGAAGAAAAGAGGTCCACCTTCAGTTTACATGTTTACATTTCTGAAGATTCCAACTTAATTCATGCATAATATTTGCACACTTCTGACCTTTTCTAAAAACATTGATTGCTTTACATAAAGGTTTGTATATAGTTGATTTTTTTATATTGTAGAGCAAAAATTTAAATCATCAACTTATATATTAAAGTACATCTGTCACAACACTGAATTCTTTTAACAGATTTGGAAGATGGTACAAAAACACCTGATTGTTCCAGTGCAGCAGCGAGAGAGGAAAGAGGCGATCTTATCAAATTTTACAACACAGTGTATGTAGGAAGAGTGAAGTCATTTGCACTGAAATATGACTTGTCAAATCAGGACCATATGGTACGTTTATATTTTCCTGCTTTATTAATATCATAGTCATAGATAACTGAGTTTATTTTGCTAGGTAAGTGTTTCAGAGTTAAAGCCTCATGGATGCATTAGATAGGATAAAATATATTTGTAATTCATCAGGGAGTGAATAAGGCTATGATACAGCAGAGAGCAGAGGAAATCATGGAAATTTTATCTATAATGTGATTGTGTTGCCAAAAATTTTGCATACATATGGGCAAGGACTAGATGGGAACACAGAAAAATAAAAATAATTTAATTCTGGTAATTTTTCTCAAGATAAGAGAAAGTGAAATAGATAGACCTGAACTGTAAATAGTGGCAGTGCTAAAAAATTTTATGCCGATCCTAGATTTGGCAGTACCAGCAGATTTCTGAATACTAGTAGTATTACCAGAATATGAACTGAGTTGATTCCCAACAGTGCAGACTTTAGTTATGTGAAAGAGGGTGGTTTACCCCCTGGCTGGATAGTTTAGTTGGTTGGAGTGTCGCCCCATACACAAAAGTTTTGCAGGTTTGATACCCGATCAGGGCACAAGCCTAGGTTGCAGGTTCAATTCCCACTCAGGGCACATACAGGAGGTGACCAATCAATATTTCTCTTACATCCATGTGTCTTTCTCTCCTTTCCTCCTCTTTGTCTCTCCTCCTCTCTCCCTTTCTGTCTAAAAATCAATAAAAACATATTCTCTGGTCAGACTTTAAAAAAGAAAAGGAGGGACATAGTAGAAGCTGCACCCAGCCAGTAGCCATGTATGTGTCTCCAGTTCTGTTCTTCTTCCTTTCAAGGAGTGCGGTCTCTGACTGTCTGAGAGGCCATGACATGAGTGCTCATTCCACTCCATCAGTTCTCGCTCCCGTCATACGCAGTGCTGTGAATAGCTCTATCCTCAGCCAACTGAAACTAGTTTTATTAGCTTCAAGTAAGGATGAAAATGAAATAATAATGAAGGAGCCATCTTAATTTATTCCTGGATGGAAACATAGTATCGAATAGTAAAGAAAAGTACAGACCCTGCTCACCTACCTCTATTTCTAAATCTTTTTACTTTAACATAAAGTCTCAACATTTCATTGACAGGTTTGTTTCATGTTGGACTCATCCTGCTGCCTCATAGAATTCTCTGCCTCTCTCTATGCTCTTTGCTACTGCTTTGGTTGGGGGGTGTGTGTGTCGGGAGAGAGTCTTACTACAAGTGTTAGGACATCAGTTATTCTTTGCCCCTGCTTTGTGAGAATGGAGTTGGGGTTCCTATACTCCTGGCATACTGATTCTGGTGTCTCACTCAGAATTCTTCAGGATTTCCTGAAAGGTCCAGGAAAATCCATTTTAGTTTCTTAGTAATTATTGAAAAAGGAGGGTTAGTAGAGCATTTGTTTCCTTTTTTTCAGCTGCAAGTAAGCTCTTAAAATATAACTGACTTCTAACTAGGAGATGCTAATATGAATAAAAATATGGTAGAATTCCAAAAAAGAAAAACTTTGATCTTAAAACAACTTACTTTGTGCTTATTTCAGGTGGAAGCTCCACCACTCTCTCCTTTTCCATATATTAAGCAACAGCCAGGCTCACCGCGCCGGATTTCCCAGCAGCACTCCATCTACGTCTCCCCTCACAAGAATGGGTCGGGCCTTACCCCGAGGACTGCCCTGCTGTATAAGTTCAATGGCAGCCCTTCTAAGGTAGGGTGTACACAAACTTTACTCCTAAGCAACTTATGTATATGTGTTAAAAATTGATTTCAGATCACCAGTTAGTAATCTTTAATATTGCTCTTTCTTTTTTTGCATAGTTACTAATAAATACTAGTAATGAACTGTTACCGTGGCAAGTTTCCTGTGACCAAGAGCAGTGTATTCAGTTGAAGTAGTTTAATCCATTAGTATTGACTTGGTATTGGAGAGGCTCACTGCAAGAGTCCAGTGTGTCTCCCTGTCCAAGCATAATCCTGCGAAGGGACCAGTAAGGCAACACTTGCCAGTGGTCAGTTACACAGAACATTGTTTTAAAAAAGGCCTTGAAAGTGAAAGTTCATTTGGTGGATGGTAACAAGGATAGTAAAAAGTCTGTAAAGAGGCCGCCTCTTATTTACACAGATAGTGCTGTGGTTATTCCTCCACAATGATGAAGAAGTGACAGGGACATGACTGCTGTTTTCCAGTATTTCAGGGGCTATTAAGCAGATATGTTCAGTATGTCTCCAAAAGCCAGAAACACTGCCAACTGGAAGAAGTTGTACTGGACATTTTGCAACTCAGTCCAAATACAAAGGCAGCTCCTTAATTCATGAGTTTCTAACTCAGTTCCACAAACATCTACTGAGCTTCTATTATACTTAGCAAACAAAGCACACTGCAGTTAAGCATTTCTCAGAATTATATTTATGAAGAGGAAATCGTCATGGAAGAGGAGATCATCACTTTCCTGTGATAGTGTTTTAGAAAAGATTCTTGCATGAAATCAGAGGTGGGACCAGTTGACTTCTAAGGCAGTGATTTCAGAACCATAGGTCAGAATCAGCAGGGAGCTTGGTGAGTACAGATCCCTGTCCCGTAGTCCTGCTGAATCGCAGAGCTCTCGCAGTCAGGTGCCCTGCACAACTGTGGTGCACGGCTTTTAGAAAACACTTCTCCAAGGCCCTGCTACTGAGAGTGTGGATTACAGACCAGCAGCATCAGCATCAGGTGGGAGCATTTTAGAAATGCAGCTTCAGGCCTCACAGCAGCCCTGCTGAATCTGAATCTGCATTTTTAACAAGATCCCCAGATGTTTAGCAGGTACATTATAGTTTCAAAAAGCATTGGTACAGGAGGAGGATCTCAGCCTTTAGAGAGCATCAGAACCACCTGGAGGGTTGGATAAAACAGATTTCTGGGCCTTACCCCACAATGTTGGATTCAGTAGGTGTAGGGTGAGGCTTCAGAGTTTGCATTACTCGTAAGTTCCTAGCTGCTGCTTCTGCATCTATTCTGTGTCCACACTTTGAGAACCACTGCTATAGGGTAAACTCAGTTTCTTAAAACCCTTAAAAATATTAGCTATAATTACCCTTATTTGGTTGGCCTTGATTCAAAAAAATAATCTATACCCCATTGTTTCTCTTTGGATAAAGGATAGAGGGGAGGAAAAAGCAGTTAGCTTAGTTTTTTGCTATTTCCTCCTTTCCCCCTTTTACTCATGCATGTCCTCTGTTTTTACACAGAGTTTGAAAGATATCAACAACATGATAAGGCAAGGTGAACAGAGAACCAAGAAGCGGGCAATAGCCATTGATAGTGATGCAGAATCACCTGCCAAACGCCTCTGTCAAGAAAATGATGATGTTTTGCTTAAAAGACTACAGGATGTTGTCAGTGAAAGAGCCAATCATTAGTGCCTTCCCTGTTTCTGTGGTTGAAGCACTTTCAGGTTGTTTTGCAGAAAGTTGGGGCTCTATCCTTCAAAACATTTAGCTCTATGGATGGTAAATATCACTGAGTTAAAAGAAAAACTGGAAGTGGGGAGGGGGAAAGAAAAAGAAAATGAAAAACTGCATGAAAATTACATGCTTTTTTAAAAACATTCATCCAAAATGTAGTTGGCAGAGATGCATTTTGAGTTGGATTGGAAAGGAATGTTTTAAGTGCCTTTTAAACATACTAGTAGTCCTAGAATTTTTTAAATGCTTGTTCCTTGGGTTAGTTTTTACGATGAAATAAGGGGAAACCTTGTAATTTTTTAGCTTCCTTTTTAAAATAATCAAGTATCACCTTCCATGCCTTATAATATAAGGGTTAATAATCTCTTTTTGGTAAGTGTGCTTTGAGATATTTGTGCTATCAATTTACTGTTAAGTAGGGGTTGGTTCCCATAGCTGCTGGGCCAGAGGATGACGCACCACCCTGTCTCCGACCCACTGTGGTAACTCTGCATCCAGATGCCGCCACCATTCTGTGTTGCCCTGATCCCTCTCCTGCCCCTTGTCTCCTTGTGCATAAGCAGATTTGATCCTGAGCCCACACTCACTGCCCACTGCCCACACTCCCTGATTTCCAGCCTTGGCCCTCTTAGCCTGGTGTCACAACCTAATGAAAGGGGCACTTGCTCCTTTTTTAAACTACTGTCATTTTGTTTTCTGAACCATTAATTTAACTATACATGACTACATTACATCACGTAATTCTCAAAACAGGAATCTGCTTCTCAAGCCAGTAAAATAAAATACAGATAAGAGTTTTTAGAAACTAAAGTTTCTATTCAGGAGGTAGCACCACGATCATGTATGAAATACGGTTTTTGAGGTCATCAGAAGATTAGTCATTCTCAGTGTCTAATTGATTCCTAAGAATAGTTGAACCTTTTTTTAAACTACATTAACATCCTTTCATACCTTATAATCATAAATTGTATCAGTGAAACAATGTGTTATTATTTCTTCCTCTTTGTTCTCGGTATTATTGTTGCATGGTGAGTTGCCCATTAGGATCTGATCACTTAGGCCCCTTAAGGATGTTTTCCAAGACTAGGCAGGGGATACTGCTTTCCAAAGAATCAGCTGTTCAACATTCACTTTTTCTAGTGTGTTTTCAGAATCTGGGTGGATATGGATAAGCCGTTTGTAATTTTTGAGAAAATGTTATCAAGTGTATATTTTTTTGACTGAAATATCTTATTTTTTCAAATGCAAAGTGCTTAACTTAAATGATGTCTAACCCTGGCTGCTTTGAAGTAGTCTAATATTTGCCTATAAATTAGTAATTACTGTTGTCAGGAATTTTATTTTTAAATTCTAAGAGAAGTGATTTGGGTCACATTTTACTTTTCTGAAAATTACATCCTCCTTTGTGTGTGTAGTATCTACACATCATAAGCCAAATAACATCATGTGTGTCTTGAACCCTGTATATGTATTTTTCTTTTTCTTGTATATATTTTTATGTAACTATAACTATTGTGTCATTTTCATCTTCATTATTAATGTGCAGAATATAAGTGACCATTGTACATTGACTATGTAAGAAACTCTGAACATGTTTAATCAGTTTTCAAGATGATATTAATGTACATAAAATTATTAATAAAACATGGGAGTTTTTTTGTTTTTTTTTTTTAATATTTTATTATTTATTTATCTTTAGAGGGGAAGTGGGGGAAGGAGAGAGGGAGAGAAACATCAATGTATGGTTGCCTTTTGTGCGTCCCCTGCTGGGAACTGGCCTGCAGGGAACCGGCCTGCAACCCAGGCATGTGCCCTGACGGGAGTTTTTGAGATTACTGAAAAAACTATACTTGTGCTCTTCTGTGTGATTAGAAGCAATTGTGCAACCATTTAGAATTTACATTTCTTAAATATCTGCTTTTTATCTTTTGAATATCTTACTATAACCTAAAAGTTATTATTCCTGGTGGTTTCTAAGAGCTACAAAGAGAATGGAGAGTGACTGGCTGCTTGATGAACGCAGGGTTTTTCTTCAGGGTGATGGAAATAGTTTGGAAATGCCCAGGCCAGCTAGCTTGGTTGGTTAGAGCATTGTTCTGGTACGCCAAGGTTGCAGGTTCCATCCTCAGTCAGGGCACATACAAGTAACAACCACTGCATGTATGAATCAGCACTTCTCTTTCCTTCCCTCTCTCTCTTCCTCCTCATTCACCAAATTAGGGCAGTTTTCTTTTATTATTTTTTTCCAGTAAATTGCCCATTTCTTGCCTTTTCTCCTCTGGCACCCCTGTGATATGAATATTGGAGTGCGTGAAGTCAGAGATGGCTTCATTAGAAAGATGACTTTCCAGAAAGGATTAATGCTAATAGATTCCAGGTGGGATAACTAATACATGGTGAGATTACTTGGCAACAATGACAGACCCTGAATATGTATGTAAAGAAGAAAATACCTGAGGTTTCGGATACCACATCTACGCCATGGTTCCATCACATTTCACAATGGTAAGAATAATCTTCGGGGGCTAACTAACCAAAGAGATTCAATAGCGTGGCACACAAACGGTTTGGATAAGCATCCAAGGTTGCTAACAGGGAAGTTCAGGAGGTACTTCTCCAGAGTCCAGCAGAAGAGTGGAATGGCTGGGGGCATGGACATCCAAGTTCAAATATCCTCCCTGACACTGTACCACCAAACCAAGTAGCACCTCTCTGTTTACTTAAGTCATCAGCACTCCAGGAAATAATTTACTTGGTATAGAAAATCGCATCATTGTAGATAAATTAGAATGTATAGAAGCAAAAAAAATGAAATCTATACTGCAACCTGTCAGGGTCACTTTTAAGTCTTTTAATTTTGAAAAATTTTTTATTACAGTTATTTCTCACAGGAAGGAACTTGTACAAATCTTAAATGTATTCTATGATGACTTTTTTCTCCAGCTTTATTGAGGTATAATTTATATAGAATAAAATGCATTCATTTTTGCCCTGGCCAGTGTGACTCAGTTGGTTGGAGCACGTATGGGAGGAAAGCAATTCAGGTTTCTCTTTCTCTTTCTCTTTCTCTCTCCCTTTCTTTCTCTCTGAAATCAATAAACAGTTGGTTGAAGCATGTATGGGAGGAAACCAATTGAGGTTTCTCTCTCTCTCTCCCATTCTCTCTTTCTAAAGTCAATAAACGACCCTAGGCCAGCATGGCTCCGTTGGCTGGACATTGTCCTGCAAGGTGAAAGGTCAGGGCACATGGCCTGTGTTCCGGGCCAGGTCCCTGTGCAAGAGACAACTGACTGACATCTCTCTTGCACATTGGTGTTTCTCTCCCTCCCTTCCCCTTTGCCTAAAAATAAATAAAGTCTTTTAAAAAATAAAATCAATATACATGTAAAGTTTTTTCAAAATGCATTAAGTGTACAGTTTGATGAGTCTTAGTATATAGTCATATAACTATCACCACAGTCCATATATAGAACATTTCTATCACTTTGGTTTCCTTGTGCCCTCGGATCTTCCTACCTGCCTTCCCTATATCCTCCCTAATACACATCCGGGCTGTGTAAATCTGCTGTTTGTCATTATAATTTTGCCTTTTCTAGAATTTTATATAAATGCGTGTTTATAGGATGTAATCTCTTTTCTTTTTTTAAGATGTTATTTATTGCCCTGGCTGGCGTAGCTCAGTGGATTGAGTGCGGGCCTGCAAACCAGACGATCGCGGTTTGATTGCCAGTCAGGGCACATTCGTGGGTTGCAAGCCAGTTCCCAGCGGGGGATGTACCAGAAGCAGCCATACGTTGATATTTCTCTCCCTCTCCTTCCCTTCCCTTCTAAAGATAAATAAATAAATATTTTTTAAAAAGATTTTCTTTATCTTTAGAGGGGAAGGGAAGGAGAGAGGGAGAGAAAAACATCAGTGTGTGGTTGCCTCCCGTGCGTCCCCCGCTGGGAACTGGCCTGCAGCCCAGGCATGTGCCCTGACTGGGAATCAAACCACGATCCTTTGGTTCGCAGGCCTGTACTCAATCCACTGAGCCACACCAGCCAGGTCTAGTATGTAATCTTTTGAATTTGAGTTCTGGCACTTAGTATAATGTTTTTAAGATTCATTCACATTGTATGTATAAATATTTCTTTTTATTGCTAAGCACTTTTTCATACTATGGGTATACAATTTATTTATTCACCAGTTAATGACCATTTGAGTTGTTTCCAGTTTGAGGCTATTAATAATTATGAAAATTTGTATATGTGTTGTAAAAAATATGCTTTCTTACTGCCAGCAGAAGGGGCCAGAGTGTGGTGCCGGGTTTGCTGGGCTCAGGGCATATGTGGCCTGTGAGGAGAGAGATGATGATGAGGGGGAAGCTGGAAGGAAAGGGGGCGGGTCTGGAGGCCGCTTCAAGGGCTTTTCACGTATTATTCTGGTAACAGTTAAAGGACTCATGACAAGCTAACACCTTGTCGCCAATAAGAATGAGAAATTCTTGGAAATTGCCCTGGCCAGTGGCTCCGTTGGTTGGAGCGTCCTCCCTTACACCGAAAGGTTGCAGGTTTGATCCCTGGTTGGGACACATTCGGGAGGCAACCAGTCGATATTTCTCTCTCTCACCCTTCCTCTCTAAGATCAGTGAACATATCCTTGGGTAAGGAGTTAAAAAAGAAAAGAAATTATTGGAAATCTAGCTGCCTACCACAGTTGATGTCCAAAATCTGCATCACGCAGTCAAGGACACTGGGGTCCTTCCGGTGCTTTGTGAAGGCAGCCAGTTCTGTGTTCCTACAGGTGGGGTCTCTGTCTCGGAAGGTGTGTAGCTGTGACTGTCCTCCCCAGCACGCCTCTGGAAAGCAGCAGTCAGAGACTCCGTGCGCCTGGCGGTCCCTGGAGGGCTGGGTACTGTTGCCACGTTGGAGTGGAGTGAGGCGTAGAGGCAGCGGCTGAACATATATTTTTATTTCTCTTTTATTCCTTCATGAGTTAGATTGCTGGGCCAAATGGTAAATATATGTTTAACTTTATAAGCTATTGGCATGCCGTTTTTCAAAGTGGACCACTTTACTCCCCACCAGCAGTGTGTAAGAATTCCATTTGCTCCACATTGCAGCCACTTCTTTTTTTTTAAATACTTTATTTATTTTTAGAGAGAAGGGGAGGGAGAGAGAAAGGGAGGAAGAGAAACATGATTTGTGTGGTTGCCTCTTGTGCACCTTCTACTGGAGACCTGGCCCGCAACCCAAGCATGTGCCCTGACTGGGAATCAAACCAGCAACCCTTTGATGCACAGTCCGGCACTCAATCCACTGAGACACACCAGCCAGGGAGGGCTACAGCCGCCTCTTGATGTGAATCTTCCAAGACTTTTTTCAATGGATATATTATGTATTTTTTAAGCTAAAAATGGATCTTAACATATCAGTGTATATCAGTCATCTTTGCCATATCTAAATTATACTTCTATGACAATTCTAATGCTTGTGTTCCAATGTATGAATGTACCATTATTTACGTTATTTCATTGTCAAACATAGAAAAATTAACAGGGTTTTGGGTGGGTTTTCTTTTTTTTGGTTGAATTTCTCTCAGATATTGGCACTTGGAATAAATTTTGTTTAGTGAGTCTAATCTTTGCGAATTTAAGAATCAGACATTATTTAGAACATCATGATGCAGGGTTGTTAGAGTACAAAACGTGCATCGTGTGGTGGAACGCCAGATAGGCCCCTTGCGATTTCATCTGGGTCTCTGGTCGAGTGTCAGGTCACACACTTCCTAGACCAACCCAGCCTTTTCTGTACTCTTAGCTTGTTTTATTTTTCTTCCCAGCACTTATAATCTATTCATGTATTATCTGAATCCACCACCAGTAATTCAGTAATCGCATATCGTCAAATATATATGTCTGCATATATATACAAACTCCATATAGATAATACCTTTTTTCCTATGGTTTTCCCAGAGTGAAAAATGACATATTGAAGAAAGTGTAGTCTTCACATTTGTTGAATTAACTAGTTGAAGAAGGAGGCACAGAGATGCTTTTTATAATTGTATCGAGCATGTATGGAGCATTTTCTACGTGCCAGACTCAATTCTCACAAAACCCTATAATGAAACATTTTTAAAGATTTTATTTATTTATTTTAAGTAACTTTCCCAAAATGCCAAGATTTAACCTAACTACCCTGGTTCCATAGCCCAACTTTAAAAATTCAGTGAAGTTGGGGTTTTTGTGTGGTAAGTACATATAACATCAAATTTACCGTTGAACCATTTTTAAGTCAACAGTTCAGGGGAAGTAAGTACATTTCACATCATAGAGCAACCAAACTCCAGGCCACTTTCATGTTGGGAAACTGAAACTCTCTTCCACTAAACAACTTCCCCGCCCGCCCGCCCTACCCCTGGCATGGATACCCGACTGTCTGTGTGGGTCTGACTAAACCTGGTGACTGTAGGTGGAATCATAGATTATTTGTCCTTTTCTGACTGGCTCAGTTTGCTTATTAGCATAATGTCCCCAGGGTTCATCCATGCCGTAGCATGTCAGAATTTCCTTTTAAGTCGGAGTGATATTTTGTGTGTGTGTGTGTATACATATGTATATATCCCATTTTATTGATTTATTCATCAGGGATTGGAAGCCCAATTTTTAATCTACAAGCTTTCCCTTGTCTTTTGAGAATAGTTTTGGGTCAACTCAGAATTGCATGAGTATCCCAGCCTTGCTCTGTTGCCCCACCCCAGGCTCATTCCAGGATGTCCCACGCTGTCTCCTTCCTTCAGCTTCTCTCTTCCTTTACCTTCGGAAGCCTCTTAATTTGTCGTTTATATTTTGAAGCAGATCTTCCTACCCCCATCACACACAGAAGAAATTTAGCTTGTTGAAAACTTTCCGTGTTCCAATGATCATCTTTCTCCCTTTACTTTTTTTTAAAGATGTTATTATTTATTTTCATAGAGAGGGTAAGGGACAAAGAGAGGGGGAGAAACATCATGGGTTGCCTCTCTATGCCCCCAGCTGCGGCCAGCCCACAACCCAGGCACGTGCCCCAACAGGGAGTCAACCAGCAGCCTCTCTGCCGGCGAGTGCTCACTCCACTGAGCCACACCAGCTGGTCTTTCTCCCTTTGCTCCATCCTCCTTTTTCAAACCCTCTGTGAAATGTCAGATAAAACGAGTCACTTGAGGGGCTTCGGGATGTGCCAGGAGGCCCTGAAGGAAGTGGGTGGTATGCACATCCTCACCAGATGGAACTTAACACTTTTGAACTGGGCAAAGCCGTAAATATTCCAGAACAAGAACATCTGCAATTTGTCCACAAGGACGGATTTTTACCTAGTGATAGCCCTAGCGATCAATTATGTTGTGCCAGCACCAATTAAAATTCTTCATGAGTGAAGTATGCAGACGTCTCCTTGTTGCCTTTAAAATCCTCCAGTTTTGGTTCCCCAATGGGACACTCTTCGGATTCTGCCTGAATCAGTATGCTGTGTTTGCAGTTCCTGTTTAATGCCCAGTAAACCTTGTTCTTTCTCTCTGGGTGACTTTTGCCTCCTGACAATTTAGGTGAACACCTCTCTTCCACTTTCCCCCTGAGGAAGGTACCTTTGCTGTACCTTCCACAAACTTCCCACTTTTGAAGCCTTAGCACCAGCTTCCCCAGTGCTGTGAAGACTCAGCAGCACCTTAACCAGTTCCCCAAGGAACACTGCTCTCCTCCCCAGAATCTAGTGCCAGTTTCCCACCTGATGTTCAGAACACACCAGATAGGGGAAGCTCACTTCCCTGCAGCCACCTCAACTGTAAATGACACGTTTCTTTCAAGTATGCATGGGACTTTATTTTGCATATCAGTTGCACAGGGATTCTTGGTAATAAACAACTCCACGGCCATCAGAACTCTGGGACCCAAAGACAGGGAGCCACTAAGTCAAAATATCCAACCTTAGGCCATCAATGCAGGAGCGGACATCACATAATGTAAGTGTGTTGGCCACGTGTATTAGTCTGCTAGGGATGCCCTGGCCAGTGTGTCCGTTCAAGCATTGTCCCATAAACAGAAAGGTTGCGGGTTTGATCCCCATTCAGGGCACATACAGGAGGCAACCAATCAATTTTTCTCTCTCATATCGATGTTTCTCTCTCTCCCTCCCTCTCTAAAAGCAATGGAAAAAAATGTCCCTGGGTGATGATGAAAAAAAAAAACCCACCATGGCCTGGGTGGCTTACACAACAGAAATTTATTTTCTCTCCTTCTGGAGGCTGGAAGTGCACAATCCAGGTGCTGGTGTTGCCACAGAAATGGGGTGCTTATGGTTGTACAAGAAAAGCATTCCGGGGACCACACACAGGGGGGATGAGGTGTAGTGGTGAGGTTTACTGAAGCTAGAGCAAACATAAAGGCTGCCCCCAGTTTAGCCCCATCACACTGTGGAAGACTAGCCTCGTCTTCATCAAGCCCAGAAGAAGGGCCGAGCCCAGGAATTCCATGCCATCAGTTCAGTCCAGCACAGACTCTGTCCCCACCCGGCTAGCTTGCTGTGTTTCCAGCTGCGATCCAGCAGCTGGCACTGCATTGCTATGTATACCCAGCCTCGCGTTCGCAGCTGCGTTTGGGGCCCACACTGGGTTGCCAGGCCCACACGTGGAATCGTGCTTGGAGCCTCTGCTTGGGCCTGTGTGGCTGCAAGGCCCACGTGGCTGCTACAGACAACATGTGAATGAACAGGTGAAAAATGTGTATTACTGAGAGAGAGGCCTTTGTTAAGCTTTGATTATATTATCTTGGGATGTCAGACTGACCAGTTTCTTTCCCAGTCTTTCATAGGCTTGCGCTGGGCCCTTCCCCTACCCAATCCATTTCCGAGCCCTTCCAGGGTTCTGTGTCTCTTATTCATTCCAATCCTTTTTCCAGGCTAGACAACTTCCCTTTATGGTTGCCATCTTACTTTCTCCTGCGCATGTCTCAAAATAGAAAGACCTCCCTATGAGCCCTCTTGGCTTCTACTTCACATGTGCCCAGCAGGAAAAATTTTTTTTCTGCTTTTTTAATCTTTCCTTGGTAATCCTGGCTAATGACTGTTAACTATCCTTCCTGCCCTCTTTGGGAATTAGGTCTTAAGAAAGAGGGTGCAGTGGTCCCCTGAAATGTGTGAAGCTTTAGCTTCTGACCTATGTAAGCCTAGCCAGTTTCATTCCCTTCTCTTTTACTGATATCTAGCTACCTATGCTAACACCAGCACAGGTGGTTTCTGGTGAGACCTCTCTTCCTGACTTCCTGATGGTCACCATCTTGCTGCGTCTGCACGTGGCCTTTTCTGTGTGTGCTCACAGGGAAAGAGAGAGATTTCTGGTGTCTCTTCTTATGAGGAAACCAGTCCTACTTGTTGGATTAGAGCCTCACTCATTTGACCTCATTTAACCTTAGTTACCTCTTTAAAGGCCCTGTCCCCAAAGACGGTTGCATTGGGGGCTAGGCCTTCAACATATGACGGGGTGGGTGCAGGGGGGTGGGGTCACTGTTCAGTCCATAACACTGTGGGGTCCACTCAGTGAGTGGCCCAAGGAATTCCTGAGAAACTAATCTTTGTGAACTTGACTGACAGGCAGTGGCATTCACTAGGAACAGTAAGACATGAGTTAAAAGGAGTCAGACTAGATTGGACTGGATACAAGTGTCCCTACAAGGAAATAATCAGCCAGGTTGTAATGGGGTACTGAGCAAGGATCCCCTGAAAATTGGAGAGAACCCCCACAACCCTTGGTTGGGGAAGGGGAGAAGGGGATGATATGGCAGCTAAGTTACTTTGCATAACAATGGCGAGTTAATAGCCTTGCCTTTCTTGAAGGGTAACAGTAGGCTGCCCAGAGTGAAAGGTGTAGGTGGTGTAACTCAGAGTATTCAGGAGCTCCTGGCATAGCCTGGGGACTTGAGGTGTGGGGGGAGGTAAGCTTATACTGCAAGGAGCTGGGAACTCTTGCCCAAACTAAAGATGGCAGCCAAAAGAAGGTAAAAGATACAGGGGAACTATCAAAAATGGCACATCTCAGGAGGGGCTGGGTACGAGGTCATATACAAAGCACTGGGAGGCGCATTTAAAATAAGGGCTGAAAGAGGGGAAGAGGAAGCCACTCGGGCTGAAAGGGTGTAGGAGGAAGTTGGCTGAGCGGTCTGGTGTAGGAGAGAGTCCTCCACAAGAAGGAGCCATGCAGTGTGGAGTGAGAGAGAAGGTACTTTGGCTTCTCCGCGGGACGTACAAAGAAGCCACTTTCTTGGAACATCTGCCTCCCCGCACTCTGCCCCGTGTAACACGGCACATGGTTTCCTGAACCGCTGCATGGAGGCTGAGGACAGCACGCCCCAGGTCCTGAAGGAGAGAGCTGCTGCGGGAGGGAGGAGACTCTGAGACCCACAGCAGCACCTTCTAGGGAAGATGGAGATCTGTTTGCATGGCCGGCTTAAGGACAGGTAAGGAGGCGGGGAACTGCTGGGCGTGGTTTTGGCTTGTAGCCTTTTGGGGACCGAGGGAAGTGCTGGGTCTCGTGGGAGAAGAGGACTCTGAGCGGGGATGCTCTCAGCTCTTCCCGCCCCTGAGGCTGGAACTCCGTTAATAAAAACCTGTTTCCTTCAACACTAAATGTTGGGTCTTGTGTCAGGGTTCCACGAGGTTGAGCCCTGGTTTGCTTGGTTACAAGGTAACATTGGATTTCTGAAAGAGAACCCTGTTGGGTGTTGAAGTTTTGAGGGGTGTCAGGCATCTTTTCAGCTGCAAATGGGCAAAAATCCAAAAATTGAAAACACAAGAGAAAGTCCAACACACCTTGGTTCTCGAGGTGACAAAGTTCTTCGAGGAGCAGAGAGAGAGAAACTCAGTTTCTTATTCCATGTATTGATGCATTCATTGGTTGCTTCTCATCTGTGCCCTGACTGTGGAGCTCAAACACGAAACCCTGGCATATGAGGACAATGCTCTGACTGAGCTACCCGGCCAAGGCCAACTGACACTGGTTTAAAAACTAAGGAAGTTTATTGGCTCATGTAGTTGGAAGTGCAATGATAAAGTAAACTTTTGGGTTGGTTAATCACATGGCTGAGTATTCTCATCAGACCCCAGGTCTGTCCACAGTGCTGACTTTTACCTAAAGTTCTAGTGATTCTAAGATAGCTAACCACAGGACTGGCAAATTACCCCCCTTATTTGTAGCTTAGGGGCTCCCCACAAGACTGACTGATGCAACTATCATTTTAATTTAGGCACCAATACCACGTTTGAAATATAAGCAGAGACTGGCTCCTAGCAATGAGTTTTAAAAGGACCCGTGAGCTATTTCACACAAGGGAACCCCAGTCCCTGAAGTCTGGCCATTCCCTTATGTGCTGGAGCATCCCAATCTCCAAATACATGGTCACCCCACCCCAAACATTGAGACACTAGCAGATAGTCACAATAAACCGAACTCTACCAGTATGGGACGGCCTGTCCCTGTGACTGCCTATAAGGCAAGAAGTGTGCAGAGGGAAATGCTCTGTGTCTCTGACCTCATCTTGTTTACACCTTCTTTGGTCCCATGGCTTTCAGACTTAACGCCTCTACTTAGTCTTGCATGTAGACATTGCTAAGCATTAGAGACTTTTGCTGTGGCTTGAGGGTGGGAGTATATATTGTTCATCCAAGATTTGCAGGGTTTAACAGCCACCCGCACAGTCTTCCTCCCATCTCTGCCAGCTCCCAGATGCCTGTGGTGGTTGTTCACCATTTGTCGTTGTCGTTACTGTTTTAGATTTAGCTGCCAGTATGTATTGGTTTCATTGAACTATTTTAAATAAACGTTACTTTTTAGAACAGTTTCAATTTTACAGAAAAATTAACAAAGATAGCGCAGAGTTCTCATCAACTCAGGATCCCATAAACTCAGCACCCGGTTTCCTCTGTTATGAACATCTTCCATTAGTATGGTACGTTAGTTATAACTGATGAAACAATATTGATGCATTATTATTCAAGTCCAGGAAAGTAGATCTTTATTCGTATTTTCTCAGCTCTTACCTAATGTCCTTTTCCTTTTCTTTTTTTTTAAGATTTAAAAAATTTATTATCTTTAGTGGGCAAGGGGAGGAGAGAGGGAGAGAAATATCAATGTATGGTTGTCTCTTGTGCATCCCCTGCTGGGAACTGGCCTGCAACCCAGGCATGTGCCCTGACTGGGAATCGAATCGCAATCCTTTGGTTCGTGGGCCCATGCTCAATCCACTGAGCTACACCAGCCAGGGCAATATTTCCTTCTTTTTAATGGTTGAATAATATTTATTTATTTAATCTGTTTACTTTTAAAGTAATTATTAATAGGTATGTAGTTATTGCCATTTTATTATTCATATTTTTATCTTATTATTTTATTTTTTTAAAAGAAGTTCCTTTAACATTTTATTTCAATACTAGTTTGGTGGTGATGAACTCTTTCAGCTTTTTCTCGTCTGGAGAGCTCTTTATCTGCTCTTTGATTCTAAATGATAGTCTTGCTGGGTAGAGTAATCTTTGTAGGTCCTTGCTCTTCATCGCTTCAAATACTTTGTGCCAATCCTTTCTGGCCTGCAAGGTTTCTGTTGAGAAATCAGCTGACATTCTTATAGGAACTATAACTAACTGCTTTTATCTTGCTGCTTTTAAGATTCCCTCTTTGTCTTCAATCTTTGACATTTTAATTATGATGTGTCTTGGACTGGGCCTCTTTGCATCTATCTTGTTTGGGACTCTCTGTGCTTCCTGGACATCTATGTTTATTTCCTTCACCAAATTAGAGAAGTTTTCTTTTATTATTTTTTCAAATAGATTTCCAATCTCTTGCTTTTTTTCTTTTCCTTCTGACACCCTTATGATGATAATGCTGAAACACTTGAAGTTGCAAGCAAAACCCATAGGTTGCTTACACTATCCTCATTTTGGGGGATTCTTTTTTCTTCATATTGTTCTGATAGCTTTTTTGCCTCCTTATGTTCTAAATCATTGATTTGATTCTTGGCTTCATCTACTCTACTGTTGTTTCCTGTAATTTTTTTTTTTAATTTCAATTAGTGGATCCTTTGTTTCTGATTGGATCTTTTTTATGCTGTTGGGGTCCTCACTAAATTCCTTGAGTATCCTTATAACCAGTGTTTTGAACTCTGCATCTGATAGATTGCTCATCTCCATTTTATTTAGCTCTTTTCTGGAGTTTTGATCTGTTCTTTCATGTGGGCCATGTTTTTTGTCTCGTTTTGGCAACCTCCCTGTGAATGTTTCTAAGTATTACATAGAACTGCTATGACTCCCTGTCTTGGTAGCGTGACCCAATGTAGTGGGTGTCCTGTAGGGTCCGGTGGCACTGCCTCCCCTATCACCCAAGCTGGGTACTTGAGGTGCATCCTTCATGTGGGCTGAATACACCCTCCTCTTGTAGTTGAGTCTTAATTACTGTTGGCAGGTCAATGGGAGGAGTTTACCCAGGCCAGTCATCTGCAAGAACTGGCTGTGACCAGTGGCCACCAACCTCCGCCCTCCATGGAGGACCAGCTGTGCAGGGGCAGGATGGTGGTGCTCCAATGTAGCCTGTAGCTGTCCACTGGGAACATAAGCTCTAGGGTTTCCTACGTGGTGCAGGCCAAGGTCAGCCCCTACCTGTGTTTTTCCTGGGGCCACCCCGCCTGGGCTGTAAAGTAATCCCAGATGGCTGCTACTTGTTCTGGGCTTGGAGATTCCAAGGCAAAGCCAAGCTGTGAATCCAGGCTGGCTGCTGTTACCGCTGTGCCTGGGGCCACTTAGCAAGAGATATGGAGGCTGGGGGCTCACTGAGGTCTGCTGTTGCGTGTTTGAGAGAACTTAAGAAGTTGTGAAGCATGAGCCAAGATCAGCCATTCATGTGGAAAAGTCTCTGGTAACAGCTTGGGTGGGCCCATAATTTGGGCAGGACTAAGTCTCAGGGGATCTCCAGGTCAGGGCAAACAGTGTTATCCAGGTTGAAATAGTCTCAGATATGGCACCCACTTGCTGGCTCTGTGACTCAGAGGGAATAGGATTCAGAAAAGGGACAATGGCCTCTGCCCACCTTTCTGTTTGGGAGAAAGCTGTCCCAAGCTCTCGCCTTGATGCCTAACCCTGCACTGCCTCCCTGTATGCTGTTGGTGCCTTTCAAGCTGCGACTCTGGTTCTTGAGCTTAGAGGGAGTGAGTCTGAGTAGGTGAGTCCATGTGTGGGTCCTTTAAGAGGAACTGCTTGAGACACTAGAAGTTTCTTCCACTGACTGAATCCCTGAATCCCTGCTGATTTTCACAGCCAGAAGTTATGGGGACTTACCTTCCTGGCACTGGAACCCTGGACTGGGGGGTCCTGGTTTGGTGCTAGGACTCCCTGCTCCTGAGATATCCCTCCCAAATTTTTATCCACCACACCTGGGTATGGGACTAGCGCTTTGCACATCTTAGCCCCTCCTACCAGTCTGGAGGAATGTGGTTTCTTAATTGCATAGTTGCCAGACTTCCATCCAACTTGATTACTGATGGTTCTGAGTAATGATTGTTTTATAATTTAGTTGTAATTTTGGCGTGGTTTTACGAGGAGACAAGCCATGTTTACCTACACTGCCATCTTGACCACAAGTCCAAGGGCAGGAATTTTTGTTTCTTTTATTCATTGATGTGTCTTAGGTTCTAGGGAAATTAGTAAGTACCTGGTAAATATTACTATATGTTGAATGAGTCAACATATTAATAACCAAATAAGCCCAACTAGTATAATATGTACCTATCTAAAGACATTGTTATGAGAATTAGAAATTATGGATATAAAGCAAAGCTCAAGCACAATGTCTAACTCATAGTAGGTACTCAAGTAGAGTAACTTGTCATTTTGCAAGGTCTCCTTTTCTGAAAGAACTCCAGACCTGGAGATAACTTTCTCTATCTAAAAATAGAAAAAAGTCTTACTTATGAGGCACATACCAGGAAATGATATTTAGATCTGTATTTATGTACATATACATTTTATTTTCCAAATTTTCTTTTCTTCAGCATTATTTTTATCAGACAAGAAAATAAGTACTTAAAAAAAAAAAGAATTTCAGCTCTGGCTGGGTAACTCAGATGGTTAGAGCATCATCCTAATACACCAAAGTTGCAGGTTCCATTCCCAGTCAGGGCACAGACAAGAATCAACCAGTGAATGCATACATAAGTGGAACAACAAATCAATATTTCTCTCTCTGTGTCTCTCACAAATCATTAAATTTTTTAAAAATTAAAAATTATTTTAAAAAGAGTTTTGGCTTGTTTTGGGCTTTCAGCAGGTAGGTGGGGAATAAGAGAGTGTCTTGAGGAGGTTGGGTTCAGTGAAGATTGAAGAGGAAGTAATAAAGGATCGGGAGCGTCATCCAGACGCAATAGCACTGTTTGAAGAGGAAACTGCGGAGAGATAGAAAACCACAGGGTGGTGCTGCCAGAAATCAAATGGCTGAGCTCATCTGGGTGGGCAGGTGGGAAGGTAGCCGGGGAAGAGCAGGAGAATACTGCCGCGAGTATTCAAGGTCAATAGGTAATGGGCCTTCAACTAACTGAACTTACAGTCTTTTCTAGTCCCGACATAGTGAGATACGAGGAGAGCTCAAGCACGTATTTTTCAGTAAGACCTGGCGCAGGGACTGTTTCTAGTAAGTATTTGTTCCCAGGTTGTGAGGTGATTGGATGGAATGGGGTCCCCAGGACTGTAAGTGGAATTAAGTGAAGTGGCAAACTGGAAAGTGCCCAAGCTTTAGAGTCAGCTTTCAATCTCAAGTTTGTCACGTAGCAGTCATGGGGCCTGGAATAAATAACCAACCAACGAGCACAAGAGGTAGGACCCCTAAAAAGTAGGGGATTAGAGGGAAAAGTATAAATATGGTATCGAATTATACACACTCTTTAACAGACAAAAACAAACAGGAAATTAAAGCTCTCAAAGCAACTGATTTTGAGCAAACCCAGCAATTATACATTTATATCACCTGCTCACGTCACCCTCTGTCCAGAAGAACTTGCTGTCAGGGCAGATTTCCCCATTAGTCTTATAAACAAGTTTTCAAGCCAGCCATTTCCGAGTTGAAATACAAGTCTTTCATGTGTATGCTGTGTGTTGTTATTTGACCCTCTTGTTTCGGTTTCACAAGTCTTGGCAAGTGTCTGGTCTTTTCCCAGATTTGGGGCTCATGGATTTTCCTGGGTATGGCCTTTCTGTGCAGATGGAGGGTCAGTATACCTCTCTCTACTTTCCCCCACAGGTCTATAGGACAAGGAAGCCATTTAAAATTGGGGGTTAACTAATATAAAATAATTTTATATCAAAACTCTCATTAACAAACAATTGCTGGCAAGTGATCAATAGCATAAATTTTGCAGCCAGGCTACATTATATGGGATGTTTCACCACTTTCAAGGCATGCTACTTGGCAAATTACTGACTTATTTCTCTTTTCCTTACATCCTAAGGTTATTGGGATACCTAAATGAATAAATATTTGTGAAGCCCTTAGAACAGTTCCTGGCACACGGGAGAGCCCTAAGTGTTACTAGGAATGTTTTGTTCACCACTAGCCTACTGTTTCATACTGTTTGATTATCTGCTTCATACATCCTCTATCCGCTAGATAGGTCTATGTCTGGGTTGATATAAAGTTGTACTGGCTTTAGTAGTGGTAGCAGTAGTCCTTTTACCAGTTAATTGCATGGACCCAAATTTTTCTTTTAAAATTTTTTATTAATTTGAGAGAGAAAGAAAGGGAGGAAGAGAGACAGACAGGCAGACATTAATCTGTTGTTCCACTCACTTATGCATTCCTGGGTTGATCCTTGTATGTGCCATGACCAGGGGTGGGACCTGCAACTTTGGCATTTCAGGATGGACTGAGCCACCCAGCCAGAGCCACATAGAGCAGGGTTTATAGGGAAGTTTGGGTCTTGCCCCAGAGTGGCTAAGGAGACGGGTAGATGCTTGCCATTTTCTCAGGATATTTATTACCACCAGGTAGTAGTATACAGGGTCTGTTGGGGAAAAGTCCGGCCATTGTTAATATAACAAGAACAGTTTGCTCCACATCGACATAACCTGACAGCCAAGGAAAGTGGACTGGACTTTACTGTACTAGTCAGAGAGGGGTGGTAGGTACCCATGAGTGAGCATTTGTACTGTGCAGCCATCACATTCAAAATGACTAAGCGACTAGAGCAGTGAATCTGCATCAAATTTTGCATTAAGCTTAAACATTGCTCCTTGGAAACTATTCAGATGATTCAGAAAGCTGCAGCTATGGGCCACTGGTGATTGGCAGCTTCATCATGACAGCGTATCCGCTCACATATCATGTCTCATGCAGAGGCTTTTTTTTTTTAAGATTTTATTTATTTATCTTTAGGGGGGAAGGGAAGGAGAGAGGGAGAGAAATATCAATGTATGGTTGCCTCTCGTGTGTCCCCTGCTGGGAACTGTCCTACAGCCCAGGCATGTGCCCTGACTGGGAATCAAACCTCGATCCTTTGGTTCACAGGCCTGCACTCAATCCACTGAGCTACACTAGCCAGGGCTCATGCAGGGGTTTTTTGGCAAAACATCAAATCACCCAGATCACTCAGCCCTGCTTATGGCCCAGATATGGCACCCTGCAACTTTTGCCTTTTCCCAAAACTAAAATCACCTTTGAAAGGGAAGAGATTTCAGACCCTTGATGAAATTCAGGAAAACTCGACAGCAGCTAGAGGGCTAAGGGGATGAGAGAGAACTGGGTGAGGTCCCAAGGTGCTGAGGTGTCATTGTCCTGTGTACAATATTTCATGTGTCTTCTTCACTACATGTCTCTATTTGTCATAGTATATGACTGGGTACTTTCTGGCCAGACCACCTAAGTCCTTGAAGATAATTTTTTTTTTTCCTGAACAGGTTTGATTACACACAGAGGGGATGGGGCTCAGTGCTTCGCTGCTGCCTTCCTCTTCCTCATGGCGGCAAGGGCAAGCGTTGCACGATTCCTCTCTTCCTCTTTGCACAACCCCCATGTGTGTCCCCACATTTTTCTTTCTTTTTTTTTTAAAGATTTTATTTATTGATCTTTAGAGAGGAAGGAGAGAGAGAAATACCAATGTGTGGTTGTCTCTCATGTGTCCCCCCCAGGCATGTGCCCTGACTGGGACTCGAACTATAATTCTTTGGTTCACAGATCGGAGATCAATCCACTGAGCTACACCAGCCAGGACACCCACATTTTTCTTGATGAGTATTAAAGATAAATTTTGATTGATTGGCCACTTCTTGCCTCTGGGCAGGGAACTGGGGTGGAGGAGGAGCTTGAGGATTCTTTTGGAGAGAAGTTTCAAGTCATCTTTTGTATGGAAACCTGAAGATAGGCTAAGGGGTCAATGGATAGGATGCCTCAGGGCCCACTCACTCACTGGCCAGAAATACTGTAGAGTTTGTGAGAGGCAAGAAAATGTTTTTACATCATATTTGAAATCATTTCAGGGTCTTCCACTTCAGCTTCTTGCCCATTTTTCTCTTAACTGAGAAGATTCTGGCAGTCTGATGGCTTTTTAGGTTTCAATTTGGGGAATCTGGAACATCAGTAAGCCTGGGGTACTCCTTTGGAGGACTGTACCCTTCCTGCTACAGACAGTGGCCTGACTTCCATGCGTTGTGAGCCCACTTTTTTCTTGCCCTCTCCGTTATTAACACCGCCCTTGGTTCTGCTTTTCCTCCTGCTCGGTTTCCAGTAAACGCAGGGGTGCAGCCCGGGTCCACTGCATGGTCTTCGCGCTTGCGCAAGGGGCCAGGTCTGAAGGGGCTGCACTGTCCTTCCCCAAGGGCTAGGCTGTCAGTACGCCTGCGCAGCAGCCAGTAGGCTGGTAACGCGGAGAGGACTCGCCCCCCCCGCCCCCGCCCCTTGTGGGGCTTTAAGTGCGCCTGCGCGACAGCTGCACGCCGCGGTTCTTGACTGTGCTCTGCTTGCGCCGGGAGCTAGGTGTACTCATGCAGAAAGCCGACTGTGAGCGGACCCCCAAGCGGCCCCGACGCGATGGCAGCCCGAGAACGCCGCAGAACATGTCTTTCGCAGCGGCGAGGAGTTCTCCAGGTCCTGAACTCCACCCCGACCATCGGAACTGGAGCATGGAGCAGGTGGTCTCCTTCCTAAAGCGCAATGGTTACGACAGTCCCGTACTGCTGCGCCACATCCAAGGTAGCAGGGCTAGAGGGCTGCGGGGCTGAGGGACCGCCACCGGAGGCGGGGTCCGCAGGCCTAAGAAAGGGCGACCCGGAGCAGTGAGCAGGGGACCTTAAAGAGGACCCAAGGCGGCGATGGGAGACCTGACGCGGGAGGCACCAGAGGGGGCGGACCTGAGGCAGGGGGCGCCCAGGGAGGGATGACCTCAGGCGGAGAGCCCTTCTGAGAAGGGGACCTGAGTCGGGGAAGGGAGAACTGCGGCGGGAGGCACCGCAGGGGGCGGGCCAGAGGCTGGCGGCGCTCAGGAGTGATAACCCTGTGATGGTGGAAGGAGAAGTTGCAGCGGCAGGAGTAGGGGTCTCGCAGGAAGGAACCGAACTTCGGCGGTCTTGAGCTTGGGTGCGGGGCAGTCGTCGGTCTACCTGGTGGATTTCTAAAGGAACTTGACACCCCAGCGCCGGACTGCCGAGACTTGACCCCCCCCCTTTTTTAAATAGATAATCCTTACAATATTTTCCCCATTACCATGTAGTCTCCTTATACTCCCTCCCCCCAGCAATCACCACCCTGTTGTCCATGAGTCCTTTTTCTTTTTTGCTCCGTCCCTCCACCCGCTACCCGCCCCCCTCCACTAGCTGTCATCTGCTCTCCATCGACTCCCGTTTCTGAGTTACAAGAACGCTTTCCCCAGACCTTGGTCAGAGGATTGCTGTGTTTCAGGTTCCCCTTAATGGGAAGTCCCTCTGCCAGCTCAGCTCCTTGAACACTTGCCATGTTAGAATGAGTTTTGATTTTAAGTTTCTGTTTCCTTCACGCACACACCCCACCACCCCCACAATTTGGGAGTTCCTGAAGGAGAGGGAACTTGTCGGGCTGGTCTCCGAATCCCATCTCCTACCGTAGCATCCCAGTCGGGGCTCTGCATGTTTGTCGACTGGACTTGCAGAGCTTGGTCATGATGGTCTTTTCTTCTCCGAAAGCAGTTTCACTGGCTAAATCTGGACACAGGTGTTGACCGCTGAACTCCCAGCAGCATCCCGCAGCTTGGCCACACATCACATCACATCACATCACATCACATCACATCACATCACATCACATCACATCACATCACATCACATGGGGAGGTGTGCAGGTTGTGAGGTTTGTGTGTTTAAGATTTTACTTATCTTTTTCGAGAGAGAAAAAGAGGGACCCAAACATCAATGTGGGAGAGAAACATCAATCGGTTGGCTCCCATAGAGGCGGGAATGGGGCAACTGAACCCATAAGCCAGGCATGTGCCCTCCCCCGGAATGGAACCTGCAACCCTCCGCTTTGCAGGACAAAGTCCCGACCCCTGAGCCACAGCAAGCTAGGGCAGGTTGTGAGTTTCAATTGACTTTACCAGCCCAACTTCCCCTAATGGGTATGAAGCTGAATTTATCTGGCTTCATTCTCTGAGGTGTTCAATAGAAGGTGGTGACATTTGCATAATCTGCAGACTTTCAATCGCCTCAGGTCTTGTTTGTCTAGAATGGGGAACTAGGATGGGAGGAACCTAATGGTTCGACTAAAAGATAATTTGATGGGTATGGAAGTTGTGCTTCTCTTTTCCTACTTTTATTTTCTTCCACTGCTGGGACTGGAATTTTTCCTCAAATAGCAACAAGTGGGGATGAAATAGTTTTATATTTTCTGTCTCCAAAATGTGATTGGCTCTGCTGGCTCTCTGTTTCAGCAGTATTCTGTAGATTAATTCATCAATGTTCAAAATTATCTTTCTCTTGAGCCCACAGTCTAATGCTAATAGGAGACAGGGCTCACTTTTAATTGGTTACTGATCAAGTATTCACAGTTGCCTCATTACTGTCTGCATTGTCTTGATCAGATTTTAGTCAGGCTTCTCTTTCTCCTTCAAGCCCCTGAATTCTTGCTTGCCTCCAAAACTGAGCAAACACTAAAAAAGTGGAATATGCCCCCTGATCAGCGTCTCCTGGAACCAACTGGCCACAGCAGGACACTGCCCTATCAGACCCCACTGGGGTCTCTTCCCCTCCAAAGATTCTGCTTCTCTCTGCTTGCTCTTCCTTTAGTCTATATTTAAAAAAACAAAACAAAACACTTTTTTCTGTTTGATTTTTTTGTTTTGAAGATTTTATTTGGTGAAGGGAGGGAGAAAGAGGGAGACAAACAAACATTGTTGGTTGCCTCTCATGCGCCCCCAGCTGGAGACATTACCCAAAACTTTGCTGTTTGTGGTTTGTAGAACAATGCGCAACCCACTGAGCCACACCAGTCAGGGCTTTCTCTGTTTGATTTTGAGCTGTTTATATATTTCCTAGACTGGAATGTTCTCCCTACTATGGTCATCTTTCTAATAAAGTCTCTCCCTATCTAAATCCAGATTGGGTTTTTTTGTTTGTTTTTAAATTTTTATTTTTTAAAAAATATTTTATTTATTTATTTTTAGAGAGAGAGGAAGGGAAGGAGAAAGAGTGGGAGAGAAACATCAGTGTGTGGTTGCCTCTCAAGCGCCCCCTACTGGGGATCTGGCCGGCAACCCAGGCAGGTGCCCATTGCTTTGCAGCTGGTGCTCAATCCACTGAGCTATACCAGTCAGGGCCAGATCTGTTTTTATATGACAAAACTAAGCACAAGGTGCTGGGTTCCTTTACTCATTATGAAATAGTCTCACAGGAACTCTCAAATTTAGAGGCTATAATCCATATATATATATATATATATATATATATATATATATATATATATTTTTTTTTTTTTTTGCAGATGATATATTTGAGGTCCAAAGATGTTAAGTAACTTTCCAGAGGCCACACAGCTAGGGAAAAAAAAAAAAGCAGAGCTAGATTTTTTCCTCTTTTTTATCGAATGCATTGGAGTGACACTGGTTAACAAAATTACACAGCTTCCAGGTACACAGTTCCACAGCCCAGAGCTAGACTTGAAGGTCAGGTCTGTAGACTCTGGAATTCATGCCAGCTATACCTTAATGAGTGTTCTCACAAAAATCATTGGATTCCCCTCAACAATAAGGGAACAAACAAACCAATTAAAAAAAACTCACCAGAGAGCATTCCTAATGTTATAAAGGCAACCAAGAGCAAGGGGGAAAAAATGGAAAAATGAGAACACAGGAACAGACAAGCAACAACCAGCCAGTAAACAGAAAAATACATTGTCTCAACAGTAATTTTGAAATACAGATTTTTAAATTCAGTTTGAAGCATATTTGATGATTGATAATAGGAGAAATGGGTAATCCAATAAAACTGATGAAAGTGTTGGGAGGGTGGGAAAAAATAGATTATAAAGAACATAATTTTGTCTGTGTAAAATTACATACTTGCATAGATAAATGTCTTTTTTTTTAAGATTTTATTTATTTATTTATTTATTTATTTATTTATCTTTAGAGGGGAAGGAGAGAGGGAGAGAAACATCAATGTATGGTTGCCTTTCGTGCATCCCCGGCTGGGAACTGGCCTGCAGGGAACCAGTCTGCAACCCAGGAATATGCCCTGACTGGGAATCGAACCACGATCCTCTGGTTCGCAGGCCTGTGCTCAATCCACTGAGCTACACCAGCCAGGGCTTGATAAATGTCTTGAATGGCCCAAAATGTTAACAGTGGTAATTGGGAGAATTTGCATAACTTTTGATGTTTTATATCTTATATTTTTGAATTGTTTGGATTTTTTACATTGAGTAACTTTTTTATGATAGAAAAATACAATGTTATTTTCATTTAACGTTTATTCTTTATGGACATTACTTCTTCATTTTCACTTATTACCTCTTTTGTAAAAAGTGTGGCTATGGAAAATAGACCTTCACATAAAAATTTTTTTTTGCCCATCCTCCCCCTCCCCTTTCGTAACCATCAGCTTATTCTCTGTATCTAAAGGACTCTTACTATCTTTAGAAAGATTTAAAAAAATATTTTACTTATTTATTTTTAGAGAGAGGGGATGGGAAGGAGAAAGAGTGGGAGAGAAACATCAGTGTGTGGTTGCCTCTCACGTGTCCCCTACTGGGGACCTGGCCTGCAACCCAGGCATGTGCCCTGACTGGGAATCAAAGTGGCGACCCTTTGCTTCACAGCCCCGTGCTCAATCCACTGAGCTACACCAGCCAGGGCAGAAGGATTTTTGTTTGTTTGAAAATAGTCCATAGTTCTAGAACCTGAGGTTAGGACAGATTAGAATTAATTATATAGAAAAAGAAATGTAAAACCCATAGGTGTCTTTCAAAACACAGAATACTGTGTGCTTTACTTGGAGGTGTTGGAACTACATCGTGTCTTTGGCCACACCTCAGGCTGTGTTTTTGACCCGACTATTCTAAGAGCTATAGACCTTCCCTACCCAACCCTAAACCTTGACTATTTGGAAGTCCAGTTTTGCAGCTGGACTTCCTTACAAATAATTTACTTAAGTAATTTAAAAAGTTTCACCTGATTTATCATAAAAGTCTCTTGGTAAAGTTTTCTAATGAACATTAAGGCCTTCCGAGTGGCAAATCAGAATAGTGGTGTTGACGCAGTCCGCTGCCTGGGGTGGGTACACTCAATAAATGTGGATCTAAGTGAGTTCTGGGGGCTCCGATGGAAAGAAATTGAAAGGCATATGTTGTAAGTGCTAAAATCATTCATCTCTTTCCTCTCTTTTCTTTCATAGAAAATGAAATCACAGGTCCAAAACTGTTCCTTCTTACTGATTCCGACCTTGAAAGTTTTGGAATGAGGTAAGAATGATAAGATTCACTTGTAAGCTGACCATACTTAGGACCTTTTTATTCACCTTTGAGCAACAAAGCACAAAATTGCTGCTATTAACTGTCCACATTTTAGATCTAGGGAGTGTTTTAAAACAATCCACTGCCTGATGATTAATACAGTTGTTTCTATTTACATTTGCTGTATAAATTCTATAAAAATTTGCTGTGTTTAATATTACTAATGATTCCTTTTTTAAAAAAAGATTTTATTTATATATTTTCAGAGAGGGGAAGGGGAGAGGGAGAGAAACAGCAGTGTGTTGTTGTCTCTTGGACGCCCCCTACTGGGGTTTTGGCCCGCCCTGCAACCCAGGCATGTGCCCTGACTGGGAATCTAGCTGGCGACCCTTTGGTTCCCAGGCCAATGCTCAATTCACTGAGCCACACCAGCCAGGGCATAATGGTTACTTTTTTTTAAAAAATTTTGCTGACAAGCCTTCATGAAGCTGGTAGTAACTAACCTTTTTCTCTTAAGTTCAGGATAATTGAATTATGCACATCAGCATATGTATCAACTGAGAGGAACAAAAAGTGTTTGCAAGAGGTGCTTTCTCCCTGGGGAGCACACCCGCACCTTTCTTCCCTCTCATAAGTGCATCTTTACTTTTTTCTCCTGGGCTAACCCCCAAACCTGTCTACAAGGCCCCCTTTTCTCTGACTTTTCAGTGAGCCAACAGCAGCCCCGCCTGGGCTCACTTCTTTCCTATAAGGTCTCTAGAGAGCCAAAGCCTTGCCTAAGTGGCTATAGCTTCTTTACTGTTTCTTTTTTTTAGTTTATTGATTTTAGAGACAGAGGAATGGAGAGAGAGAAAGAGAGCATCGATTTGTTGTTCCACTTATTTATGCATTCATTGGGAATGATTCTTGTATGTGCCCTGACTGGGGATAGAACCCACAACCTTGGCACATGGGGATGATGCTCTAACCAACTGACCTACCCAGCCAGGACTCCTTGTTGCTTCCTCTATCCTAAGCCCTTCCTTGTTTCACTGTCCTCAGCTTTAATAAATTACCCCCCCCCCAAAAAAAAATGTTGGCAAGAAAACTCAAGGCTAGAACCCTATCTTGATCATATTTCTAGGTCTTCTTAAAGCTATCTTAAGACTGGGGTATATCTCTACCATTAGATTTAGACACAAAGTAACTCGGCACTTTTTAGATGGGATGAGTTATTTAACTTTCAGTTTCGGCACTTATAATGTGGATAATAACAAAGAGACAATGTATGTCAAGTGATTAGCACATGATAAGCCCTTAATAAATTATACACATACATGTAGAGATCCCTATGTATGTTCAGAGGTTCTTAGGCCTAGATGAGTGCGGGTCCACTTTCAAGACTTCCATTGAGGATGCAGTATTTAAATAGTCCTTAAAATGGAGACATCCTTCTTTGAGAGCATTGACAACAGAGGTGAAACATGATCTTTTCCTCCGGAATTCCGCTTAGCTAAGTGTTGTTTGTGGTAACATTAAAGAATCAAAACAGGATGATACTGAATTGCTTTCTGTACTATTGCTGAATAATTGATAGTGGAAGTAGACTGAAAAAAAAGATCACTTTTAACTGACTAGTAAATATCCTTTGGATCGGAATCTTCAGGGACCTCATCTTGCCTCTTTCATAATCACCTTTCAGCCTCCTTTACCCCCCACCACTGAGGTCCCCCTTAGTACCTGCTTTTTATGTATCATAGTTGCTTACTATTTTAATTGAATGGAATTTGTTCTGATGGAGTCTTCTAAAGGGAATCATATACTTTGTGGACCCAAATATTATTGATTTATTCAATAAGTATTTATGGAGGGCTTACTAAGTGTTAGGCACTCTTCCGGGAACTTGGGACCCATGAGTGAACCAAATGAACCAAATTCCGAAGGGAACACTCTATGGCACACACTCGTGCCTGCCTCATAACCCTGAAGTGGGTTCTTCAGGGCTCCGCAGAGCTCTGTTTTCCTGTACAGCAGCCGCTAGCTGCATGTTTAAACTAAACTAAATTAAAATGTCAATTCCTCAGTTACACCAGCTGTATTTCAAGTACTCAGTTAGCCACTTATGGCTCATGGCTACTGTGTTGGACCAGGCAGATTGGACTTTTTCTTCATGACAAAGTTCCTGGACCGAGCTGCCCTTGAAGACCCTGGTGGGATCAGTTGATGGGGTGAATACTGAGTTCATAGTCAGTAATCATTTCTGTTGCACCTATAATCTTAGTTAAAATTCTTCTCCAGTTCTTAAGGGCAAGAGTCTCTACTATAACCCCAGTGCTGAACACAGTTGAATCTCTTTCCCGCCCTGGGAGGTAGATGGTGTTATCTCCGTGCTATAGACGAGAACATCAATGTCCCAAACAGCGGTTAAGTGACTTGTCCACGGCTACTTATAGATTCCATGTACAGATGTGAGCCAGTTCTGTCTGATTCAAAAGTCCTTTCTCATTATCACTATGCTTGACTTGAAAGACTGCTATCTTGAGTTTTCACTTACGTGAGGCATGAAAGTTCAGGATCATGAGGGTATATGTTAAAATTAAAGTAAGTGTAAATTGAGCATTCGGTAGACAGGTCGGGGATGTTGAGGTCTGAGTTTACCAGGAGAGAAGGGGAGCAAAGGCAGAAGCCAAGAGGGGGGGTTTCATGTCTCAGAAACAAAGGAAAGAGGCTCTAGGAGGAGTAAGTTTGAATTATTAATTGTTCCTTCTCATCCGACTTCTCTTGTAGTGTAAATAATCTAGAGTTGATTATATATTGTCATATATTCTATCAATTACTATTAAGCAAATAATGATAGATTTGCTTATCCTGTTATAATTTTAGTTCCTTGTCCAAGAGAATGAAGCTGCTTAGTTTTCTTCATCATCCGGTTTCTTTGAAGGTAAGAGGAATCCAGTTTTATTATCATGTGTTTTGAATATAAAGTGAGATAACTCAGTTATCTAGAATTTATTTTTAAAAGAATGGAAGGAAAATCTGTTTTTCATTGGGAAAATAATGAATTTTGAGGTCTCTAAATTTTCTGCATTTTCTAAAATAAGCACAGAATATCTAAATCACAAGAAAACTAAAATATTTGAAGCACAAAAGCATAACTAGACAACTAGCCAGCCTGAGAATCTTAACATTTTGCCCAATTTTTTTCAAATTTATTATTTTTAGAACAAAGTATTAAAATCAGTGGAAGACCTCCTTTGTACCCCTCTTGGATTCTATTTCCCTCTTTTCTTCCTCAGAAGTAATCACCATCCTGATTTGGTGTTTGATCATTTTTGTGAATATTGTGAACTTTTACTACATATTTGTGTGTAGCCATAAACAATGTAAAATGTTGTTTTACATGTTTTTAAGTTTTTATATAATTATATTTCACAGTAAGTAACCTAAACTTTCATTTAACATTATATTTTTGAGACTCATCCACATCGACACAAATAGCCCATGTTTCCACCCTCAGCCATTGAATAACTTTTAAAGTTAGGTTAAGTTTTCTTGTCAGTTTCGGTAAATTGTTTTTGTCAAATATTAGTTCAAATGGTGGATATATTCCTAAAGATTTTTTTCTTTGTTTTAAGATTTTTAAAATTTATTTATCTTTAGAGGGGAAGGGAAGGAGAGAGGGAGAGAAATATCGATGTATGGTTGCCTCTTGTGCATCCCCTGCTGGGAACTGGCCTGCAACCCAGGCGAGTGCCCTGACTGGGGATCAAACTGCAGTCCTCGGGTTCTCAGGCCCGTGCTCAGTCCACTGAGCTACACCAGCCAGGGCATATTCCTAAAGTTTAATCTATCAATAATCATTTGTTTCTCATCCCCCAACCCCTTCCAGATATCAAAAGCCTTGTTTTTCAGACTTAGTGTCCCAAGAATGATTTTAATAATCCCACAGCCCCTGTCCCAGAAATTCTGAGTCTGATAATTTAGGGTAGAGTCTAAGAATGTGCATTTTTTCACAAGCTCCTTAGGGTGATTCTAACACCATAATTAAAGAAATGTTTCTTCTTACCCTGTCTGGTTCGATTCCTAGTCAGGGCACATGTCTGGGTTGTGGGCCAGGTCCCCAGTAGGGGGCACATGAGAAGCAACAACACATTGATGTTTCTCTCCCTTTCTTTCTCCCTCCCTTCCTCTCTAAAAATAAATAAATAAAATCTAAAAAAAAAGATATATCTTTAAAGAAACACAGAGGGGTATTAAATCTTCATATTTAAAGCTCTTGTTTAAACTTATAGTAATTCATAATTGTGAAATGTGATTTTACTAAATATAAATATTTATTTTTAAAATATATTTTATTGATTATGCTATTATAGTTGTCCCATTTTCCCCTTTCACTCCCCTGTTTTGCACACCCCCTCCCACATTCTCCTCCTTTAGTTCATGTTCATAGGTTGTACATATAAGTTCTTTGGCTTCTACATTTCCTATACTGTTCTTACCCTCCCTCTGTGTATTTTCTACCTACCATCTCTGCTACTTATTCTCTGTACCTTTTCCCCCTCTCACCCCTTCCCACTTCCTTGTTGATAAACCTCCATGTGATCTCCATTTCTGTAGTTCTGTTCCTGTTCTAGTTGTTTGCTTTTGTTTTTGTTTTGGGTGTGGTTGTTAATGATTGGGAATTTGCTGTCATTTTACTGTTCATATTTTTTATCTTCTGTTTCTTAGATACCTCCCTTTAACATTTCATATAATAAGGGCTTGGTGATGATGAACTCCTTGAACTTGACCTTATCTGAGAAGTGCTTTATCTGCCATTCCATTCTAAATGAAAGCTTTGCTGAATAGAGCAATCTTAGATGTAGGTCCTTGCCTTTCATGACTTGGAATACTTCTTTCCAGCCCCTTCTTGCCTGTAAGGTCTCTTGAGAAATCAGCTTACAGTCTTATGGTAACTCCTTTGTAGGTAATTGTGTCCTTTTCTCTTGCTGATTCCAGGATTCTCTCCTTCATTTTAATCTTGGGTAATGTAATGATGATGTGCCTTGGTGTGTTCCTCCTTGGGCCCAACTTCTTTGGGACTCTCTGAGCTTCTCGGTCTTCCTGGTCTTCCTGGAGATTTTCTTTGCCAGATTGGGAAAGTTTTCCTTTATTATTTGTTCAAATAACTTTTCCATTTGTTGCTCTTCCTCCTCCCCTTCTAATACTCCAGCAATTCGGATGTTGGAACATTTAAAGATGTCCTGGAGGTTCCTAAGCCTCTCCTCATTTTTTTGAATTCTTGTTTCTTCATTCTTTCCTGGTTGGATGGTTTCTTTCTTCCTTCTAGTCCACTCCATTGATTTGAGCCCTAGTTTCCTTCCCATCACTATTGGTTCCCTGTACATTTTCCTTTATTTCACTTAGCATAACCATTTTTTCATCCAATTTGCCACCAAATTCAACCAGTTCTGTGAGCATCCTGATTACCAGTGTTTTGAACTGTGCATCTGTTCTGTTGGCTATCTTTTTGTCACTTAGTTGTATTTTTTCTGGAGCTTTGATCTGTTCTTTCGTTTGGGCCTTTTTTTTTTTTTTGTCTTGATGCACCTGTTATGTATGAGGGGCGGAGCCTTAGGTGTTCACGTGGGCAGGGCAACCCACGTCGCTGGGTTGTGACGTTGTCTGTGGGGCAGGGAGCCAGGGGTCTGAGAGGGAGCAATGGCGCTTGCTGTGCTCTCTGATGGATTTCAGTCACTTACCCCGCTTCCCACAAGCAAACTGGGCCTTTCTGGTGCTGATTCCCAGGTGGGTGGGCTTGTTTACCTTCTGGGACCCTGTGGGTCTCTCTAGTGAACTTTTCTGTGAGGTTGGGAGTCTCTCCCCCCACCGCCCCAATCCCGCAGGTGTTTTTAGTCAGAGGTTTGAGGCTTTATTTCCCCGGAGCTGGGGCCCTGGGTTGTGCGGTCTGTCTCGCTCCCCAGCTGTTCCTCCCGGTTTATGTGGGTGCCAATGTGGGACCACCGGCTCTGCCAGCCGCTGCAGCCGCAGTCTTGCTGGCCAGCCGCCGCCTTGCCCTCCCCGGTCCTCCATCATCGCTTTGCCGTGAGTCCTCTTTGCACACCCGTCTGTGCCCCTCCTTCAGGTCTGGATGAGTGTGTCTTCTTTAACTCCTTGGTTGTCAGACTTCCATACAGTTCGATTTTCTGCCAGTTCTGGTTGTTTTTTGTTTATAAATTGTTGTTGTCCTTCTTTTGGTTGTGCGAGGAGACACAGTGTGTCTACCTACGCCTCCATCTTGGCCAGAAGTTTAAATGTAAGTATTTCTGAGTGACATTACAAGTACTATAAAATTTTTATGTGCTTGCATATGATTTCTTATCTATGTGGTCAGAGGGTTTCTTTCTTTTCTCCTTCCTTCCTCTCTCTCTCTCTCTGCTTTCCTCCCTCCCTCCCTCCCTCCCTCCCTTCTGTAGTGACAGGTACTGTACAGATACATTCAGGAAAAAGTTTAGACATAGTGCCAGTGGTGATATGGCTTACGTGTTCTGCATGAATGTGTTAGAGGAGTATGTTTAACTTAAATACAAGACTAAGATTAAAGGCTAATTAAATAATGTACAAAGCCTTGGCCAGTGTGGCTCAGCTGTTTGGAGTGTCAGCCCTTAATCAAAAGGTTACAGGTTCGAACCCCAGTCCTAGGGTGTAGGATTCCTGGGTGTAGGATTCCTGGTCAGTTCACATAAGAGGGGCAACCAATTGATATTTCTCTCTTACTTAGATATTTCTCTCTTTCCCATCCTCTCTTTCTCTCTCTCAAAAAAAAAGGCAGTGAAAACATGTACTTGAGTGAGGATAAATAATAATAAAAAGATTGAAATCCTTATCTTTTTAATATTAGAATCCATTAGGAAAAAGTAAAATATATCCAGATTCAATATACTTGAGCTGTCTGGTAGTGATATCAAAATAAGTAATACTATTAATATCTTGTCATTTCCCTTCATGTTAGTCTTGAGGGCGATGAAACAATTTTGACTTTGCACTGTAAGTAGACATGGCTGCATTATAAGTTATGCATTGTTACTCACATTAGTTTAAACGTAACTTTCTAGGTTATTAATGATCCTATCCATGGCCATTTTGAACTTCACCCTCTCCTTGTCCGGATCATCGACACACCTCAATTTCAACGGCTCCGATATATTAAACAGTTGGGAGGCACTTACTATGTTTTTCCAGGAGCTTCACACAATCGATTTGAGCACAGTCTAGGGTAAGATGGGGGTTGGGGTGGGGGGCGTGAAGTTATTAAGCACCTTCTCTGTCTCATGAAATATGATTGAAATGTGTGTGTTTAAATATTTAAAAGCCAATAGGGTTGGTTACTGGTATAATGAACTTTGTAAATTTGATTATTTAATTTTCCTGTAGTCTCTGTTTAGTCGTGTACAGATTATCTTTTGAAACCAAGAAATACATAAATCAGAAAAGTATTCACAGGCTCAGGGAGGTGGCACTTTTGTTACGTACAACTCAGTTGAGACTTTGGCCCACTTTTCCAGTATAAACCTGTAGAGCCAGGAGGACATAAGCAGGGAAGAACTGGACAGATTTCCAGGTATTCATGAACTACTGACAGTATTATTTTGTGTCTTCGTTTGTTTATTTTGAAGCATTTTTTAATTATCCAGAACACATGTATCTGCTCAAGTGTTCATTCATTCATTCATCAACAAATATTTATTGAAAACTTCCTAGGTCCCACCAAACTGACTAGGTAGCAGTGGTCTCTACCCTCAAAGTTACTGTATTCATTCAGAAATTACTTTCAGAGGGATTTGTTAGGCATTTTTATCTTTAATCTGTGTTGTAAACATTACAAAACAGAAGTCCTGCTAATTTTTTAAAATTGTGGTAAGTGCACAGAATATAAAATTTACCATCTTAACCATTTTTAAGTACACAGTTCAATAGAGGTAAATGTGTCCACATTACTGTGCAACCAAACTCCAGAACTTTTTCATCTTGCAAAACTAAAACTCCATAACCATCCATTAATAATTCCCCATTTCCCCCTATCCCCAGCCCCTGTTTCTGATTGGCTGTTTCACGTTATGTAATTTCTTCAAGGTTCCTCCATGTTGGAGCATATGTCAGAATTTTCTGCCCTGGCTGCTGTGGCTCAGTGGATGAGCGCTGGCCTGCGAACCAAAGGGTTGCTGGTTCGATTCCCAATCAGGGCATGTGCCTGGGTTGTGGGCCAGGTACCTTGTTGGGACATTGATGTCTCACCCTCTCCTTCTCCCTCTCTTCCCTTTTCACTAAAAATAAATAAATAAAATCTTTAAAAATTTTTTTTCTTTTTAAGATTAATATTTGAATGTATGTATGTATCACATTTTGTTTATCTTTATTTGTTGGTGGACACTGGGTTTTTTTGACCTCTTTGGCTGTTGTAAATAGTGCTGCTATGAACACATGTGTGCAAATATATCTTTTGTTTTTATTTATTTACCTTTAGAAGGGAAGGAGAGAGGGAGAGAAACATCAGTGTGTGGTTGCCTCTCATGTGTCCCCTACTTGGAACCTGGCCTGCAACCCAGGCATGTGCCCTGACTGGGACTCAAACTGTGATCCTCTGGTTCACAGGCCTGCACTCAATCCACTGAGCTACACCAGCCAGAGCTGTAAATACATCTTAAAGGCCCTGTTTTCAATTGTTTTGGGTACATACCGAGAGTTGGAATTTCTGAATCATATGGCAATTCTAGTTTTAATTCTTTGAGGAACCACCATACCATTTTCCCAAGTGGCTACACCGTTACACATTTGCATTAACAGTGTACAAGGGTTCCAGTTTCTCCACATCCAGGCACACTTACTGACTAATTGTTTTGGGTTCATTTGTGTTCTGTTTTGTTTTGTTTTGGGGTAATAGCCATCCTAATGGGAATGACATGGTGTCTCATTATGGTTTTGACTTTGCATTTACCTAACAATTAATGATGCTGAGCCAAGAAGCCCAGCTTTGGGAGATTCTGTGTGTTTCTGCCAAGTTCCAAAACACACGATTCAGTTAAATTGCCCTGGAGATATATTACCACATTTGAGAAACATTCAAGTTCTTGAGAACCCGGATGTTATCACTTGTATCTTGCAAAGAAGAGTGACTTTTTGTTTTGTTTGCTCTGCAGTGTAGGACATCTAGCAGGATGTCTGGTCCAAACACTGAGAGAAAAACAACCAGAGCTGCAAATAGATGAACGAGACATGCTCTGTGTCCAGATCGCTGGGCTTTGTCACGACCTTGGTGAGTGGTACAAAGAGCCAAAGCCACAATGAAGAACTGCAGCGTTACCTCTCTTGAAAATGAAAAAATCCAACTAAGAGAAATATGAAAGTTGTATTTTTCATTTTTCAATTAACATTAATATAAACATGCGATTACATCTTCCTAGAATGACCCATAAGACTACAGCATTGCTATTTTTCATTGTTGTTGCTTTTCAGTGAATTTCCTATGTAAAACAGCGTTGCCACAAGTTATATGAAAGGGCTTTTCCACAGTGAGGTTTTCTGGCAGCTCTGTTTAGGAGGACGTGGGCTTAGTTTTTTTTTTAATCCTTCTTGTTGAAGAAAATTGCCCTTTTACCTTCGGTTACTTTGTCAGGTTCCATTTTCTCATACATAGACTACATAACCTGCCCTAGCAGGTTAGCAACAGATTTAAACTTCTCTTCCCTGACCCATGTGAGACTTGGGCCACTGAAATCAAAGTAAAAGAGTATCACTGTTTTCCTTTGACCAGGAAAGAGAGAAGAGACAGTATTCTTTTATCACAGGCCTTAAATCCTGCTTGTTGGAAGACCCTGAGAATCTGTGTGCGCCCTCAGGGCCGAAAAGGGGGAGGGATTGTGTTTCAATAGCCAGATACTTAAAGGGGTAGGGCATGCTCTTTAGCACGTCCCCTTGTAGATATCAGTAGGACTGATACACCCCCAGATGGTAAATTTAACAGATTCCTGGTGTTCTGAGAGGGAAATCTTTGCCAGGCCCTATGAGTCCAACTAGTGCAGTACTGAGCCTTTATGTACAGAGTGTGACATGTAGGGAGGCCCAGGGCCAGCCCAGCTGTGCTCTCTCCAGCCAAGTCATTCATTTCTGCAGTAATTCTGATAATCCCAGAGTTTTGCCGTTACTAAATGTCATGAAATGTTCTAGAATCAGTTATGAGTAAGATAAACTTTTGATTTCCACTTTTGATGGTTCACATGATCAGTAAAAACCCAAGAAACAGCCCTGGTAGATGTATAATTCTCGAACTGTATTATGTATTTTATAAACTTTACATTAAAATAGGTGTTTTTAAAGGATGAAAGTCATAAAATAAAATTCTAGTATTTTATTCCTGCATCCCAGTGAATTGTCTTAAAACTGCTGTTTTCATACAGATAATTCGACTGAAGATGCCAGAACTTTGTGTGTCACTACATTCCTTTAAGTTACACAAAACTGCCCTTTCACCAGAGTTACATGAATTCCTGTGACTCAGAGACCCCTCTGTGGAGAGTTTACTTCCCCATATGGTTCTGCTTCCTGTTTTCTTGTTCTTAGAAAGTAGGAAAGATTTGTCCCTTTTTGTGATGTATTTGTAGGTTATATTGATTTCTGTTGGGGGTCAAGTTAAAACTAAACAGATTTTTAAAAATCAGCTCAGTTTTTACATTTTTCTTGTTCTAAGATCCCTTTTGTTTTTAAGGTCACGGGCCCTTTTCTCATATGTTTGATGGGAGATTTATTCCACTTGCTCGTGAAGATGTGCAGTGGAAGGTACGTCATACGTTCAACAGTCAATAAAGTAAAGACCACACTGCCGTGTATAGTGCATTTCCCCATTACGGTTTTCAGAGAGCTCTCATATATATATATAAAATCAATCTATCTATATCTATGTATCTGTGTATGGGTGTATGTTTGCATGTGCATTATTATTTGATTCTCGCAGTCTGTAAGGAAGAAATCATCATCTCCATTTTTACACCTGGAAAGGAACTTGAAATGCACAGAGGTGTATGGGTGCACCACAAATCACAAAGCTGGTAAATGGTAGAGCCAGTGCTAGAAAACCAGGTTTCCCAGGTGCGGATTTAATGCTCTTTCTACTCTGTCATGCTACTGTAAAATAGAAAGTAAAAGGCCAACTGTGGTTTTGACTCATTTGGTATAACCATGAAGTAACTGATTGCAGCCAAGTTTCCTCATCTGCAGGGTAGGGCAAAAGTCAGATTACAGTTATTCATATGGAAAATAATACAACAATCAATCAACAATAATGTAAGAACTCTGTTTCTCTTACAACTGTAAAACTACTTTTGCTCATCCTGTATATTAAATGGACCATTGCATAATTCGGGATTTGCAGGCGGTTGACCCATATTTTTGGAATTAGTTTTTGAGAAGTAAACTTGGTTGTGAGAGTAAAATCAGACTGACTTCATTTTTGGCCACACTGTCTCTGGATCCTGGGGTAGAAAAGGATATTCACGTGTATTGAATGCTTCTTACATGTCAACCACTGTTATTCTTTGTCTCTTCCCCCCTTTTTTTAAAGGTATAACTCACATACAGTAAGTTGTACAGACTTTAAGTGTACAGTTCAGTGCATTTAGACTGATGTCTGCATCCATGTAACCGAGACTCAAGTGAGGATAAGAATGTCTCCATCGTCCTGGAAGTTCCTCTGTGCCCCTTTCCCATCAATTTCCACCCCTCCCCCACCAGCACCTTCTGATTTTTATAAACATAGATTAGTTTTGCCTGGTTTTAAACTTGGGAAAAGTAGAATCGTGTAGTAGGTACTTTCTGTCTTGCTTTATTCGCGCAGTGGTTTTTGAAGTGTGTTCACGCTGTACGCATCAGTAGTTGCTCCCATCTTCTCGCCTAGGTATTGTTCTGTGGTATGAATACATCAGCATTCGTCCTCTCTCCTTTGGATGGAATTCGTGTTCTTTTCACTTTCTTTTACTTTTTGGAGACAAACTTTAAATTTTATTTTTCAATTACAGTTTACTTTTCCTATTATTTTGTATTAGTTTCAGGTGTACAGCATAGTGATTTGGGTTGTTTTCATTTTGGGGCGATTCAGAATAAGGTTGCTCCGCTTATCAAATATGCTTTTTGTGGGAAACATTTTTATTTCTTTTAGGTAAATACCTAGGAGTAGAGTCTCTGGGTCATAAAGTAGACCTGCATTTCACTGTATAAGACACTGCCCGAGCTTTCCAGTGCAGTTGTGCCGTTTTTACCCTCTGTCCGGGCCGTATGTGAGTTCTGTTCTTTCACAGCCTCACCAGTGTGGGTTTTTTCAATTAGCTTTTCTAATGCGTGTGAAATGCTGCCTGGTGGTTCAGTTTGCATTCTCTGATGTATGCCGAGTAGCGTTTCCTGTATTTCATGCTTCGTCGCTTATGTTATTATTATTTTAAATATATTTTTTGTTTAATTGTTGTTCAAGTACAGTTTTCTGTCTTTTATTCCCATCCCAGCCAACCCTCCCAGCCCTCCCCACTTCCCTCCCATTTCCACCCCCCCTAGTTTTTGTCCATGTGTCCTTTATACTAGTTCCTGTAAACCCTGCCCCTTTTCTCCTGAAATTCCCTCCCCTCGCCCCTCTGGTCAATGTCAGCCTGTTCTCTATTTCAGTGTCTTTGGTTATATTTTGTTTGTTTGTTTTGTTGTTAAAGTTCCTATTAAAGATGAGATCATATGCTATTTGTCTTTCAACGCCTGGCTTATTTCCCTCAGCATAATGCTTTCCAGTTCCATCCATGCTGTTGCAAAGGGCAGGAGCTCCTTCTTTCTTTCTGCTGCATAGAATTCCATTGTGTAAATGTACCACAATTTTTTGATTCACTCATTTACTGATGGGCACCTAGGTTGCTTCCAACACTTGGCTATTGTAAATTGTGCTGCTATGAACATTGGGGTGCATAGGTTCTTTTGCATTGGTGTTTCAGAGTTCTTAGGATATAATCCTAGCAGTGGAATTGCTGGGTCAAAGGGCAGATCCATTTTTAGTTTTCTTAGAAAATTCCATACTGTTTTCCATAGTTGTATGAGTCTACAATCCTACCAACAGTGCACTAGGGTCCCCTTTTCTCCACAACCTCTCCAACACTTGTTGTTTGTTGCTTTTGTTATGGTGGCCATTCCAACTGGTGTGAAGTGGTATTTCATTGTGGTTTTAATTTGTACCTCTCTGATGGCTAGCGATATTGAGCATCTTTTCATGTGTCTCTGGATCTTCTGTATGTCCTCCCTGGAGAAGTATCTGTTCCTTTGCCCACTTTTTAATTGGGTTGCTTGTCTTCTTAGAGTGAAGTCGTGTAAGTTCTGTATAACTGATAAGTCTTTTGTGAAGAATCCTTTCAATGTTTCACCCATTTTTTAAATGAATTACGTTTTTATTATTGATTTGAGGAATTTTTATAAGATACATAATGAATATTTTTCCTCCACTGTTTGACTTGCCAAGTCATTTTTCTAATGGTGCCTTTTGACAAATTTAAACATTTGATGAAGGACTCAGGTTCTTTAGACTAGTAAGGTGGATAGTGGCCCTCTAGTTTTCCTGCCTTCCCTGGGGTCTGCTCTCAGGCTAAAAGCCATAGAAGAATTGGAGTATCGCCCAGTGGCTTTCTCTTCCGGGTGTTGTCTTCCTGTAACATCTGCCTGCCTTCAGGTGCTGTCCAGTATCTTCAGCGAGTTGTCCAAACATTACCGGGGTGAAACCCAAGTCAGGGCGCCCCCACCCACCCTGAGCTTGTGCCTGGGTTCTCGTCTCACTGGCAAGAGACAAATTCAAGCGAGAGACAACACATATAGTGGAAATGAGGTAGCAAGTTTGTTTATGAAACACACACGGGCATGAAGCTGCAAGCAGGCACCCGGCGAGTGTGAATGCACCATGTATAGAGAAAATAACGTTGTTGGTAAGTTTTTTAGTCAGTTTTTTCTGTAACTTGAACCAAGGCTACCAGTGGGCACTCAGCTGATCTGAGTCTGCCAACTGTTGGGGTTCAGTGGTTACATACTTTCGTCAGCTTCTAGATGCCTTTCTCCCCTTTCTAAACCTTGGGAGTCAGGTACAGCTCCAAAGGCTTTCCTTCTCAGCCAGTGAAGGCTCTTTGTCTTAGTGAAATTGCTACCGAGGCTCCCTTTCCCAGCAGGGTCTCAAGCACTGCCCTCCTCCAGCATTATCCTTGCCCGGGACGTTCAGAAAGCCCGGCAATCTCATTGGACCAGGCTCAGGACTGCGGAGACGAGTCTCCCTTGTCCCCCTGCCTTAGCGTACTGCCTGTCCTGCCTGACACAAAGTGTAGAGTTGATTTCTCCATCAGTGCTGATCTGAATAGAATCTACTTAGCCATTCCCAATGGCTTTTTTCTTTCAATATTTTATTTATTCATTTCTAAAGGGGACGGAGAAAGAGAAGGAGAGAAACATTGATATGTGAGAGAAACATCAATTGGTTGCCTCTCCCATGCCCCCAGCAGGGCGTCTGGCCCACAACCCAGACATGAGCCCCTGCGGGGAATCAAACCAGCAACCTCTCTGTTTGCAGGCCAGCACTCAACCCAGTGAGGCACACCAGCCAGTTTTGACCACAATTGAAATTGAAGTATAATTGACATACAGTATTATATTAATTTCAGGTGTACAGCATAATGATTTGATGTTTCATTATTGGGTTGGCCAAAAAGTCTGTTTAGTTTTTTCTGTAAAATAAAAGGTACATTTTTATTTTCACCAGTAACTTGATTGATTTGGATATTTTGAGTAGGTCAGCTATCTCCCGTGTGGTATAACATTGATTTTTCTTTCTTCTTTTTTTTTTTTTTTAAGATTTTATTTATTTATCTTTAGAGGGAAAGGGAAGGAGAGAGGGAGAGAAATATCAATGTATGGTTGCCTTTCATGCGTCCCCTGCTGGGAATTGGCCTGCAGGGAACTGGCCTGCAACCCAGGAATGTGCCCTGACTGGGAATCGAACCGTGATTGTCTGGTTCACAGGCCCGTGCTCAATCCACTGAGCTACACCAGCCAGGTGATTTTTCTTAATTAATGTCTAGATTTGATCACTACCAACTTCAACTGGTCTATCTGACCATGGAGCATCGACCAGCCAGAAATCTCCAGCACAAAACTTTACAAACCACTCTTGACACATTAGATCAGTCATGGTACCTTCTACGTACATAGCACAAATCTTTTTTTTTTTTGCACTTCAGTTGCATTTTTACCTTTCTTGAATAAAGTGTAATATGCCAAAAATGTTGCATATTTTCTTCCATCTTCAATATTAAAGTGGCTACACAAAAATCCACCAATTTTGATAAGTATTTTTTAAAGGCATACTAATATGACAGCTGTCACAATACAGTCTAACAAAATTGTTTAAAATGAAGTTAAAGACATCTAAGCACTAGTAGAGCCATATTGCGGAAAAAAACAAACGAACTTTTGGCCAACCCATGCATCATAAAGTGATCATCACAATAGGTATCATTACCATTGTCTCCATACCAATTTAATGCACTATCATTGGCTATATTCCCCATGCTGTACATTACATCCCATGATTGATTTCTTTTTATAAGTGGAAGTCTGTACCTCTTGATCCCCTCTACCTCTTTGACCTACCACCCTCAGCCCTCCTCCCCTCTGGTATGAATCTGGTTTTGTTCTGTTGTTTGAGTCCACATATAAGTGAAATCATACTGTATTTGTCTTTCTCTGTCTGACTTATTTCACTTAGCATAATACCCTCAAGGTCCATCCATGTTGTTACAAATGGCAAGATTTCATTCTTTTTTATGACTAATATGCCACTGTATGTATACAACACATCTTTATCCATTCATCCGTTGATGGGCACATAGGTTGCTTTCACGTCTTGGCTGTTGTAAACAATGCCGCAGTGAAGATCATGGGGCAGGTATCTTGTCAAATCAGTGTCTGTGCTTTCATTGGATAAATACCCAGAAGTGAAATTGCTGGATTGTATGGCATTTCTATTTTTAATTTTTTATGGAAACTTCATACAGTTTTCCATAGAGGCTGCACCAATGTACATTCCCATTAACAGTGCAGAGGGCTCCCTTTTTTCCACATTTTTGCTAATACTTGTTACTTTTTTGTCTTTCTTGATACACCTGCTGTGACAGTTGAGATGATACTTCACTGTGGTTTTGATTTGCTTTATTCTATTATAAATTTGATCATTTTCTCCATAAAGTCATACATCTTTTATTATGTTTACTTCTTCATTACCTATAATTTGAGTTGTTATTATATGTGCTGTCTTGGTGGAACTTAAATTTTCTGTATATATAAATGTTTTTCCGAACCATTTGAAAGTAAACTCTAGACATACCCTCTCATTCCTAAATACCTCAGTGGGTATTTCCTAAAAACAAGAACATTCCCTTATTTAACCTCAGAACAATTATCAAAATCTGGCTATTAATGTTGATGTAATACTGTTATCTAATGTAGACTTTCTTTCAAATTTCACCAGATGTCCATAGAGAAAAAGAGGAAAAGCCTTTTTTAACCAATTCACATTGCAATTGGTTGCCATTCTCTTGAGTCTCCTTGGCCTCTAATAATTCTTGAGTCTTTACAGTTCATGACGTTGCCATTTTTGGGAGAGTAGAGGGGAGCTGTTTTGTGCAATGTCCCTCCATTTGAGTTTGCCTGGTGTTCCTTCACAGTGGGAGACCACCTTTTCGGCAGAATGCCACTTTTTGCGCTTCTTGGCGTGTCCATCAGAGTCACCTGCAACCTGTGTAACCATTGCTGGAACTGTTAACTCCGATCGCTTGAGTAAAGCAGTGTCTGCCGAATTTTTCCATTAGAAACTTACTGTTTTTCTCCTTAGTAACTAATATGTTATCTTGATTCAATTTTTAAAATATAGTTGTAGGACCATTCTGGCCTTTGTTTTTATCCTTAGGTCAGTTTTTGGTAGGACCAATGGGGCGATGTCTTTACAAAGAGTACGAATGAGGAAATGGAAAGGGAAAGGAGGCTGTTTCAGGTCCCCACTCGATCTTGACTTAGGAGCCACACTGTTGTTTTTACTCGTGAATTTGCAGTTTTTTCCCCAGTAGATGAAAATCCTAACAAAACTCGTAACTTTGGGTTTCAAGGCTGATTAAATAATAGAACTGAATTTTATGGCAGTTTTCATGAAAATGGGATTCCACCCATGTGACCTGGTAATATTCTTCCATACTGTACCCTGAAGTACTTCTGTGCTGTAAATGACTGTAGCTCATTAAACATATTAATGAAATAATGTTGAGCATGGTTTGTAAAAAGTTTATAGAACAGTAAAATATAGACAAATGTATAGATTTTTAGAAATATCTGCAAGACAATAGTTGGAAACTAGATAATTAACATGCAGTAGAATCTTACCTTTGAATTACCTGGACTCAACAGTAATTTGAGGAATCCAGGGTCCCTGATGGACTAGAGTTGATAACAGACCACGTTCTGCTGACTTTTCCTAGCATGAACAGGGCTCGGTTGATATGTTTGAGCACCTCGTTAATTCTAATGATCTCAGACCCGTCATGGAGCGCTATGGCCTCATCCCTGAAGAAGATATTTGCTTTATCAAGGAACAAATTATAGGACCGCCTGCATCACCAGTGAAAACTTCATCTGTAAGTGTGTGTACAACTTCATTGGAAGTGACTCATGCTTTTCATCCAGTCTTTTCTTGACTCCTTTAGAGATATTTGAAGAGAAACACTTGGCTGTTTTAGAAAGACTAGGTTTAGAAGGACTTGGGAAGAAATATAAATGCATGTGTAAATTGAAATACATAATGTAAATATTTTATAATGAATATGTATGCAGCATTTTATATAGAAGCCTAAAGTAACTTCGTTTGGAAATTGTAACAGTGTATATCTTGTTTATCTATGAAAACTAACATTTAAAATATTTACCATATTTTGGACCATGAGACACACCTAGGTTTTAGAGGAAAATAGGAAAAAATTTTTGAAGCAAAAAAATTTTAATAACATAAATAACGTAATATTTCACCAATGTAAATGTAAACAGAACTCAACAACAGCATTAACAATCATTATTCCTCCCAAATGGGGGAAGGGGTGCGTCTTATAGTCTAAAAAATATGGTAGATATATGAAGATCCAGAAAAAAAAATGTTGAATTAGTTGGGAATTAAAAGTTGAATTAGTATCTGTTCTAAGTTTTTTTCATATGTGTGTGTGTGTGTAGAAATCTACTTGTAAGAAAGAGGTGGATTTTATAGCAAATTTCCTATTTGGAAAAAAAATGGAGCTCTAAAACGTCTTTGAATGGTGTATATCATTTAGGGTAGACGTGCACCTACTTTGAAAGATAATATTTATTTCCATGTATAAATTCAAGCATTAGCATGTAAGGAACCTTCTTACTAGTTCATAACAGGGTCTTATATTTTTTAAAACTTTTAACCCAAGAAAGCAGAGCTTGCTGGCGATGGGAAGTGGGGTACAGTTGGGATCCTTTTAGTGACACTAAGAACTAAAAAGGTTTAGTATTAACAGCATATCGTATACCTTAGCATTTCTTTTCCCTTTTCTACTAATTTAGGAATTAAATGGAAAGAACCTCCCAAATGATTTCACATTCCCGTTCAAGTATCTGTTTATAATTTTCATATTCATATGAATGCTTTGTTTGTAAGCAGATTTGGTTCTTACCCTAAAACTTTCCATGGGTTTTCCTGCCCTCCAGTGGTGCTATAAGGGACGTCCTAAAGAGAAGGCCTTCCTTTACGAGGTAGTGGCCAACAAAAGGAATGGCATCGATGTGGACAAATGGGACTATCTTGCCAGGTAGGCACTGAACACTTCAGAAAAGTTGGCTAAAGTCTCTGTACACTTTATACAATTGTTATTTAAGCAAACAAATAAATACAATAAAAATAGATGCTTGTGTAGTATAGTATTCCTATTTCGTATTAATGTTTGGGGACAGTTACCCTGCTGGAAAAGTTGATCTGTCTGCTTTGGACTCTTTCTAGGGACTGCCATCATCTTGGAATTCAAAATAATTTTGACTACAAGCGCTGTCTTAAGTTCGTCCGTGTCTGTGAAGTAGAAGAGATGATGTGCATTTGTACCAGAGATAAGGTGAGCTGTGGCAGAGGGACAGCAACGGAACAGGGTAGCTGCAGTGGTCATTTCCAGTTTGAAATCTAGACATAATGATTCAACGATTTGGAAAAATCAGTGTCTGGTAAATTGTCAATCTCTTCATGCTGAGCATTTATAAGTATCCTAAGGCTCTTTCCACTTGTACTGTATTGTTGAATAACAACAAATTTACAATAGACATTTATTAAGTGTTGTGCTAGGCACTGTTTTTAAGTCCTTTAGATAAATTAACTCAATCCTCGCAACCCTGTGAGGTAGATACTGTTATTATCCCATTTAACAATGAGCAAATTGAAGAACAGAAAAGATACACAATTAATAAATGGCAGAGCTAGAATTTCAAACAAGAAAATTTGGCTCAGGTCTCATTCTTAATCACTATGTTAGTATTTCATATAGTTAAAATAATAAAATCATTAGATCCCTGTTAGATTAGAGTCATGTAACTAAAGAGTAGTATGATATTATAAAAAGTCTTTCTTTTGAGCCCTGGCTGAGTGGGGCATCGTCCTGTGCACCAGAATGTTGTGGATTCGATTCCTGGTCAGGGCACATACCCAGGTTGCAGGTTTGATCCCTGGGCGGGGCATATATGGGAGACAGCCAACCCATCTCTGTCTGTCTCTCTCTCTCCCCCTCCCTCCCTCCCCCTCTCTCTTGCTCTTTCTTCCTCCCTCCCTCCCCTCCTCTCTCTCAAAAAAAAAAGAAATCAATAAACATATCCTTGGGTGAGGATTTTAAGAAATGTCTTTTCTTTGGAGAATGAAGAATATAAGAATAACAACACCTAATTTCTAGAGTCACAGGGAAAATGTTAAAACATACTATATGTAAGATACGTAAACCAGAACCTGCCACCGAGTTATAACACACAGTGTGCATGTGGGTTACTAAGAACGAAAGTTGCAGACCAGTGAATAATTTTACTTATCTGCCTTGCCATTTTTTGGGCGGGCTCAAGGATTTTGATGACGTAGCCTTCGTGTCTGCCTCCATCCCTTTTTCTTGTTTTGTATACTTGTCTGCTGACAGGTGTAACAGAATCCGATCCCTACATAAATTAATCCTAAATAAGCTAATAATTTATTTCATGTTTTCCTGCAGGAGGTTGAGAATCTGTATGACATGTTCCATACACGCCACTGTTTGCACCGCAGAGCTTATCAACACAAAGTCAGCAACATCATTGATAGAATGTAAGAAATTTGATGGTTATTTCCCTATAAAACCTTCTATGATGCTGTGCTCTAGAGTGTTCTGTATGGATCAAGTTGAGATTTCTAGATTAATTCACGTGATTTTAAGTGAGTAAATCTTAAACTGTTCCCTGAAATGAAACAAAACTAACATAAAGTAAACTTGACTTAGTTGGGGGAAGAGTTGGAGAGTGGATTAAAGGGGGCAAGATGAAGGGCAGAAAGGCTGGCTTAGGCTAGACGTGAAGAATTAATGCTGGGACGGCTTAGGACCTCCGCACAGGCTGCCACTTTGTGCCAGGTGTCAGTCGTCGAGGTGATCGGAGGGATGTGGATAATTGACATTCTGAAATGAATGACCAACAATTTTAAGAATTAAGATTAATCTCCAGCTGTACCCTGTCCATTACTTATCAAAATTAATAGTAAAACCAACAGGAATTTCGCTCTTCCCTGTTCCATTGCAGAAAAGTACAGCCTAGTCCCTAGGAGCTAAAACACTCCATGAGGAGTTGCCAAAGTCCCGTGGAAGTCCAGTGTACATCTTGTCTCTAAGATGCCCTTGAATTGATTTAGTGTAAGCCTTTCATGTTCATGTTTGTGATGAAGAAATTGACCTTTTTCTTTTTATCATGAGTGGACTAGTTAGAATACATTCTTCTATTTGTATGGTTGTTCCTTGGGTGTAGGAGATTTTTGTTGTTTTTGTTAGATTGTTTTTTAATTTGGACAGTTAGAGAGATCAAGGTGCAAAGCCTGGTACTGCTTCCTCCTGACTCGGTAAAATAAAAATCTGCTTCATTTCTGCACCTGTAAAACCGAGGCTGTCTGTGTTGCTGTTGGAAAGATTAAATAAGACAGTGGTACTAAAGCCCAGCCCTAGCGTCCGGGACACAGTGTGCGTGACAGCCCACAAATCACCACACACGTATTTTGTACAACTGAGGAACAGGTATCTGTAGGACATTGTGTCTCAAGATTCTACTTCCTTAAACTGGGGAGATTTCCTCAACTTTAAGCAAGGCCTAAAGTACCCATTTAAATGTTCTCATAAGCAGAAATTTTTATTGATCTTTAGGATTACAGATGCTCTCCTGGAAGCAGACCCCTACATAGAGATTACAGGTACTAATGGGAAAAAATACCACATTTCCACAGCCATCGATGACATGGAAGCCTACACTAAGCTAACAGGTAAGGCCTAGAAGGGAACATAGCTGGTCCTCCTCAGATAAAGGATAAGCTGTCCCTCGATTGCCCGGGGGCTATTTTTCAAACATACCGGGCGAATTTGGCTTCTCAAGTAATTTTATACTTTTGGATTGGAGTTTTATCTCTGCTTTGCACTAACAAGATAACCTTGGTAAAGTTATTTCACTTAAAGTTAGTCCTCATCTATGAAATTGGAGTAGTGATACCTAACCTGTACTTTTGTTGTGATGCTTGAGTGCGGACTAGCAGCACCCAGTAAATACTCAGTGTTTATGACTATTTAACTTACAGTGTAGGTGGATTAATATCAGTCTGATACCCCACAACGGATCCACCCCTTTAATGTGTTTTTCTGTTGTTGTTGCAAAACAGAGGGTGCCAGGAACATTTCTGCACACTTCAGCAGAAACAAAATCTGCCGCTGGGGGGAGAAGGAAGAAAGGCGAAAGTGTCACAGCTGGTTCTTTGATGTGGGAAAGTGTAGACTGAGAGATAAAGATCAGCAGAGCAAAAGATGCAGACCAAAAAGTATATACCAGCCAGAGCTCCTAGAATCGGCGCGATGGCTGGAGGTTCTGAAAATGAGCAAAAGCAGCAGAGGCTGAGCAGCCTGAGACGTACAGCCAGCATCACTCACGTCAGCTTCCCGCCAGCTTCCCGCCCGGGGCGCTGCCGCTGCTGCTCTGGCCCTGCGGGGCTCTGTCTGCAGCTCCCTGCGCAGTGAAACGAAGCAGTTTCTCTCACACTGTCTTTGAACAGCCCACATTCTTCATTCCCAGCACCTCACAGATTGATGCTTTTGTAAAATACGATAAAAACAAATTACTAAGAAGATGAAGTGGTGAGGCTGGGGAGGGGGCAGAACATACAAAAATAAGCCCCAATTTGTAATGTTGAGTTGAGAGACTTACCACACATTTCAATAATCAAAAGAAACATAATATAGAAAAATCTTAATTCTTAAAACTATACGTTGTTCTTTAAAAATATACATGAAGGCAATTTATACAGAGTCCCTCTTACACTTGTAACTTTTTAAAAAAGGTTTGTTTGTTTGTTTGTTTGTTTGTTTGTTTTAGAGGAAGGAGAAGAGAAAGAAGAATATTGATTTTTGTGTTTTATTTATTTATGCATTCATTGGTTGATTGTAGTATGTGCCCTGGCCAGGGATCGAACCCACAGCCTTGAAGTATCAGGATGACATTCTAATCAACTGAGCTTACCTGGCCAGGACCTACACTTAACAACTTTTTAGTTATTTTCCAATCATAACTAAACCAAAAATTAGAAGTGAAACAGTGATTCCCCGTATTAAATGTATGTGTACACTGAGAACACAGTATATCAATATTTGAGGTTTATAATGTGACAGATGAGTTTGCTTCTTGGTTGTTCATTGATCTAGGTTGCACTGAAGACAGTTACTCGCAGGGGAAACGCACAGGGCCAGGCGGAAGTAAGGCCTGCTGGAGCGTGGTTGGTAGGATGTTAATATGGTGTCATGATTTGTAGTTTTAATTTGAGCATTTCACCTAACACGTCCTGTGGTGCGCTTGAGTGTGATATTGTCATGTTACAGAATTCCATGCTTATGATTTTGTAATATAAGAGTTTGTCATAAAAAAGGGACATTATTTGTGCTGGACCCCGTATTTCTAAATTGTTTGTTTTGTTTTAATAACATCATAGTATATAAACTAGTCTTCCTTTATTATGTTAATAGGAATAGAAGAAAAGGTTGTATAACAATTTGAGCAAGCTAGGGAGAATTATTTTAACTTCTGTCCCAAATGAGGCAGGTGCTGCTTTGTTTTAAAAAGTCATGCTGTCTTGGCCCGATGGCACTGTTGGGACGTCATCTCCGTACTCCAGAAGGCTGCAGGTTTGATTCCTGGTCCAGGCACATACCTAGGGTGCGGGCTGTCTCCCCAACTGAGGCGCGTACATGAGTCATCCAATTGCTGTTTCTCTCTCACATCAGCATTCCTCTCTCTCAGTCTCCCTTCCTCTCTAAAATCAATAAACACATCATTGGGTGAAGATTTTTAAAAAACTGTGTTTCAAAGCCATCCTTAGTCATTGGAAGCCATCATCAAGTCTAACAATTTAGCCTATATCATTTTATTATATTTAACCTACTGGTGGTGAAAAGAAGTCTGGATTTTACAGACTTTTGGGTTATCTGACCGTCCATGGACTAGACATTTTAATGAGACTGTGTGTGACTAGACTTAGCTCTTGCTCACTGTGAAGGTTCTGTAACGTGCAAACTGGCTTTCACCCTGTTCGGTGAGAAGAGTCCACTGACCATATTGTAGCAAAGCCAAGAATCCCAGACAAAGGACTAGGTCACCAGAGATGAGAACAAACATAAGGCCTTTCCCACTTCTGTCCTTTGAGACTGGGATCATCTCATTCTTCTTGCATTTTATTCCTGGCAGTGATATAATCCATATCGTCCTTAACTACATGACCTTGAAGGAATAGGACCATGTGAGCCTTCCTGACCTTTCCTGCTTTTCCAAAAGGCAACTTCTCTTCATTTTAAAATCTCAACTTATTTTTTAACTTTTTACAATGATTTTCCACATTTTATAGTGAACACTTGTATACTCACCACCTTAAATCTAGCATTTACTGAACTTGCTTTATCAATCCCTTAGCATTTCTATATCCATCTACGAATTTATCTTAATTTTAAAGTAAATTGCTGTTATCAGTACACTTTAATCTTTTGGCGTGCCGATTAAATTTCACTGATTATGGACTTTTCCTTTTGATGTAAAATTTACATGCCTTTATATTAATATATAAATCTTAAGTGTGCATCTACTGCATTTTGAGAGATGCAGGACACAGAACACTGTCTTCTGAGAAAGCTGCCTCATGGCCCTTCCCCGTGGGCTCCTGCCCTCTGCACCCCTGGAAGCCATCACTGTCTTTTCTAGACTTTCCTGTGATTGGAATCATGCAGTGCTCACTCTTCCATGTAAAGCTGTTTCACTCAGCTTGATCCGTCTGAGATTCATCCCTACTGTGTTCCTGTTCATTTGCTGAGTAATAGCGCCATCATATGAATGTGCCACAGTTTCTTTCTCTGGTCTCTCTGCTTCCAGAATTCTTATTTCTGGTGAATGTTTCATCGTATCTGGATGTGGCTATGTTAAGCATTGCAAATGTTAAGACCACTGTCTTAGGTAATCGTTTGCTTACCTTGGTCTTCACCCCTCGATATTCCTAAGCAATAGGTGGGCCTTCCCCCTTTTCTCCCTTCTCTTGCAAGCTCCCCACCCTCACATCTCTTACATTAAATTGGAATCATAGAATGTTAAAATTAAAAGGACCTTAGAGGTCATCTACTTAAAACTTCCTTCTTTCCTGGCCCTGGCTGGTATAGCTCAGTGGTTTGAGTGTAGGCTGCGAACCAAAGGGTCGCAGTTGAGCAAATTTGGATATATACTGTAATTTTGATATTTGCATGTCAGTGTTAAGTTTTTTGGCAGGATTATAGTTATGTAGGAGAGTGTTCTTGATCTTGGGAGACACGTGCCGACGTATTTGGGAGTGCAGGGTCTTGATGTCTGTGCTTTTCAGATGCTTCCTTCAACAACTTGTGTGCGCATGCGCACACATGGAGACAGTGTGCGTGTGTGGGGGGGAAAGGTTAACAGGTGGTGAATTCAGGGGAAGGGTATTTTTATTTCTGAAGTTTTTTGAAATAAAACGTTGGAGGAAAAACAAACTACCGCCTGCTGTCATCATGGAATAGAACTTTAAAATGAAAAATTCACATCACTCCGCTTTAATAGTTACCAACACATAAGAATTTTGCTTCATCCCTCACTCCCATGATACACTGGACCATTTTGAAGCAGTTATCAGGCATAATTTTGTAATTCCTTAAGTATCATTCTTCTTAAACAGAACAAAACAACAATAAATTAATATACCCCTGCATACACCCATAACCTAGCCTCAAATCATCAACTCTGGTTCAGTCTTGTTTCAGCTCTACCCTTCCCCATTCATTAGATTACCTTGAAGCAGATCCAAGACGTTGACTAGAATGTTTTTGCAAAGGGCTTATCGCTTCAATCTTTAAAAAAAATTTTTTTCACAGTGTGATCATCATAGTGTGTCTACACTTATAAACTGCTTGGAGTCACTTCAGAGGTACAGCAAGGTCTGAGTCTATAAATCTTTTATAGTTTTTCAATTTGAATATAACTGAAATTTCATCAAATTGGCAGATAACATTTTCCTGGAGATTTTATACTCTACTGATCCCCAATTGGACGCAGCACGAGAGATTTTAAAGAAAATTGAATGCCGTAATCTGTACAAGTACGTGGGTCAGGTTCTGCTAAGCGGAGAGAAGGAGAAACTTGAAAGGGTAAGTTGAGTTTTCTAGCGCCTTCCGGGAGGGAAAGGTCCTCTGTCCTCCAAGAATATCGTTAACCTGCCACAACTCCGTGGTTCTCCCTGAAGTGCCGTACGTGTATTCTCCTTTCATCTCATTTCCATGAATACAGTGTTCTTAAGTCTACCCTGTACATGGAGAGAACTGAGGCTTGGGAAGGGGTTGAATTACATGCCTGTGGAAGCCCAGGTAGCCGAGCCAAGATTCAAAGCCACGTCCCACTTACTCTCAAGTTAAGATACTTGCATGAGCTTCATTGAAACCTTAAGGACCTTAACTTCTTTCACAGTTTATCAGGTTCTCCCAGAGGGCAAATGCTTGCATTTTTAAGTTTACGTATCTGTTTTTCTCTCCTGCTTGTTGAAGATTTTACTCTCTGCCAGCAAGTAACATGAGCCAAGCTGATAACCACACCCCACTTTTAATGCCTCCTTGGGTTACACTTTAGTTCCTCTTGTTTACGAAGAGGCTGATGCCACATTTTTTAAAAATGTGGAAGTTCTGTTATGAAAATCACTCTATCCTGATTCGATGAAAGGATGGTGTAGGCACATTTCTCCTGTTTCCTGCATGACCCAAATTAGTGGATAATTAGACACACAGCATCCTTGCCTAGCACCGTCTCGTAATACACTGTTTTCTGTTAGCTTCGCTAGAGGTGGGAAATCGTGACTGAAAGAAGGAGGGTATGGGACTGTGTTGTCCAGTCACTAGCCACTGGTCACCTGGGGCTAAAGCGCCGTTTTCAGAGAGAGAACCTCTTCATGGCACAAGTACTTACTAGTGATGAACTGGAGTTCTAACACGAGGAGTCTTGACTTTTCCAGAAAGACTATAAAAATCTTCCAAAAGAGATCGCTGATGCCAAACCTGACGGAATGAAGCTAGAAGCCGAACTGAAGGCTGAAGATATCATCGTGGATGTAAGTAATTCACCCGATAATATACTAAGTAAAGAATTTTTTAGAGAATAAATCCCCCCATTATGCATTATAGAAAAATTTGGAAAATACAGAAAGATAGAAGAAAGAAAAGAATCAGAGTCCTACTCCTTTGAAATCTTGGATCTCCGCTATATATATTTTTTATAAGGCTCTCATTTGTTATTTTCTTGTTGATGCACCTTTGAGTGAAGGGCAGTCTCTCCATAACTGTCTTTTGCCAAGGGGTATTGTGAGTGAGCTGCCCTTGGACCACTCTCTATTCACCTGGCTGCATATTAAAGCGCCTCAGATTTGCAGAGTAGGCTGCAGTTTTCTCTTTCATTCATGAGGTTCCACCCCAGAATACAGGGATCTCGCATTCCGACTTCCTGAGACTCTAAAGGACTTCACTCTCCAGAGTGTTTTCCTGGCTCCGCATGTCTGCCTTTGCCTTCAGTGCATTACGGGGTTGGGGGGGGGGCTCTATCACCCTCAACTCAGTACAGTATTGCTAGTCACTCCCCACCTCCCTTTTAGTTTTTCCCTCAAAATGCAATTGCCTGGTAAGGGGGCGGGTCCAACTGTTTGGATCTCTGGGCCACACTGGAAGAAGAAAAGTTGTTCTGGGCTACCCATTAAATACACAAACACTAACAAAAGCTGATTAGCATAAAACAGGTTTAAAGTAAATTTACAATTTTGTATTGGACCGAATTCACAGCCATCCTGGGGCTCATGCAGCCCAAGGGCTGTGGGTTGGACACCCCAGGTAATGGACAGGGCCACAGGTTCCCGAAGAGTCCTTGTGCAGCCGGAGAGCATGATGTACCCATGGCCAGCAGACATGAAAAGAATAACCTGCTCTTTAACCAAAAGGCAAATTGATACAGTAATGAGAGATTTTTTTGGCTATCAGACTTGTAAGAACAAAAATTGTATAAGACTTTGTGATAATAAAGGCATGTGAAATGGGACTGCAACTTGTTATTAGAAACCAAACTAGCATCACTTTTAAGTAACTCAGCAATTTCATTCTAGGGATTTTTCCTATGGAGATCATCAGTTTTGCAAAAAAAGTACAAATATATTCATCGTGGCAGTATTACAGTGTGAAATTAGGAAAAGTGTATATGTCTCTCAATATGAAATACAGTAGAATAATTCAAATATTAAAAGTTGTTTTTAATAAAATAAAAATGGAAAACAGTTTTTAACAAGCAAAGGTATTTGTAATAAGTGAAGAAAAGCAGTACATACAGGGTGATTTTATATGTATAACATAAACATGTGGGGTTGTGGGGGTGCTGAGCAGTTGCTCCCTCCCAGGTAAAGGGGTGCAGCGCACTCAACTGCAGCCGCCGGTGCAGAGTCAGCAGGCCCCGCAGAACGGGAGGGCTGGCCGTGTGCTGTGGACTCCTGCTGTCATTCGTACGCTGCAGCTGAGTCCCTGACGTCCACCTTTCTCTCATAGGCTAGGACAGTAGGGCCACTGGACCCCACATTCTGGTTTTCTTCCGTCACCACTCCCAGGATAAGCTCCTCTTATCATTGGTTCTTTCCTGGACCATCATGGCCACATTGCTGTGTTTCTGCCCCTCCCTTCATTTCCAGTCTCCCCCTCTCCCAAACCCGTCCCTGAAACCCTTTGGCATTTTCGCTTCGCAATCAATAAACCCCACTGTTGCGTCAGCCTCCTGACTGAACAGCTCTTTGTCTTGGTTGCAGCCTGGTCGTCCTCTGAGAATGTGCAGCTCCTTCAGGAAAAGTACATTCCTCGGGGTTAGGGCGCCTTCCTGTTCATCAGACCTCGTGTTCCCGAGTCCCTCCCACGTGAGGACCCTGTGCAGGGTCCCTGCTCCTCTGACACCGAGCCCCTCAAGCCACCTGTTGCCCTCTTGTAAGAGTCTCGCTGTCTGCTCCAGTTCCTGCCATTATCCTCCATAGTCCACATGGCCAGTCAGCTCTGATCGCTCCGTGCTCATCCTCAGGGACCTCAGCCGGCGCTCAGCATGTTACACTCTGAACCTTGTCAGCACTCAGAAATACCCGCCCTCTGAGAGTCACTTCTGTCCACCTTCCTGCTCTGTCCACAGACCCCTTGCTCGTGTGCTTGTTCTTAGCCCAGGAGGACCTCCCGTTGATTGTCTCCTCCCTGCCAGCTCGTCCACAGCCTTCTGCCTTCATTTCTCTTCCCGTCTGACTTAGATTCTGTGTTCCATTAATCCAGTCATGTTCTGCTGTTGACCTCAACTCCCTTGTCTGTCTGTGCATCTATCTAGCAGAAGGCTGATTGACAGTTCATGGTCACCAGCCTTAGCTGGGCCCTCTGAATTTTTCTAGCAGGCTTAGTGCAATTCTCCAGGCTCTGCAATGACTTTCACATCACCTTCACTCCACTCAGACCTCCAGACACTGCTCCCCGACCCCAGCCGTATCACCCTCAGTGACTAACCCCACCACAGCTCCCATTTCAGAGATAAAACATAGGCCACGAGGTAGGAACTCCTGCACCCTACGCTACAAAATCAGCAAGCCTGACTCCGTCCGCCGCTGTGTTCAGCCTTCCCTCTGGCTCAGTGGGGAACGGTCTCACTTCCTATCGAAAGTTGTCCTGCCGGTGATCTAGACCGAGGCCCTCCAACAGAACATTCTGGTGATGGGAACGTTCCATGCATATCTGCACTGTCCATTGGGTGGGCAGTAGCCACACATGGCTATTGAGCATTTGAAATGTGGCTACTGCAACTGAAGGAAGTGAATTTTGTGTCGTGTATGATGTTCGTGATTTCTTTTTCTGCTTTTACTTTTATTCGTACTTATTTTATGCTGAATTTACTCTCGGGCCACAAGCTTTTGTTTCTTTTGGGATATCATGTTCTGCGCAACTTCCTCTTCTGGTTTGGGAACAGTCTGCTCTTTTCAGTAGTGGCTGGGAGAGCCCTCGTGTGGGCGAATCCGCTCGCGAGCTCTGTTAAGTTCCGTGCTGCATCTCGGGGGCTTTGTTCACCTGGATGTGCTCCGTGACCAGAGAGTCTGCTGCTAGACCCTTAAGTTCAGCACTACTCTGTGTTTCTAAGCACGTGCAGCAAGAACTCAGCACTCTTTTGGGGCCACCGACCCTGTGTCCAGCCCCAGTGTTTGGCCTGGGCACACCCACCAACTCCACCATTGTAACAATGGATTAGCAAACACTGCTTATGTAAAGTGACATCTGTCAGGTACTTGGTGGCTTTTCGATTATGCATACCCTTGATGGCCTGGGCAGCTTCACAAGTGTTCTTAAAGCAAACACGGAGATTTGAACCTCCTAATTCTCGTGATTTTGTGGGGTGTTCTGGGTCAAGTGAATAGCGAACTATCTTCAGAGGTCTCCTCTGGTCGAATTGGGGAAGAAGAAGCTGAAGTTAATGATTTGAAATTTAAAAAGCCGTATGTGGCTAGTGGCTACTGTGTTGGGCACTGCAGCCGCAGAGCCACTTGTTCCTGTGGCACCTTGTGGAGTTGACACCCCTCTCTGACTCCCCTGGAGTTGACACCCCTCTCTGACTCCCCGTCCGCTGGGAAACAGCCTGTCCTCAGATTCAGCAAGTGACGAGCTCCACCCTCTAGCTGTCTCCCCTCTCTTAACCTTTCTTGGATACTGCATTTCTCTCTCATGTCTTCTTATTTTTTTTCTTCAGTTTAAAAAAAAAAATACAGTCTCAATGTGGTTTCTTCTGTATATTCTTAGTCATAGAACTCCTGTTCAGCTGGACTCCAGGTGGGTCTCAGTAGTGGCTGCTCTGGGGTTTAGTCGTAATTTCGAAGTGGTCCTGGGAGGAGGCGAGCACGCTGTTTCCCTGCTCCACCATCTTAACCGGAAGCCTCTCCTGTCTCCTTAACAGCCAAACTTCTAAAAAGTAGTCTTTTGCATTTCTTATTTACTTGCGAACCATTTTTGCTGTTGTCATCACTATACCACAAGAATTGTGTTCTTACCAAGATCACTGATGACTCCAGTGTTACTAAACCCAGCAGACAGTTTCCGTCTGCTCTGCCCTGGAGCTGTTTCTTCTGCTTGGAATTCTTTTCTTTATTTCCTAGGCCTGGTTAATTGCTGCTCATTTAGTAATTCTCTGGTCATTCCCCAGGAGCTCCAGACCGCTGGGTTCCCCGGTTACAAACGTTCATGGTGCCATTTGCTTTATCTTGGTAGCTCTTATAACAAATGTGGTTAAATGATTACTTGGATAATTATTGAACTTCAGTCTAGGCTCTATGGTCTGTGGTGGAGCTGGGATCTGATCAAGTTTCCTTACTGTATCTCTAGTGCTTACCATGCTGTCTGTTACGTAGTAGGTATTGACTGTATATCCTACTGATGTTGAAAGTGCAAATCCCACCCCCCGTATTTCAAGACCAGATCCCTGTGGGCCATGGACCATTTTTGTTCCGCCATAAGCCCATTTACCAGTGCTCTTCTGAACCTTCAGAGAGCTTCACTCTATTTTCTCCTGATGTCCCCACAACCCAGGATTCTGTTTTCATTGTTACTGAATATGTAAACGATCATCTATTTCTTGTTTTTATTGAGGTTGTCGACATGGACTATGGGATGAAAGACAAGAACCCTATGGATAATGTTCACTTCTATTCTAAGACTGACTACAGCCACGCCAAAAACATTACTAAAAATCAGGTAACTGCTAAGATTTAAAAAAAAAAAACAAAAAAACTACTGTAGTGGCATATGGCAGATCTTTATAGTGCATTTGCATTTTACATGCAGGTGAGGTCCTAAAGTCAATTCATATGGTAAAAAAAAATAGAATAAGCTTATTTTTCAAATGAAAGTGCACCTGATTTTCCATAAACCAGAACCACCTTAACAGCCAGCTTTCCCTGTCTGCAGAAGTACTGTCTTTAGTTTGAAGGCCGGGTTCTAAGTCTCTGGGGAAGGGAGCCTTGCATGGTTGAAGTCATGCTGGTTCAATGTGCTTGTTTGCCTGTCTTTTGCAGTCTACCTACAATTCTATAATATAAACCTTTAGTCTTTTATCAAATGAACGTACAATTATAGTGCATTTTGCAAGATGGAAACTACCATGAATTCTTTTCTTTGGATTATAATCAGGACAAAATAACAAAGCAATGGGGTGCTTTTAATACAACATCAAGAATGGAACTAAGGCTCTGACTGATGTAGCTCTGGATTGAGCGTGGGCCTGCGAACCAAACAACTGCAGTTCGATTCCCAGTCAGGGCCTGGGTTGTAGGCCAGTTCCCACCAGGGAACCCATGAGAGGCAACCATACATTGATATTCTCTCCCTCTCTCCTTCCCTTCCCCTCTAACGATAAATAAATAAATCTTAAAAAAAGAAGAAGAATGGAACTAAGGAATAACTGATCTCCCTTTCACGTGTGAGCTCCAGGTGACAGTGAAATCTTTTGTCCTTTGACAAGGTCTCACACTTCCTGCCGGACATCTTTGCGGAGCAGCACGTCCGACTGTACTGTAAGAAGACGGATCACATGAGCCTGCACGCCGCGCAACAGCATTTCATAAAGTGGTGCCAAGACAGGGATTTCCCCAATCCAAAGGTGGGTGGCTTGTTATTCACTTACTTCGCAGAAGTGTTACTGTTTTAGTAAAGACCAAAAGAGATCCTTACCTCCCTCTGAAAAATTCTCACTTAAAGTATAGTCATTTGGCCCCGGCTAGTGTGGGTCAGGGGATTGAGCACCAGCCTGCAAACCCAAGGGCTGTGGGTTCGATTCCCAGTCAGGTCACATGCCTGGGTTGTGGGCCAGGTCCTCAGTAGGGAGCTTGCAAGAGGCAGTCACACACTGATACTTCCCTCCCTTTCCCTATCTCTAAAAATAAATAAATAAATAAGTTAAATTATAGCCATTTGGTTATGGTCTTGAAAAAAAATTTTTTTTTTCACTTTAAGCTTTTCTTTTAAAATGTCTGAATCTACGTGAAGCAGGGTTTTCTTCCTCCACGGGTTGTGAGCAATACACTGTTGTCTTAATAATACAAGTTTAAAAAGCTGAGCATGAGAATGGTGCTTTACAGTGTTCTCTCCGGTTGTTTCATCAGTCCTTTCAGCAGCCGGGAGGGAGTCAGAGTGTTCTCGCCCTCCGGAGAGTCTCACACAGACTGAGGCGTTAACTGGCTGAAGTCCACACTCAGCTGATAACAAGTTTCCTATCTTTTTATCTGAAACTCCGTGGACTGAAACTTGTCCACAGTTCACATCCTCTAGAGGGAGAGCGTGGAGAGGAAGTGGAGCTGAGCCATGGTTGCCGATCTGTAGAGAACACTGTTTGAATTACCCTTCAGTGATATGCACGTAATAGGTGCCGGCACAGAGAAAGTGTTTATCAACCGGAAGCGTGGAATTAGCGGGCAGGTGGGGAACAGCATTTCGCTCCCTGGTCTAGGACTCCCACTCACAGCCTCATAGCTGCCTTTTCCCTCTCCACCTGGGACCCTACAGGAAACAAAACTCAAAGGTCAGACGTGAAAGAGTAGCTCAGTACACTAGTTCTTTGTCCAGTGCCAGGTGGAGCGGTCCGGGTGAGTTCGGTCAGCACTCAGAGTTAGAGAACAGACAGAAATGCCTCCTGAAGGGGGGGCGTCCTACGGGATGCGGACGTCCAGTCGTGTTCAGGTGAGGGGCGGAGAAAGGCGGGCTCGCCCGGCTGTGGGAGCAACACAAAGGCGTGGAAGTGGAGCAGGCCGAGCGTCCGGGAGGACCGGGAAGAGACCTGCCGACTGGAGTAGACAGTTCTTACTTTTGAGCGGGGAGAAGTTAAGTGGGAAGAGTGAACTAGGTTATGGAAAACCTTGGGTGATCAGCTAACAAAGGAGATTTTTCTTATGTACAGTCAGGAGGGAATCCTCAAGAGCGTCCAAGGCTTACTGTGTGGCTGTCGTTGTTATTTATATTTACTTCTGTGTGGGTCTTGTCTAGCTGGAGCGAGACCCATGGGAATAAGGAAGGAGGTCGTCTGTCTTTAGTACTGTAGCACCTAAGGACACTAAGTCACTGACTAAGGAAGAAAACTCTAGCGGCAGATGGATTGGAACTTGGAGAGACTGAAAGCGGAGAGGCAAGAGACCGTTGAAGTTCGGCCCTTGTAGCAGTAACTGCCTTAACTCTAGATACAGTCACTCATTGAATGAGCCCCTTTGCCTGGCCCTGGGTTAGGTACCAGGGGTGGAACAGCACCCGAGGCAGGCGTAGTCCCCACAGATCTCACTCCAGCTGGGGGGACAGACACACCAGTAAGTCATGAGTACAGTGACGTGATGAGTGCTTCGGGGCGGGAGCAGCATGTTCAGAGTCTTTGAGGACATAAAGGAGGAGCTTTTAAACCAGGCTTGGTTGGTTGGAAAAAGCTTAGTTAAGAAGGATTTAGAAGCTGAGGCCCAAAGGGTGGGTGAGAAGTGGGGAAGGGGAGGCCCCCAGATGAGAGAGAGCATGGTGAGGTTAGGGAGGGGTCTTGGGCAGTGTGCCAAGTCCCCGAAGCCCTGAGCAGGGGGAGCCACTGAAGTGTCTTCAGCAGGGGAAGGACACGCACGTTCAGGTCCCTGCATGTATAGACTTCCCTGGAGTTGACATTGGAACGGTAGCGGCGAGGGCATGTGGTAGATAGAGATGGATTTGAAGGCAAATAGCATTGGCTTTGAAGTGGGCGGATCTTCCAGATCCGAGTATCCTGGCGCTGAGTGGCTGCTGTCTCTAACTCTGTCAAGCCAGATCCAGTGTATTGCAGATGAAGAAATTTTAATATAGGGGCCAATATACAAAATTTCTGGCAGAACTAGCCCTGGCTGGTGTAGCTCAGTGGATTGAGCACAGGCCTGCAAGCCAGAGGATCACGGTTCGATTCCCAGTCAGGGCACAGGGCTGGGTTGCAGACCAGTTCCCTGCAGGCCAGTTCCCAGCAGGGGATGCACGAAAGGCAACCATACATTGATGTTTCTCTCCCTCTCTCCTTCCCCTATAAAAGATAAATAAAATCTTTAAAAAAAATTTTTTTGGCAGAACTAAACGAGTAAACGGAGAGGTTGAGACAACAGCAGGGGCCTGCGACCGCCTCTGAGGTGGGAGCCCGGGTGCTGAGGTCGCCTGTAGAAGCTGGGGCCGCAGAGGAGCCGGGCCGCTGCTGCCTGAGCCAGAGGGTCAGGGGAGGGAGAGCAGTGCCCAGGCTCCTCTGCCCTCCTCTTTCCCGGTCTTTTACTGGCGCCTCCCCCGGGCAGACCTCGCTGGGAGCCCGCAGGTCGGGAGCCGGCAAATGGAGTCTATGAGAGTCCCTCCCGTTCCACAGAGTGGAGCAGAGGAGGGGCGGTGGGTGGGCCTGAGCACGTGGGCCCGTGAGCGCAGTGCTGTGCCCCAGACCCCACGCTCCTAGTGCAGTAAAGGCTCTCAAGGGTCCTGCGCCCTCCTGTGACCCAGAAGAACCCTTTCACAGATTCAAGAGCGGTTCAGGAGAGTCAGTTATTCAAGTGCCTGGCCTCTCGCACTCTCTGTCATAGTGTCACTTGTTGCACTCCCTGTCATAGTGTCACTTCACTCTGAGGCCATCCTCATGTTGGGTGAAATCTCTGCTGATGGGCCAAAGGTATAGCTTTGTAGAGAAAAGTCCAAGTTCTGCAGGCACATACTGTCCTTCCCCTTTTCTGCCAGCGTGTAGACCAGGGCCATGTGTTGTGGAGGGGACCAGGCAAGGCAGAATCAGGGGTCCAGCGAAGCCCCTTGTTCTGGAGAGACGGGATCGAGTTTTCACTCTCTGAAGGCGTGTAAGGGGCCAGGGCCGTGGCCACGGGCAGTGGGCTGCTTCTGGCCGTCTTTGAAATGCATCGGCCTGGCGGCTTTTGCTTCTCACCTGCTTGGGGCTGCGTGCGGTGTCTCCCATGGGACCCAAGCACAGGACACGTATGTAATCTGGGGTCCCCAGAGGAAGTAGGACAAGAAACAGTAAAGCTGTGACATGACCTGTGTGCCCGGCACTTGCCCTGAAATCACGAAAACCGGCTTTTCTCTGTTGCTAGTTTCTCTTCTCTCCTTGACAGGAAGGCGATTTTGGGACACCTCTAAACCTGGTGAATTCCCCGCATGTACCTCACAACCGAGGAGACAGAGCCCGGGCCAAGCTGAAATTCACGGGTGACTCTGCGTAAATCCCTGCGGTCACTTGTTTACGGAAGTCCCTCACTGCAGCACAATGAATTACCTGGGGGAATTTGATCCGGACTTATACAAATTTAGTGACAACAGGTGCTTTTTATTTTATATTTTGAATGTATACCTATGCTGAACCTAAGCAATTTTTATTCAAAGAAACAAAAAGGTATTAGGCACAGCTTGCTATACATGCTATGAAAAGTATTACCTCGTCTATTTTTAATATTAATTAAAGCCTTTCTCTTTTACTGGTCTATATTTTCTTAGCATAACAATTCTTTTATATACTCTGAACTTTTGGGACATGATTGTTTTTTAAAAAACAAACTTGGAAACGATACGAGGGCACACACTGGAATTCGAAGTTGGGATTGTCACGAACGGCGACGGTCACAGAGCGCACACCAAGTCCTGGCCCGCCGCGGAGGCACCGCCCTGAGTCCGGCTCACCTTTGGGGACCGAGACAGCAGTGAAGGACCTACCCGCCCTGGCTCTTCTAGCCGAGTCGGGGTGGACAGCAAGGGGTGAGAGCCAGGGGCAGGCTCCAACTCTTCGGTGAGAAGCCTTATTAAGCTACTGAAAATATCTGAGGGCTTTGACCTCTGCACTGGGACATAAAATACCCTTTAGGCGACCTTACCGTCAGTGGCAGAGGGATCCCCCAAACCAGGCTGTTCTCTGGGTGGGCTGTGGCTCCAGACCCAGGCGGTTTCCTTGTCTCCCGAACACTCACCGCCCAGCCCGGAGAAAGAGGCCCCCTCCGACCTGCTCCCTGCACCTCTCTTGTGAGTCCTCGCAGGGCCCTCCTCGGGGCTGCTACAGCTGGGGCTTTGTTTGTGCTGGTTCAGGGCACTTTATGGTTTCAGAGCAAAGACTGAGCTGCCCGTACTGAGAGGAGTGGTTACCCATTGAATTCCAGGTTCCCCTTTGTCAATGGACTTCTATACCTCGGGCGGTGGAGTGGACACCCCTGCGGCTGAGCCGCGCTCCTGTGCTGAGCGCCTGCCCCCGTCCCACATGCGCTTCCACTTCTACAGAGTTCACCGAGGGCAAAGTCCGAGTTTTAGAGCCAAAGCCAGCCACGGCCAGAGGGCCCCGAAGATGCTCAGCAGTGAGGGCAGTGAGGAACAGGAGGGTGAGCTCCTAACCTATGCTCTGGTGCTCCCCGCGGCAGGTGGGAGTGGGGAGCCCAGCCCGGCTCTGGGCAAGAGTAAGTAGAGGAAGGGAGGAACTCAGACCCCAGGCTGACGGATTGTCCTGACTCCGGAGTGCTGCCCCGCCCTCTGTGTAAGCAGGCTCTGCTCTGTGGCCACGGGGGTGAGACGTAGTTGGAATGTCTGCCCTTCTGTATTGGCTCCACCCCTCCCCCCATCCGTTAATAGGCAATCAAGGGTTTAGGAGAATCGCAAAACCCTTCTGCCACTCCCACGCTGATGCCGTGTTGGCGGGGGCGTGTTCACGTGGGGGCTCAGGACGCACAGGTGAGGTCAGCTGTGATACTGGGGCACATCTCTTTTGGCCAGAATGCCTCTGAAACATTCACCTAGGAGAACCGTTGGCCTCAGACTTCACCTACCCAAACCAGTGAGTGAGAATGTCATGTTGTAATGTTTCTCTGCTGAAATTGTTTTATTTCTGTGACCCCTACCTTGAAATCACTGTGGTTTACTTTGTAATTGTGTGGTCCCCGTACTGTATCATTGTGCTGAGAAACAACTTGAATCTCTTGGTCTAAGGCAGCTGCACTTTACGCTATTTCCAACTGTTTGAATGATGACAACTATGTGTCATTTACAAGGTTAGAGTTAAGAAACATCTTCACTGTTGGTATAAAAATGGAGACTTTAACAGCTTAGTATCTGGAGCAACCTTGTGTTATCACCTTGAAACTGTAAAAAGAATTGGGTTGAAGTAACTGGTTACCTAATTTGAGTGAGGGGAATATCTGCAATAAAGCTTCATAATATATTCATCTTGATACCAAAGTTGTCTTCCTTAATGACTGTCTCATACTGCGGGCCCGGCTTTGACCCTTTTGTGCCAAGGAAATGGGTCTAGAAACCCAGAGAGTTCTTAGTACCTCGGTGCTATGTTGGGTCTGTAGGAGAGGGTATTTAACAGGTCCTGTCTTATTTGGGTTTTCTCATTCAATAATGACGAGCGAATAGCATGATAAAGAATGTTTGCCGTCTGGCAGGAGGTCGGTACAAGCCTGGGAAGGGATACGGTCTTTCCTTAGTTTGCTGAGCTCCTGTTGTGCCCCGGACATAGCCTCCCAGTGTTTTAACCTCCTGAGGTTCCCACCTGCAGACTTTCAGCTTCTTTATCAGCTGTGCATGCTACTCATTTGCCCCTTTCATATCTTCCTTGTGCAAGTGCCTGACACGCTGGTGGCAGACAGAAAGCCTCCGTTGTTCTGGAAAAAGAACGACACGGCTAGAGTCTTTATTTGTTTTGCTGGTTGAGCCCAGGTGTCTGCAGCTTGACCAGAGTCTTTCAGTTAAACATAATTTCCCAAACACACAGAGTAGAATTCCATTTTTGTACGATATACATCTATCTCTCCGTGGAAGATTGTCTGGAAGGATAGACATGAAAATGTTGATGTTTTGCAGGGTGGTTAAATTTTAGGCAACTTTAGTTTTTTTTTTATGTATTCTGTTGTTTTCTACACTGAACATGTATCAGTTGCATGATTTTTTAGAAGAGAATTCCGAGGAACTCCGCACTGCTCAGGTGAGTAAACATCGTTCCCTCCTTTAGTCTCCTCTCCCGGAGAGCAGCTCCTGCCCCGTGCAGGTCCCCAGGCCGCCGGGGGGCTGGCCCACAGCCACAGTCAGCCACCGGGACACCTGGCCGTCTGTGTTTGGGATGCAGGGGGGCTGCCCTGTGTGCAGAGGCCTAGGCAGCATCCATGAGCAGGTCCCAGTGCCTGCTGCCTCTGGAAGCTTCCCTCCACGGCGCCCTCAGCTCAGAACCCAGGCCTCCAGTTCCTTGATGCAGAACTGCTCCCGCCGGGCCAGCACCTCGTTGTTGAAGGTCGCACAGGGGTGGCTTCCCCCGTGATACAAGTCTCCGTCCAACCACAGCCCAAACTGGCCACTAAAGGGAAGAGGAAAGTGTTGGCCGGGCTCTCTCCCAGGTGCCGGGACCCTTTAGATTCACACCAGCAGCCCTCAGCCGCACCAGGGCCACAGCCTGTGTCTCAGTGTCCCTTACACCGATTGATCCTGAATTGTTGCGGGCCCCACACATTGCTCCCCACAGGGTTTAGAGCATTTTTTACAGTCCATTGATTTTAATAAGTATACCATGGTGCAACCCTCACCATTTGTGAATGTAAAACATTTGGAATGTATTTAAAATGTCAAGGCTTCACCAAAGGAGTAAATCTCACAGGTGTGGACTCTGAGCCCAGAACAATACTTCGAAAGAGTATTAATTCCTTCATCCGACAACAAAGCTGGGCCGGAGCTGGAAGGGAGTTACTGCAAGTCAGCGAAGGCGGGTGTGTTCTGGGCCCAGCTGCCTCTCCCTGGAGGTTCTTCGTGTAGCTGGGTGAGCAAAGACCTTGCCTGGAACTGATTGAACAGGGCTGCCGTCGTTACTGTCAGGGGAAGATGGATTCTGCCTGAATTTCCAGGTCACTCCTTTTCTTCGTGACCCACTCCACCTCCCACCCCCCAACACACACACTCAGGTGGGTTTCCCGGGCAGGCTCCAGTGAGCTACGTCCCCCCAGGATTACGGCACTGATGGGCAAATTTGAGGCTAGCCTCACCCAGCCATGTGGAAGGCTCTTCTTGAAGTTACACAAATTCAGACTAAGCTGTCACTGACCGTGAGCACTCACAGGGAGAGCCTGTGGCATCCTTCCCCTCAGTGTTGACTTGGGATGTGGGGGGCATAGAGTGGGCTATTGAAGGAAGAGGCCCGAAAGGTAACCACCAGCCTCCCTGTTTTATCTGGGGCAGAAGGGACCAGAGCACAGGCCACCCCAAGACTCAGGGAGGACTGAGGCACGCACCTGCCACTGCCCATCATCAGTGAGTCCACATCTCCTTTCACAAAGAAAGAGTTGCTTCCTGTCCACTTAAAGACCTGGCACGATTCGAAAAGAACGTGGTTACTGCCCTGCAGTTTTACTCCACACCACTGGATGGCAGTATCGTGAAGGGAATGGGACAGCCAGGCCCCAACTCAGCCGGAAGTACTCTGAGCTCCTGGCTCTTGAGGTTTCTTGCCAGTCTCTGGAGTTCACCACTCCGTACCTCCACCCAACCCTGCCAACTCCCCTGCCCTTGCTGTCCAGACTAAGTCGCCTCAGCCCGTCTGTTCTAGGGATAGAACAGAACCCACTGGGGCTTCCTGCTTCCAAAGCTGGAGTGAGGAGGGAGAAAGTCCGGCTAGGGAGTTGGGCCCTGATTCTCCCAACAAACTGTCCCTTCATCTCTCACTGGAGGCAATACCAAGCCTGCCCATCCCCCAGTGCCACCTCATCCAGTTCCTCAGCAAGTCGTGCAGGTCCCACCCCAAAGAGAGCCCCTAATGACCACTACTCCTGTGCCATTCATCTCCGTTCACTCTTGTCCACCCCATGCACATTAAGTCTCTTCCTGCTGGACCACATCTTCCCCTGACTCGCCTCCACACTGCAACCTGAGTGATCTATCAAACAAACCAGATATTATCGTTTCTCTGCCTAAAGCCCTCCAGCGGCTTCCCACTGCAATCAGAATAAAATCTAACTCCTCCTCTCTCTGACCTCTTCCCTACTGACTGCGCTTCAGGGGCACTGACTTTCCTGTCCCCGGGACACCCAGAGCTATTTTTGTCTTAGGACCTGCACCCCGACTGATCCCTCTGCCCGGATGCTCTTCTTGCAGACCCGCAAGTGGCCCAGTTCTCCTCTTTCAGCCCACATGTCATCCCAGAAAATTTCCCTGGACCAAACTACCTAAGCAGCCCTTCCTCCAAGACCCTTTTTCCTTTCTTGCTGAGATGGCCTGGTTCCTGTGCCACAGTGTCATGGCCTGTCCCCTAACATGCAGCCTCTGTGAGGGCTGTCTTTTTTCCCAGCAGTATTCCTGAGATGTGGTACTGATGTTTGTTCAATGAATAAATTATTCAAAAGTCAGTTTAACGAATAAAAACATTTCTGCAGGGCTGCAAAAACATAGTATATTATTGCCTATAACTAGTTGCAAAAAAAAAAAAGACTAATAAAAGATAAGGCTGGACTCAGAAGAGATGAGAAAATATTAACAAGTGACCACAAGAAGACAGAGCCTTTCATGTCTTCCTCTACCTTCATCAAGGAACGTGACCTTCAGACTTGAAGGAGTAAGATAAATATTGCTACAGAACAAATTAAGATCAAGTTCATGGAGCTGCTTGACGTAGTGACCAGGGCACCGCTGCAAATTCATGAGGAACACAGGCAAGTGCCAGAAGATCAAAGACAGGAAAGATCAGCCAATTTCTGAAAAGGTGAGATTCCATAACAATAAGCTAGCAAGACAGACAAGAAGCCCCTGAAAAAAAACCATTTGTTTCTTTTTTTTTTAGCATTTGGCACCAGGCACTGTTTTAGGTAATGGGTAGAATGGTGGCCATAACAGATAAAAAATGCCTGCCTTGTAGGACTCCCATTCTAGTTAGAGGAGGCAAATCTGTAAGTAAAATAATTAGTATGTTGGGTAATGGCAAATGCCCAGGAGAAAAAGGACAGGAAGGCCACGAGGGGTGGAGTGTTATGCAGTGAAGTCAGGCGGTCAGGGCGGGCCTCCCTGAGAGGGTGGCCACTGAGCAGAGCAGGGAAGGACGAGAGAACTGAGCTCTGTAGAGATGCAGTGGGGGACGCTCCAGGAGCGGCTCCATGTGCAAAGGCCCTGAGGCAGGAGCAGGTCTAGGGACCAGCTCAGAGGCCAGTGTGGCTAGCGCAGAGTGAGGGAAAGGGACAGTAACAAGAAACAACAGAGAGGCCAAAAGATGGAGGCGCTTGGAGGTTCTTGTAAAGATGTTGGCTTTTCTCCGAGGGAGAAAGGAAGCCATTGGCAGCGTGGAGCCGAGGAGTGACGTGTTCTGACTTACCTTTTAGAGGGATCACTTCATCTACTGTGACGACTGAAGGCGGAAGCGTGAGGAGGCGAGAGCAAGAGCACAGACAAGTAATGACGGTGGCTCGACCCAGGATGACGACAGGGACGTGAGGGAAAGGGGTGGGTGCTGCATGTGGACGGAGAAGGCAGGGCTGTCAGGGGTCACGGACAGCTCAGGGGTGGGTGTCAAAGAACGAGATGTTAAGGAGGACTCCAGAAGTTTGGCCTCAGCAGCAGGGAAGATGGGCGGCAGGGTGCCCATTCACTTTGTTGGGGAAGATGGCAGGAGGAGCTATTTTATGGAGGGGAAGGTCAGCTTTGGACACGTGAGGTTTGCAATACCATGTTTGAGATGCCGGATAGTGGTTGGGTATGTGGGAGTTTGCAGCCCAGGCAGAGAGGCCCTCAGCACGTGGGTGGCACAGAAGACTGTGAGAATGGACAAGACCTTGAAGGGAAAGCAGGTAGTCAGAAGACAAGAATCCAAAATCGAGCTCTAGGGCATTGTGACATTAAAAGTTTGGGGGAGGTGAGGAAGAACCAGCAAAGGATTCTGCCAAGGAGTTACCAGTTCAGTAAGAGGAAAACTCTACAACTTTAGATTTCTGGCATGTGAGCCCTAGAAGGCCAGGGGGTGACTAGCATCCGGCAATGGGTTTACTGTGAACAGCTGACCCTTTTCCTCTTTGCTGATAAGGTTCCCGGGGCAGTGGAGGGAGGCAATGCAATGGGCAGCCACAGCTCCTGAGACCTCGTCGCCGTGAGGCCAGACGCTTGTATTGTTGGGTGTGTCTGCGGGTGTCGTTCTGTGCATTGGAGAGCCCTAGTCAGACATGAACCCTCCCCTCCACCCTCCGACCCCCCCACCGCCGGAGCCCGGAGACCTGGACGTCACTGAGGAAGGCACACACCGAAGTGACCGGCTTGCTTTCACACTCGCTCTCAGACCTCCAAAAACACTGCCTGGCCGGCCTTCCTTTCCTCTCATTTTCTCCCTTCCACTCCCGAGATCTCTATCTGATGCCTTTTCTCCCCTCAGCCTTCACATGCTCTCCTCCATCTCAGTCACAGCAGTGACCTTACTCTGTCCTTCCTAGTCTGCCTTCACCTTCCTGCCCCCACACCCGCGGCCCTCACCTGGACCAATCTCGCCTCCCAAGCCTGTATCTGGTGAGCAACAAACCTCTCCTCTCAGAGCCAGTAAGTGTTTGCCGAGGGCCTACTGGGCACTTTTTTATCCTCGTCTGAGGATAAACTTACTGATTTTAGAGAGAGGGGAAGGGAGGGAGAAAGGAGGAGAAATATCGATGTGAGAGAGAAACATCGAGTGGTTGCCTCTCAAATGCACCCCAACTGGGGACCGAACCTGCAATCCAGTCATGTACCCTGACTGGGAACCGAACCCTCAACCTTTTGGTTTGTGGGACAGCACTCCAATCAACTGAGTCACACTGGCCAGGGCGAGCTTTTTTTTTTTTTAAACAAAGAGGCAGGCCCGGGGGGGCGGGGGGGGGGGCTGCCTTGCCAGCCACTGCCCTCCTGCCTTCCCTCCGTGGAAAGAGGAAGGACACCAGACACCCCAGCCAGGGGTGGAGCTGGGGGCCACTGGGACCCTGGGGTCTTCGTCCTGCCACGGACCCCACCCCCACCGCAAGGTCGGAACATCACCTTCAGCTGCGGGGAGAAGGAGAAGAGGAACGTCTCGCCAGTGCCGTAGAAGCCTCTGCTGAGTCGAAACTCTGAGGAGGAGAAGGCCCCAAACGTCTGGGGAGCAGAGGAGCGTGCAGTTTGCAGCTGGAAGGGAGTTGGTGGTCCTCTGGAGACCCCCTGTCCGGGGTTGGTAAGACAGGCTCATCCTGGGGGCAGCCCGGGATCCCAGGGCGAAGCTTGGGGGCGGAGAGACCCGCCCCTGCACCTGTCAGCACACACCCTCCCCTTCGCACCCCCCGGCCAGCTCACCTGCCCGTCCTGGTCCTTCAGCACCAGCAGCACCGGCCCACTGTGGCCCTCCATCTGCCTGTACAGGCTCCGCAGACTGAAGCCGTCCCTTGCCGTGCAGAAGGCCAGACTCCAGGAGTGTCCGGTGACGCTCGGGGGGAGGTGGAGGCCGAGCTGGGGACGGGTGTGGCGGTGAGTGGGCGATCCTCCCACCTCCTTACCCTGTACCCTTGGGGTCCCAGGGCACTGAGGCTGGACAGCCCCCACTCACACAGACAGGGCACTCTATAGGTTGCCGAGGAGTTTCCTGTTTCCGGGGGACTTACACCTGTTAGAAGGAGCCCTCAGAGATAGGGCTTCTGTTAGGGTGAAGGAACTGAGGCTCAGGGAGGCGAATGACTTGCCTGAAGCCCCCATGGGGAGCAAGTGGCAGAGTCAGGATTGAACCCACGTCAGGTCTCTCTACCCTTGGTCACCCTGGACCCTAGTGGCCAGAGAACAGAGGAGACCCTGATCCCTCTAATGCCCCCGACCCTCATCCTCCTACCCCTGCTCCAACGTGGGCTTCAGTCCCCAAAGGCTGGTTCTACTTAAAAAATCAGCTTATTTCAGTATATCCTGACCTCCTGGCCCAGCGAAGAGGGTGACGCTGGTATTACCGGAGCATTTGACAAGTGGGAAAGGAAAGCCCACAGCAGGAACGACTTGCCCGTGGTGACACAGTGAAGCGGGCTCAGAGCAGGAGTGACCCCAGGTGGCCTTGAACCTGGCCGGGAGGAGGGCGGGAGGGCGAGACTCTCAGTCCCAGGGCTGAAATCCTAAGCCATTGACCCGGCCGAACCTGCCTCATCTCCAAGGCTCCCAGAACCTGGCTGGCTTCCTCCAGCTGCGGCTCCACAGGGTCCTCAGGAGCCGGGACTGGGGCTGCCTCCTTCTCTTCTTCCTCTTCCTCTTCCTCTTCCTCACCCTCCTCTCCAGATGGAGTGTCCTCCACCTGGCTGGGCTGTGAAGACACAAAGAGGCCTGGCAGGTCCAGGGTCAGGAGACAGCAGCTCCCACTTCTCCCAGGCCTGAGAGCCGCAGTGCCCCCCTCAGGCCCCCACGACCAGCAGCCCGTCCAGAGGAGTCTGGGGAGTGTCCCCCACGGACAGGACCCGGCCCCGCCTCCAGCCAGCTTCCTCCCTGGCTCCCACTAGCTCAAGGTTAGAAGCCCACATGCACGTCAGATGTGGCCACGGGCCCTGTGGTTTGTCTGCCTGTTTGCTCCGGATCCAGGGTGGGTGCCAGGGACCCAGTTCTCAGCTTGGGGGCAGGAGGGGGGCAGGTGACAGCCCAGCTCTGCGTGCTGCACCTGTGTGAGATTGTGCATGAAATAATGGCGATGACAAGAACAATGGTAATAACCAGAGTGGCTGACACTGATCGTCACACCCTGGACCAAGCCCGTGTGAAGTGTTTGCAGTGTGTGTTTTCTCTGAATTTCCTCAGGAGTCCTAAGAGTGTGCTTCTTATTATCCTGACTTTATAAAGGAAAAAAATGAGCCCCCATGGCTTCCCTGTCAGCCAGTGAAACGATCATGTATGTAGTTGTAGGTGAAGTGTGTGCAGGTTCGTGTAAAATGTGCACTCGTCCGTGTGATTGTGTGTGTTGGCTTAAACTTGAGTTGTATAGGCACATTGGTGTGAGAAGGTACTGCGTGTAGCTGCGTGTTTGCCTCTCAATGTGTTTGTGAGTGTGAGTTGGGATTGTGTAAAGATATGGATGTGAGTCAGTGGGCGTGCATGCCAGTGCATTCATTCATTCCTTCATCTGAGCTTCCTCTCTGTACCAGTGTGTGAGTGTGTGCGTGTGTGTGCACACACAGTGCCTTCAGGGTTTCTCACAGGCAGGAGGGACCTCACGGATGAGAGATGAACATCATTTTCTCTCCCCCGGGTTCAGGCCTAACGAGGGGTCCCAGCTACATGGGGCTTCTGGGCAGAGCTCCACCTGGCACCGGCTCCAGGGAGGAAGAAACGAATGGCAGTCTGTGCTCCCTGAGGCCTCAGGGCCATGGGGCTGCCCGCTGAGTCCCCCTGTTCCTGAGTCCGAGCTCCGAACCGCAGGCCAGCCAGGGAGGGACTCGGAGGAGGAACACGTCACCTGCCTGCATTCATCCCTAGCTCGGGCCCCACTCTGCCAGGGAGCTGGCCTCCCCCCGCCACCTTTCCTGACCTGACCCCTGGGCCAGGCTGGGTCCCTTACCAGCCGGGTGTACCGCCAGCGAAGACCTTTCATTCTTCTGCCTGAATCCGTCCGAGGGCAGTGAGGGGCTGCGGTCCTGCGGTCCTGCCAGGGGAGGAAGCGCCGCTGGGCAAGGCTTCCAGATGAAAGGTGAAGTCTGGGGCTCACCTGGCTGGCTCCGCGCCCACCCAGCTGCCTCGCTCTCACCTGTCACTCCCAGCTGGAGTTGTCAGGAGTGTGTCTGTGAGGTCAGCGACATTAGGCGTTCAAGGCCGCACCTGCATGGCAGCCACACTCAGGAAATGCTGGGTGTGATTGATTCCCTTCCACCTCCTCGCCCTGCTAGCGGCCCGGCCGAGAGACTCTGGTTCCCTGTGTGACTTGGAGTGAGTCCCCTGCACCCCTGGACCTCGGTGTCCCTAGCACGTTGGACCATGTCATCTCAGAGCCCTCACAGCTCCCACAGCCTGCGACGCCATCCCTCTTGGAGCCGATGAGTGAACGGTGACGGAAGCTTGGGAAGGGTCGCCCTAGACCAAAAATCCGATTTTTAAAAAGCAGAAACAAAGACAAACCCCCTGCATTTTTTTCATTAAAAAAGTACCTCTGTACTGTAGAAAATTTGAGGAATCTAGAACTGAATAAAGAAAAATATAAAAATATTCACAATTCCATCTCTCAGAGAGGAACTCTCAACTCCTGAGGGTATTTTTCCAGTCTTCTATATTTATTTCTGAAATATGTGTGTACACACATCTATAAATAGACCATACTATGTATAGTTTTATAAAGTGCTTTTTCCATGTAACGAATGAGAATTTCCCAGGGACATGTGATTTTTAAACTGATAAGAACAGATACTACACTTGATCTTAGCCAAAAGGCCGAGAAGCGATGGACATGTGATTTTTAATGGCTGCTTGTTATTTTGTCATAGGCTGTACATCACTTATTCCTCAAATTCTATTTGCTTCTAATTTTCTGTGATCATAGGCAAAATGGTAATGAAGTCCCTTATTCATAAATCTGATTAAATCCTTCATGATAAATTTCAAAAGTTGAATGCTGGATGAAAGGACACACGCATAGTTCTTGGCAAACGTTTCCAGAAAGGTTTCCTGCTGCTTCAAACTGACTGGTGTCCAGGTACCTTTACGGAATCTCAGGGACCGTCTCACACCCTCGAAGTACAGATAAGGAAACTGCCACTCAGAAAGTGGAAGGGACTTGCCACGGCCACAGGATAGTGTAACACAGAGGTTAAGAGCATAGACTCTAGAGTCAGGGTGTTCAAATCCTGGTTTTGCCACTTACTTGCTGTGTGTATGTGGGCAAGTTACTTGACATCTCTGTGCTGAAGTCCTCTCATCTGTAAAATGCCCACCTGGTAGGGTCGTTGTGAGAAAATGCCTCAAGAACTAAGATGCTAAGCCAGGCCTCCATCTTTCTGTCCCCACAGTGCCTGGTATTTGTTGAGCACAAGATAAATGACCGTGCTTTTGTTACCCGACAGCATCTCTCTCTCTCTCACTGCCTCTTTAAGACATCCAGGGCTCAAATTCCCGACAAGTGGCCACTCAGTCTCCACTTGGGCACCTCTGGGACAGATACACAGCCCTGGCAGGGCTGAGGAGCTTGTGGGGAAAGGCGGAAATCATGGAAATGTACTCACCCTGCCCACCGAAGCTCCTGGCGGCCTCCTCCGGCCTACACAGCCTGATGGTTTTCTTAGCCTGTCTCCCGGATCTCCCAGGGACGGGGCTGCTTCCAGAGCCGACCCTGCCCACCTGGTGGTCTGAATGCAGCAGCTTCTGTCCTTCACCCTGCTGTCCCGGCAGGTGGCTGGCACCTCCGTCCTGTCCCAGCTCTAGGTCCTGTTTGGCTCTTATACCTGCCCGGAGGGTGGCGGGCCCTGGCCCTGTGCCCGCTCCGGTTCCAGCTGGGGAGGCCCAGCAGTGATTAGCATCAATCAGAAACTCAGGTCCCACAAACACATACAAACAAGGCCTGTCACCCTCTGGCCCCCTGGCTCGGCCCCCTCCAGCCCAAGGAGGTGGGGACTCTGAACTCCTGGGCTCTAACATGGAACCTCTCACCTCAGCTACCAGGTGCCACCTGGTGCCTGACACCTAGGGCTGCCCGTGGGGTTCCCCTTTCTTAGATAAGTGACAATTCTTCCCTCATTGGTCTGTCCTGACATGAGGTGAGAGTCTGCACAGGAAGCCCAGTGTTTGGCACACAGTAGGCAGTCCATCAGTGGGGGTTATTCTCTGCCCCCAGCTCATAGTGGGACTTCAGAGAATGCTATATTGTTGAATCACAGAACCTCAAAGTTGGAAGGGGTCCCGGCCAGGCTCCCCTGGAACACACCCCCACTAAATGCTCTCCCAGCCTCTGCTGGGTGGGTGAGCCCACTCTCCAGCTCAACGCATCCTCACACAACTGAGGGACCCCCTCCTGCTGGGCTCTGTGGAGAGGACTTGGGTCCCTAGATCCTCTGCCCAATGGCCAGCCGTGCTGGGACAGTGCCCCCTCCAGGAAGGGTTGGAGGCCAAAAATACTTGTATTATGGGGGAAACAGGCAAGCGAAGGGCCCTGTTGCCACCTCAAACACGGCTGTTGCAATATGTGTTTAAACTGTAAACGGTTCAGGGGGCACACAGCGGGCCTCTCTGCTCCCCAAGCCCCGCTCCTCACCCTCTTTCTCCCACACACCGGGCTGGAACCATCGGGCACTTTGAGAAGCTGTTGAGATTTGCACTGCTGTTCTATTTGTCCTCACATCCAGGAGAACTCAGACTGTGACCTGCCAGGAGCACCAGTCACCATGCTTCCCTGACGCAGGTCGTGGTGCCAGCGAGCTGGCCGTCCCAGCTCTGCCTAGCAGCTGGCTTTTCTTTTTTAAATCCTCGCTTGAGGACATACATGTCCACTGATTTTTAGAGAGAGAGGGAGAGAAACATCGATGTGAGAGAGAAACATCGATCGGTTGCTTATCACACGCACCAGGATCAAATGAAATTCCAGATATGTGCCCCGACCTGGAATGCAACCTGCAACCTTTTGGTGTTGGGTGACGATGTTCCAACTAAGTGAGCCACCGGCCAGGACACAACTTTCTTTCTTTCTTTCTTTCTTTCTTTCTTTCTTTCTTTCTTTCTTTCTTTCTTTCTTTCTTTCTTTCTTTCTTTCTTTCTTTCTTTCTTCCTTCCTTCCTTCCTTCCTTCCTTCCTTCCTCCCTTCCTTCCTTCCTCCCTCCCTCCCTCCCTTCCTCCCTTCCTCCCTTTCTCTCTTTCTCTCTTTCTTTCTCTCTCTCTCCCTTCCTTCCTTCCTTCCTTCCTTCCTTCCTTCCTTCCTTCCTTCCTTCCTTCATTTATTTATTTATTTATTTATTTCTCTCTTCTCTGTCCTGCAATAGTCATCCCCAGGAGACAATTTAAATGTCCAGTAGAAGGGGCAAAGCTGAAGTGACCGATGGAACATCCACCCTGAGGATTATTTCTAAGTATTCAAAGCGATGTTTGCAAAGAGTTTATAAAGGCATGGGGAAATGCTTCTGCTACCCAGTTAAGTGAAAAAAAGCAGAATATAAAATCATGTGTGCAGATGGCTTCAGCCATGCAAAACGAACCTGGATATTGAGAGAATATGACTAGAATGCCCTTAGAACACACGGAGTGTTTGCTGGGCTGACCGGCTTCACTTTGAACCTCAAATGAGTATGTAAGTGTCCTGGCATCCCCGCCCCGCTTGTCCTGGGAAGTCTGGCTTATCGTCCTCTTCAAAGACGAGGACTCTGTCCTCACTCTGTCTCCTCACTCGCAGCTGGCGACTTCCTTCTTCACTGAGAAAATAAAAGCCATCAGCAGTCACTCCCTCAGCTTCGCCTCCACCTCACCCACCTCTCTGACTTCCCTCCAGGACAATGGACGAAGGGTCCCTGCGCCTTTCAAAAGCGAGTCCCCCGTGCCTGGGTCCGTCTGCATCCCCTTCCCCGGCCCTCAGCTCCCTCTCGGCCTCACCTGGCCCTCGCTCAACCCTCCCTCTAACGCCACCATCCCCTCCACAACTGTGCCTTTTCCCTTCTCAGTGTCCTCCTCTGTCCCCACCTTCGGGAACCAGGGTTCTTTTTTCCAATTAAAAATTTTCAACTACAGTTGACATTCAATATGATATTAGTTCCAGGTGTACGGCATAGTGGTCAGACAATTTTTAAACCTGTGAAGTGATCCCTCAGATAAGGCTACCATCCACCTGGCACCTTACATTCTTATTACAATAAACTGACTACACTCCCTACACTGGACTTCACATCTCGGGGGCTGTTCTGTAACTGTCAGTTTGTACTGCGTGATCCCTTCGCCTTCTTCACCGGCCCCCGACTCCCTCCCAGAGGCAACCACCGGTTTGTTCTCTGTGTCTAGGTGTCTGTTTCTGTTTTGTTTTGTTTTGTTTTTTTGTCTGTTTGTATTTTCTTTAGATTGCACGTGTAAGTGAAATCATGTGTATTTTACTTTCTCTAACTTACTTCACTTAGCATAATACCCTCTAGGGTCCATCCATGTTTCTGCACGTGGTAAGTTTTCATTCTTTTTTTATGGCCACTTAGGCCCTAAAGTTATTTCCATACCTTGGCTATTGTACATAATGCCGAGGTGAGGATAGGGATGTATTTGTCTTTTCGAACTAATGTGTTGGATTTCTCTGAATAAATGTCCAGGAGAGGGATTGCTGGGACACCGATTGCTGGGTCATAAGGCTGTTCTATTTTCAATTTTTTGAAGAAACTCCATCTTGTTTTCTATGGCGGCTGCACCAACATACAATCCTCACCAACGCTTGTGTATTGATTTGTTGATGATAGCCTTTCTGACTGGTGTCAGGTGGTATCTCACTGTGGGTTTAATTTGCGGTTCTCAGATGATTAGTGACATTGAGCATCTTTTCTGTCTATTGGCCATTTATATGTCCTCTTTGGGGGAGTGTCTATCCAGGTCCTCTGACCATTTTTTAATTGGATTGTTTTTTTGGTGCTGTGTTGTATGAGTTTTTTATAAATTTTGGATATTAACCCCTTATCACATGTATCATTGGTGAATATCTCCCATTCAGTAAGTTGTCTTTTTGTTTTGCTGATGGTGTTTTTTAAAGATTTTAATTATTTTTAGAGAGAGAGGACAGGAGGGAGAAGAGAGAGAGAAACATCGATGTGTGAGAGATACATCGATTGGCTGCCTCCTGCACGCCCCATCCGGGGACCTGGCCTGAAACCCAGGCGTGTGCCTTGACCAGGAATTGAAACGGTGACCTTTCGATCTGCAGGCCGGCACTCAATCCACTGAGCCACTCCAGCCGGGACAAGGGATCTACTTAAAACATAAATGACAGGATACTGTGCTCCTGCTTACAGTCTCCAATGGCTTGTCATTACATCAAGAATAAAGACCCTAAAAATAAGAAAAGAATAAAACCCCTGCCTGGAGCGTGCCCTGGCTTCCCCTACCCACTCCAGCTTCGTATTTTCTTTCTTTCTACCACCGACCAGGTTCCAGCCACATTGACCTTCTGAAACATCTGTCAAGTTTGTTCCTCCTTCCGGTTCCCCTACTAATTTCTCTAATTCTCCTTTTGCCAGTTTTTTCATGATTGATATAATGCAAAAAAAAAAATCTTTAGTTTTTTTTTTTTTAAATCACCTCCTCTTAGAAGTCTTCTAGGATTTAGCATCTATTTAGTTTCCATCATGTCAGTCAATTTAACAGCTTCAATGAGAGAAAACAAACTTGTCCCACCGGGTAGTCAGCATCTTCATTTCTTTTTCTTTCTTATTTATTTGTTGATTGATTGTTTGATTTTAGAGAGAGAGGAAGGGAGAGAGAGAGAGAGAGAGAGAGAGAAACGGAAGTTTGTAGTGCCACTTAGTCACGCATTCATTGATTGATTCTTATATGTGCCCTGACTAGGGATCGAATCCACAACCCTGGTGTATCTTGATAACACTCTAACTAATGGTGCTACCCAGCCAGGGCTTGGCATCCTTACTTCTCATAGTCTGATGTAACCCTTAGCCATCGTTTACTGCTTCGTGCCTTCTCACATACAGTTTTGTACAGCACACACTGTGTGCCTGAGCTGGACCCTGCCCAACAGCTCAGCACAACAGCCCTGACATTGGATGACTCTGGGTTCAAGTCGGTCCCAGCCCCGCCCCTTCCAAGCTGTATGACCTTGGACAAGCATTCCAGTTGTCCGTTGATGTGTAACAAACTACCCCCAAACTTAGTGGCTTAAAACAACAATATTTATTTTGCAGTTTGGGACAGTTCATTTCTGCTCTATTTGGCATTAGCCAGGGCAGTGCCAGTGCTGGGGGCTGAATTAGCGGAAGGTTCGCTCTCATGGATCTGGTGGTTGGCTGGGACCAGAGCCGGAGTCGTCGGCTGGAATACCCTCACATGGCCTCTCCATGAGACCCGGGCTTCCTCCCAACGTGGTGGCTGGGTTCCAAGAGTAAATGGAGGGAGAAAGAGAGAGAGAGAGAGAGAGAAACTGCACCGGGGAAGCCATATTGTCTTTCACAGCCCAGTGTTAGAAGTCACAGTGTCACTTCTGCCATCCTCTGTTGGTTGAGGCAGTGACGAAGATCTGCTCAGGTTCAAGGGAAGGGAACACAGACCCCAGCCCTCAGGTGGCAGAGTGTGAATGTGCATAGTAACAAGAGTATGGGGTGAGCTGCGTACACCACTGGGCCTATCTTTGGAAAATACAGTTAGCCACAAGTTTTAACCTTTATGTGATTCTGTGCTGAAGTGTTGGGCACAGAGCCTGGCAGAGGGAGCGCTCACGGGTCAGGAAGCTGCAGGCGGCCACTTCTGGACGCTCAGCAAGGCTCCCTCCTTTTGCAGTTTCCCTGGTCTGAACTCGGCCCCATTCCAGAGCCCCTACCTTGCTCCGCCCTGTGCCAGGACCCCTTCCTACCAACACCTTGCAATTCCTCGGGCTCTCCTGGGGATATAATATGGATTAATGGCTCCCCTAGATCCAGAGACCCTCAGAGCAGGAAGGCCCTGCAGCGCCCTGTTCAGCCATGAGTGTCAGGGTTCAGACAGGACATCAGGGGCACAGGAGTGTTGGGAGAGCCAGGACTTGGGCCCGGGGCCAAGCAGGGAGATCCTGGCCACTCTAATTTCAGGATCATGTACGAGTTAGGAGTGACCGAGCCAACCTGGTCTAGCATGTCCTGGCCTGGATTCCCACCACTGGACATCTCCAAGCCCACATTCTGCACGGGAGCAGAAACTGCATCACAGAGAGGGTAAACAGTTTCCGAGAGCTCCACAGCACCTTTCTCTGTGCCCGACCAGAGTCACCTTTTAAGAAACAGGAGCATCAGAGTTGAAAGGATCCCATCATTTGTTACAGCAGAATAGACCTGGAGGGGACTCTGAGTCCCAGGAAGGGGGGAGGGCCGTTCTGGCCCTTGCCCCTGTGCCACACCACTCCGTCCTGTTTGTGTGAAGCTTTTTGGCCACCTCCCCCCATTTCTGTGTGTTCCAGGAGGCCAGGAACACACCACTGACCAGTGTGCTTCAGTGTCCCACTGAAGGTGCCTATGGACCAGGTGAGTGGACAGTCAGTGGGGGCAGGGGAGCTGGTGCCTGCAGGAGGGGGTTGAAATGCCAGGGAGGAAGTGTTTCTCCTGAACTGAGCCTGTTCCTTACCTGGCTCAGTGGGGGGAACCTGGAGGAAGGATCCGAGGTGGAGGGGGCATTCACACACCTGGACACACCTCGATGGGTATGAAGCCATGCTAGGTGAGAGGGGGTGCCCCAGAAATGTATTCACCACTGTGGGGGAGGCGAGACAGGAAAAAAAAGAAGTGGACCTGGTGCCCACTGCACATCAAGGGCAGGAAGAGGTGAAGGAACAGGTTTGGGGGAGGAGGAGTAAGGAGAAAATGGGCAGGTGGAGGACGAGAGATGGGGAAAAAGGAGACCGCTTCTCTGCCTGACCAATGGGAAGGGAGAGGAGAGGGCAACAGGGGGAGGAACAAGAGGGTGCAGAAGAGTAAACGCAGCCCTATCCCCCACCCCAGTGGCAAGGAGGTGCCACCCTAAGGGTGAGTGGGCACCAGAGGGGCCACCGGAGTGGCCAGCGAAAGGACATACCTGGCTCTGCCCCGCGCGGGTTCCGACGCAGGGAGGAGTAGCAGCGAGGAGCCGGATAGGGAGAGGGGTTGGGGAGGAGTGACAGACGTGTGGGGAAGTCAACAGCCGCGGAGACAGCCCTGGAAGGAAAGAAACGACTCCTCCAGAGCCGGGGCTCGGGTGTCGTCCGCAGTCGCTCTTTCGAGAGAACGTGTGGGACTCAGGGCAACGGTCTGCAGCCCGTGCCGGCCGTCACCGGGGTCAAAACCTAATCCCAAAGCATCGCTATTCTGACACCTCCTGGAGGGCCGCCTCCATCTTAGCGGTGCGGAGCCTGAAACCCGGGTCTCGGAGGAGGGAGAATGTCTGGGATCACAGCTGGTCAGTGTGTGCAGGGCCGAGCGTGCACCAAAGGGCTCCACAGTGCTTACGTCTCTAACAGGGAAACTGAGGCAGAAGAGGTGTGAGGTGTGAGGTTTGAGGTTTGGGTTCCATTCCAGCTCTGCCAGTGACCTTGTGCTAAATCGCGAGTTTCCCCGGGCCTTCAGTTTACGAATCTGTGCTATGGGATAATTGGTCTCGCTCTGCCCCGTTAAGTGGGCGGAGTTCGCGCACGCTCGGCAGAGCTGCCAGGGGCGAGGTATCGGCTGTGTGTATGGATGCTTGCTCCTGCGTGCTGAGGTCCTCCCGGCCTCTACCTGGGAGTACTCTCTCTCGTCGCTTGCGGGGCCCCTGCCGGGACCCTGGGCGCAGGGGAGCCCCCTCCGGGCGCGCTCCCCAGGCCCGCCAGGGAGGGGGCGGCGGCCGAACGAACGAGGAAGGAGTCCGGGCCGCGGCAGCTCCTGCCTGCCTGACCCTCGAGGGGGTCGCTGTTGCCTCGCAGATCCCTCCCTCTCTCGCTGCTTGTGTCCCTCCCTGCCGCTCCCGCCGCGTCCGCCTTTTGTTCGCGGAGCCGCGCGCACCCGAGCCGAGGCGGCGGGGCGGGGAGCTGGCGGGGCTGCGCGGGGGGCGGGCCGCGCCGGGCGGAGCCGGGGCCGGAGCAGCATCAGGACTCGGAGCCCGAGGGAACGATCGGCGCACTGGCAGCCGGGGCCCGAGTGCGCTCCGAGGGCGCGGCGAGGCCGAAGGGGCGGGCGCCGGGCGGAGCCGCAGCCGGAGCCGGGGCGCCTGGAGGCGAGCGGGCCGCTCTCTCCGAGCTCAGAGCAGTGGAGAGACCATTCGACGAGGGCCGGGGCCTGAGCGCAGTGTTGCTGCTGAGGTGGGCCGGGAGGAACCGCGGCCCGAGTGCCTAGAGCGGCACCCGGACCCTCCCCGGGGGTGCGGAGGCCGGGCGGGCCCGGGCCATGCGCGCCGCTCTCTGAAGCCAAGCGAGGCCGAGATGGAGGCGCCGGCGGGGGAGTCCCCGGCCCGGGGCTGCGGCCCCCCGCCCGCGCCCACCCCAGAGAGGAAGAAGAGCCACCGCGCGCCGTCTCCGGCCCGGCCCAAGGACGTGGCCGGCTGGTCGTTGGCCAAGGGCCGCCGCGGCCCAGGCCCGGGAGCTGCAGCCGCCTGCAGCGCCGCGTCCTCCGCACGAACTGATAAGAAGGGGCGCACCCTGGCGCCCGGGACGCGGGGCTCAGGGCCGCGGGTCGCGGGGGTCCGCACTGGAGTTCGTGCCAAGGGCCGCCCGCGCCCGGGTACCGGGCCGAGACCGCCTCCACCGCCCCCGAGCCTCACCGACAGCAGCTCTGAGGTGTCGGACTGTGCCTCGGAGGAGGCGCGCCTGCTGGGCCTGGAGCTGGCTCTGAGCAGCGACGCTGAGTCGGCGGTCGGGGGCCAGGCGGGGGCCCGCACAGGGCAGCCGCCCCAACCCGCGCTGCCGGCACAGCAGCCTCCGCGGCCGCCCGCCTCCCCCGATGAGCCGTCGATGGCCGCGTCGTCGGTGGGCAGCAGCCGCCTGCCACTGAGTGCCTCGCTCGCCTTCTCCGACCTCACTGAGGAGATGCTGGACTGCGGGCCTGGCGGCTTCGTGCGAGAGCTGGAGGAGCTGCGCTCGGAGAACGACTATCTCAAGGTTGGGGTGCTGAGGGGGGAGAGGGGGGCCCTGGGAGGCGCCGGCTGTCACCGCCCCAAGGGGCTAAGGCACTAAGCCCGCTGCCCCACTGAAGGAGCTGGAAAAAGGGGCCTAAACCCTCGGAGGTTGATCTAGCTAGGGCTCCCTCACATCTCGCCTCTCATTTTATTTGGGAAACCCTCCCCTGTGAGGAAGCTGAATGAGGAGACTGGCCGAAGGGTTCTGATTTGGGAAGGGCAGGAGGCTTGAGAAAAGTGCTTTGCAGGACCTCTGCATGGCAGAGGGGCTGGACCTCGGGCTTCAGCTGCTCAGAACTCCCATCCCCAGGCCAGAGGGCAGGCCTTCCGTCGATCTCCTTTTTGGGGGCAGGCACTGGTGTGCATGCTGCCAGGGAGACCTATGGCCAGCCCATGCCAGGGAGAGGCCGGACACCACCCTGAGTCTTTGCTCAGGGCTTTCCCTGGCAGAGGCCTGTCCCCGCCTGCCTTTCAGGGCGGGTCCTGTTTGAAAGCATGACATCTGGGAACATCCCTTTGGCTGGAGTCCGACTTCCGCCCAGTCTAACGGTCCCACAGCCTGGGAGGGTGATGTAGTGGGAGAACCGGTTCAGAGGCAGCTTCCTAAATCCCAGGTGCTGGCTTCTGCCCTCTCTGGGACATGCCCTGTGTACACAGCAGCCCGCTGGCCCCTCATGGCCTGGCCCGTGTCCTTCCCACGTTCCCACAAGAGGAGGGAAGCTGCCTGTCTGAAAGGGGCATTTCTGCTAGACACTCGGGCCTGAGAGCACCCCCGGGAGAGCAGGCTTTGCCTTCGCCCTCTCAGTGAGCATCAGCACTTGCTGGGCACAGGCCAGGCTTGGCACTGTGGCAGCCTTAGGGACGGCCCAGACCTCGTGCGTCGAACTTGGCCAGGCGGCCTGGAAGCTTCATGGGTTCTAATCTACTGCCACTGGCTGGGCAAAGTTTGGGAAGAGGCTGAAATGGCACCTCCTCTCGTCAGTTGATGGCCCGGCACATCCCGAGTGCCCCTGGCTGAGAGCCGCAGAGCAGCGCCTGGCACCACTTAGCGTTGCGTCGTGCCTCTTCTGGCCAGATGCACTTCCCTCTCGTCAGAGTTGTTGAGGTCTTGCTCAACCACGTCTCCCCCTCCCCGTCTCCCCAGGACCTGCTGTCCAGTATGTGAATGCTTTAGAGGACAGGGCCTGTCTCGGTCCGGGTAATAATGCACCTCTGGTTAAGTCTTCCGCAGGCCGTTCATTGTTGACAGGGTCAGGGGTTCATGCAGCTCCCGCAGTCTTCAGTAGTGAGGAGAGGACCAGCAGAAGGGGGGTGGGAGGAGAGAGGCAAGCCAGGAGGCCTGGCAATGCCCTCTTGGTGCTCCGAGCTGCTGCATAGTCCCAAAGGGCTGGGGGTTGAGTCTCAGGGCCCCCGGGGGCCAGGGCCTGCTCAGGGACTTCCCACAGCCGAGGCCAAGGCTGAGCCTCAGCTTCTCTCGTTCTTTCAGTGTTTCTGGCTTTGTATGCAGGCCTCCAGCCGCTGTTGGATTTGGGGTCTGTAGCTTCCTGGCTGGGTGGTCTTGGTCAAGTTACTTAATGTCCCTGGACCTCAGTTTCTCATTGTAAAAAGGCACATCATCCATCTTCCAGCCTTAAGGGTTAAATGAGATAATGTGTGCAAACACCACCCGAGCGTCTGGCATGTAGTGAGCCTCGGCTGAGAGTAGCTGTCATCACTGCTATTCTCGAGCGGCTTGCAACACGTTTCCATGGGCGCCTTTTATGTTCTCTCGTGGATTCTGTGGGGGCAGAATAGATCCTCCTCCCCATCTGCAGCAGGCTGGGCTCTTTCTCCTGACTTCTCATTCATTCATCAACTGTTTATTTAGTGCCTACTGTGTACCAGACACCAGTGCAGATTGTGGGGGATGCAGCTGTGGACAAGGATGAGGTGTCTGTTTTCATGGAGCACTGGGTCTAGTCTGAGAGGCTGGGGTTAAACAATAGTCATACAGCGAATCACAATGCAGGCCACGATACCAGGGTACAGTGTGCCAAGGGCACGTGGAGGTGGGGCTGGGGGCGCTCTGGGAGGCCAAGGGCTGAAGGTTGACATGGAGCCAGCTGAAGTAGAAGAAAGCTGGTTGGTTTTGAGAAACAGCAAGCACCTAGGCTGGAAGAAGAAGGAGCTTGGGTGAGAGGCAGGCAGGGCCAGAGTGCACAGTTCTCGCTGTACCCACTCGGGTCGGTCCCTGAACTTCCCCAGGGCTTTGTTGAGCCCAGCTGCCAGCCTCACCGAGGCGAGGTCAAAATCTGGTGATCGAAGGTGCGCTACGAGTGTAGGAACCGATCCAGGAGGTGTCGATGTGTTTGTTCTGCAGACAGTGAACCGTGGCCAGAGCAGCGAAGAGTGGCTCTGGCAGGTCCCAGAGCCCGTACTCCAGGCAGCAGCACACTGTTCACGTGATCCCTGCCCCTCTGGGCCACTTGGCTTCTAAGATGCATGAGCTCAGTTACCAGAAGGAGGACTCTAGATCCCCGGTGTGTCCCCTGCAGGCCCTGCGCTCCTTGGCTCGACTCCCACAAAGTCTGGTGGGGCCCTGTTCAGGCTCATCTTCCAGCTGGTGGGGGACACTGGGATTGTCAACTGGGGAAGGCTGTTCAGGTGATGGCCGATCTCCTGTCACGTGACGTCTGCTCTGGGGCCCAGGTGGGGCGAGTGTCCGTGGGCAGCTCTCTCCCAGCGAGGTGGTAGAAGGAGCTGCTGTAGGGAAGGGGATAAGCTCGCTGTCACCGGAGTTATTCAGAGGGTCTGGGGACGTGGGGTGAAGGCATGGGGTTGGTGGAGAGCAGCTCATAAACTGCACGAAATGCAGGTGGTAGGGACCACTCGAGGAGGGTTCAGGAGGAGATTCATGTAGCTGCAGCGGGACTGCCTGACCTCAGGGTCCCTTCCAGCCAAGGTTGGAAGGTTGGTTTTTCACCTTTGCAGTTCCAGGGTTCTGAGACTCAGCCTTGGCTGCAGAGCAGACGCAGGGACTGTGTTTGACCTTCAGGGCCCTTGTGGTCTGAGATCTTCCAGCTCTCCATCCATCACCACTGACTGACTGTCACCCACCATGGGCTGAGGACTTGCTTGGAACCCACCGGGTGTGTGTGGAAGGAAGAATCTGAGCGTAGGAGCCTAAAGACCTGGCTTTGAGAGCTAACTCTGTCTTTTACTGTGTGGCCCTGGGCAACTCACTTGGCCTCTCTGAGCTAGCTACTTTTTGTTTTCATCTACATGATTAAGATTATGGAACCCGCCTACTAAATAGGATTGTTGTTGGGACTAAGGAAGGTGTGAGTAGATAAGAAAACATTTTGCAAGCAGTGAAATCCTGCATCTCTTGGAGAATTGTTCATATTTTAACCAATGAGTGGACAGGATGTCTGTGTTTTCATTCTTGGGGGAGCTGGGAGAAGCCTGGAGGGTGGGTCCCCTTAGCTGTGGGATATTAATAAATCGGGAACTGCTCCAAGAAGGACAAAAAGGTATGATCGCATTCCACACTGTGTGCGCTCCGTGAAGCAAAGCCTTCCTACCCTCTCGCAGGGGATTTGAGTGTTTGAAGTGCAGCCAATCGAGATGTCAGCCCAGAAGGGCCCAGACAAGCATCTAATCCACTCCCAGCTCCCATTTGGGTAAATGGAGGCCCCAGGGCACACAGCCAGGATTCCAGACCTGGCTGGTCTACCTCTGGGTCCTGTTCTTTCTGCAGGCTGACTAAACAGTGTGAGCTTTTGGTTGCTGACAAGGTACCTAGTCTGGGGCTGCTTCGAAGAATCCTGTTGTGTGCCAGGCTCTAGGCAAAGACTGGCTGGAAACACGTGGAGGATCGCATATGCTGGGGCCGGGTGATCTGAAGCCCGCGGGTGGGGGTGGGGCACGTGTGTGTGCACCCGTGTCTATGAATATGTACCGGCACTGATGCGAACTGTCACTGGGGCCAGGGATCTGGGATCCTGGAGGAAGCGACGGGGGTTTGGATCCAGCCTTAAGGGTTTGACAGTGGTTGGGCTGAAGCTCAGGGTGCTGGGATGTTAGAGGCAATCCCTGGGCTTTTTGGCTCTTGTCTCACAGATGCTATCAACTGTTGATCACTTGTGATGTGCCCGGCTCTGGGTTAAGTATGCCCTTTATCCTCGTAGTGGTCCTGTGTGGAACGTTCTGATATCAGACCCCTTGGGCAAATAAGGAAATCAAGAGGCTGTGTAACATGGCCAAGGTCATCCGGCTGGTGTACTTGCAGACCACCCTAGACAGCCCTTCTTCTCCTGTCGCTCTTCTGTTCTCTCTCATGTAGGAGACAGCCTTGGTTTCACAGAACAGGTTCTTGCCAACTTTGTCAGCTACAAGCTGTGTGACCCTGGGTGAAATACTCAGCCTTTCTGAGCCCCTGTTTCTTCTTCTGTAAAATGGGGGCTAAGCCTGCTGGTTCTAGGGTCATGGGGATGCTTTTCAGTGTGATGATATAGGTCAAGGGCACAGTAAATGTCACTGCCTCTCCCAGTCCTCACCTTTCTCTTACCTGCTTCTCTAGACATTCATTCATTCATTCATTCATTCATTCATTCAACATATGTTTTCTGAGTGCCTCCTGGGTACCAGGCCAGCAAGTTGTGAAGTTCTTCTTGGCTCCAGGGAGCGTTAGGAAGAGGGCTCCAGTCTATCTGTCCCTGGATGGGGGAGAGGGCTGGTCATCATGGTCAGTAAAGCTGCTGGCTGGTCCCTTCCCTGATCCCAGCCCTCCCAGCCCTCCCAGCCCTGTGGCATTGGAGAGGTGGCCCAGGAGAAGTGTGGGTCTTTAAGAATCCTCGGCAGTTTGCCTGTCATGGCAGGGTGGTATGGGGCAGGCGGGGGAATGGGTAGCTCCAGCGAGATGGAAAATGAGATGGAAAATCTGAGGCGGCTGCTGCCGGGGCCTGGGGGGGACACGGCTGCCCGGGCTCCCAGCATTCCTCG